GGAATGGGATGTCCCATCTTTTCTTTCTGACACAAGAGAAACTGATCAACTGATAAGGGAGATGGTAAAGACACAGCCTACAAGTGCAGGTACTTCAAAATAAAAAACAAAATACTGTAAATTGAACTCAGGACATGTGAAATTATGTACAAAAAGAGTGCAGAAATACAATGGCAATGTTTGATGGGATGATAAAATAAATCGTGAACGATTCGTGAACTACAACATTAGAATAATAACTGAATAAGAAAGACAAGGTAAAACAAGACATGACACACAAGGTAAGATTTACAAAATCAACGGGAGGACGCCTCTTTTTACAGAGGCTATAGTCCACGTCGCAGCAGTCCCTTGGTTGGACTCCCGACCCCGACCCCTTGTTGCATGTCTTCCCCCACTGTCAAGACCTGCAAGAATACCCCCACCGACTAAACCATACCTTGAGTACCTGATGGTATACCATCATACAATGTACTTTAAAAAACACTGCCTCCAGTAAAAGTAAATGCCTAAGAAGAAAACATTTTGAGGAAAAGTGTTAATCGGATTTAAAAAAATATGTCATGTGGTGTTAACACTTCAGCAGTATCAGGGATCCAAACTGCAAAATCAGATTTTAGTGTTTAGAAGAAGGGGATGATTTTAAACACCTTTTCATTTAATACAGGACGCTAAATAATTCATGACAATGTGGTGCAGCATCGATTATTAGACGAATATCAGCCCCGGTGTGTTTATAGATGACACAGCAGTGAATGAACGATAATGGTAAATTAATTGTTATCAACATTTCAACAGCAGTTAGGAGCTTGTGTAGTGCCAACAGCAGCTTGTTACTCAGCTGTGTGCTCAGCTGTCATGCTGCTATGTACTGCTTGCATAAAGATCATCCATCTGCTGCTCTTTCAATCATCACTCCATCTTACTTTGTCAAACTCTAAATCCAGTGTTTTTCTCAGCTCCCGGCTGAACTGGCCTGTTGGACTAATAAGATTGCTCATCTTTCACAGCTCCCCGAGGTAAGTGCATGTTTGTCAGAGTAGTAGCTATGTTACATCACAAATACAAAGTTTGAAAGAATTCTCAATCTTGAGAATTTTGATTGTCTCTTAAACAAGAGTATGCATCATTTCATTTCATCATTTCACAGTGATGCAAATTCAAAATTACAGACAAATGCCTGCAAGAAATGCAAATATGGGGAAGCACTGCAAATGAAAAAAAGCTGCAAATAGCCAAAAACCCATGTGTGAACGGCACTACGAAAAACAGTTGATGCAAAAGTCAAAATACGTGCAAAAGAAAAACGTTGTAAATCCAAAAATCACAACAGAAGTGCTGGAAGCCTGTGAAGATGCTCAGTGGAAAAGCTTTATTACTTGAGGAAGAGAGGGGAGTAGAGACGGAGCAGGAAGTTATGGCAAGAGTGTGTGGGCCATGACTCATTCTTGTACAAAACACACTTTTATAACACATGCAGAAAATCCACAGCATTATTCAAGAAATAGGTAGATATGAGGACAATAGCTTTGCAGTAGCTACTCTGCTAAACATCATTTATTTAATTCGAACACTCTAAGAAAATTAGACTTATATAGATGGAGAAACATATTAAAATTATCTACTTTCCATTTACATTGAGCTCCAATCTCGCCTGATAATGACTGAACAAATGCTTTTTTTTTCTGAAATCATGAAATCATCAAGCTTTGAGGATTTTCAGTCTCTTATACATACTGGACATCAGACAGCCACAGGTGATCACGTTCATGTGTCTCATGTACTTCAGATTAAAGATCCTCACCCTTTTATTTCTCTTTATATGACTGGCCTAACTCTGAATAGTCGTAATCTGTAATGAGCAGAGAAAATAAAAACATTTCACCAGGGGGAGCAGCTGATGATAAGACTGAGCTACAGCCCAGAATGAAACAATACACAGTACTACACGACTCAGTGGCACCATGTGTCCTTCACCCAGACTGAATCAGAGGAGTGATTCAATTTAAAGTGCTCACTTTGGTTTGATAAGTATACACTGTAAAAAACATGTACTGTATCTGCTATAAGGTAAGTAAGAAAACTACGATATCTCCCTAACAGCTTCACAGAATACCATGCTGACAATACAGAATATCATGCTTTTTGTATAATGTTGAAACTACACAAAAAAGGAGTCAGCAGCATTAAAAATGGAAGTGTATCTGAAACTGCAATTCTCTATTTAAAGCTGAGATGGGACAGAATACACGCCACCAGCGACATTTCTGTCAGCTTATGCTAACTGGCTGGCAGCGTGCCTGTCGTATGTGGCACAAGGCACTGAAAATTAAAGCTGGAATGACAGAGGTGAGATATTCTGTGCGTAATAAATAAGGAAAGGAAGGGCAGAGATTAGGCTGACTGTCCCAACTTTGGTAGAAGTTACATGCTTACAGTGACGTTACAAAGCACGAGGTACTTAGCGGCTTATCATCTGGTGTTTGATTAACTCTTAGTTGGTTTTATAGAGCTGAGAAACATTATATCAGACTTCTTTTTAATCATTTAACAAGAGCAATCAGAGCTCTGTCAAAAAGTTTAGTAACGCTTTACTTGACGCCTATCTCTATCACGCATTATAAATGTATGTATAATGCGTTATAATCACGTTATAGCACTGTATAACTATAGTTATAAACACTCATTAATGATCATAATGCTTTATAGCAATAATCATAACATATTATAAAGCATTTTATCATGACTTACAAGCTTAGGTATTATAATGTGTTATAACTGTTAACAACTCATTAACAATGTCCACATAGAGAATGCATTATACAAATATTAATGATGTGTTATAATTTGCTTATAAACCTATAAAACTATCATCATAAACACTCATTAATTATCATAAGGCATAACACATTATAATACCTGACCTTGTAAGTCATGATAAAGTGCTTTATAATGTGTTATTATTATTGCTATAAAGCATTATGATCATTTATGAGTGTTTATAACTATAGTTATACAGTGCTATAACGTGATTATAACACATTATACATATATTTATAATGCATTATAGAGATAGGCGTCAAAATAAGTGTTTAGTGTTGAGTTATTGGTGAAACAAGAATCTGAAGAAGGCTTCAGCTTGAGAGGTTAAAGTGGATCATGCCTACTTGAAAAATATATACTGTTTTATGATAAGAGTACATAGTAAGGTCTTTTTTTATTTTAAACATGAATTTATACCTTTAATCAAAACAATGTTAGGTAGTTTGCATTCCCTACCCACTTTCTCATATTTACAGAAAACAGCCAGAATAAATCACTGCACTTTTTTAATTTTCGGTACTTATCAGAAATGCTATCAACACATAATTCAAACTTATTTAACATTTCTCTGTGTAGCAGGACTCAGATTGTTTTTCTCTATGCTATTTTCTCTTCAGCATGGATTTATGAAGCAGTATTAATATTCACTATTATTATTTACATAGGTGATTCATCTCTCTCTCTCTGCCTCTAAAACTATCCTCATCATTCTGTGTTACTGTGGCACACAGCTGAACACTATACTTACTCTCCATCACAGAATGTGTGTAGGAGGGAGGCTGGTCATGTGTTATAAAGTCCTCATCAAAGAGACAGGCAGCTTTATGTCGGGCCCGCTGTCGCCATCTTGTATGCTCCACAGATTTCCATTAACTTGCGAGAAGTGTGAGTACGAATGTCTGGTGGTGTGCCAGCATTTACCATGTTGACTTTCTGCCAAACTCTATATAGCTGATGGGAAAAGCAGATCAGAGATTTCTGCACATATACGTAGGGATTCCTGTATAGCTTGGCCCTCACTTCACAGAAAACAAAGTAAGCACTTATGAGATGGGTTAATGCCTCCAACATACTCCAGATTAAAGTAATCATAGCATGTTTTAAACTCCAAATCAATCAATCCAGCTTTATTTTTACACGGATTCATATTAAATGTTACCTAAAGACTTGTTAATACAAAAACACAGGCCTTTACCAAATCCTTTATCACGCAACTTCAGTTTAAGATCAGATTCTATCTCATCTGGCTCTACCTCTCATCTACCGTCAGCAAAGAACTTTGTAGCAAGTTAAAGTGGTGAGGAAAAGCCTTCTTTTAACAAGTGGAAACCTCAGATTGAACAGCCATCATGTTGCAAAGAGGAATATGAGAGATCCAAGAAGAAGAGCTGGATAGAGACACCAGAAACAATGACAGCTGTGGCAGACAATTACCACCAACACCAGCCAAATGAATATTTCCCTCCTTGTTATTTTGCTTTGAAAACCTTTTAAAATACAATTTGGGTCAGGTCTCAGGTAATCCATTAGACTTGTTGGTTAAACAGCATTTAAGAGTTGTTTGACACCAAAAAAACTACTTCTTTTTGCCATGATAAGGCTAAAGGAAGCATCAGAACCACTCAATGTGTAGAAAGCATAATTAGATGTTTAAATAGGGGCCCCTATTCATATCTGTCTTGGGGCAACCTCATAAAATTGAAGGGTATGTTTAAGATTTAACAAACAGTGCTCTACTGTGATTTTTCTGATATATCAAAGTTTTAGGATAAGTTACTCAGTCAGTACAACATCATGTTTATCATGTGTCATATTTTTCTATTCTGAACAGCTTCAGGGGGATCCACTGGGAGATGATGAATCATCATGTAAAACATGATTTGGACAGGCAACCCCTCTCCCATATGCCATACACCCCACGATGAAGATCATTTGACATTAAAAAATGTGTTTGTTTTCTCAGAAGTCGATGGCTGTGTGCCTTCTTATTTTCATCCCTTCTTTTCTGTTGCCACATTTCCTTTGTCTTTATTGAAATTTATAACTGTGCCTGTGCTACCCAACTGATGTGTTTAAAAAGGCTCTATCTTTAGACTGGAGCAGCTAGAACACTTCACTTCAGTTGTTGCCATGGAAACCTGAGTGCCAGGCTGACGGCACTAGAGTAGAGCTGGTGTGTTCGGGATAAGAACGAGTATGATGATGATGAAATGATGAAAATGACTGTGCTATAACTGAATGAGTGATTGAAGCAGCATTACTTTACACTGTGCTTTTAAACAGATATAGGTGTACATCATTAGTCCTACCGGGATAAGTGGACATTATCTAAAACAGATCATGTGACGGTTGACTGTGCAGGACAAAGTCATGGGACATGATAACACACTAGCTAAAGAGCCGCAGGATGACAAGCCAACCACCAATATCAAAAAGGGAGCTTCTTCTAGCAGCTATACCCAAACTACTGATAACACCTCATCAACATGAGACAAGAATCTTTTAAAGGTCCCCTTAAGACGACAAAGTATCAGATATGGACTTATAACAACTGTTTGAGATCAACACTAGCAGTATTTATTGGAGAGATAGAGCTCAGTCTGTTATTTTTTCCAACCATAGAGATGACTATACAGCAGTTTTAACAAGAGTCTTAGTTAATGACTTAAAATTATGCATCCTTTAGGCTTAGACCTACACCACTGTATCACACCAGATATTATATTAAGGATGTTTCCAAGACTAACAATAAATCAGAGTGCCTTGAACTTATTTTTTTGTTTCCTCTAAAAGATCTGCAAAATCCCCTCATCCTATGCTGAGTTCTGTTTGCCTCCATGTACTGTACTGTATGATGCTTTACCACATAAACCAATGGGTCAAACACAAGACTCGATCCATTATACAGTGTGTGTCCTGTGTAGCTTTAGATGTCTAAAATAACTAAATATCCTATCCTGGTCCTAAACCTTTGGTGTGAAATAGTCACAGGATGGCTTAGACACAACTTGGTGGAGTTTAGTACATTATTTGGACTGAACTTATAGTAACTTTTAGCTCAAACAGGATCATTGGTGTTCTTTACTAATCATAATTACAGTATAGAAGATGTTGTATAAAGGCTTTCATTAGAAAAAAAGGCCTAGATTATAGCAGCCATAGCACAGAAAAGTAAGAATTGCCAACTTGCTGATCTGCTTTAACTCTTGGTACTGTGTCGAATTTCTATGATCAGGGCACATCTTGTCTGACTAACATAACTGCAGGTGGCTTTTTTTTTTTGGCTCGAGCTCTCCCATCGATTCATCAACATGGTGATGAGAGATTTATTAAAGACTTGTCTGTTGGTCTGACTTGTTTCAGAATTTCAGATTTTTATACACAGTTCATGAGACAGGTGAGGGATGAGATGATTCAGAAGCTTCTGTCCAATCTCTTTTAGTTCTATTTTAGTTGGTGTGCCAGTAAAAAGTGCAACCACTATACCATCTTCAGAACAGCAAAAATGGACTAATGTAGCAGAGCACAACGTGAAAGAATAGATAGCAAGGTTAAACTCTCATTCAACTAAAAGGAAGATATAATGTCTAAAAAGCAAAGGCATTCTTCCTCTCTGGGTTGTCTACCAACCATTACAATTTCAAGTGGATAATGTTGCTATGGCAACAGCAACCTCTCAAATTAAAGCTTTTAGATGCAGCAGTAAAAGAGCCATAGAAATTAAGCACCATTTTCAAACAATGAAGTTGTATCAGGAGTACTGAGGCTTTGACATTTACATTCATGGGCATTTGTCAACCTCATAGTGAGTGTGAATTATGTTAATGAAATAGGGAAGTCTTGACTGTATAGTTAGAGTAAAATGAATTGACTATTAAAGAGAACTTCAAGCAGGACACAAATACATGCCTATCCTCACATCAAAACTCAAACTAGGAGGCTAAACATGGAGAGGTTCACTAACTGCTTAACTGTGCTTTTGTCTTTACACTTTGCTATGAATATGAACTAAACACTGATATATAATAAAAGAAATGTATTTCATTAAGACCAAACTTTTTTAAGTTTTTAAGGTATGGAATAAAGTTAGATACTGTTATGAGACAATATTTTTGACTTTCTGACCAAAGATGACAACAAACTACCACCATCAGGATCTGAGATGTTATGCATACTGTTGAAGCCTGTTTTTAATAAGTTGTCCTCTATGAGGAAGCCTTGGGCTAAACTTATGGAAACGTGATGTTTTGATTTGAGTCTATCCAGGGTAACATGCAGGAACGCGTGGCAATCTCCAGTAATAAGAAAAGTTCTGCAAGTACAAAAAACTGCAGTTCCTTGAGTGTCCACTAGAGGCTTGCTACAAGAAGCCCTGTAAAATTCCATATGAAAATTGCCAATTTGACAGTCGATGTCTGCATGTTGGTTTTACTGATGATGCTTTGTTTTTCTGCTTGTTTTAAGTGGAAACAGGGCATGCCCAAGGTAAGGTAGCTGACAAAGAGATGATTAGGGGATCCAGTCTTTGAGTCAGGTTGGTCCTCTTGAGCCTCTAACACAACTCCTTATATCTCCCAAGAGGCTGCATGATGCAGGAGGAGGGAGTGGTGGGGTCAGGTTCATCAGTGCTGGAGGGAGGAGAATGAAGACATGAGAGGGCACCTGGTTTAATGTTTCTGGTTCCAGGGTGGTAGGAGAGGCTGTAATTAAACTGACTTAGGAAGAGGGACCAACGGGCTTGACGGGGGTTGAGGTGTTTAGCTGAACGAAGGTAAGACAGTTTTTAGTAATAAACTGAACCTCTGTTCCTTCCATCCAGAACGTCCACTCTTGCAAAACCCACACAACTGCCAACAACCTTCTGTTTCCAACATCAAGACACGACGTGAGAAGAATGCACAATTGTGGAGTTTATTGGTTTTGGGTTGCATTGAGATAGGACAACTCCAATTCCAGTATTAGAAGCATCTACTTCAACAATGAACTGGAGAGCAGAATCCAGGTGTTTGAGGATGAGAGCACCAGTGAAGTGAACACTAGTAGCTTCAGGAGACCACTGGAAAGGGGAGCTTGTGGAGGTGAGACAAGTGTGGGGTGTGGCTACCTTGCTGTCACCTCTGAAGAACCGGCAATAGAAGTTGACGAAGCCTAGAAGGTGTTAAATTTCCTTCCTGGAGGTAGGGACTGACCAGTCAGTGACTGTATCTTTGATAGGTCCGGTTTGAGTTGACTTTTGGTAATGATGCAGCCCAGGAAATTAACCAAGGTAAAGTGAAATTCACATTCTCAAGAAGACATTGGAGGACCAGTCTGACGTGGAAGGTCCCTCTAAGAACATCAGATGAGGACATCATCAACGTAGAGAGAGATGAACGGGTTGAGTATGTCTCATAGGACGTCATTTATTAGGGTCTGAAAAACAGCTGGAGCGTTGGTAAGTGTGAAGGGCACTGTTGAAGGTGGTTTTCTATTAACCCCCTTCTCTGATTCAGATGAGATAGTAGGCGTTGCAAAGATCCAGCTTAGTGAAGCAGTGAAGAGACAGAATAAATACAACTAAGATGTATCTGAAGTTTCAGAGCGTTTCCCATGTACTTGAAAACTGGCTTATTATGCTTCAGGATATATCCTCTAAAAAAGTTTTATAAATCTCAGATTAAAGTGACTTTGACTGAATAAATTTAGTCTTATGTGCAGTAAACATCTATTTTTAATGTGTGTGGGTGTGAGTGTGTGTAAGTGTGTGTGCCTGCATGCATGCACATTTGTTGAGCAATTGTTTGGCAGATGTATTTCAGGCACATGGTTGGGCTCTGGGACCGACTCACAGTGAAGAGATAAAGACAGAGAGAGGAAGACAGAGAGGGAGGGAGGAAAAGAGGGAGGGAGTCTTCCCAGTCAGTCTGAATCTCTCTCTGCCTACACAGCCTCCCAACACAACCTCAGGCTCAGTAATGTTGGATACGCCGCAAGAGTGAGCTCTACCTTCTGCACACGCTCTGCTCTGCACCTGCTTGAGGACACACATTTGGTGAGTAGACCTTTCTGATAGCCTACTGTTGCTGTGTGCATTTGCCTTCCTCACATTAATGTACAGAATCTGTTTGAAGCTGACAGCTTTAAATAGATTCATACTCTCAGCAGATCAGAAGATATAAGGTACAGAGATCCCTATATTGATAGTTTCTACCATTGAACAGTCACTAAAGGGTGACTTGTTGTTACAAGAGCTAAAATGAGCCTCAAGAGTCTTCTGATACTATAATCTTTTAACTCCTTTAAGCTGTCGGAGGCTTGTTGGATCTCAGCAGGGGTCTGGCTTTAACTAACAAGCACTTTTACTCACTCGTGGACAAACGTACAAGTCTATGTATGAAATAGTTATTGAGAAGCTGTCAAAGTCACTGGATGACAACTTAACATATCATGCCGTTCTTCAGACAGTATTCGCCACACAAAAATAAATGAAACATAAAACATGAAAAACTGAAAAACTGACAGTACATAGACACTAATGCACACCCACTTACATGCTGTATGTGTTCTGGGCTGCCAGCAGAGAAACAGTGTTCACCCTTTCCCTCCCACTCATCCCAGTTGGAGCTGCATTTTAGCACATGTGGCAACAGGGAAGGAAAGATGCTAATGAGGTAGAGGACTCATTTTCACACTTATGTCAGGACCTGAAACCCTGCTTTTCTTTCTTTTCTTTTTCTTTTTTCTTTCATTATTATTCAAAAATCCCACAGGAATGGAAATGTTGCAGTGGCGTACTCTTAATACTGACACAGATACATATTTGATTAAGATGATTTGTATCTGCTTGTTAAATCTTCATCCAAATAGTAAAGAGACTTTTTACAGACTTTGCTGGCTCTACACTAAATCAGGGCAAGAGGTAGATACAAATCTTAATACATGGCAATATACAGTAGGTCCAAGTGTACTAGATCAGATGAATATAAGTATAAAATCAGAGTCAAATCCAAGATAATTTAACAACACAACTAATGTCTTCCTCCATAATCTCCATAAATGTTAAAATTGATTTCAATTTTAGCAGGGAAAGAGGAGTAGGTTGTTTGTCCTTTATCCAATAGAGCACATGTATATCACTTTGATTAGCTTTTGATCAGCAAACATGCTTGTTAGTAGTAACTGCATGTACTGTTCACCTGAGCACTGTTAATCCATCAGAGACAAGATTAAGACTGAGGAGCAAGGATTAGAAGTCAGAAGGGTCTTGGCTGGATGGTCAGACAGGTAGTTATTGGGGTCATGTCAGTGGGACTTGAGTCTGGCATGGATTATGCACTGAGAACTGAAAGTAAGACCTCTGGGGATTGTAACCAAACTGCTGACAAAGTGCAATAACACAGGAGTGTCAGTCAAGATGAGTATTTTATTCCACTTGAGAAAGTCACTAATCCTTTGCTGTAGGCTACATTCTCAAAAGTAAGCAAGTGGCATGCTTACGAAGAAGAGTCCGAAGTGAGCTAGAGGACAAAGCTCTCCGTTTGGTTCATGCTTTAAGAGGCTTGATGAAAGTGGATCATTGAGCTTGATCTGAACCAATTCAACCAGTGTCCACCTTTGTCTATACAAGAGTGTGGGGTAGGCAGGTAGGAGGCTACCCTACAACAGAACACCACAACTGAGAAAAGTAGTATTGAGTGTCTAGAGGCATGACTTCATATCACGTCCAATGGTAATCTCTCTCTACAGTATACCTGCACTCAACTGAGTGAAACACAAAGGTTCGACCAATTAGGTTAGGTCATGAAAAGCAGCTAAAAGACATAGTCATCATCATGACTTGACATCAACATGGTTGACAAATAAACAATGTGCCAAGCAGTCAAAGTAACAAAGGTTGGCCATACACTATACTACTTCAGAAACCATGGGAGACCGCATACAGTACAGTTCTGGTCAAAGCTTTACCTTAAAACCCTCTGGAAACACACTAGCCACTTCCATAAGACTGCTAAACACACTGCACATTTGTGGTGTTGGATTCACAGTTGTGATTCCACAGACATGAGATTTCAGAGAAACTTACATGATCAGACGTGACTTCAGAAGACCAGCAGACATAAAGATTGATTGGCGTCATCCGCTGGCTGTTCAGGCATGTGTTGTGCCTGAAAAAAAATGGAAAAAAAAAGATTAAGTGTGAAATCCTAGCTGAGGAGACACTTTACAGCTTGTTTGCAAGTTTGGGAGCTAAAAGAGTTTGTAAAATCTGGTTGGGGGTGCTCCCTAGTCAGCCTGTCTTGCTTGTCATTTTTGGTGTTTCATCACGGGCAAACCTAGCACTGTAAATATCAAACATGTTTTAAATGTACAGTTCAAAGTCAGGGAGGTTGCAGCTCAGTCTTGAACAGCTAAATAGTCTTTATGACACCACACACATGATTAACTGTTCTAGTTGTTGGCTATGACAAGGTTAGCTCTAAAGCTACACCTCCTTGATCATTGGAGATGGCAAATAAATCCCTAAATCAGAACTAAAATCATGGCTACGACATGAATTCCCCTGTATGATATAGATATTAAACACTAATTGGACTATTCTTTGAATTCAAAATCCAAACGTGACTTTGTAATTCTTTCTTACTGCATCTTTTCTACACATACATAGTGCCAAAGCAAGAGTCAAATATGGCTGACTGCCTATGCTGAATACTCAAGCACTTTTCAGTACCTCTTTACTGTAGTTGATACCCCAGCTCTTTCTTTAAAAACAACACAAAAGCTGGTATAGAGGGGAAAAAAGGGTCCCTTAATGTTTTGAAAAGTGCTTGTTCAGTTTATCCATGCCAGTTAAAGTCCATTTGGCTCAGAGCACCATACTTTCTTTTAATCCAAAGCACTGCGGTGGTACTTGTGTGGGCTTACTTGGCTTTGTCCTCTATGAGTACGTGCCCATGGTATGTATCAGCGTTTTTCTCCTCTGGTATAATTAATTCAGGTATTGTTCCAATTCAGCATTTACCAGGATTCCTGGCATAAGACAAACTGAAATAACATTTTTTTTCCATTTACTCCGAGCGAAAGATTTAGCTGTGACTGACAGGTGTGAGAGTGTATTCCCCACCATCAGCTCTCTTTCATAGAAGACACATCACCTGCTTCAAACACACATGCAAACCGTCATGCACACATTGTAAGGTTGGTCCAGCTGTGAGCCTGGCATCATCTCTATTTTCAGCAGTGCGGGATCAGACCTCCATAGTGTCAACAGGTGGGCAAGCTAACCATTGGGGAGCCTTGTCTTCTTCCTTTATAGCTCTGTCACTCAAATTTCAACCTCTATTAAATCCTCATGTGACAAAAGCTGCTTTTGTTGTGACATTTCGGTATGAGTTCAGAATAAGAAAGCAACATTCTCAGTATTTCTCAAGTACACGCTGACATTCACGTATCAAGTACTTTCTCTGTTGTGAAATTAGCGATGCACATGTATGAGCATGTGTGGGTGAAGGGCAAATTAAGTCGGTATGTATGTGGGTGTGTGAGTGGGCTGAGTGTAAATGTGTAACAACATAAGCGCCTACTGGTATAGAGTATGGGGGTATTTACGGCAGGCTCATACTGACATGAGTGGGGTTCTTCACGCTCAGCTAACTACTGTATAGACTCTGTGGACTGTCAAGGACTTTGATCTTGTATGTTCAACATGTGAGTTCTTCACAATTGTCCTGCAATCAGTTTAAAATTCATCTAATAGATTCAATAATTCACCAAGTTAGTGCTTGACGGTGTGAGTCCGTGCAGGAATGGTTGTGTATCTCCATTAGCTCCGTGAAGGGCTGGTAACTTGTTCAGGGAGTACCCCACACTTTAACCACTGAACAATATGCTGGCATTACATCCACAATACCAAACAGGAGAAGAAGGAGAATGTGTAATAATAAATGACATAAATATAGTGGGAAGGTCAATGACAGTTCAACATTATCATAAAATGATCACTGAATTATGTTGATCCATAAACTTTTTTATCGTCATGTTATTTTCAATGTTGACATCATTAATAGTAGGAAAATACTCTCTAAGTGTGACAGGGCTAAATTAATATAAACAAAATAAATAATAGTAACCTATACGTGAAACAAATGACTGTGTGAATTTAGTAGAACTGAACCACATTTTATCAATAAAGTCAACAATGATGAAAAATCCATAAATGCTACTCAATGGGAACCATTTGGTTTTAATCGATGAACACTTACATCGTAGACAGATTGTGCCAAATTGATTACTTAATTAAACAAATTGTTTTAAATCCAAGCTGAAGTATTTAAAATCTCTTCAGTTATATTTAGTGTCATTTGTTGCCTTAAATTTTTTTGAAAGTAGCCAGTGGTCAGACTTTTCTGAGAGTGGTTAGCCACATGAAGTTATATCCAAACAAAGCCAAACTCCTGAGCCAACTGGATCCACAGAGGCTGCCTTTTTGTCACAGCAGCTCCACGCATTCCAATTAGTTCAACAAGTAGATGTTGAAAATGCCATACATTTCACATTGATGAAGCTGGTTTGAAATTCACCACCTTTTACTTGCTGAACATGCATTTCACATTGATGAAGCTGATATGAAGATGACCCCACTAATGATTACAAGAGATCTCATTTCTTTAACAGTGTATTCCCAGCAGCAAGCTACTACCCTACAGATCAAGTATTTAGCCAATGCAGAGCTAAATCTCCTATAAGGGATGTCTTTTTATAGCAGTTCACATCACAGAGAAGTTATGAGCGGTTGAGCCGATGAGAGACCGCAATATAACTCAGGGTGACATCATTGAAACAGATTAAAGTTTGGATCAATAGAGGATAATGAAAATGATGTGAAGGACAAACGCTCTTACGAGTTGAGTCAAGCAAAATAAGTTCTAGCTGTTCCCGTCTTTATAAATCCACGATAAGCTGTCCATCTGTGAATTCCCATAAGTGAGTCTTTTAGATTTTTCTTTAGTTATTATACGTCAGTATTTGAGAGCTGTGGGAAATCTGAACACATTTTTTCCTGATAGATAGCAGGGTGGAGAGTTTTTTGTTTTTTTTTTTTTTTTTTTTTCCCAACCACCACATCGGTCACCTGTGATGTGCTGCTTGTCTTCTACCAGCTTTATAATACTGTCTCTGCTTGTGATATTCCCAGGTGCAATAACAGCTTGTATCTGTTAAGTTTCTATTCGTACAAGCGACACAGCTGACAGGTAAATGGTAAAAAGTTGCTCAATCTTGCTTGACTTTTTTATGTTTGAGTGCAAAATTTTTTATGATGGTTTGATATAAAGTTTGGACCATTTTCTAGCTAAAACACAAACAACCACTCCTAAATTTCAACTAAAACGCAGACAAAGATGTATTTTTTTCCCAGCAGAGGTTGAGGTTGCAACTCTATCATAGTCATTGTTTGTTCCCAAGTTCAGAAGGTCCTTTTGGGGGCCAGTATCTTCAAATGACCGTTTGGTCAGTTCAAAATAGGTCAGAGGTCCCCCCTCTGATGTCTTATTTGAACTGCCTAGATACTGAGGGTTTGTGCTTTCTCACATGTGCAGTCCTGCCAGAGCTAAGCCATGTGCTCACAACTGATGTGTTAACAAGACAGTGAAAAGAGTCTGGGGTTTATTTATAACCCTGAAACATTAAATCCCATCTCGATAAAGTTGCTCACTCAAGTGGTGAGCAGATGAACTGAGGCTTTTTTTTTAAATTTATTTTAATTGATTAATTCTTGCTTTTCATTTACAAGTTTATTACAAGTTTAAAGCATGGTGGATGTAACTCTCAGCTATAGTCCCGTCTGATGCTGACACAGAATAATGATGGACTGTAAAAGGGTGACAGCATGCCACCCATTTGTAATCATGTGTCATTATTCTGCTGAAGCAATCATGACTCAAAATTAGAAAGTTGTTGTCAGCACATTTTTAAGTTCTTCAACACTTCACCAACTAAAGCAACCACAGCAGGTTTATACTGCAAAAGGACAGGAGGGATTTTTCAGAAAAAAACTTAAGTATGGCTTTATAAGGGAAGTCATCTCAGCCTTCTTAGTGGCTTTTATCACCGCTAGATACAAGTCTGTTTTTTTCCATGTAACTTCATAATTTCCCTTGTCTTTTGTTTTTATAGCACCCCCCTTTTTCTGCACCCTTTGTAGCTTCATTTGACTGCTTTCTTGCTACTCTTCCCACAGCACATTATAACAGTCTGCCTTGCTGCATCCTCGCTCACGTGGCTGTGGATGTGAACACATGCTCTCTTTTTTAAACTGAACTGCTAGAGCTTGCTGTTTGCTTTATGCCTTGGGTCAGGTGGCTCTTAACCTTGGGTACGTCTCTGATTTACAGTCAAGCATTTAAACACAGAGCCCCGACATATTCATGCGACATTCCCTACAGTCACTGTGCCATTCCTCAGGCCTGGATCAATCATCCATCTGACATGTGACACACGCATGCCGCGTCTGTTTCTGTTGCTCTGGCTGTTATGGGTGCTGAAGCAAATTCACCCTTAGTGTTGTAATGCACTGCAGTAAATCACCATTGGAAGACGCAGCAGTTAAATCAGTGTGTATGCAGCCTTCCTTTTACAGTACATGATAATGTACTTTCTGTGAGATGACAGATTTCTGTGAGATGACAGATTTGTGTGATATGTTCTCTGCCATGTACCACTGTGCCATGATGTGTTCTTCTTACATTATCCACCCAGTTTTTCTGTGTACAATAATGTTTTTATTGTCATTCAGAACAATTTAAAAAGTGCCCTGTCATCTTTAATATATTTAACAACATGCCAAAGAGCCTTACTATTGCTCAGAGTCACACAGGGTTATTGCCATGTGTGTATACTTCATCAACAAACATTGTTCCACTGCAAAAAAAAAAAAAAAAAGAAAAAAAGAAAAAGAAAAAGAAAATGGTGCCCTAACCAAAGTATGACTTCCTGTTTAGGTAAGTGCACTTTTTAACAAGTGGACACTCTGTAAGTGGAACCTAAACTCTGGTGCTGCTTACACCCTTTATCCCAATAATATTCTTACAACTCAAGAGAGTTATTGCCACAACATTATGTTTCAGACTCAGTGTGACCAGAGCAGCAGAAAGGAGATGCAGTATAATAGGCATTATGTACAAGGTGGTGGTCTGGTGGGTCCAACAAAAGCAAAACACAACCAGGAAAACTCTGTTTAGGTCCTGTGTGCAGTTAAAGGTCAGCCATAAGGCAGCTGTAGCTCTGTAGTAGAACAGGTGTGTGCGAGTGAATAGCTGCGTTTACATGGACACAGATAATCGGATTCGGAATAAAAATGCGTCATGTAAACATATCGATCGGAAGATTTTGATCCAATTTGACACAATCAGAAACTAATTGAATTCCGATCGAGAGGGGTGTTTTATGCCGATTGTTATAAACGCGTCCATGTGAATACTTATTCCAATCATGACTGTCTTACCTGACTTGGTCTTCATTCTGTAAACTTTGGCTTATTTATTGAGGCCAGTAAAAGAGGTTCCATTATTAAAATTCTGGCATAAAACACAACCGCAGGTGCCGTGTTTGCTCCTCCGGTAACATAACGAGGCGTACATACAGCGTAATGATGTCACATCCGCACGCACAGTGCACCTTTTGACAGAGCAGTAAAATAAGTATGTAAGGGCGCCATCTAGTGAGAATATTTAACAGAGGGTCAGTCCTAAACTGGATGGAGTGAGCCACTGACGCGTTTGTTGGGTTGTTGACAGCACAGGCTTCCTCTGCGGTTGTTTTAGCGAAATCAGACAGCTCTGCACATGTCCAAATGCTTCTAATCTGAATAAAGCTTGGTGCACCTATAGGCACATCATGATCGGATGACTTGATTTTGTACCCATATAAACAGTGGATTCAGATTATTCGATCCCTCAAATTTTGAATCGGTTCAAGAAATTTTGCACATGTAAAAATGGCTAATGGCTGAGATTGAGAGTGTGAAAGTGTATCGCTTACCAAGTTGTTATGGATGTGACTTACATATGCCACTTACATGACAATATGTTGTAAACCCAAGTTCATAATTCAAAAGGTTGCATTCCCTTACTGATGCAAAGCATGATCTAAAAGTGTTTATGATGTTCAAATCTCACTAAACTTCTTACTTCTGCAACCATAACCTTCAGTTACACACATGGTTAACACATGTAGCCATCTCTTCCCAGTTATTCATGACAGTTCTCTGTTTTCCTTTCAGGCCATCATGGAGGAGGCGGACCTGCTGAAGGAAAGGCTCCAGGCCATCACAGTAAGGACTAGTCCCATGTTCTGAAAAGAAAAGGGAGGAGACAGGCTTTCTCTGACCAAGCTGAATTTGTTTTTCACCTGGAAAAAAGATATGCAAATAGCTTCTTATTGGTAGTAGACTTTTATACATTTCCTACTATAAAATAAACTGCAGGCTGGATATTCAGTACTGTGACGTATTGCCTAAGCTGTTTGCCACGATGCAGCAATGAATCAGGAGTTGTTTCCATGCAGGGTCTGAAAATAAAAACTGTGGGTGTGTAGTTGCAGGAAGGCAGAGACGAAGGAGAAAATCTCAACGTTATCACTGTAGATGTGCAAGTCAGTTCCCCTGACAGAGTACAGGAAGGCAGGCAGCGCAGGTTTGATCAAATTCTATTAACACAATTCAAGACATGAAAAGATGAACTGGCAGAGACTTCAGATATAATTGTGGAGATGTGAAGTCATTATAACTAACCCGGGAAAAAAACAGACAAGTCTCTTTGGTAGAGGTCAGTGTGATTCACCCTCTGTTCTTTCATGTGATAATTTTCTTAGTCAGTCCCTTGAATCTTTGATGAGACTGAACTAGGGCTGTCATGTTATCAGATTTCCACCTCAGGATAACATAGGCCTTAAAAAAATCACAATTAGGACACGCTCACAAGATTTATGTACAACTTTAGAAACAAATAGGCTACTTATCTTTGATTTACTATTATTGTTTTTCAATTCCAGAGACAATGCAAGATTTTATTAAGGAGGCAGTGATTTCAAGTCATCCAGTAGTGACAGGATTATCGGTCAACCCGAATCAACTTTGAATTTAAGGTCTGCAGGCTCATCAGAAACTGTCTGGAGGTTTAGAAAACAAACAATTACATGCGTTCTTTATATAAAGAAAAGTACTTCTAGTATATTAGTTCACATTCCAGGTATGAACAATTTGATATGAGTTAGTACATCATAAAATTTTTCCTCCTAGACATTACACACAACCCTGAAACCCCGCTCATCCATTTTCCAAAGCTAGAATACAAGCATTACTAGTTACCAGAACAGTCATTTAATTATAAGCCTCTAATTATGGTGGTACTAATAGTCTCTGTGAAATGGCTTTTATGGTCCAGACAATTCAGCGAACTCTCACCACTGTGTTTGTCAAAGTAAGACACAGACACAGACAGGGCCATAAATACCAGCACACGTCATTAAGGAGATCCCCTTTCACCGCGGCTTAGTGCCACACTGATTCAAGATCCAGGAGCTATTTTTAGCCCACAGTGACCCCCATCAGTATGACATCTAGGAACGCAGGGTGTGTTTGATGGTGACTTAATGGTTTAAGCCACTAATCAGCATGTTTGTCCGTGATTATCCAGGCAGGACAAATATGTGTTCATTATTCTCCAACTCTAAATGTCTGGCTGACGGTCGAACTTCCTGTATTGGATTTTCTTCGCTAAAGGACATGCTCATTAACAGGGAAAGTTGTAGAGTTTGTGGTCAACAGGTGGACACACACATGCAGACACACACACAGTGAAAACAGGTAGGTTGGGCCTGGTCGTGGGCAGCTATTAATGGCTGTTGGCGCCCAGCTGTCTGCTCAAGGTTGAAATGTCATCACAGGGAGACAACAGGTGGAATAGTTTCCATTCTGTGGAATGTACATATGATGCAAATGTGTTTGTGATTACCCCCCCTTCAGGATAAAAGAAGAATCCAGGAAAACATCACCATGAAGAGGAGACAGATCGAAGAGGAGAAGTTAAAACTACAATATATAAAGGTACCGAATATATAAACAGAAATAAGGCTAATATTCAGGGGGAAATGCAATAAAGCTGATAATCAATAAGAATGGTTCAATATCACAATACAATAACACAGTAGCTTAGCGCAGACGAGGAAGGCATCTCTAACAGACCCTGAACCAGCTTTGTGAAGAATCCCAGGAGGAATTTTGGATGAGTGGTTTGTGATGCCCTCCTGTCTCAGAGCTAATAACACGGGTTCATCCTCCTATTCATTATTGCTCTGGTACGATCTTTGAATCCTAATTCATCAACTATCAGCTCAAGTCCCTCTGCAGAAAGCACAATATAACCTCTAATATTGTTCTTATTCAGCCCACAGCTTTTCCTCTTTGACACAAATGAAAGTTGAAAGTGTCAGCATTTTCACTTACAATAGCAAACATTCATTTGTCAGCTTCTATTTCTGTTTGTAAGGGCAGATTTTCTCAGCTTTTGAACCTTAACACTTCAGGAAGAGAAGACAGAAAGAAAGAGATACTAGGCTTTGTATTCTAAGTCTATGTCTCCTGTTTAAGTTGGTACAAGCAAAGACATTATAAAGACATTATAGCCATGGGACAGGGACAGTCCAAAGGTGACCAGAGGGTCTTTATGTCTCATAAAACTTCAGTTTGTGATTTTATTCAGATTGATTTTAGGATCAATTTTGTAACATTTTGTTGTTATTAAAATTAAAATGAGAAATGTTATATTTGTTAAGGCCTCAGATAGATTATCAAAAATCATAGACTGTATATACTATGGACAATTTGGTTCCGCCTCCCACCTGTATACAGATTTGAAGCCAAAAAGCTCTCTGTATTTCCGGGATTTTTTTTCATTTCCTGAAACCAACATTGCGCAGTAGCATTGTACACATTCGGCGGGAGAGTCGCTGTGATGACGCTCGGCTCAAACAGCGTATCCCCCGGGTGAGCTACGCAATCCCTGAACGCCCATAGGCTGTATCAGGTGTCAGTCATAGAAAACATGAACCCCCTGATAACTTTTAAAAACGGAGCTTCACAGAAAAAAGAGGACAAGTACAAACTAGTCTTACAATAACTACATGTCAACATTGCAAGCAGGAGGGAGAAAAATTTATGTTCTGTGTAATTAATTTCTAAAGTTTGTCCACAGCTCCATAAACTCTGCAGTCAAAGGCGGGATTTATGACCTATACTGCAGCCCGTCAACAGAGGGTGCTGTTCTTGAAGTGGCTTCACCCAGCGAGGAGGCAGCCACTGTCCGTTCTATATACAGTCTATGTCAAAAATACAGTCACATACTTGTTACAGATTCCAAATAACTTAAGCTTTGATCAATGGAACCAGTGACCACATTGATCCCAATATCAGACAACCTTAACATCAACCTCTTGGTGACAAAATGTTCAGGTGTGTTTTTAAAAAAACATTTTGCTCTGTACAGAAAGCGATTTAACGGAAAATGAGTATATGACAGACACATTAGATAAATTAATGTCCTTTAATTAAAATGATGTTTTCAGTATCTTAAAATGAAATCAACTGGTTAGTGTGTAAGAGCAGCACCTGAATATTAGTACACAGAGAGAGCACAGATTTATGGTCCTAGAATGAACTGCACTGGAGTAATCATTTCAAAACAGCTTTAACTTTTCTATTTCTGTGTTGTGAGTGTACTTTTACATTTGTCCAGCTGATCAGCTGATTGCAGATACATCCTCTGATTGAGCAACAGATCAAAACAAAGATTACAGCCTCTGTTTTGCACGGTCAGCTTACAATAGAAGTAATACCACTTTATGAAATTTTTACATAAATCATCACAGATTACGCAGATTAGATCTAAAAAGTTTCTAAAAATACATGTGTCTCATCTGTGGGATTGAAATGTCCCTGAATATCAGAAACAAATGGACAAAGCCAGAAAATTATGAAATGGATTTTACAATAAGATGCTACAACACACTGTTCAGTAGTATTAGATGCTTTACAACAGCATCAACACCACAAAGCTTGATTACTAAACCCTGATCAAAATTGAGACCTCTTTTTTTTCAGACAGCTTTTATTTGGGTCAATACATTATTCATAATGAATTACATAAACACTGTATTCATGACTGTACAAAAACAACATCGATCTTGAACTACCTTATGGGTGAACTGCTGATATCTTTATTGAAACATTTATCTTCGACTGTGTCCTCCAACTTTACCTCTGTTACAACCTCAGTTATGTGAAAGTCAATAACATAAAACTCATCGTGTAGAAAGTCTGCAAACTACTCATTGTTTTCACTAAAGTTGAATTCACAGCCACTAATGTGAGCACATCCAGGACACTGACTGGGATAATTTAGTGGTGTAATCTCACAGTGACAGTAAGAGCAGGACAACATAAACCCTTGTACAAATATCAATAAGGAAATGGCTCTTTTGTTGAATGTATTTCTCCTGTAGCATCCATCTGGGCTCAGGGTTAAAGTTAAGAACTTTAACACAACTTTCAAACATGACTTACAGTGAGATGTAAAAGAAAAAAAGTTATAAAATGATGCAAGCTGATGATCTCTGCACTTTTTATATGCCCTATTTATACAGTATGTGTTTATGGTGTGGGGGAACTTGGAGGACATCTAGTGGAAAAGCTGGGAATGACCAATTTTGGGGAAACTGAAGACAAATCAGCTCATAAATGCAAATCAGACATTGTGAAATGAAATCCTTACGTTGTTTGTTTTAGTTACCTGTGTGTTGGTGTGTTTGACTGGCAGAAAAAAGCCCTCAGGGAGCAGTGGCTGATGGATGGTCTGAGTCAGCAGTCGGAGGAGGAACAGGCGGCCCTGAAGCTTCAGGCTCAGGACGAGCAGCAGCAGAGCGATCAGCTGCAGAGCAACATTCTCAGGTAAAGTCCGCCTGGAAGAACCTGGAAACTGAAGTTAAACCCACACTGCATCCCACACCGGGCACAACCTGTAGAGAGTTACAAAGCAAAGAAATCAAGTAGGGGTCACAGACACATTTAGATCAGGGGTGCAGAAGAACCAAAAGAGTTCAGGAGAGACGCTTTGTCTTGATAAAAATAGGTAGCAGCAAAAGCAAATGCAAGATGAACATCGCAGTTCCTCTGCCAAAAACTTCTCCCTGGACAAATAAATAAATAAATAAATAACTTTTTCTTTTCTTCTCCTGGTTAGCCAGCAGATGTTTCACCCCACTTAGCCCTCCTTCCTAATGATGGCACAATCAAAGCTGATGATCAGGAACCATTTGGATGTACCAGAGGAAACTCCTTTTTTTCTGTTAATCATATACAAATATCTGTTTAGCAGCAGTAAATATTTTATTAAGGGTTGATGATACAGCTTTTAAAAATGCCTTATGTTGTTTACATTTTATTCTTTTGAGTGCTTCAATCTTGCTCTTGTTACTCTCTATCTTTATTATAACTCTCCTCAGGGTGGGAACAATGAACCGGACAAATGCATCTGTATAAGATCACCTGTCAGACATTGAATGTATAGGATCTGTTTTTCTTTTCCTACGATATTAAACAGGCAGTTTTTTCCCCACTGAGCTAAAGTAGATGTTCACTGTGCTATGTGCATCTATATATTTCAGTAGAATTCATCATAGACTGCTATCTACAGGCAACCGTGTGCAAGTAATTATTCAGTCGGTTTAAAGAACTCTTGAGATTTATCATTCCAGGTTAAATTATATGGACTGTGAGTCTAAGGTGAAGCGAAACCTCTTTGATTGGGGTGGCCAAACTGGGGCACGGGCTGTCCCAGGGGTAGTATGGAGTAAACATGAATACATTTATTAACTTTGAGTCCCACCTTCTATGTTCAGACCCACTCTCATCCCAATAACAACCACACAAGTGTAACACTTCGACCTTTAAGGACACTAAGAAGTTTATGAATTAAGCCTCAAGTTAAAGAGAAAGTGTTATACAGTATTTTGTGTATTAAAAGATTGTATAGATAGGTTTATGGGAGAACGACAAGCAGCATTTGTTGGAAGATTTTCAAAATTTTTAGGTCAGGGAGAAGGGATACCCTGTCATGAATCAGAGTTAAACACAAAGGAAAGGGCCCAAATGCAGAACAAAAAGTGATTTATTCAAATTGAACTAAATAAAAAGCAACAAAAATTTACTTTAAATGTCCAACGGAAAAAAACACAAGAGGCAAAATCCAAAAGAACCAAAAAAATCTTTACAGACTCACTGGGGACACAGGCATACACTGAACTCGACATAGACTCATACAATACAATGAACCAACAAAGAAACAAGGGAAGACAAGGACTATATATACACAGGGAAACGAGCAATGAGAGGCAGGTGAGACACTGAGACACAGGTGCAGACAATTACTAACTAACGAGGGAAAACTGAGGAAGTAAAACAAGACTAGAAACACAGGGAATAAACTACTACAAAATAAAACAGGAAACACTGAAAACTAATATAAAGAATAAAATACTGAGAACATGAGGGAGACGAGGTCAGACACAAACTGAAAACTGACAGGACAGGAATACAGGGGAACAGGAACAATGGAGAACAGGAACACAGAAAATAAACTCAGATGACCAAAAACCAGGGGAAAACTAAATACCTAAACATATCATGACATAACCAAGAACTGACCTGAACGAACATGCACATCAAGTAAATGGGGTTAGTTGTTGTAGCTGGTTCAAATAGGATTTATTATGCTAAGTCAACATCCCTCATATTAAGGGTACCCAAAGGTTGTGTTCTCTGGTCAAATTTAATTGGGATATATTTTAATTGATAATCAAAGTTGATGTAATTGTCTAATCAAAACACATGAAACTATGTAATCCATAGTTAGAACAATCATTTCCACTCTGCTGTCTTTGTCTGCTGACAGAATTTGAACCTTTTTGTTTCAACCTACTCCAGAGAAACTTCTCTGACTCTAATAGTTTCCTCAGGGTTCACACAAATGTCAGGGAGCACTTGGCATGGTGCGCTTTAAACTTTCACTCGCTCACTGATTGGCTTGTTCCTGTAATCTCTAGGCTGTGTGTGCCCTGACAACAGGAGCATGTGTGGATTAGTACCAGACTGTTTCACCTGAACTCCATGTGAGCGGCATGTGTGTCACTCCAAGTCCAGACAGTTTAACTCTTTATTACGTAAGAGAACTACAAAGGATTAGTCTTTGTAAACAACAACACATGCAAGCTTGATACCTTCATTCAAAGAAGTCACTACATTGCTGTGAGGTACTTATGCTGCAGAGTATGACACACGTTTGCAGGGTTCAATACATTTACCGTGACTTTTCTGGATAACAGCTACCCATGAAAAAATGTTAGAACTGTTATTCAGGGAAGTATGTAATGCTTTTGGGAATCAGGGGCCAAAAAAACACAAACATATCAGCTTTCTGGATCCTTCCATTCCCATATACACCATAGACACTGTATGACACAAGTTTTCAAGATATTTATCTGCTGAGAACTTACCCTTTGTCTGGTTTTTAAGGATCCCTGTTGTCTGTTGCTGTCAGAGGACTGAATACTCACCCTGTTAGCTGAGCCCTCAGTGCTGCAAATTGAGATCTCTCTCTGCTGAGCTGAATCAAAGCTGCATTCCTAAAGTCACACAGGCAATATTAGGACAAAATACCTGTCTTAAACAACCCATCACCACACAGCCAGGAGGTCTGAAGTAAACCTTCTCCATGATTAATGATAAATTCCCCTCTAAGTGCCCCGAGGCTGGCTAAAATGGAAAGATTACTGCTGAGCACAGAGATAGACCGCAGATCTTTAGACTTTTGCAGAAATAAAGAGGTCTATTGAGGGCTTATTATAAACCATCAAGTCTGTATATGTCGCTACAACTTTTCAGTTCACAGCAAGACATTTTCACTTGTAAAATGGGGAAAAAAAACAATGTAAGCAAACGCAGAAATACTATCTGTAAAATCGAGTTTGAAGACAAAACACTGCAGAAGCTTTTGTGCTTGCTTTATTAAAAATCCACTCAGGTACTCTTTGTCTGTTTTTGTTGCTGCGAACTGCTGAGAATGTTTTCTGTTGAAGTTCTTTGTCTTCAACAACAGTTTATTTCTCTCTCCTACAGAATAGAGAAGGAGATTGAGGCCTTAGAAACAGAGGAGCTCAACATCTCTGCCAATGAGGAAGTAGTTCTGAAGCGGTTAAAAGAAGTGGAGAGGACGACTGAGGACATTATCAAGGTAGACTCAAAAACACTGATATTCTTTTCATACCCCTCTTGCTTGCTTAAATTTGATTTCTTGCTGAAAACTTATATTAATCTGCCACCTGCTTGAAATCTTTGCATCCAGAGTGCTTTGACTGACCTTCTCACAGTGATGTTGAATTAACTCTTTTTGTTACACCATGTTTGCACAGGAATAGGATGTGGTATAGGATTGCTACTTTGAGAAAATGAGTGAAAGTTGAACACACCCAGGAGTAATTAAGAGTTTGTAAAAAGACAGTTAAATCATTTCATCCACAACTGTGACGGTCATCATACAGCAGGCTGAACTTCAAGTTCTGGATAAAAGTTTTTAATGTGATTGTACATCTGTATGTAACTACTGGGTTGTATTTTTAGGGATGGCATTAATACTAATTCATTCACAGTAACTTGCCGACTTTGGCATAGGCTACTGTGAATTCCAGTACACAAAGAATGAACTAAACATAAGCTTGTGTATTCATCTCTCAACATGCAATGTATAACGAATACAATTAGGGCTGTCCCGATATGATATTGATATCCGATATCAGATGTTGGATATCGGTCCGATATCAACAAAAAAAACGAATATCAGATTGAAAACCTCTAATATCAGCACTCCGATACAAGCAATCCATTCCAGACTCCGCTCCAGCACCTCTATCTAGCAGCTCCCAGATCCAGCATGCAGAGCCCACGTGATCACAACAACAGTGTGTACTAAGGTACAAACAAAATAGCAAGTGATGTCGGTCCTGCGGCAGTATTTTTTGTTTAAGTCCGAAAAAGACATTGCAGCTGAGCACAAAATTTCTCATAAACAATTTTGTGCTAATATCCGATCAGTATCGTTATCGGCCAATATTGAAAGCTACAATATCGGTATTGTATCAGAAGTTGTATTGGGACACCCCTAAATACAATATAATATACTAATATATAGTAATATACTGTTTAAGGTCAGACCCTGACATTTACTCTTTTTGGACAGCAGACCTAAATCTAAATCAGACATTGTGAAAAATAAGTTGCAGTACATTGTTGATACTATTCCATATGAATATCGTATTGTCGTCTAATGATTTAGAAAATCCTGTGTCTGTGGGATATAACTATGTACAACAGATTAATAAATCTGTTATCTCTAATAATAGATTATTATCATCATGAGAGATGGAGCAGAAACGCCTGTGTTGCTTTGATTTATAACCCTTGTTAATATCCGGTTCTGAATTTGGGTATCATTGTTTTTCACTCACTCCATGCTGCCTGTGGCTCTTCCTGTTTGTTTCTAACAAGAAGCGCTCCCAGTGGACTGTGTGGGTGTGATTTGTTCACACCCACACGGCGAATAAGGTGGCAGGTAAATGGATTGCTTATGGTGGGCGTGCAAGGATAAAGGATATGCATGATTTGCTTTTCTGGCTGCTTGGAAAGAACACAGCGTGATAACTGTGACATGAATATGACAAACTCTATATGATGTGCTGAAGCCTAACATCACTAATCCAAGGCCCTGATGTGATTTAGACTCACTGCTTCTCTCGTCACTTCGACCCTCAACTTCTCTGTCTTCACATTTAGGAGCTCTATGCAGACTTCGATGCAGGTAAACACTTTGAAAGCACTTCTTGTTTGTCTTGATTACTGTGTTTATATTTTCTTCTAATAATTTTTGATCCAGTAATCAAAAAATAGAGCTGTACTAACAGAGGGCTTTATTAACATATACCTTTAATATGCTGAATTATTAGCAAAACATAGACATGATTTTAAACCACTGATCTAAATCGTCATTAACATTCATACGTTCTTTACATCTAGTTAAATGTACTGATTTACTAACTCTTGTTTAACCAGTTCCTCATGTATAGGTCAATTACTTAAAAAAATATTATATTGATCTAAAAATTTATATATATACTGTATATATAGAATATTTTGCTATAAAAAGAATCATTATTTTGAGACACCAAATTGTCTTGGCTTGTTTTTTTTATTCTTATTCCTCACCTTTTAAGCTTTATTTTAAATATTTAACTATTTTCCGGAGTTTTATTGTTTATATTCTCCCCTCAGATTCAACACATCATGTCCCCCTGCCATGTCAAGATTACCCATCAGTCGTCCCTCTTACACCACCGAGAGCCTCTCGTTTTCAGGAGGCAGGTAGTGAGGAACCAAAGAAAGGTGCATACATTGTATAACTCCTGCATTTGCTGTAAATAGTTCCTGCTTTGCTTGCTGATCACACAGCTGTCAGGACAACAAGTTTAAAACAGGATAAGATAAGATGAAAAGATGATATTTTTTAAACTGTAGACAAGAAATTATAGATGTTCGCCAGTTATTTCACAGCGCCATGGTTACACAAACATCTATTATGTACTCTCAAGGCACGACAGTCTGCATTTAGACTGGTGGTTCTAACTGAAAATATCTTCTTGATCTATTATGTTGTTTCAAGAGCTGTGAATTTCCATTTCATCAGGATCCAAATAATAAAGCAGTGATTTCACAGTGATGGGATCAGAATGTTCCCATGTCTGTGATTTTGTTAGTTTGATGCACTCTTTCGTCATTAATCAGGAGGAAATAAGCCTCCTGAGAACTGCAACCTTAAAAAACACGTGCAGCTTTATCTGCTCCGTGAATTATTTTGATTAAACACTTCATCTCTTATTGATGAGTGGATGTTACGTGAAGCATAGTCAGAGAGGATCAGATATTCTAATGAAAATATTCTTTTTAAGCCTGCAAATGCAGTCTAATAGAAAATGACGCTTATTTGAATATTAATCACTGCAGTCTTTCCAAATTCAGATGTTGACAAAGTGGTGTTAATACACAGTTTCTGAAGTTTGCTATTGCATCCATTAGAGACAGAACAGAGCTTCTCTCAGTTTCATATTTTTGGATGATGCACGAAGAACCTTTCTACTATGACAGTTTTAAATTTTCCTCTTGGCATGTTTTGACTTTGTTGTCAGGTGGAGTAGGAGTAGGAGTAATTTGAATCCCTTTACAGCTTTGAAACTCGAGGTGGTGTCTTCAAACCTCCTCTTCTTGTCGAGACAAACCAGAATCCAAAACAACCATGCAAAATGTTATAATATGTCAAAATTTAATGTACAAAACTTTGTGTAATCATTATGCAAAAACCCTCATCCAAGTATTTCCCTTTTTTCCAGCCACATTTGCGATGGAAATAAGTGTAGAGCATGATAAAAAGACTGGAAAAAGCCAGGTGGTCTCGACAGCAACAATCACCCCAGAGACCCTCAAAGAGAGGGGATTGAAGGTGTTCGACGATGGCCGCAAGTCTGTTTATGCACTCCACCCAGAGGGAGCTCAAACACCTAATGGAGCTGTTGGAGAGATGACATCCAAAGAGGTAGAGGAGCTTCTGGATAAGGCAGCAGATAAGAACGTGCCAAGTGAGGTGCAGTACCATCTGCCTGTCTACTCTGTCCCCTACACAGGGAACAGCAGGCCATCAACACCCGGGACACCATATAAAACACAAAGGCTAACCCCTTTATCGAGCCCCAGTCCTTCGTCCATAATTGGAATGCATGGAAATCAAAGAAGCCTAGACCCAGAGGGGTGGAAAACCCCCAACAAAACACCGAGCCCCACTCTAATCCAAAAGGACTCCATGTTAAAAGATCGTGGGGAAGAAATCAAACTGCCCTACTCTAACTATCGAGAACAATCCAATAATGACACCCATCTAAATGTACAAGCACATGTTGACACCAAAACTCCACAAGGACTAACCAAAAGCAAGACTGGAGCCAGCAGTCCAAACCCAGCAGCTCTAGTGTCAGTCAGATCAAGATCTGAAGGAACGCCAACACTCATACAACCGGTCTACATGGATGTTGATAACTGTAGTCCTTCACTTCCCAGGCACAGACCTGAAGTTGATCCTGATTTTTTAAGAGAGAGTCCAGGTGATTTTAACAGATACTCACCTTTTAGTGCAGAGAGCACCTCCTCTCTAAATCTGGTCAAAACCCTGCCAGAAGAGCTCGAATCACAACCCATCACGATGATCTTCATGGGCTATGAGAATGCTGACGATGAGGAAGACGAAGACATCCAGGCTGAGCTGGTAGTCATTGGCAACAGTGATGATGAGGATGATGATGAGAACCGGTATGTTCAAAATGAAAGTGATGGGGAAGAGTGTCTCTCATACCATCCAGAGGGATGCAGGAGCAAAGTCTTCCAATCCAAAGTAGGTATGGCCAAGGCTAGAGACTGCAGAGACGCTACCGAGGACGCCTACACAAACAAGTATGATTCAGGGCTTCACAAGCCAACTTTTATCCACAAACCTGGAAAGCACAGCCCGTACCTGCAGGGACAAGAAGTGGATGGATCTGCGAACACAGGCAGCATAAATATGGAGAAGATGAAGCTCTGTTCAACAGGAAGATAAGACAAAGCATAAGTCATCGCTGAGAAACTGGGTCGTTGAATAAGGGATGTTCGAGTAGAATTCAGCTATTCTGCTCCAGGTATATCCATGCGTCATAGGTTTGAACATATCCTGTGTGCTAATGTATCATTTGATGCAAATCCAAAAACCTGCAACAAATCTTCTCACTTCATTTGGAGTCAAAAGCCTTGTTCCAAAAAGTCCTGAATGCCAGCTGGCCTGGTCAGTGAAAGCTGTCTCTGTGCCGAGGTCATTCAGAAAGCTGCGTTGCCACCTCCTGGCAAATTGGTTCCATTACACTGTCACTTCAATGTTGCTCTGCCAATTAAGTGCCATTTTGATATTTTTGGTACCATTATCCTGTCTTTATATCTTCGTATGAGGTTTTTGAGATATTTTAAGATATGTTTGGCAAATAAAATCACAGAGAATTTTTTTTTTCAGTATCTTAAGCTCATCCAGTTTCAAATAATTTTTGTCTTTCAAGTCCAAAAAAAATAAACAAACAAACAAAACGGCCAAAAAAAAAACAGACCTTGTGATGAATAACAATTACTTTAGCAAACCCTAAAGTTTAATTTATAGTTTTAACTAACGTATTTAAGTGATTTTAGAGTAACAAGTCATGTAGATTGGAGCTTTTTAATAAATGTAAATGTTATTGATAAACTGATTTTGATATGGCTGAAGCACTTTCACATAGTCACGCTGCACAGTGATTCCAACAGATTTGTTTCTTTTTGACAGAATTAGACAAACTGAATATTTTCTTGGTAGTTGACAACAAATTTATGAACTTTTGTTCAAATAAAATTAGATTCTTTTATCTGTTTTTTCAACAGATTTTGCTTAACCGTGTTTTGACTAAACTTAAAATACCCCTGCACCCTTTTCAGACAAAAAAATATTGATTAACATCTCTGAAATAAGTAAGACAGCTTGCTATTAGTCAATATTTGTCAACTGATGACTGCGTTAGATTTTATTTAGACTTTTGTGCTTGAATGGGGAGCAAAGTGTTTTGACCTAACTCACGAAGGGAAGCCTGAAATGGCAGAGTTTTCTAGGAATGAGCAAGTCAAAATTATGAGTGGAGTTTCATTTATGTGAGGACTGAGTTGATTACATAGTAAGCAAAAAGTATTAACCATTAAGAAAGCCATGTGCCTTACTTAAAGAACAGTCAACAAGTCTCTCTTTTCTTTAAATCTTTTATGTGATTTTGTAAACTAAACCATCCTGTGTGATCATATTTCCTCTGGAATAAAAAAGGTTTCCTCATCAACAGTTGGTGAAAATGTCGTTTTGTTAGTGGTGCCTGATTGTTAAAGCACTAGTGGGGTTTTTAGCCAAGGTATTAAACGCACCAATAAGCTGAGGCCTCTGTATGAAACTAAAAGAGATCACCAGCAATGACTGGATGTTTCTATGTTATGTTCAACACCTGTAAATGCTGCTGCTTTGTGGATGTCAGACAAGGTGATTTACAGGGTGATGTGCTGCCAAAACAAAAATGGGCAATAACACCAAAGTCATTATCTTCTCTACGATGATGGTCAATAGATCTTTTGTGTAAGCTCTTCTCTGTCCGTAGCCAGGACAGCAGACTCGCTCTGACTCACGTCTGCACGGACGAATGGACTGACAGCTGAATTTTGCTCTTCTGTTCCTCTTGTAAAACACTTGTCCTTGGTTGCTGTCTCTTTCTCCCTGCATCTCTCAGTGGCATTATGAGAACACGGAGGAGGGTGAAAAAAAGAGGTGGCACTGTAGACATCTTGCTTGAAGAATAGTTACATAACAACAATTTCTTACGTAAGACAAAAACCTGAAAAGTGAGAGACCCTGGGGCAGCCATTGTAATTACTGTCAATGCAAATGAATGAAATTCACATTTCCTGGGAAAGTTTATTCAAACGTTAGTGACTATATTTCACCCTCTCGCTCCATGCATTGAAAAGAAAATGTTCTCCTTCATTCAGTCGTATAGCGGCCCAAATTCACTCAGGTATAGGTTTTATTAGCTAGAGTCAGAGTTGTGCATGTCCTCACTTAAACTGAGTCAAGTCTCCTCATCAATTATTCAAGATTTTGAACTAACTAATATTGAATTTCCCTTCAGGGATCAATAAAGTTCTTCTTCTTCTTCTGAGTTAAAAGTTTTAAATAATAATAATTCAAATGTTTTTCAGCTATATTGAGTTTCCTTTTTTCAGTAGCCTCCTATGCTTTGATCATCAGCCCTAATCCTTGTAAATTTTTCTCAACCAAATGAATAACTGTGAGACCAAAAGAATCACTGACAAGTATGAAGTTAAAAAGGCGATGAAATCCCATCTGAGTTTATGTTTTATCAATTTAACAATATGCAAAAGAGGCACAGCTCAAAGCTGATTCTCTGGCATTCATGCCCAACACTGGTAAGGGTGATGGTAAAGTCTTGGTTATGCTCAGTGAGTGCACATACATAACATTAGATGTTGGTAAAGACGCGACATACACCTACTGATCTTTAGTTTTCAAGTCACACACTTTATCGCCCCATTCGACCATAAAAAACATCTTATTATATGCTTATACTTCAGTGCTGTCTTTCTCCTGTGCGGGTGAGCCAAAGACATTTTCCAACTCAGTGGACAATAAAGATTTATTCTATTCTTTTGCTCTGAGCTTCACCCACAATGACTCAAAGGCAATTGCAGTGAGTTATATCTCAACACTTGGACCTGCACCTGAAAACATTCTTTCTGTCTCAGCTTAGATTAATATTTCCACCTTGTTGGTTCTCTTAAATCTCACATAAAACAAGCATAAAAATGAATGAAGCAGACACTGATGCCATTTTTCATCATTTCAAGATTCGTCTATTTTTCTTTCACTGCTGCATATTAAGTTGTGCATTAATTTAACAACACCAGACAAGGGGAAGAAATAGAGAACTGACAAACAACATTGTTCATTTTTATCTTCTTTTAATGGTGGAGGAACTGCAATGTTGAGTAAAGTTAGTGGTATATTTGGATGGAGACTTGACAGAGATGTCACAACAACAAGGATGGAGTTTGGTAGTGGCAAGATGCATGTATGAAATTTCAGAGCTCAATTCAATGATAAATGAATGAATCGCTTTGTGAGGTTGTTCGGTTCTGTCGAAAGGTTTCTATCTTCTGAACAAAACATTCACACTCATGACTCATCATTTTGATTAGCTTACATATTTTGTTTATAAAAAAAAGTCTCCACATTTAAAAACATTTTCTTCATGCCATCATAACAGAAGTAGAGAACCTTTTCATTGCCATCACACAAAAAGTAGTCATTGACCTCGTCTCGTCCTCTTGAATAAACTCTCTGCAACACTCAAACTGCACATTCAGGTATTAGTTTATATCTGAGACATCAGATAGAGTCTTATTCTGCTGTAGGAGAGGATGTTGCTGTGATTTGATCATCTTGTGGTTTAAAGGGATATTCTGGCGTAAAATTAAGTTAGGGTCAGATACACCATAACACCAAGTTGGACACCCCCTCGAGAGATGAACATTGCCAACTGCTTGCTTTTCTAGTTATACCAACTTTAGTAACGACCGCACAATAGCAATACGCAGCGGTCTCAGGAGCCATAAACAAACCGAAACGCCACTCTATAGCCCCAAATAATGCTCAGAACAACACCTAACTTCATCAACAGTACATACATATAGGGTCCCAGCCATAATACTAGCCACCAAACATCTTTTTAGCTTTGTCTAATTTCTCTAGCAAAAAGACTAAACACAACTCACCCACTCCCTTCCAGCAGCCGCTTGTTCGTAGCGAAACGTTGGGCCAATCCAATACAGACTACAGCGGGGTGGCACAGCTCAAGGAAGAACATTTATGATCATCATTTGATTTCTTCCCTATCATTTTTTCTGCCTTAGCGTCTTGGTCTGATTGCATTTCCATGAAAAAATTATCATATATGTTCTTCCTTGAGCTGCGTCACCCCACTGTAGTCCGTAATGGACTTGCCTGAGGTCTCACTATAAAAAAGTTGCTGCTGGAAGAGAGTAGGTGTCTCGTGTTCAGTCTCTTTGCCAAAGAAATTAGTCAAAGTTAAAAGGATGTTTGGTGGCTAGTATTATGGGACCCTATATGTACTGTTGATGAAGTTAGGTGCTGTTCTGAGCATTATTTGGGGCTATAGAGTGGCGTTTTGGTTGAGGTTTGTTTATGGCTCCTCAGACCGCTGTGTATTGCTATTGTGCGGTCATTACTAAAATTGGTATAACTAGAGAAGCAAGTGGTCGGCAACTTTCATCTCTCAAGGGGGTGTCTAACTCGGTGTTACGGTGTGTTTGACCCAAGTTAATTCTACGCTGGAATATCTCTTAAAAGCTGGATAAGGATTTGCAAACATGTGTTGCATTTTATTATCCCACCCAGTGGCAAGAAAAACTTTCTTTTAACAGGTAGAAACCTTGAGCAGGACCAGACTCATGTAAGACAGTCATCTACTGCTACTGCACAGGGTTTAGAGAAGGGTTAGAGGGAGATGCAGAAAGAGAGCGATGGACAGAGGAGAGATTGATGTAGTCATGTAGTTAAAAGCTATGCTGAAAAGGAGGCAGATCCACAGCAGTAAAAAATCTGCAGCAGTGATTCAGAGGAATCTGTGACATGATGGAGCTCTGGGACCCCCAGAGGGACTGTGTATTAGTGATAATAAAGAGACATTATGATTCAAAGTTAAGTTATAGCAAAATGTAATGCTGTTTTGCCTGAGTGCCATAACCTTAAATGTAATTAAATAAAAGGTAAGATGTAGTGTTTGGACACAGGAGAGGATTCAAGGTTGTGTAGTTAAAGAAGTGTTTGAACCTGCATGACGGAGATCTGAATGATTCTGCCCACCAAAATTTAGAGCATATGTTGGTGTTGCAATTGCAATTGCCAAATTAGTTAACAGGTGTTTTTACAAAGTGTTTTCTTTTTTAATCACAGTCCTAATTAAATCAAATGCTTACGGTAGGCATAACTTCAAAAGTGAACTACAGGGTTTTTAAGCTTCTTCAAAGAAAGTGTAAAACCAAGCAGGTTTCCAAAATCAGCCACACTGTGGGATTGAATGCATATGAGCACAAGCTGAGCTCCTCTCAGCTTGAGTGTGTGTTTGTGAGAGAAAGCTCATGTATTGGCTGTCTCTATTACACCCTCCTTCCACTTGCTGTCCAATCAGAGGTAGCACCAGCCGGCAGAGCTGCCAGTATGAGGCTGCACACAGAAACAGAGCAGAGCCCTCTGCATTAGCCCGCCACACTGTCCAGGTAGGTCCATTAACACACAAACACGCACACACACACGCAAGCAAAAGTTTGCAAAGATTTTCCTTTGTGTCAGAGTATGGATCCAAATGCATTATCTGCCGGGGCTGCTAAAATGGAAATCATGTCATGTGTTTAGTATTGATGTGGATGGGGGGATGCTGCAAGCCTCCAACCGGAGCAGAGTTATTGGGTTGATAATATGCTGTGTATTGACTAACTGCAGTAGTCTGAATGTGTGTTTATCCGTGTGTGTGTGTGCGTGTTTTGCCTTCGGAGGGTGTGAATAAGCTGTGAGGTTAAACTGTCCTTGTACGGAGTGGATCACTGCTGATCACGTCTGATCTCACCTGGATTCATGTAGACAGCATGAATTTGTCCAGGTTTGTGGGTATCACTGTGGCTCCAGGGTCAGGGACAAGATGTTTCTGTAAGTTGCAAAAAGAAGCATTTCAAGCTTGATTTTTCTTTTTTGCAATACAGTGTAAATGCAGTGTGATAATCTACACAACACTCAAACTGAGATTTTAATAATGATGCATGAAAATTCAGCAGTTAAGGTTGTCAAGTAAAAAGTTATCCTTTAAAAGCAGCATTTAGACATATTCTGGTCTTCAGTATTATAAGGTGTGATGGCATACAGAGTGAAAGAATCCATGTGAGCTTGAATTTGAATGAAGCATTACACAGGTCATTAAGACATTGCTGTTGCGTAAGTCGATTTACATCTGTAAAATTCGACATCATAATAGGTATAATCTTTCAACATGGATAACTTGGAGTTTTCTGGTTGAATTATTTTTTAAATACAGATGAAAATAGAGATTTTTCAGATTTTTTATCTCTAGTATTTTGTATGAAAATGACCAAAGTAAGGATCATGTTATTATGTTTGTAAAAATTTATGACTTCCCTGCTCCACATCTGGTTCTTAGCCACAACACTGACTTTACAATAGATCTTTTTTAAAAATAGTTAAATTCAAAATCAGCTTGTCATGGCATTTTTTAGTACCTATACTGATTTTATAATATATATGTATATTTACTCATACATACTATTTATTAGAAGTCTCACCTTGGTACTTAATTAGTGTTTAATTCAATCTCTTATCCCTTACTGTGTAAAATGATTGTGTACAACGGTGGTATTATATGCTCTGTTCAGCCCGCAGCTGTCTTGCACAGTCGATTGCAATGATTGCATGTGAATTCTGAGTGCAGAGGGAGAGAGCACATATTTTCAAGGCTCACAAGCATGAAATGAAAACTCTTATTTGTGCGAGTGCTCCCATGAAACTGCTACAAAGACCAAAAAACACACACAGGCACACAGCAAATGGTGCGTCTCTATCTCGCTGACAGAGTGGTGGTGTCCTTGTGAGTGAACTTCCTCTGATGTCTCATGTTTGTCTCATCTGTTACAGTGTGAATGCAGTCAGTGTGTGTTTCTTTAAAGGCTTGTTTGGGTCATTGAGATTCTTATAATAAAATGATATTTTTCTTACTCAGTGTTTGTTGTTACAAATACAGAGAGTCCATATGGTCCATATGTGATGGGATTAATTCAGAAAGATATGTTTTTTTCTGCTCTAAGATGAACAGTCTGTTATTTTCTCTGAAGAGGACTTGAACTTTCAGTAAATCTCAAAAGGGTGAAAGGAACACTTGTTGGAAAATTTTACCTTCAACTATTGTTACATAAACTCTTATACCCCTGAAAAGATAGACACTTCATTCCAATGTCTTTCTTCTCTCAGGAACCAAACATTTCACATCTTAATAATTAAGACTTGAACTGCGTGAATTTTGAGTCTGAAAAGCCTCCTGAGAATCCTTGCACATGTCCAGCCTCACAACTCCAACGTGACATTTTATGAAGGGCCAAACGTCTCAAATGCTCCCCGCTGAGCTTAGAGATTTATTGTTTTCAAAAAAGTCGGCTTAATTCATTTGGTTCCTACTTTTCTTGATTTAAATGACACTCTCACAGAAGCAGTGGTTTTGGCATTTTCCATTTGGTAAACACAGACTCCATGTGACTCACTTCAGCAGTTCAGGTGGCATTAAAGCAGTGCTATAATAATGAATAACCTAATCTCATTAAAAGAGAGGATTAACTCTCACTTCTGATACATCATGACAGGGACATCCATTGCTTGATTTCCTGTGTTTGAATAATCTGTCACTGTAGAGATTTCAGCATTAAGACTTTCACTCAACATATCATTTTAAGAGAGCAGGATTGGTTGGGGGGCCAAGAAACTTTATAACACCGAGCTTATTTTGCTAGAGTCATTTAAAGACGTCTGTTTAGAGATCTGAATAGATAAAATTAATGGATTTTTTAATGGTTCGGGGCATTATGACAGGCGTATATGAAAGTAATTTGAGTTCCTATACACCATTTTTATCACACAAGCTCATGTCAAACAGCTTTTTTGTCTTTTGTGACCTTTGTATGGTAGTTTTATAACAATCAATAACATGAAATCATGTTAGCATTTATGATTGACGCACAACATCCTCAAATAGAATCCCTTTTTTCTCTGATTCGTGACATCAACAATAGCACTCTTGATTTTTTAATAGTCATTGCTTTCATGGCATGGATAGGACATAGTCTTGATTGGCATCGGAACACAATCTCTGTCTGTCATTGGGAAACAGCCGGGGGAAGCATCATCACCACTCAGTCTCATCTTAATGACAGTTTTTTCAATATCTCGCTTGTGTGTGTTTGTACCAGTTGACCATTGCAGTCACTCAGGAGGAGGTCAAACTTTGCTCTCACTCAGTTATAACTCAGCAATTCATCAGGCAGATGGGCATTTAACCGTAGATGTGTTAATGTAGTTTTTTTTCTTTTTGTCCGTGTCATTTGGATGCTACTCTTTGGATATGATTTCTTTATGGATGACCTACTCCATGTTGGTGGTAGGTGAAGCTCATTTTTACTGTGGGTTTTGTAAAAAACTGACAGCTAAAATAGTCTAATAACTTAAGTGATTATTTAAGTTGTTTCTGAAGTTTTTAAATCTCAGTTTGCTACATAAGCAAAAAACTTAGCTTGGAATTAGTATCAGGACACATTTAATCAGTACTGTTTGGATGTGAATACTGGTATGAAAGGAAGAAATCTAAATCATGCTGTAAGGACAAAAAAAGAATCAGTGCTGGTTTATAAAACTTTCCTTGCAAAGCTTTCAAAGAAGATTTTAACTGTCATTAAAACCAAAAATAATAGGATGTATGATTATTAATGATACCAAAACAAATTTCTCTTTGCAGCGTTGTGCAGTCAAATGCTTTAAATAAATATAATGAAAATAAAGTTACCTTTACTGTGAATTTATTTTTAAGAGTATATTAAACAAAAATAATTCATTTGAACACTTAACATAGAACCACTTTTTCATTAATTCCTCGGCTTTTAATACATTTAAGTGTTATTTTTTTATGCTTTCATCTTAGCACTTAGAATGAGCCTGCTTATATATTTATTTATTTATTGCATTTATGTATTTTGCTCGCTCTATCTTGTTGTTTGCTTGTTTTATTTGTTTTTATGTCACAATGTACAGCACTTTGGCTGACCCCGTGGTTCTTTTAAATGTGCTAAAAAAATACAGTTGATTGATTGATTGATTGATTAATTAATTTTTTGTAACATAACCTGACTAGTGGCGTGTTATACCAGCGTTTATTGCACTTTATTCTGTTTGTTTGGGGTTTTTTTTTTTGTTTTTTGTTTTGTTTTGTTGTTTTTTTTGTTTTGTTTTTTTTTTTTCTCAGATTTTTTCCAGATTTTTTTTTTTTTTTTTTATGACTGAAGCAATTGTCTGTAGAAACCGTCTGGAACCAGCGATTTGTAGAGAATCCAGGATCCATTCAGAGAATTTCTTTTCACAAAGCTGCAAAAGATGAAATGCAATCATCACACCAGGCCGTGTCTCAACAAAGCGAAAAAAAAAGTACATTTCATTAAAATTTGAAGGTCCAGTCAATGAAATAATCATCCAGATTCAATGTCTGTCCTTGAATCTCTGTGCTTTCACTTCAATTACACACACACACACACACACACACACACACACACACACACACACACACACACACACACACACACACACACACACACATATATTCGATTAACAGCCAATCCATGAAGAACCGGCTCCATTTTTTTATTCACTGCGCCCAATCACCAATCACATTTAGCAGTCTGCTGATGAGATGGTGTGGGGGAGGTGGAGGAGGCAACAGCTGAGTGGTGTCAGGCATGTTGATGGTTGCCATGGAGCCCAGTCTGTCGCATGCACGTGTCATTGTGGGCGTTCGTGTTTGAATGTGTGTATGCTTTTGAAATTTTAACTGGCAAAAAAAGCAAAATTGATATTCCTGTCACTCATTTATGTCCGCTAGTCAAAAGGCGAATCAGTAAGGAAGAAATGATGAATTATTCTTGATGTATGGAGGCAGGGTGGGATCAAATTAGAGGTGCTTCTTCTCACTCCTTTTAAAGTATGTAAGTGTTCCTGTATTTCTTTTAGTTCATTTCAGTTTGATTCAAGGTCTTTTCAAGATTTTTTTAATATTCATCTGCTAGTTTAAGAACAGAAAATCAATCATAAGCAGATTATTTAACTTGGCTGCTACATGGTCTAAACTCAGGTCAGTCACTAGGATCACCATCACCTTATACAGGCCACATTTTTGGAAAATTGAAGTCCCTGCAAACCTCCCTCGGTCATGGTCCTCAGAGCTTTATGAAGATTTTTTTCTACAGTTTTAACTTTTAACACCATTTCTATCACAGTGAAGGTATTTAATAAAGAGGACACACACATGTCATTGCATAAGGTCTAAAGACACCAGTAAACATTTACTGTATTTACATTCATCCATTTATGCTCTTGCGGTGACATACTGCAAGGCTTCATCTGTGAACAGAAAAGAAATCGTAGAAATCTTGGGTCGATAATATTTTTCTAATGAGAAACAAAAGGTACTTTTCTCATCTTGCTTTGCTTTGGTTACATGTTCATACCATCTCATAATCTACTTATATTTTAATATTTTCACATTTGTCTCTGTAGATACATAATTTAATTGTATCTAATGCAATGAATGAACAGATGATGGTTGTGCTTGTATACAAAAACATACCATTGTGATCTTTTAAATACGGCTGTAGTTGGATTCAGGACCTTTGCTTGTCCGAGTTTTATAACTTGACGATGTTGGTGCTATCTTTGACTTGCACTGTGATGATGCTTATGTTTTACCCAGATAAAATGTCGTATTTCTTATTCACATTTCTGTATTTCTTTAAAAAACAAGAAACAGTACAATACTGCCTTAAAATTTAAGAACTAAAAATTTTACAAGATGACTGGGACACAGAGACACTCTCAGCGTTTCCTTTTCTTCTCTTGTTCATATCCTCAGTGATGTGGGAGAAATTAATCTTATGGCAGAGCTGACTGCACTGTCACTGAGGATGGTGGAGGTTTGAAAAATGTCCTGTGCTATAAACTCTGTCAGCATAGTCAGTGGAGTATTCTGCGATGTCTTCTTCTGCTTTAATTATTCACAAAATAAGACGAGTGAAAAGATTTGGGGGTTGTTTGAATCTTGTTACAACTGGAGCTTCAACAGTATTTCCCGTCCCTGGTGAGTCTCCACTTGTTCACATCATCCAAAACAAGAATGTGCCAACTGTGAATGTTCTGCAGAGAGATGGTGAGAAAGCAGAAGCCTAAAGGATTAAAAACTTGGTAGAAAGTGAACAGGGACTGGCAGTGGTAGATTATTTGGAGTCAGCAACCGTTGGTATCCTGTTAAATACACTGAGCTTTGGAGTGAAAGAGCCCGCAGGCCCTGGTGAGCTGCCAGGCCCAACAATTGGCAGCAGGAGAGCATGACATCAGCGGCAGGATGAGGTGGCTCCAGGCAGATCCCTCCAACACAGGTACAAAATAACAATATGATATTTCTGGCCCTGAATAATGATTATTCATTAATTAGTCTGCTCTCCTATTGCTGGCCATTTGTTTTTTGGCTTGCCTTTAACAGCAGGGTTCAGGCCATGTTGATGCATTGGCATTCAGTACTTTTGATGCATTGTAGGTTGAAGTTTGCCAGTGAAAACAACTCCTATATCTATCGTAAGAGACAACCAAACTAACCTTATCACCAAAGAACAGACGTATATATCCAATCTTAACAGGATGAACACAGGAAATAAAGATTCATGGTGTCCTGGTGGGTCAAATCACACTATAAGGGTAAAATGGAGACATGAAAACTTGATTGGTGAGCTGTTAAAAACTTAACTACACTCCCACCATGGAAGCTACACTACTTTGGCGACAGTGATGCTAATGATTTTTTTGGTCCTAATAAATGGTAATTGTATATTGTGCTTTTTCCGGTCTCTTGGCACAGCAAAAGGGTGTTATGCAATTAAATATCCTTGGCATGTGGACAGCAGGAAAAAAAAAAAAAAAAACACAAAATTATAAAACCAACAAAAATTGTCCTCCCAGTGAGTACTATGAGTATACAAAGCTTAATACACATCATGTTGCTATATATTGTCAAAACTACCAAAATATGACACTTCATGTTTAGTGGCGTATGCTGTCAGCACCGTACATGGCTGAGTTTTTAATTCCAGCCGCCCTGAAGCAATAAATTCTCAATAGTTGAACAATACTGATGGTGGAGGACTCTTGAGTGTTAACACAGTCCCCTTCTTTGTGTAAGATTTGAAACAGAAATGTGACAGTCTACAGCTTTTCAGAGAAATAACTAGACCTCTGTTTCCTGCTTAAAAAGTTTTGAAGAAGTGCATCTTTAGTAAGCGCCAATAAGGGTAAAAATTATACACAGTATTGGGACTTTTAGTTTCCTTAGTGAAAGAAAGAGGGGTCCTGTCTTTTTGAATAAGGTTGTAAGTTCAGTAAAATTACGGTTTCATTCAGTAAATGGCTATTTGTTAATTAGTATCTCTGTAATACGCAACATTTGCATACTCATTTTCTTTTCATGCTCAGATAAATGATTCATTAATCTTTGCTCGGTATGGATGAGTGAGTCATGGAGTGTGTCTTCCGATGTAAAATTTAAGTAATAAACTCGCCGTTGATTTTTCTCATTGTGTCTTGTAAGAGTCGTTTATTCTTTAAGTATTTGTGTGCATGTGTGAATATAGGAATTGAGGGACATAGCCTGTCATCTTCTGAGGACAGTCTAGGAGTGTGTAGGAGGCAGACCCATCCCCGCAGTCTTACATAAGAACAGATATAATGCTTTCTCATTCAGCTGCTTTTGATGTGCTTCCTCTCCTTCTGCACATAACCCACTTAGGGAAACATTAGCTCTGCACAGCAAGCTCACACAGCATAGCCTCACATACACATCCCAACACAAGGACACCCACACATGCACCACCAGGGTTGTCATTATCAACCCCACTCTCTTCACAGATATCATCCAAAACTCTTCCCCTTCTGGGTGCAGAACATTTAAGTGCTATCCATGGACAAATTCATGCGTTTCTTCCACTTGGGGACTTGTTGATGAGTTTTTGCCAAAGTCTCATTGGTGTGATTGCATTCACAATAACATCCTGAAGTGTAACTGCACTGGTCTAGTGTTCTTGTCTGTGGTGTTGATGACAGCACTAAAGGTGATGATCATAGTAAAAGCATTTCTTATTTACTTGTGATGTATTTTTTTCACCATTCGCATGTCTAATCAAGATATGACTAACTAATCTCTGCAGTGTGTTGGCTGTCTCAGTGTTAAACAATTTCTTGAAAAACTCAAATGATGATTAATGAGATTTAATTCGGCTTGACAATGTCTGAGGGAACATTCAATCAATCAATCAAACTCGACTCGAAGTGTGCTAAAGCGACAGAAAATGTGACATTCAAATAGAAAGAAAAACACCATATATTGATCAAGAAAATCCAACAATGAACTCAACATCAGAAATAAGTGAGAAAGGAACAAGTGGAGCACAATGCAGATAATGCCAGGGTGAAATAAGGATATCATGACAATGCCTGTATTTGGCACCATGCACAGGAAACCCAAACTCAGCAGGGATCAAAGCAGATGGACAAACTTACAATTTCTGTTCTGCCTCACGAAAAAAAATGAATTTCCCTTTTCCTTATTCTCTTTTTTTCTCAGAAAGCTACCTCGGTGGATAGAGAGGCTGATGGAAAAGAACTGAACGAAGGTTGCAGCACAACTGAGAATCACAAGTCCTTCTCTGTCACCATGGAAACCACTGAACAATCAGAGCAAGCAATGGACTGTGAAGTGGAGGTTGCTGTGGCTGATTCACCTGAGCTGGGGAAGGATTTTAGTGCTAATGATTTCCAAGTTTGTTTAGAGACAGAGTCCTCAGATCCCCCCGGGGAAGAGGCAGTGCTTGAAAAATTATTAACTGACCCTCCAGGTGAAACAGGTTTTACTGAAAAGCCTGACTGCTCTCAGACCAATGTTTGCACTGAAATGCCTTACCAGGATCAAAAAGAAGCTCTTATACTAGAACAGGAACACGAGGAGCTCAACAGGAATGAGTCCATCAATTCATCTGTGTCTGATACACTCTCCAGTGCCGACAGTGTGTATGAGAACGAGGCACATCGTAAGAGGCAGGACACACCAGAGCAAGATCCCGAACAGGGACAAGACCAGGGGCCGGAACACCATCCCGAGCCAGCACAAGATCCTGAATCAGAGCAATACAATGAGTCAGAACAACACCCTGTACCACAGCAATATGATGAACCGGAACAGCACCCTGAACCAGAGCAATACGATCTGCCAGAACCATACCCTGATTCAGAGCAATACCCTGACCCAGAAGAAGATCTCGGGCTTGGTCTCTACCCTGAGCCTGAAAAAGACCCGGAAGTTGACCAGTACAAAGACCACTACCTTGATCTGGAGTTATACCCAGAGCCAGAGTTTGACGACAATGATAATGACCTCAATCCAGAAGTTTACGACTATCAAAATTTAGCAATAGAAGCAGAAGAAGAACCTGAAGTCAGTGACATCCAGTTTGGACAAACCATTCATGAAGAGTCCATATTAGAGCAGTGCATTCGAGAGGAAGTGATGTCAGATGTGTCCAACGAGTCTTGCCATGCCCTCGACCCTGATGAAATGGATGAGTGTTTGAGAGTCGAGATTGCAGCAGCTTCCTCTGATAGTGAGACCGATGAAAAATGGAGATCAATATTCTCCTCTTCGATAAACAAAGAGGATGATGACTCCTATTTAGATAGTCTTCAGCTCAGTGCCCAGGACCTCTTTGTACAGAAAGTTGAGGTGACCGACTCGGAGGAGCAAGACAATGCAACCTTTGAAGAGGTCAGCTTTCAGGTCCCTCAAGTGGAAGAAGTCCTGGAACAACCTGAAGAAGTTATTACCTTTCCCATTCCTCCACAAGAGGTGAAATATAACCCCTTGAATCTGCAAGGCTTATCCAAAATCTCAGAAGACGACAATGAAAACGGCAAAGATGTCAATCTGAATCCTGCCAACCACCAACAGCAGATTAATTCAGAACCAGACAAGAAGCTTCCCAAAGACTTCTGTGTTATACAGGAGACTAAGAGTGAGAATGTCAGCACAGAGCATGTGGATTTCCAGCTGGCTCGTAAACAGTGGAGGGAAATGGAGGAGCAAACCAGGAACAAGATTGTGTTACCTACAACCAAACATCACAGCTTCCACGGCAGCCATAGCTTCATGTACACACCAGTCCGCAACATTGAAAGAACCCAGAAGAAGACACATGATCTGGATAACTTGAATCTGATCGGGGATTACCCTCACACCCAATTTAGCCCTTGCTCAGAGGATTCAGGGCTAGAGGATTGTAGTTACAGGTCCCCTTGTGATGACCCAGAAACCCCAGTTGAAAGGGAGATCCGCATATCAATGGAGAGGGAGGAACACTTCAGGAGAGAGAGGGGCTTCTCCAGGATGGGTAAATCAGCTGATTGCACCTCATCACGAGGTATCCCCAGATCAATGAGCACTCCACTCACACCGTCATTCATCATCACCTCTTCACCCACCAAGGAACCCCTGAAACATGATGTGTCAGCAAACAGCGTCATAATTCTCGACCCTAGCAACGATTTAACATCCAGCCCCAGGCACAGCAAAGACAACATGGCAGCTCGGACCGGTGAGTGGCGATCCGAAGACAACAGCTCCAACCTTATTATCCTTGAGACATCCAACCTGATCATTCGCAGTGCCTCTGAGTTCTCCCTTAACAAATCCTGTGAGCAGCCACAGGAAAAGATGTTTCTGAACAATCCCTTTTTCAAGCTGCGTTCAAGAAGCACACTATCCCTGGTTGATGAAGAGATTAAGATGGTCAAGCAGAGGGAGGAAGAGCTGAGGAAAGAGAGAGCCAATCTGTATGGCAAAGATGGATGCAGTACGGAAAAGATGCTGACAGGTCAAAAGGACACTTTGACATTTGACAATTCAGGTATGACATGAAAATGCAAACTTTTGGAAAATTAATCTTTTACAGCACTTTGTTGTGACCTTTTCCCCTCTATTTTTGAAAGCTTATATTGTTGTTTGTTTTTTGTCTTGTTAGTTGAGGTACCAATGAAGTGCAAGTCCTCTCCGTCATCACCAATGAGAACAGCCTACAGGATGGACCGCTCTGCTCTATCCTGTGACCACAGAGTAAGCCCGAGCTGAGTTTTCTTACACTCATGATGACTATTTATTTGATATGCACCATGCTTTGAGTATAGGAATCATTTATTTAAGTGGGGTTATATAAGGTACTTGTCAACAGTAGTTGTATCACTCAGAGGGGATTGCAGTCAGCTTAGCCCCTTTGTTAAGAACGTGACCTTAAAGGGATATTTCAGCATAAATTTAAGTTATGGTCAAACACACCGTGACACCGAGTTAGACCCCCCCTCAGGAGATGAATGTTGCTGACCGCTTGCTTTCCTAGTTATACCAACTTCAGCAACACCCGCACGATAGCAATATACAGCGGTCTACTTTTCCACATGCAAACTTCAACCAAAAAGCCACTCTATAGCCACAAATAATGCTCAGAACAGCATCTAACTTCATCAAAAGTGCTAATAAGGCCCCAGCCATAGTACTAGCCACCAAACATCTTTTTAGCTTTGCCTGGTTTCTTTAGTAAAGACACCAAACACAACTCACCTACTCTCCTCCAGCAGCCGCTTGTTTGTTGGGGGAGCCCTGACAAATCAATCAATCACAGAGTGCAGCGGAGTTTTGCAGCTTAAGGAAGAACATTTATCATCATTACTTCATGAAAATGCAATCAGAGTTCTTGTGCATCTTGTATGTGCACTGCAGATGCAGTAGTTCTTTTGCCTTAGTGTCCCGGTCAGATTGCATTTCCATTAAGTAATAATCATAAATTTTCCACTGCACTGGGTGACAAGAGTCCTGTATTATTTGGCCTGTAGTATTTTTGTCTTTTTTCAAGCCCTTGAACCCCACTGGCTGATAGATGTACTGCAGGTAGAAGATCACACCTGTGTCCCATCCTCAGTTAGTGCTACTACCGCTGGGCTTTATGACATCAAAGTAAAACACTGACAATTCTCCAAATAGACTGTACAAATATACTTACATCAGAGTTTTGGTTGGAATTTGTCAGAATTAGCTGATAGAGCTGATCCCATTCAGTAGCCTGGCTTCTGTTCTGGTTCTCCCACCACTTTCCAATCCCCTGCGCCCTGTACACTTACTATTGACAAATACCTCGTACAACTTTACTTAAAAAAAAGCTGTTTTTTTTTTTTTAAAGAAACAGTGCTGGTAATTTAAACACTTGTCTTGTACTCCATCCTTTTGGATTCTCCCAGGGATTATTTACAGGAAAAAGAAGAGATTTTGGCTAAATATACCCTATCTATTTAGAAAAGTACAATAATCATAAAAACTAATTTGCTTATCCTACCTCCAGTCTAATAACCTGAGAGAGGAGATGGAGGTGGAGGAGGTGGAGGAAATACTTTGAAAGAAGGTAAACTTTCAGCTCTCTTGCTCAGTTTCCAGAGGCCTACACTGGAGGAAGACGCAAGAGTGCCATGGCTTTGCGCTGGGAGGCGGGCGAGTTTACAAAAAACAACTGAGGAGGAAGTCAAAGGCATTCATTTTAAGTGTTATACTCGTTCAAATTAGATGCAGCATTTCAATTGTTTGTTCATGTTGTGAAAATACTTTAACTCTCTGCTTCTGTGATGTTTTGGGCATAACTAGCAAGGCATTGAGAATGTTTTTGGGCAAGTCAGGTTGGATAAAGTCCAAATACAACTGAGAGCCACAGAATAATGCTTTCTACTCACATCATCATTGACCCTGGGTAATATTTGGCTATGGTCAAAGGGTGTGCTGTATTTTTACACCAGCTTGGCTCTGTCTAGTCCTTTTCACCTCTGAATCAACAAACACAGCAAGATGGTTTCTGACCAAGATGGCCGTTGGTTTTAGCTCTTAAATTGAACTTCTACTTCTTGTTAAAAAAACAAACGCAGTGTTGCTTAATTCAACAACTGTTAAGGACAGTGCCAACATAGTTTTTACATTTTTAATAACATCAGTATTAACACCATAATTTTGAACCAGCGAAAGCAGTGATTATATTTAATAAGCTATTTCTCTAATATTGGCGCAGGTATCAAAAATAATGCACTGTGCAAGGTCAACAATTTATGTCATGAAATACCTTTCACACTGCGCTAATCCTGGAAAAATCTGCTTTGCCTTTAAAGGAGTGCTTAAGAGGTATAATCCAGAGGCACAGTATCTACAAAACTGCCTCTGACAAAACTGATTTTTTAAAGAATTATTCTCTAATATCTTCTTTGGCTTTTTTTTTTTTTAAATGCAAAAGTGTTGAAAAAAAAAGCCTTATCTCAGTGTTTTCCTACAGTGCTCACATGTCTTATGTGCCCTTGAAAGATATAGGTTGCTATAATTAGGACATTGACTTGGATGCATGGCTCGGTAATCAAATGCAGGTTTGGTGCCACTATTACACTTTCTGGATTATTGCATCTGTCTCAGTCTGAAGTCTGTTTCCCAGTCTTCTGGCTTTTTGTATAAATCTGTCGGTACTACACAGATAATGGCTGATATTTGGACAAGCGTTTGGTTGAGATTAGAGCTACATTTACACATTTCTGTCTCAAAAAAAAAAAAGCTTTAAAACATCTTATCAATTATAGTGGATTTTGACTATTGACTGTTTTCACTAAAAAAAGAAACAATTGTTCCTTTTTTGGAGCAAACTTGGAGGCGACAACAACAAATCTGACTGCAACCTGACTTCAACAACACTAGTTTGATGTGGCCCAGGGAAAAAAAACACTGACAGGACAATTCCCCATTTAGCTCCAGCTGCATATTTGAATGTATTTCCACACAGAAGGGAAGTCTCCAGTTCGATGGGATTTCTAATTTTATCAGTATGGGCAATAAGAGTGAAAAAAAAAACAACAAATAACTCTTTCACGTTTGACATGTGACTGTGGTATAAATGAGGAAAAACTGAACCTACTATATACATAAAGCTGAGAGTTAACAACTTTTTTGACAGATTTGCTGAGATGCCTGATTATTAGATACATGTATTGTTTAGTCAACTCTTTGCTAAACTTTTTTCGTCGTAATAAATGTAAATCAAATTTTAAAAACATATTTTGATGTTGCTGTATGTCTTGAGAAAGCAAAAGAAACATTGCTCGATGTATAGTAATTGTATTTTCATACAATGCTTTTTTGCTGCAAACTTATTTCAGGGTGAGCTGGATGAAAAAAAAAAAAAACAGCACAGTTAACTAAATATTTTATTATAAGACCCTATCCTTGGAAGACATATTTATTACTACTCAGCTGGTAAATATAAAGTTTTAGAGAGAATAATAATAAATGCATATAAGCACAGTTCACTTTGAATTATAGGTCATCCTCTGGGTAATGTAGAATTTTTTGAGTTTTCTGTTCAAACCAACTCTACACTGTTCTCCATGATCTACTCTCCAAACTCTACAGCATCAGCTGACAGCACTGTGGAAGTGCTTAAAACTACAGGACCTAATGAATATCCAGTCTAAGATCAGTTCTATGGAAATTACAGAAAATGAACTTTTTCCACTTTTTAATACAACAGCATTAAAATGAAGAGTAGGGCTACAGCATAGTCACATTAACTTTGTGTTAATGTCCAATAAAATCTTGACTTTATTGTCAAAGACTAAGCATGTACATCTGTTTTTTTTATGTATGAGGGTGTTTCTGTTAAAGCACTTTTCTTATTTGTTTATTTACTTTGAAGCTAATGAACAATTTTTAAAAACAAGATTCTTAAACCGAAGCAATTGTATCTGCTGATTTTAAAGAACTGTTCAATGTCAGCCATCAGTGCACAGCCTTTATATTTCCAGCTACTCTGAAAAGGAGCTTGTCAGAGCTTGATACTTCCTTGACCTTAGTCAAATTATCTTAAACCGCAGTGTTTTACTCTTCATGTTTGTACGCTTAATTGTTAATGTAAAGCTTACAAATCTCAACAATAGCTTGCTGATGTTCAAACATTCTGTCCAAATCCCCTACCATGGCTTTTGGGGGGCTCACTGGGCTCTTTATGATTTCATTTGTTGGGGCTTTTTACTTTTTATTCCTTATGCAACTATTGGAAAAAAAAAGAAGAAAAAAAAAGGTGTGCGCAACAATAAACAATGTATACAAGAAATGTTTGGCTGCTGTGTTTCTTTTTTCAGCATTTCCATTTAGTTCTACTAAAGTATAATACATCATCCAAATAAAAACGGCTCAGCCAAGAAGTGCAAACTTGCAAATATTGGTATAATGTTGCTGCTTGAGAAAACACAAAGTGAAATGGATTTTCTTGAACGCTTCACAATCTAGAGGGCCCGAGATCCATCCCAGCAGATTGGCTGTTTTTAAATGGAAGGTCTTCACAATCAACAGATTGTCAGAATTTCTATTAAAATAATTGATTCACAAGAAACTCAGTTTTAACAGAGGGGGAAAATATGAAAAAGATGCAAGAAACATTTGAAAGAAAGCATGTTTCCTTTTCGTCAATGTATAATACAATGTATAGGATACAATGTGGAATCAGAGAAGCCATTAGATATGCACATTAGTTATAATGAGTCTGTTTTCAAAAACGTCATAATGCCAGAAAGCTCTTCATTCGAGCAAAACTGAAAGGGAGGAGGACGCTGTATTCCCACTGCTTTCCTCTGAAAGAGTTCATACTAGGTCTGTCATTAAAAGAACAGTACAGAGTGCTGACATTTCCAAGCTATTTAGCATTCACATTCACACACACCCCCACAAATGCACACCCACATCTGAAACACACACAAACAGCCACACAAAAACAGCCACACACACACACACACACACCAACAAATAATTTGTGGCTTTAGTCACAGTGAGTTGGAACAGAAGTATTGATTTTCTCCCTGCAGGGCCAAGCAGCACTATTCACTAATTGAAACAAACAAGTAATACAACTGTTTTCACCAGACATTAAAAATTAATCCGAAGCCAACGGGAGGGAAATTTCATGTGAAAGTGCATTAATGGCTTTGGTGCATTAAATAACACATTAAGCAGTGTTCATTGCCCAACAGCAGAGCAAGCTTGTGGGTGGTTTTGTGATGAGTGAAATCTGCCATGCAGAGTTGAGCTGGTTATGAAACAAACCGATCAATCTTGAAATTTAGTAGTTCTTACAAAAGTAGATGAGACAATCTGTAAGAGGTTGAAAGGGATGGTCATGTATTTTGACTGTATTGCAGACTTGACCTTATTTGCAATCACAGTAAGTTTCCGTGACTCTTAAGTCAAAAAGACTAAGGTACTAATTTAGCACTATTAATACATCAATTTAGCTCCAAAATATCATTCTCTAAAGATGGAGGGTTACTTTATATTAAGCTAGCATGTCTGCATAGTAAGAACTAATTTTCACTCTGCTCTGCCCATGACACCCCTCTAACAAATACTGATTTTTGGAAATGCAAGACAGACATTAGAAACTATACCTATGAGAAATCTCAAGTCACCAAATTACCAAGCATGACTCCTGACAAGAGGATCTATGCGTGTTCATGGAGAAGACGCTACACAGAAAGGGAATTGAACCAGAAACATCTATCCATTTATTCATCTATAGTATCTGTCTATCTGTCACAGTTCTGAAGAGACCCAAGTTCAGAATGACACCAAGACAGATGTGAGGCCAAAACAGAATTTTAATTAGCATACCAAAAAAGGGCAAGGAACGGTCCAATCCAAAGTCAACACCAAAATCCAGTCCAACCAAGCAAAAGTACAGTGTCAAAAGGCAAAATCCAAAAACAGGGAACAGGCAGAGTTCAAAAAGACAAAAATTCGGTTCAACCAGGCAGAGGTACAAAGTTAACAGGCAAAAATCCAAAACAGAGGTCAGGCAGAGCTCAAAATACCAGCAGGTTAGATCCAAACAAAGGCTGGAACGAAGCAGGCAGGAGCACAAACAACAAACTTGGAACAAGAGTTCTGACTGACTGGTCTTAAATACTGGCAGGTCATTAGCAAACAGGTTACAGGTGTGAGCAGTAGGGTGTGGCTCAGTGTCCATGACAACATCTATCTATCTATGTTGGTAATGAGAGCTGTTTTGGGAGCACCTGTCATCCCAATCACATTTGTAATCATGTATTCCGTGGACTTGCAGCAGCTCATCAAAAGTGTCATGACATCATTAACACCAGCAGCAGCAGCAATTTGCAGAAATCCCATGCCATTTTCTCAAAATATACTTTATTACTCTTCTTACCAGCAAGTATACGGCCAACTGCACCTGCTGAAAAGTGAACCGAGCTGAAACTGATCCTCCTGCAAATGTGAAAATGTGGGACCTTGTATGACTTCAACTAATTTTAAGATGCTCATGCTGCACCTCGCTGGACTGGAAAGGATATAATCCACTTACCTGACAAAGTTACAGGCAAGTCTCAGAGTCGTTAAAGTCTGGTTTTAGGTGTTACCTGGGCGACCCTGGGGCTGGTCTGAGAATATTATAATTGGATGGAAGACAGTCCAGATCGAGTCACGGCAGCCTGCACTGGTGTACGCCTGTATGATTCGAGAAGTCTCTAGATAGAACTGTATTTCTGATAGTGATTCTTATAATTATCAGGGTTAATATTGTTGATCTTACTGCTATAAATTCAACCTTGACATAAGGTTTTTAAGAGCAGCCTCCAAACAGCCCAAACATCCCCAAGAAAAGAGCTTGTTCATCAGTTTTGTTTTTAGCAACTAAGCAACATAAAAGGCTGTGTTAAAGTATGGAGCTACTTGAGCACAGCAAAAACAAAGCATTCATGCATGCTTTCAGCAAGTTTTCCTGTAGTGAGGTCACTGCATTTTAGTATCCCCTTCAGAAAACTGGGCAGCTGGAATATATGGATCATCCTCAATAACTAGCAATAATTTCACATGCATCTAAAACACATATTTAGGGCACCAGCTGGATTTTTTATTCTGAGTTATTAGTATGGAAATGTACACTTAAAAAATTGATTCACATGTTACATTATGTATGAAACCCTTGGAATCCTCTATTGAATTGATAGAAGTTTAAAGCAGCCGTAAATCTTTTCATATTTTGGAAAACATGCAAAGACAAACTGTCCATCAGAAAGACATGAGAGCATTTTTAATGTTGACTTTATTTCTGAGACCTTTGAATAAAAGCTGTGGCATTTTCAGAGTAGATACAATTAAAAGCAGAGTGATTTGAGACCACTTAACAAGTAGAAAGAAAGCTTCTCCGGAACTGATGAGTTTAACAAGCTGTGAAGAGGAGTGGTCACAGTAGGAAGAGAGGCAGCAGAGGAAAATGTGAAAATTGCACAGTGTCGCTCCACAACCAGAGAGAAGACATGACAGAAGACAGAGTTTTAGCGTTAAGGTACAGTCAGTGGAAGTGATGCTGGTACATCTGATTACAGGAGTGTGTATACAGGAGTATTTCAAATAGTTACAGTCTGGGTTTATAAAACTGAAGGACAGCGACGTGACATCACTAACCATGTGTTAGGGTGACCATATTCTGACTTCCCAAAAAGAGGACACGACTACGCAGGGGTGGAGTCACAGAGTTGCACGAAGTTAATTTTAAGAGTTTTTCGGGTCGGATCGAGTGTTTTGTATGTACTTCTAACTCAATAAGTCCATCTGACACAAAATTGAAACTTATGTACAAAACCGTGGACCTTTGAGGGATTTTATAAACTCCCCCGGACAAAGCCCCCAAAAAAGAGGACATGTCCGAGTAAAAGAGGATGCATGGTCACCCTACCATGTGTTGCAACACCTGCTCCTGTCTGGCTTTCAGGCATTGCGTGTTTTATATATACATATTTCTTTATTGTGCTAGGTTTTTAGCAGAGTACCTGATCATTGACAGTGTAGGTGTTTATGACTTGGATCTCGTTCCAACCATTCAGCTGACTCCTCAAGACCTGTCTTGCTCTCTGTGTAGATATTTAGCTGTGAATGACCATCTTGTGGCTTCCTCATGGTTCCTGTCTGCTTTTGGGTTTCTTCAGCTATTTGTAGTTGTCCTAAACATTTATGTTGCCCCCTGGTAGCTCTCTCATCTTTCATTTCTATCATCCAACTGCACTCCCACTTGTCCATTGGCTTTAACTATTCCTCCACAGCCCTGGTGAGCTCTGAGTAAAGGCTCTTGATGTTCTGCAGTGGACCTGGCCTGAGGCTCACAGGTTGCCACGGCAGCTTGAACTGGTTGCCCATGATGATAGAGGTGCCACAGGCTGAGGCAGTCAGAATGAAAAAAAAAAAAGAGTGATTTTTTTGTCTTGGCACTGGGTTCATATTTAGGCTTGTTCTGACAAAACAGTTGCTCCTATCAGACAAAAAGCAGATTGTGGTCATCGTAAGGACTTCTTGAATGTTTTGATATGATTTTGGTGTTTCAACAGTAAATAGTTTGGACAAAGTTGCAAGTTATAAACAGAAGTCCCTTCTGCTTCTCTCAGAAAATCTTTGTATTAGCGTCAATGAGGAGCAGAGAGGGACATTGCCCCACTGAGAGGCTAGGTGTTCAAATTCTTCAAGTCTCTCTGCTTAGATAAACACATAATAAGAGACAGAACAAGTGTGTCTACAACTGTGGGAAAAAAAGGCATGTGTGTAGAGTGTAATTTGTGGCCGGGAGAAGCATGGAAAGTGAAATGTTTCAGAAACTTTCATGTAACTTCTCTCAATCTAGCCAATGATGTTACCCACTATGGTATGAAGATACCATGCAATACACACCCATTTTAATCTCAAAACTTCTCCAAAAATGATCATGGTCATTGAACAGTGACAGGTCAAAAACTACAAGACTTATCGAAACTGGGATTAATACACCAATAGACAAGAACACTTGTGTCTACATTATATAGTTTAAACGGAGTCTCTAGGTGAAAGTATGGCAAAGCAGTAGATGTTTGAAAAACTCAAAAAATTGCTCTTTTTTTTTGTGGCTTGTCCCATTGACTTCAATGCAATTTTTTTCCATAGCAACATAAGTCTCTTTAAGCTGTAGGACCAGTAGCGAGGAATAAGAAAAAATCCACAGTGTAACAACAGTGCCTTGGGGTCAGTATCTTAGTGCATTTTCCCCATGGCCTCTAACTAGAAAGCAATGTGACAAATGACACTTGAAAGTTTCCAAAGGAACCAAATCCAAAACTCATGAAATACTGTCGTTGTTGGGGTTTTTTTGTTCGAATGTAAGGGGAAATTTTTGAAGGCTAATGTCATTTGCATGTTCAATCGCATTAACTACAAGAGGTGCTGAACAGTTCAGTGTGGAAAACTCCAAGTCTCAAAACTTTTCTCAGAAACTTAGACTTCACAGAAACTTAAACGTAATCTGACCTTTTCATTTAACTCCCTTTGGAACCTGGGGTTCTTCTTGTCTATATTCGTGCTGTGTCTCTATTCCTCTTACCTCCTCCAGTCTAGCCAGACATGCACAGGGAGCTCCCTAGACCTCCATGCCCTCACCACCTTTATGATTGAGCTGTTCAGTCTGGAAAAAACTGCAGGTGGATTCCATTGATGTCTCTCCTGCCAGTAGTGCTTAGATGGGATGAACACATTTTTGGATGGATTGCTGTGCCGCGCTCATGTCAGAGGACAGCATGTGCCCAACAAAGCTTAGTCATTCGCACACATACAGCCCAAAATGAAGCTCCAGGAACACACACAAACACATCAGTGTTAGCTTCAGCTAGTTCACCTCGAAGGGAGCTGTGTTACTAATCCTCTGACTAACTTGTAAAAGATAACAATCACAAACTGTAAAAATACAGTTTGGCATTGTCATCGCACACAAACGCTGACCTCGTTACAATGCTTTTAGAGAATAATAAACAAATAATCAAAATTGCATCCAATTTAGAAGACAAATACTAGCAAGAGATTTGATTTGCAAATGGATGAATAGAGTGAAGCGCCAATTAACTAGTCTACGAATTTGTCATTTGGGACTGAGGATTAGTCTTTGTACACAGCAGCCTCTGCCATCAGTAAATGTGGTGTGAGCAGGTAAATGTGACATGTAATGTAAAGGCGCTTTATCATTTCATGGTTTAAAGTTTCAGCATGTGAAAGAAAAGATTGGGTATGTCATGTTTTACGGCTTCCTTGACAAGGTGCATTTGTGGGCTGCAGGACTTTGGTATATATTTTTTTAATTACTTTGCATTTTAGCCTTTGGAAATTACAAATATTACTCAACAAGGACATTTATTCAATTTAAGATTGAAATGGAATATTTGAACCATAGGCTTTAGAAACTGCAAAAGGTTGTAATCAAATTAAGTCCATGTGGTGAAGAACTACAGTAACATACTGTTTTACTTTTTCACAGTAAGTTTAGCATATTATAGTCCACAGCTTTTTGAAATATGAAAGACCTTAGAAAAAGCATTTGCATTAAGAAAATGGTGCTTTAACAGAGCCAGAGGATAGTAGAAAAGGGGGGAATTGAACTCTTCTTGTTCGGGGGGAAAAGGACTGCTCTTTCGACCCACATGCCTGATTCACCTGTTGAACTTTTCTGACTGATCTTTCCAAGTGCATCGTTATTCCTGTCCTATTGTGGTCTTAAACTCAGTTATCGCTCAACTTTTGTGACTCATGTTTTCTTCTACAACCTTCTCTAAATGTCACTTCATCAGACTTACTTGAGTTGTTGTTTTCTATGATGTTTCCATAACAACAGAGGCTCATAAATGAGTGGGTGTGGTTTAATCGGGCTGGTTAGACGCAGGTAAGTGACACAGGGGATGCAGTAAAAGATTGAGAGATTTCCAAATGCATGCTTGGGCCACCAGGCAGATGGAGAGACAGGTGGACAAGCATGGAGGGGGTACAGGCGCATGCACACACACACACATACACACACACTCTTCTGTACAGAAAAAGCAGGATGGTGCCCCTACCGTTTACGATCACAGCCAAGATCATCATTGTTTGCTGGCAGTGGGACAGAAATAGTCAAAATAGATTTAATGAAAGGTGGATCCCTATTTTAGAAGATAAGATAAAGGAGGAAAAAACTGGAAGAAAATGGTGCAATTATACTTTTTTACAGAGGCGTTAACGACATATAGCTTGTTTAAAAGTTGTACATCATATACATGAAACCTTTAAATGCTTTTGTAATCATCAAATTCTGTTTGAATCAGCACTTTCCACAGTAACCTGTCTCTTACAGAATTTGGTTTTGCTTAAAAAAGGAATGACACACACTGGGATGACTGAGCCTTTTCAGCTGTTGGTCCTAGGCTCTGTAATAAGCTCCCTACCGAAATGAGACTTATTCCCAACCTGAACCTTTTTAATTCTGGATTGAAAACATATTTATAAATGCTGGCTTTTAATACCCAGTAGCATGGTGACATTTTACTTTATTGCATTGTATCATATTCTTTTTTTTACTGCTTTTTATTGCTTTTATTTATTCATCTTTACTATGTATTGTAAAGCACTTTGGTTCACTGAAAGGGTTAAGGGCTGTATGAATAAAGAACATTTACATTTACCAAACAATGTGAGATGGTGAATGTATTTACTTGGATGGTTTTTGGGGAACAGCATTGAATGTGTGTATTTCCTGTCTTTTCTGAGAACATCATTAAAATGATGATTCTAATTAACTGTGGAAGTAGTAGAGTTAGTAGTATTATGAAGAGACAATGTTCTAAATTGACTCTCTATCTATGTGTCATGTTTCAAACTGTTACCGTCCCTCTCAGACATAATCTTTCCTCTGATGAAGACGGATGTTAATGAATGCAGCTACTCGAAAAATAATCAGACATATTTGAGAGTTAACGTAACCGATGACGTCTTCCTCCAGAAGATCTTTTTCAGGCTCATAATTACAATGAATTGCAGAAAGATTTTTCATGTGTCAAAGCTGAAAAGAAATAAAATTTTACAGGATCATTTTCCTCATGCTTGCGGCTGTAACAGAAACTGTGGACTGCAGACCATCACCACTCCAACACACTGAATGTGTGTTTCTTGACACCTATGCACAGTGTATAGAAGATTCTGATGCGTAATGCAGTTATTCTCTCATCGTCCTTGAGAGGGACAGACTGAACTATTCCTCATAAGCTCTTCTGCTCAATAATACACTGCTGCCATCATGTGGCAGTAAGCTCCAGCTGCATCCCCACCACAGCTGCCATTTATCATCTGTTGTTGGTGTTTCTATGGCAACAGCCCTCTGTTACCTGGCAAAGGTAAGAAGCAGTCAAGGTAAACAATAGAACACAGACGCTGCAGAGATAACAGGGCCAACATGAATAGCCTTTTTTCCAGGTAGGAGTCTGTGCTTTTACGTTATATATTGCTTGAGGAAGTCTTCTGCAGCTCTGCCAGAATGACAGCAACTTAAGTACTGACATAAATGATACATATCCATTTTCAGTTCTTTGCCTGCTGGCCTTTCTAACAGAGATGTACAGTTGAAGAGTATGGAGCAAACAGTCAAACATGCCGAGAAGCACCTGGGGGAGATCTGCACCCTGCTGGCCTCATACACCAGAAAAACAGGCAGGCTGAGAGATAAAGCAGACCTGCTGGTTGCTCAACTCTTTGACTTCTCCAGCACAGAGGATCCAGAGTTTCAAATCGGATTAAAGAACCTGGCTGAGGATCTTGCCATGGTTCAGGACTACAGGCAGGCTCAGGTCGGTGACACATAAATACTTTACTCTCTACATTCAGCTGTTAACCCTGTTTGTTAATAAAGGGTCTTTTATTTCAGGTGGAGAGACTGGAGACCAGAGTTGTTGCTCCTCTGAAAGCCTATGGGGACATTTTAAAAAACAAGCGAGTAAGTTTGACTCAAGATGTCTTGATGAGGGTTTGAATAAAACTAACATCAGCTCATCACCAAGTTTGCATTAATTAGACCTTGTGGGATTCTGGTTTGATTAAGAGACCTGTCACTTGAAGATAATGAGTAACCAGCAGAAAGGAGCGGTGTGTCTCTGGGCGAATTTACCACATGCAGACAGTTAAGTTGTTTGATTGTCAGGGGAATACGTTGTGGGGTGGACATGAGACACACCTGAGATGAGACATTCACACTGGCGGTCTCAGTGCTTTAATTTGTGAGTTTTTACACCACTGTGAAAATGAAGCTGTTCCATGCTGTCGGCGCACTGCCTGAATCTCTAAGAAGACTCATGGAATCATACAGCTGACACTTTTCAGACCACATATTTGTCGAAGCTGCTCCCTGAGAAGTTTCAGTAACCAATACACGTCCTATGGTTAAAAACACTCATATGCATAAATACCCTCTGACCTTTGTTTTACATGTAATGTTGCCTGACTGTGTCTCTATCATTCAGGTAGATCTTAAGAAGTTTAGCACAGATCTGAAAAAGGAGCTGAAGGAGATACAGAAACTGGAAAACATCAGGATGAGGAACCCTGCGGATCGACAGAGCATCGTATCCTTAAAAGAAATCGAAAACAGTTTGCAGTTTTCAAAAGCAGGCAGCACATCTCATGTTCCAGTGCATAGAGGACAAAAACTTGAAATTTCACAAGTTTTATTAGGCTAACATCACAAAAAAACAAACACTTAGGGAGCCTTCATCAGAGCGTTTGTTGGACTGAATGTACAGGTATCCTTATAAGGTTTCTCAAGAGCAGAGTTGAGTTTCTACAGGCTGCAAGCGTCGTCCACTTAGTCAAGCACCAATCACTTCTCTATCCCTTCATTCAGCTGTGATCGAGAAGTGATTGGTGCTTGACTAAATGGACACCGCTTGCAGCTGTGTAGAAACTCAACTCTGCTCTTGAGAAACCTTACACAAGAGTACCTGTACATTCAGTCCAACAGGCGCTCTGATGAAGGCCCTGTGCCGAAACATGTAACTGTTTGTTTTTTTGTGATGTAAGCCAAATAAAACTTGTGAAATGTTCAACTTTATGTCCTTCGTGAACTGGAACATGTGCTGCCTTCTTTTGGAAACCTCAAAATGAATTTTTACATCGACATATTTGTATAACCTTAATGAACCACTAGAGCCCAAACAGTAGAAACTCACGGTGTTCTCCTGATCATCGTCCAGACCAACATGGATTAATTTAAGAATATAAAATCATGAAATTTAAATGTTCAAGATGCCTAAAAATAACAAAATTTTACTCTCAAATTGGAATATTGTTTGTTAATGGATACTTTTTAAAATCATTCTTGATAGATTTCTGCCACAGTGGATAAAAAAGAAAAGTAAACATATAGAATAAACTTATAAGCACTAGAAAACTTTAAATTCATGTACACAATTTCACAAAGGAAATTTTCTTAACAATCCCGTCCAGTCTCAGGTAATGTAAATAACTTAATGATTATTTTATCCGTTTGTCTCATTTTCAATACTTTAAACTATGGTGAACTGTACTGAGTGTTATTGACAGGCTGAAGTTAATGCCCAAAAGGCCTCCAACAATGCCCAGCGGAGTGTCAAACAACTGGAGGAGACTATCACTGACTTTCAGAGACAGAAGCTGGAGGATATCAAAGTGAGTGATACACATGCACAAGACACCAGGCAACTGAAAACCCAGAGTCGCAACGTGAAAAATGTCTCTTATTTTGTGGTAGACGATTTTCATGGACTTCATCACCGTGGAGATGCTTTTCCACGCTAAAGCGCTGGAGGTCTATACACACACGTACCACAACCTGGAGGGACTGAACACTCAAAAGGATCTGGAGGTACTTGGTGCTCATGATTTAACAACAGAATCAAATCTTATGAGAAAGCCTGGTTGTTTTATTTGGTGATTTTCTGGACAATTTGTTGTTAGTTCAGATCAAAATCGTGCTGATAAAAATGTAATCTTTAAAACTTAAACACCTAAATCTTTGATTTTTAAAGGCCCCTTGAGGATTTACTGCCGACTACCATCACTATAATAATTCATAGTGATGGTAGTGTCACAGTTTCAAGCTTTATGATCAGATAAAATCAAACTTACAGCTAGAAAGCCTGTTCTCTAAGCGTAACAGCTTCTCTGCAGCTCTTCAGTGGAAGGGTCAGGATGTCTGACACTTTGGCTGGGCGCCTGGACACCCAGCTGGGCAGCTACCCTTCTCCCCTCACGAGCAGTTACTCAAGTCCTCCGCTGGCCTCCCCTAAAGGCCAGAGCTTCAGGTCAACACTGGCTTCTGCCACCAGTCAAAACCTCAGACAGCACAGCCAGTATCCAGACACAGCCAGGAGGGTGAGCCTCATCTATTCGTTTCCTCAGTGATGCCGCGGTTAGACCGTGGTCTGTTTTGATGTTCATCACCCAGCGAGCTTAATGGGTCCACCTTTTTCTTTTTCAGTCTCGCAGCACTTTGCAGCGGCAGCGAGGCATGGAGGAGGAAGAAGAACTCGAGGAGGAAGAAGAGGATGAAGAGGAAGAAGAGGAGGAAGAAGAGGAGGAGATGTATGAATCGGAGATAGAGGAGGGTCAGAACACTAGCAGGCAGTCTTATGCTGCTCAGTATGCCCAGATGCGCAGATGGCAAAAGTAAAAGCCTCTGCATGTAAACATCGACACATCTAGCATGTAGTTTCTTCAAATGTGGAATATATGCGCAGATTACTCACTGTCATTAAATCAGTTTGTTAGTTTAGTTTCCATCAAACATGATTGTGAGACTCACAGCTGTATATTCCCCGAGTCTCTTCACCTCCATTTACTGACTGCCTGATTATACAGTCTCTACTGCTTTCTCAAAATGACAACACAGAATTATGTGTTGCTTTCTGGGTTAATTATGAGGCACTGTGGGTTATAATATGAGTAGAAACTGTTAGCACGAGCTAACAATCAGCAAAATTACAGTCATTATGATCAGCAATCACGCTACAAATAGCTCTATACATTATCAAGTCCACAGGGGCATTTATGCTGAAATTGTGTTTGGGCCCATTGTGATAAACTATATATAATTTTATAGAGTAATACTTAATAGAGCAGTAGGAATTAATAATAAATCAATGAATATATGATAACTTGTATATCTCACTCAATCTGGTAATCATATGAGCTTTTATTTGTTGCTGGTATGGTCATTATTAATGCATGGTTTAGTTCTGCATGCATGAGTCATAAATTAGCTCATAGGTACTAGTTAAACATTAATGTATGCATATGTTAAGTGTTACCACTGAAAAATCCTTTTTCTAGTTCTAGATACCAGATAGTCAGCTGTTTGAGTGGCAGGTTTTGATTCACTGATTTCAGGTCAGCCATCAGAGAGAGTAGGATTTCTTAAAGGTAATGGTAACACTTTAAAATAACCACAATTTTTTAATGGTAAATAGATAGTTTATTTATGTTTCATCATCATTTAAAAACAGCATATAGACCAATGATAAATGGCAAATAGATAGTTAATTAATGTAGGTTAATAGTTACTTTACCATTAAAAAGTGATGAAATTATGATTAATCATTTTGATTAATTATCAAAGGACTGTATATTAAAGGTTTATATAGGGTTTAAATATTGGTTGTAAAACATCATTGGTGTGTCAGTAGCACTTTGTAAATGGTTAATATTTGGTTTTTAAACCATCTAGAAACATTACTTAAATGGTTATAAAGTTAGGGTTAGGTTTTTAAAATTGTAAAATTTTTTAATGGTCTATTTACTGTTTATAAATGATGATTAAACATTAATAAACTGCTTACCATTTATGAGTGGTCTTTTACCATTTATAAGTTATCGTTATTGTAAAGTGTTACCGAGGTAATTTATACTAAAGAAAGGCGTGGCCATCAATCCTCTGAATGTTTACAGTAAAGTTTTGATATAACTGCATGTCGGATAGTCTGATGATATTCAGTTGACTTTAGTTATACAGAGTTTAAATTAATTCTGATTTGCTTATTTTGTATTTCTTTCTTTGTGTTGTATATATCTTTTTTTTTAATTTAATGCATGATAAAAAAAATTGCACTTAATTTTGCTCAATGTTAATGGTGCTTTTACCTGATCAGACATATCCGGTCTTCTCCAGATCAATCCCTGATGCACCTTTATGGTTCAGAGGTTAGAATATTCTTCCTCTGCAGAAATGCTTTTTTTCCCTCAGGTATAAAAGCTCAGCTCTTGTTTGTGAGATGAATGTTAGACAGTGAAAATATAAATGCATCATGCCTTATAAACTACCAAATGTTAACTCAATCATGTAGAAAAACCAATACATCAAGTGGCTTCATCATGTATCATGTTTAAAAAGATATAATGATTGATGTATAAAAAATAAAATAAATTGTACCCTTGTTTGCATCATGCATTTACTCAACATGCTTAACACTCTCTTCTTTATCTGCTGAAAATGAAATCAGCGTTAATTAGGGGTGAGCAGGGGGTTATTTTGTGTAGAAACGGCCTGCCTATCGCTAAGCTTCGCCCCTCGAATGCAGATGAGCCAATGGCAGTTTAGTATCAGTTGCACCCGGACCGGAACTCAGACATCCGTAGCATTCAGCTCCATAGAGAAGCATTAGAAGTCATGATTTTTCATCTGTTTTATGGCGTTAATCGTAATATAACAAAAAGAAAAAACACGGGGTGTATTTCATTCCATTGCCAAAACCAAAGAAATGGATCAGCTGTGGCTCAGTCGTAGAGTTGGCCATCTCTTAATCAGAAGGTTGGGGATTTGATCCGGGGGCCTGCATGTAAAAGGGCTTCAAGTGGTCAGAAGACATGCGAAAGCACTTCATAAATACAGTCATTTATAATCAGAACCTTTATGAGTGCAAGGGTGTCATCTCCATCGTTAGGAACCGTTCCATCTAAATGAATGGTGCACTAGATAGGTCCGAGTGGCCCAGTAATATAATATGTACATGCAGTAAACAGCACAGCCAGAGAATGCTAAGTTCCAATAAGCATGATAATTACACATTTTACACTGTGGAGTTAGTGGTCCAACCAGAGCCGTCCCAAAGCATAAGCGAATGAAGGGCCAGCTAAGGGCCTGCGGCCAGTAGGGGGCCCCCTAAAGCAATCAAAAGAAATTTTGAATATTTTTTGCATGTATGAGTTTCTGTATGATCAGATATACATTATTGTAAAAATAAAATAAAAATAAAGTAAAAACATTTAAGTGTTGCTGCTGATGTATGCCTATGATTCTTACTGCTGATATGACAAAGCTCTGCTACCGTTATGTGCTTCTTGCCATGCAATGTGCACTGAGCATCCAAAGCACAGGTAGTTATGGGGCAAAACAATGTCACAAAAAAGGACATATCCTTCAGGAGCAGAGAAAAGAAAGAGGAAGAAAGAGGAAGAAGAGAAAAAAAAACAAGATAAAGGTATGTTTGCATGTTATGGAATGTTAATCCAAGAGATTTATGAAGGCGTGTGAATGATCAGCAATCAATATTATTGGCAGAAATAGAGGGCCCCAAAATTAAATTTTGCTTAGGACCCTATTGAGGCTTGGGCCGGCTCTGGGTCCAACCTCTTATCCAAATATGCACGCTTAATTCTGACTCATAAAAAACAACATACCTCTGACTAAAACAGTAAACTTTTAGCTTTAAAACAGGAAATGAGCTCACTGTGACTACATTCATTTCCAAACAGTGTAAGGTGTGTGCAGTGTCTGAATTTCATGATCAAAGCTAGAGTTTGCCAAGAAACTATAAATCAAGCTCCATCACAAGTTATTAATACTTTCTTCCCATGTTTGGAAGTCACCTGAAAAATATAATAAGACATATCAAAAATAAAAAAAGTTATTACAGAGTTTGGGTCTTTGTATGCTTTAGTCTAGCTCTGAAGTAACAAGGCATTTAAATGTACTATTTTGGGATTTTCTAGAGCCTTAAAAACAACGATCACACCCACTAATGACCACAGTTAGTCAGCTTAGGAATGTTTAATATTCCATATCGTCAGAAGCAAAAACACTTGAACATAAAAGTGAAAGGAGTACATTTCACTGAATGCACTTACAGAGCAACATCACTGGGCTGCATTGATCTGAAATGAGATTATAATGAAAACCAGATACATTGAGCAGGAATACTGGATATCAGAAGTACAGGTAGATAAAAGAAGATCAGTGTGTAATTAATGCTGTCAGCCTTGTAGCACGATGAAACCTCAGTTCCTGAATCTAGCTAAATATAGCAGGGTTCTTCAGAGATAAAAAAATATTCTTCACAGTATTTTTCATCACATCCATGCACGTCATTGTAAATCATCATTGACACACTTTAAATGGCACTTAAAAAAAGAAAAGAAAGAAAAAAAAACTGCTTGTTTCATTACTTCACTGACATGGTAGTAGTAGGAGAAGCCAAGGATCAGACTCGAGAAAGGTGTGGCTGGAGCGTGGAGGTTTCTGCTGTTCGTCTGGATGATTCCTAATTTTGCACATGGATTTTTTTTCGGGCTGCATTTAATGACTTTTATCAAGAGTGCACAATGTCACAAATGCACCAGATGTACACATTGAAACTCTGGCCGATGGAGTCACAAAACACTTAAAAAATTCAGCGGAAATGTGACAAAAATGATAAAGTTGCAAAGAGTAAAGCAGAGGAAACTTTTGATCCCCCAGTTCTCTTTTCATTTTATCCCCGTAATGCAGACACACAAGATACAACCTCCGTTTTTAAATATCAGACGTAAAAGAAACAAATATTTAAAAAAAAAAAACACTTGGGCACTGTGAGCACTTGGCATCTGTCAAAAATGAACAATTACACAGTGAAAATAAATGAAGCAGTTTTGTAGACAGCCAACATTTCCTGTGAGGTGAAACCGTCAGTTGTCTCACGTTCACTCGCAGCAGTACAGTAGTAGCATTAGTACCAATTGGCGCTTGATTGAAGGTAAAGAAGTAGTAGGTTTAGTCCACTCTCCCTTTTTGACTCTGTGTCTCCAGGAGACCATACTTAAATCTGATTGTTAACCAACCTATAAAGTGCTTTCAAAAATAATCTTACTATCATAATCATCCTTTTCTATATAATAAATCAGTTCGTCAATTAGAGCAATGTTAGGAATATGAAAGAAAGGAGAGGAAGAATTAAAAAGGGTCTATTCAGGCACGAGCAGAGAGCTCTTCTCCTCCTCCTCCTCTGTTACCTCCCTCCTCCACTGCATCCTTTTCCTTTTTTCGATTCTGCTTTCTTTTTACTTCTTGAAGGGCGTCAGTCTTCCAATGTTATGCCAGAAAGTAGAGGTTTTGCGCTTGGGCTCAGCCAGCATGAAGACCTGCTGCTGGGGCAAAGCAGTGGGGAGGGAGGGGTGTTTCTGTCGCAGGAGAAAGTCGTAGTACGGTCTGGTCACCGCTAAAGAGGAGGAACATAAACAGAGGACATCATTAGTGTTTATAATGTTTGATATCTAAGGCCTAACACCAAAGTGGATGGCTTTTCTTTTTAACATTGAGACATTTTAGGTGTTGAGTTTTATTGAACGTAGCTTAACAAAAATCAAAGACCAGCAAAGAGAAAGTAAAACAAAAGCAGATGTTTATTTTCAGCACTCTTTATAAATAAATCTGCTGTTCTATTTTGAAGAAGGACTATTTTTAGCACCTGTACCGTATTCTTCAGGAATATGGGTCACACAGTTTCAATAAAGTGCACTGCTCTCTGAATTTTTGATTAGCGGTCATGTATTATTTATAGGAGGGCGGTCAGTGTCCAAGGCTACAAAGAAAGACATCTTGACAGTAATATTGTGCTGAGCTTTGAGATGATCTTGTGAGGATTATTTTACCCGAGGAAAGGTCGAACATACCTAGATCATCAATCAATTTATTTATCAATGCACCACAGACAGCAAAAAAGAACCTGGGGACAGCTAAGAGGACTGCAGTTGGTTAAAATGTGTCTTAAAAACCCACAAATGATCCGATCTACCTTTTCTATCTCTATCTTCAAACAAACAAAGATATCCTATTGATGAAGACTCTGAGATGCACAGCAGCAGCAGAGAAACAAAGATAGAGTGAGATAGTGTTGACAGGAAGGGCCTTGTTATAAAATTCTAGGGTGTATCAGCACCATGCACAAATGGATGGGGCTATTAAAAGGGTGAGGCACAGATGGATATGCTTTTGTCGTGAAACTGCTCTATATGATCAAAGTCCATGATAAATAGTCCCGGTCCAGATCTCTCACCTCCCTTCAGGCCACATCTAAGCCCACTGCTTTTGCTCCTACATGAAACTTGGTTTTTTGTGTTAGATTGTAAATCCCACTCTGAAGCCAATAGTACATTTTCACATTCTTTAAATGAAATCAGAAAATATAGCAATGAAGTATTCAATCAGGAAAAAAAAAGACATGCAAAGGGTCTGCCACTAAATGTCATGGTTTTCTTGTTTTAAAGAGAGCTGGTTCACCCTCAAACGGGCTGTAGGCAGAAGCAGAATAATAACAGGTATAAACTTAAATTCAGACTTTAAGTTCAGGTGATTTATGTAAAAAAAAACAACAACAATCTTATTATTCGACTCTTCGCTGCATACCTTTGGGTTTCCCAGCTGGATGGCTTTTGCAGGCATTCAGCATGGCCTGTTTTTTCTGGACCTCCGTAAGGGAAAAGCCTGAGAGAAAACAATAAGGAATTGAAATACTGTTTAGATGCACTGCTGTGTTTGTACTGTAAGCATAAAACATGCGCGTAAGCTGACCTGTCTCACGGTCGTGCTGGACTTGAATCCTTTCATCGCTGAAAGCTCGGAGCCAACGTTGTTTTTGTTCGGGTTTTTTGGCACACAGAAGATGGACCTCATCACCAGTCTGAGAGCGCAGCTTCAGGGCGTTCTTCACGCTGATGTTGAAGTACTTCTCCTTTCCATCCTCCACATCTATAACCTCCATGTGGTCCATATCCATCCGACCCTTGTAGTACAACATATCCCGACGCAAGAGATCCTGCATTTGAAAGCAAGGCAGGCTCAGTAAGAGTCTTTCTAATTGTCTAGAGCAGTGGTTCTCAAGTCCAGTCCTCGAGGCCCACTGTCCTGCATGTTTTGGATGTTTCCCTGCTCCAACACACCTGATTCAAATGATCAGCTCGTTACTGAGCCATTACAGAGCTTGATAACGAGCTGATCATTTGAATCAGGTGTGTTAGAGCAGGGAAACATCCAAAACATGGAGGACAGTGGGCCTCGAGGACTGGACTTGAGAACCACTGGTCTAGAGCAAGGATCTAACAATAGTGAATGTAGTAAAATAGTGATACAATTTTTTTTTCTTATTATCAAAACCCGTTCAGAGAGTAGAGTGGGAGGAGCACCTTTTTGCAGTACACCATCTGATGGTCAAAGAGGAAGAACATTCTTTGTTGGCTCTTGGCCTGAGGCTGGGACAACTTGGTTAACTCCCCTGAAAAGATAAGATCAGAGCTCCTACTGAGGACGTCTTCACCCTGTGTGGTTCAAAACACAAACGCAGGTCGATTATTTACTACCCGGGCATGTAGTGCTCGAACGTGAACAATATTTCAAGACAAAAGCTGCCGCACCTCCCAGTCCTCTATTGAGCTCTGCCACTGGGCGATCTTGTCAATGTTCTCTAGGCGACGTTTCCTCTCATTGATAAGTCTGGCCACATTCTTCATGGCATTTAAGGCTGCCTCCACATCTTTGTAGTCCCTGTAAATGAGACAGGAACATAGTAGGAGTTTTTACTGCAGGAGCCTACAGTAAAAGGACAGACCCTATGGCAAGATTTTCAAGACAAAGATGGTATACCCAAAAATTCCAGCATTTTAACGACTTAAAGCTCAATACTAGTTGACATTTTTCTTTTGCTACTCTGCTGTTGTGTCATAAGCACGTACATAAACTGCTGCACTGCTGCAACTTCAGATCAAACACTCATACACCATTCTGGTACATGTTGTTCTCAGGGCCTCATTCACCAAGAACCCGAATACAATTTTAACATTTAAAAAAAAAAACTGCACATTTTGCTTGCATGCTGTTTGCAGGTGAGAGTAAATCACAGATGGTGTGCTAAATTTACATCTTTGCATTTTCTTTTGCGAGCAGTTTGCACCCCAGGGTAGAAACACCCCACACTGCATATTCATCACGGTGAATGTACTAAATGGACAACATGTAATTTAATCCTGACTGCTCTCTTGTTAATCAGACCCTAAGTACAGCACATTAATTGATGAACCTATCTTTGAGAATTGATCTCAGTATCACATTTATATAACGGAATATTACTGTGAAAACAATTAAAACAACAGTACATGACTAATGAGGTTAATATTAGATTACTGACTATTCCATTTTTACTTGTACTAAGTTTAAATTTTAGTATCTTAACTGTATAAATAATGTGCTAAAATTCACTTGTCACTACTGTAGACACTAATAGGGCATTTCTATAAAAGGCTGATATTGGCCTTTCTAAAGGAGATATAAATGAGCTTAGTAGCTGATTTTGAAATTGGCACCAATCATCTTTCAAAAATCCTTCATGATTTTGTAGTCACCTGTGCTGAGGGTTGGTGTATTTGAGCAGCTCAGCCAGCTGTAGCGGGTACTTGCAGATCTTCTGGACCGGGGTGAGCAGAAACCCATCTAAGGAAATGTCGATCATCTTCTGGAGCAACCGACACGCCTCGAAGAAGAACACGTACTTGTTGGCCTTCATGAGCTTGGAGAGCTGGACGCAGGCATTAGGGTGGTTGTTGCAATACTCTGAATAGATCTGGAAATCTGTTTGCTGCACATGAAACGGGAACAAGAATCAGGTTAAAGGGGGAAACGTGCTCATGGAATATTCAATCCATAATTCTCAAACATAACCTATCTTACATGTTCTAAGAAGCAGCAGCCAATCTCACTGAGATGAGGCTGCTCCTTGTTGAATTTCTTCTCTAGACCTTTCAGGAACTTCCTCTGGAACCGGTAGATCTCTTCAATATTACCAAAGATGGTCCGAAGCTGCTCTTCATTAAACATGTCTGTCCTCTTGCGACACTGTTTGATATAGCCCTGAGGGAGACACGAATATACACCAAAAATAAATACATTTAGGCATTCATAATGTATGCCAGCAAAGTGCTTTCAGACCCTGCAAGCAGATCAGTGAGCACACCTCAACACAGCTAATTCAGAATTCAGGATTTTGTCTTGCTTGTAATCCCAGTTGTTAAATAATCTAGTTTAAAGTAGACTTGAGTTGTATTTAATAAGAATTATAAGTAAATGTGCGTGTGGCGGCATGCTAATATGTTGACGCCATGACAGTTTCAGCAGTGTACATTTGAAGACCTGAGTGGAAATGATAGCTATTTATTCCTGCTTATTGTTTTAACCCAAGAAGTCATATTCAACACAGACATTTAGTAAATAGTGCCTTACAAAGCCGAGGTTAAAAAGTGAATTTGTTGAAACTCATGTATGAGATTTTGTAGAGTGGACAGAAACTTATCCAGACCTCACAGATGTCTTTCAGATGCTTGATGTAATCTCTCTCAGTGCTCATAATCTCGTTGATGACATTGGTCCTCATTTGCTCTTTGCAGGGTAAACCAGGTCCAAGTAACAAGCCCAGACCTGCCCGGTCTTCCTCTCCTGTTTGAGCCTGCTCCAGGTGGGCCAGATATTCTTCCATGGGCTCATCTTGATTTACACGCAGCTGAGAAGGATACAGGTAACATTAAACCTCGGCCGGAAGTCTGATACTCCTCCAAAATCACAAAATTAATGAATGGGACTTGCAGATCTAATGTTTTAATTGTTTAAGGGGTTTACAAAAATGTATAACAGCTGATCAGGCGTGTCTTCCATCAGCCATGGTCAGAGGGTGTCTTACCCGCACAAAGCTGGCAGGGAACCAACCCTCGCTGTCCATGATACGACCCCACCACCACTCTTTATTAGTGGCATCTACTACTTCGATGACATCGCCGGCCTTGAAGCCCAGCTCCTGGTCGTCCATGGTGACATGGTCCCAGAGTGCCTCAGCATACACCACGCTGCCATCACTGATCAGCTGTAGAGAGGAGGGGACACATCAGATTAAGGTTGTCCTGTAATGCCATGAATGCAATTTCCATTTCAAAATCATTCAGTGAATATCAAGGTTACAAGCTGAAGTGACAAAGGAAAGGAGAGTACAAACGCAATAAACTTTAAATCAGTTCGAGAAAAACATATCTGGAAAACCTTTAGAGTTTAGTCAGTCACTTTTTTCTGTCATTGTTATCCATTATTGCAGCAGATGTGAAAAAGTTGATATAAAGATGTTTATTTGAAAAGATTTAATTTGTATTTAACCCAAAGTACAGTTGAGGCAAAGATGGCACAACCGTATTTCAAGACCACCCATCTCAAAGTTGTTGGGACCCCGTTGTACTAAGCCAAACAGGCTTTAAAAGAGCTTAGTCAAGTCTAAAATAATAATCCTGTTTTTCCTTTTTGTCCACAGGGAGCATAAGCCACTGATGAATTGTATTGAATACGAAGTGTTTTCAGGGCATGACAAAGTTAGACAGTGGAAGCTCCATGTTTGTGGTTTGCTAGTTTAATTTTAACATTATACGCTTAATTGTTACTCTGCCGAATACCAACCATACAAACCAAGATGCTTTTGATGTTTTCACTTAGGTAACATGGTGAGCTGGTTTGTAAACACTCCCTTATTTAAAGATGAATCAACCATCAGCTACAGAGCAACAGTATCTTTAATTCATTACAATATATCTGACCCTAAGCTTGTTGCACTATCTTCGGTCGAAAGAACCTCCATTTTTCAAACACATTTTCTGACTGCTTGAAGCCCTTTTAGTGACTTGGGTTGGGTGCACACATGGACCTTAAATACCAGTATGTCATTAGGAGGAGATAAGTAATCTAATCTAACATTTACTTCTTCAAAGATTTTCTTTTTTGGGGGTGGAGGGTTTGAGAGAGAGAGGGAGAAGTGTTCATAATTCATTGCGTGATGATGTTAAATTAATTTGGTGCTCTAAAAAGCACACAGTTGAATCGCCAATGACTATTGCATAAGGAAATATTACATTCTTCAAATTAGCACAACTTCTGATATAAATCATGCCCCCTTCCAGTCCTCTTTCCAAGTAGAGCTGAATAAAAACAGTCCTACAGAAGTACATGACGCAGGTCTGTACAACCTAGCTACTAATTGCAGTTGGCCCACTACCACCAACAGCGAAACAGTCTGTTTCGACCTCATGAGATCAGAGGCGGGCCAAGAATTAACCAGGTCATACTATGACATGCTAGTGTACAGTATGTGCTTTACAAATACATCAGCTTTTTGTTGAAGCCTGGGTGCAGGAGGGGTGATCAATAAGAAGCAAAGGTGGTGGTGAAGTAAGATACAGTAGAGGAAAGAGGCAGCGAGCAAGACAGAGGCAGGGGAACAGAGTGTGAACAGGAAAGAGATGGAGCCAGTGCTATTGATGAAGACACTGCAGTGGTCATATTTCACACTGCCTCATACACACACCACCTATTTCACTGCGTCAACATGGCCCCTAAGTCCATGGAGGGTATCCATAATGATGCTTAGCCTCTCATTCCTGCAGAAGCCGCACAAATCTTGCTTGAATCCATCAGCCCACAATACTCTCTCTCTCTCTCTCTTGTTTTTTTTTTGGGTGGTGGTGGGGTAGCAGAAAAGAAACCTACTTTTTTACACTCCACCTTACTAGTGCTGTTAAAGAACAATCCTTTCATTTCTTCGCACCACTGATACATCATAGCATTGAGGAAAACAGACAATGTGGCTGTTGCTAGGCAACACACCTACACCATCTTGCCTTTCTGCTGTCTCTATCTCCGGATTCATCTTTGACTACATGACACCACAATATCCTCCAATAATTAAATGTTATGATAGTAAACAGCTTCATATCACTCATTAAAAACAGCAGGTTGGGCAATACTGCTCAGGAAACTGGTCACTACAAGATCAACCTTAACAGACACACAAACATAGACAGAGACAGACGCTCTATCACACATTAGCAGCTCTGCCCCTGTAACCTTTCACCCTCAACGTGAATAAAAAGGATATCAATGAGTCTCTTTAATGCAGATTGTTTCGGGGTTTGAATATACATGAAATTCAATCAATTTTTATCTAGTTATGATCCGAAAGATTATCAGTTTATTAAATGTCTTTATTTTGCTAAATAAGTCAACACTGAGGTGCACTGGCTTATAGCTCCATTTCTAGAAGACATCTTAATGCAAAGTAGACTGAACAGCACTCCATGCTAGGAAAGATTAATAGTGTACATCATGTTGTAATGAGAGATCATGTGGAGAGAGCAGACAGATTGAGTGTGATGTTGTCTCCACTTTGGAAAACCATTAAAAAGTAAAGCTATTGAAATGAACAGATATCCAAATGTACAACTCCAGTTCAAAAGAACAGCAAATGATGTTTGGATCTTTTTAAGACTGACTGCGTGTTACAGTTTAGGTGCTCCTGAAAAACTAAACACTTGAAACAGAGGTAAAAGTCTGATTTAGATTCAACTTGCTTTTGATCATTCTCTAAAAAAATGTCAACTCAGGAGGGCAGCTCTATTAAAGTGAGAACATATGATTTAAACTGTTTTAAATTGATAACAGCTCACAGGCATAGTTAAACGTGGATATTGCTCGATTTGGAGGGGTCATAAACCATAACAACTTGGTACAGCAGGTTCATTCAGTGTTTTAATTGTGCAAATTCAACTAATGGTCTTCAAAAGCTTCCTATGATAAAATTAATAATTGACAACATATGACAAGGTGTCCCAGTGAGAGACAATCTTGCGCAGGGAAGCCGAACAGAATAAGAGAACACAAAGTGTAATGAATTTTCCTCTGCAGCAACACATCGCAGGAAAAAGGACATGTACAATTACATCCATACAAACTTAAAATTGCTAAAACGCAACAACCATGAACACTGAAACACAGTCCATTTATCATCTCCTCTTAGTTTTGAGACACAGTCAGATAAACATCTTATATGTCAAACACTATTAATGAAATTTTCAAAATTAAATTTTATTTTACTTTAAACAAAGCAACCAATATTCATATCCGTCCAGCATAATTTTGGGAATTTTGCTTAAATTTGATTTAAAAAAGGCACTTAACTGAAAAAAAAATCTCTGCAAATACCATGATCGACAAAGTTATGTCAGTCCCACTACTTAGATGTGTTCAGTTTCTCCTCCACAGCTAAAGCATTGTTTTTTTTACATGAAGTGGATTTGCTGTTGCATAAAAGGTGATAATTTTCCTGGATTTAAAGTGTGAAAATGGAAGAACTTTTTTGTTTGCTTTAGCAGGATACCAACACAGGGGGCCGTGTGTCTACAAATGGCTACTGAGGAACAACTCCAGTCAATATTAAAAGGGAGTAAAATACTGCTATTCATTTAAGACCACTTCAAAATACAGTATATAGTTGAAGTGGACAAAGGTGCCACTCAGAAGAGGAATATCTGCAATTTATCTGTAAGTTAGTAAAATACATGTTGTTTCATTAATTAGATCTATAGGCAGGGTTACACACTGTCAGCACTCCTTGTATCATTCCAGTGGGCACAGTCACACTAACTGTGATTCTCACTTCTAACTATGAGAAAGTATTATATATACACAGAGTATCCTTTTCCTAACAGCCAGCTCAGTTTGCTTCAACAAAATGCTGACGGCAGACAAATGACTTATTTAGAAACAGCAAGTAACTTGGTGATGTAAAAGTTCCCCTCCACTTCAACACACTCAAAAAATGTTGACTGACTAGAAAGGTACACAGGTTACATCACTGAAAAAAGGTTCATATTTTAAATTAACCCAGACTACTTAAAAGCCGCTAAGTTCTTCAACTGTTTGTTCAAAACACAATCAGCCCAGGTTATCTAAGAGCCCAGGAGCTGTAACAAGGTCGCTGCAGAGTGTGTTACATCACCTGAAAGCATTGTGTTAGCTATTTCTGTTTCTGAGGGTTTTTTTTTTTTTTCATCCAAATTAAAACATAACTTAAAATGTGACTTTGCACCAGAGAAAGTGGCACAAGATGTTGTTTCTGGGGAAGGGTTTGCTTTTTTACACTTCAGGATATGACGTGTGTGACATCCCAGTTCTGTCAGATTGAATAAATCTTGAGTTTATAGCCTCGCTAACAAAAAAGTGTTGGATTTATATCAACATAACATTTAGTGCCATAAAATTAATGTTGTTTATTTTGACTGAAATTGAGTGCAGGCCAATGATTTGTCAAAAACTAGCCTAACGTTGTTTGCGGTAATAATAACACTTTTTCACACATGACTCAATATACTTCAAAGGTGATTTAGAAATACATATTTGGAGGAGGGAACATAAGGTCATGGAACAGGAAAGGGAAGTCAGAATGTATTAAGAGACAGGTTCAACCATAGTTAGTAAGTTTGTGAAGTACAAACACTGTCCATGTCAAAGGGATATAATCTGAATAGTGTGTCCTCTGTCATACTGATGGAGATTTGGTGTACATATATTGACATATATTTGAAAATCCAGACAAACCAAACCTAGAGTATCAATACAAGACTTGAAAATAGGTTTCCTTCAGTGCTGCTAACCTGCTTCACAGGTTTTTATGCGTATATACAAACAAGAACGTCTTCCACATTAAATTTTCAAAGAGCCCAAACACATTCACTGTTCCCACACTAATGATATCTCCACCATCGTGGCTGTACCTGTGTTCTGCTGCTGCCATGTTGGATACCCATCAATCACAGCAGTCCCTCTCGTAAACAGGGAAGTCCACCACTGATCCTTGGTTCTTCTTCTCAGTTTATCTGGTCTTTTCTTTCATGTAGGAGCTTGTGTTCATGAGCATGTGTTTGTGAGTGTGTTGGATTATGTCAGAGAGTGGTGGTCCGTAGGTTTGCTCTACTGAAAGGCCAACAGGAACATGAGCACCACGTTGATGATAATGAGCAGCATCATGATGAGGAACACTACCACCTTCTGGGTCTCTGGGGGGAGGTTGCAGCGAAGCATGGCATTGAAGAATCCCATCCTCTGCCTACTCCACCTCCCTGAGCCGCTGCCACGAGCCATCAGTCCCCTGGCCTCGTCTTCCTCCTCCTCAGCACCGCTGCCCCTCCCCCGTCGCCTTTCTCTCAGTGCTGAGCCTCCACACCACACCGCGTCAACCCGTCCTCCTCCTTGACTTTCTCCGTCGCTGTCGCCTAGTGTTGCTCTCCTCCTCCGCTCGGCTCCGGCGGTCGCCTCCTGTGCCTCTCCTGCCACTTTGCCCAGTGTTGGCCCGGCCTGCCAGTGGAGGCTGGGTGTCTATCTGTGTCAGCGAGTAAGAGAATCTGTTCCTTGAAGCGATTTGTGTGTTACGTGCTGAGCATCCCCCTCGTCCTCCTTCACTTGCTTTCTCCTCTTGAGGAATAGGCGCCTCCCCTCTCTTTCGTTTTCACCAGTTTATTCTTTATTTCCCGTTTTCTTGCTCTCCTTGGTCAGGATGTCAAGAGAAAAGACGGAGGACAGGATGCTGCAGGTCTCCCATTCATGTTCATGCCTCCTTGTCGTCTCCCTCCTCCTCTTTTTATCCTTCTTTTGTCAGGCTTCTTTCTGTCTCACTTGAACCTACGTGCACACAGTCATTTTCTACACCCAAAACCATTAAGCCATTTGCTCCTTCTGGCCTGTTTTCGATCTCTTCTATCCCTCCGTCTCTGCCCACCTACTCTCTCTGTTAACAGCTCCTGCTAAAATGGTGCTCGGTGCTCTGCCTAGAGCTGTGCTGCCTCAGCCATCCATCTAACAACCAGGATCTCCCTCTTTCCCCCCCTCCCCTCCCCTCCTGTCCTTCCTTTTTTTGTGTGTACCCACCCTTGTATAGCTGGCAGCCAATCAGGATGCGTAAGGTGTCATGGTATCCTGGATACCAGAGTAGTTGAAGCAGAGCCTTAGCAACCATTTGGAGGTAGATCAGGGTGAGGAGGGGCTGGTTGTTAGGATGAGAGGGATAGAGGGAGGGGTATGGATACCATGCAGAAATCATTAGTGTGAGTGTGAACAGAGTCTGTACACATGGCTGAGTACAGTTGCTGCATTTTTATATTTGCCATAATGGGCTAATAACCGTTTCACATTTTAAAGTTGTTGCAAATAATTTACTTGATATTATTAAATTAAATTAAATTAATATAATTAAATATAATTTACTTTAACTGATAAACTATGGGGTCTTATTATCCATTTTTACAGACAGGTTAACACAACTTTAACTCAATAACCCAAAAGTATCTCAACAGTATAGAAAGCATCTGAATGATTTAGGAACTTAACATCTTGTTACCATTATCATGGACTTAATAATAACAGTATCAACATCTGCTTGGCTCATGACTGACTGCATGACTGAAAATTTCCCCACATAGTCTTCGTGAGGTGCATTTATGAATTCAAAAGTCTGCAAGGATGTGACTTAAGCTGAACGTGGAATATTTTGGAAGATTTACTCCAGGCAATCAGGAAGGGTAATTATTTCATACATACAGAGCTGAGCTTGTCTGACTCAATACTGCTAATATGCTCACATAAGTGAAAGGCAATTTAATGAAATATCAGCACTCAACTTTCCAAAATCGGCCCAGATGGTATTTATTTGTGAAATGGAATAATAATGTGATTTTTTTCAAGAGGTAGGTTGTATATGTAAAATTGAATTAGATAAAGCAAATGCCGCAGCAAAAAGGACATATGGGAATTTTTGGTATACACTAATTAGAGGAAAAAACATCTATTTTCGACATGTTTTTTTTTTTAAGTATTTGTTAACAACAACGTTCAAAATTGTTGGTTATTCAATCAAATATCATTCGATAATGAGCTGACAGCCTCGGTTTGCTTTGTTTTACAGTGATTCCTGAACCCTGCATCAGTTTTAAGAAAAAAAAGCATCTTAGAATATAAATATTACAAGTGTTTTATCACTGCTGTGATTGATAGGTTTCTACTGCTTTATATTGTATAAAAACATAAAGAAATTGACATTAGTGTCACAGATCCTGATATTAGTCAGGAATGGTTTAGGTCTAGAACCACACCTGGTTCTGTTTGGCACTGTGGTCAAACTGGTCTGGTCCTTGTCTTGGGTTAAGTTTATGAACTTTCTTGGGAAAAATCTTGAATAACTGGGATCAGTTTCTGCAGCAAATGTATGTAGTCATTTTCCTTAACAGTCTGATGTTTATTATAATATCTTTTTAGAAGCGTCGGCTCTTCGGATTTCCTCATGTTGTGCTGTTTGTGTCATTTTATGGATAAATAAAGGTTAAATTAAAAAAAAATCATACCAGGCAACTACAAAACACCAGGAAGAAAAATGAGTTAGCACCACATGAACATTTTAACCTTGATTGTGTGATGTTGATTTTATAAAAATGATCAGTTTGGTACAGATAATAAAGAAACATTCAACAAATAAAGCAACTGAAACCAAAGTGAAAGAGGAGGCAGATGTGGACATCCAAGAGGCTTGAACCTGACAATACCTGATGGACCTCATAACTGAAATCTGCTGCTTTGTACAGCAGAGATGGTTTGCAAGAACCCACACAGCATTATGTCATTGATCCACACGCCGTACCACCTCTTGTCAATAGAGTGAATATAATGCATCAGTAGCCCACAGGATGGCAGCAGAGTGCCAACTCTGTCGTGGCTGCCTTATATTAAGGGAAATGAAGAAAACTGGGACATGGGCAGCTGGGTTGCTGGGGTATCTGTTATGATTGGTCACTATCAACCAATCAAAGAGAATAACGGAGTGAGGGCAGGAGAAGACTTAGATGATCAATCAGGTAATTAGTATTACATCTAAATTCATCAACTCCATATAACAAAAACAATGCGAGTACAAATAAATATGCATATATATATTTATACAAAATTATGATCAAAATAATCTCTTGAGGGGAGATGGTCAAAAATAATAAAAGTTATTTTTTACTGTCAGTTTTTTAGTTTAATTCGAGAACTAGAGAAAAACTACTGATAAGATAACATAGAAACAGGACTGGTTAAGGCTTAGCAGCTGCAGAGAAGTTTAACAATAGACAAAATGTACAGCAAAGAGAACCAGAAAAGAACATCCATTAACAAATATGCCATATGCCAGTTTTTCCAGAAAATATACAGTATATTGTCAATATATCAAAGGAAGCCACTCAAAAGTAATTTCAACCAATATAAACAGCACCAATAAAGTCAAATAAAACAAAGAACTGACTAAATGAACTGTCAATCACACAGGAAACATGGCGTTTTTTTTTTTAATTTTATTTTATTTTTACCATTTTTGGATGGCAGCCTCTCTGCATCACCCTTCTGTGTCAGTGCACCCCTTTTTCAACATCAGCTAATCTGATTTGGTAGGAAAACAACCCTGACAACATAAAAACTAATGTGGAAAAAGGTTTCATTTGAAAAGGAAAGGGGGTAATCCTACCAGAAGACAAAACAAAACAAAGAAAAACAGATGGGGGGCATGTCTTATTTCTTCAGTGGAGGTTACATCCTTGGCCACAAAGTAAAATGTGTTAACAAATCAGTGGAAAACCTTGAACAACGAGGCTTCACTGATCTGCTGTTTGAGTGCCTGTATCTCCTCAGTAAATCACATTTTGCTGAATTTGTGCATCAGCAGAATCCAGAGCAGGTATCCATGACAACTATATAACCCAGCTACCTCAGAGCTTGTTTTTGCCACTCCTCTTAGCCAAAAGGCAATAAAAGCCATTTCCTGCCCTGTGTGGTTGTGAGGCCAGGTTCTGTTCAACATCATTTCATCCTGACACACTTTTGCTTTCACTTGAGTTTACCTGAAAGCAACAGAGAGGCTGAAGAATAGCGGCACTATTGATTTAAGTGGTCGCTTAAATAGGCAAACCCCCTCAGAGGGACGACAGGTTTGATTGTTGCTGTTTTTTTTTTATTTATTTATGGCATTAAACCAACAAAATAACCTTTTTTAATTCTTTTGTGAGACCAACTTCAAAACCTTTGTATGCACTATCTCTGCAGAGGTTTCTCATTTTAAAACAAAACAGGCCCTGAAGAGAGATAGTCGTGAGTGACAGAACACAGGTAACAAAGAAAAAAGGAAAACAATGTAATTTTGTTTACTCATAAAAAAATGCCAGAAACAAGAAAACTTAATTTGCAGTTGAAAAACACCTCAGCCTGCAAAACAAAATAACTCATCCATACCTACCTCTATCGAACCAAATGTTAACCTTAAGATGAGGGTTTGAAGAAAAAAATCAATCAACTACACTTAACCCCTTCGATGACTTTAATTCTTCCTACCTCATTGATGGCCAGCTGTTCTCCTCCTCCTCCTCCCGGATGTCCAAAACGATGTCCAGAACCGCGAAACTCTTCATACAGCAGGTCCTCCTCACTGCCCAGTTCATCCCCGAGCCCCGCCTTCTCTGATGCCCCATCAGGAACAACCACAGCTGAGAAAGGAAAGAGAAAGGTGAGAATGAGGACAGTCTAACATCACAAATATATAAACAAATGATTTACACTCTTTCTTTAATCCTGTCTAAACTGGGGATGCGCATCAAGTTTTAATTCTGTAAGGTCAAAAACACTAAAAGGCTGGTCAGGTGTGATGTTTAACTGTTTGTGTGTGTCTCTCACCTTACATTATTTAAGCATTTGGATATTACCTATTTGTTATCTGCTGTAATTCATTAATTGTTTGGGAGCTATTAGCCTTGCTTTTTGGTGTATTGCTCTAATATAACCATTAACTATATTGTTCTTTAATGTTTATTTGATTTATCGTTTTATGATTTTTTTAAGCACTTTATTTTTTAAAAAATTCCTGCATAAATAAAATGATATTATTAAGTATGAACAGTTTTGTTGAGTGTCAGAAAAGCTTGTATGTATCTTTTAAAAACTGTAACACAACAAATAATTCAAGTTGTAGTCTTTTAGTAATCCAAGTGTCTTCATTTAGTAGACATTATTTTGAGGCTGAGGCAGAACCTTTGAAAAGTTGCTGCAATGAGCTTTAACCATTCAACCATCCATTTTCTACTGCTTATTCCCATTAGGGTTCACGGGGGGGCTGGAGCCTATCCCAGCATCTTTGGGCGAAGGCAGAGGACACCCTGAACAAGTCGCCAGTTTATCGCAGGGCTGACATATAGAGACGAACCCCACCACTGCATGTTTTTGGGATGTAGGAGGAAACTGGAGTACCCGGAGTAAACCCACGCAGACACAGAGAGAACATGCAAACTCCACACAGAAACCCCCTGACCCGGATTCGAACCCAGGACCTTCTTGCTGTGAGGCGACAGTGCCAACCACTACACCACTGTGCTGCCCATGAGCTTTTACACATGTCAAATATTATAAACATTTACAGTTCTTAGAGCATTTTGTGAAATCTCCGAGCACCCAGGGGTCCAGCACTCCTTATCAATGACTGATGTGCATGCTCCTAAGTTGTAACCATGGAGATTGTTCCCACGGCTACCTTCCAACCTACATAACTACAACATTATTTACAGCAGTGCACATCAGGGTGCAGAAAACACAACAGCACATCAATTTTAAATGCTGCAAATTGCCTCATACAACCTTTATAGTGTAGATTGAGAATCTTCTGCATTTAAGATAAACTCAATCCTCTGAGAAGTATGATTGTTCTAAATTAAACATAAGAAACATATCTGCAGCCTCTCAAAACAGACTTTGTTTCACTTCCCATCAAAGAACGATCTTCTGAAGTGTTTGAACTCTCAGTTTGTGGCTACCTGGATGGGGAGCTAAAAATAAACTTGCTGCCACACCTCATGATAGGCGTCACCCTCGGCTGCTGAGCTGACAGCTGTTTCCAGGGAAGACGTATCCCTAGCAACCATTGAGCCAGTGTAAGACTGTTAAAATGAAAAAGCACATGGTGTCCCCTGGGTGGAAAGATACACTTGGCAACAAGACTCTGTTGTAGAAATAAATGAAGAGGCATTGAAGGCGTCATTTCTTTCTAAACACACCAGGAGGTGACAATAAGGAGTCCTCTACAGTCAACATCTGGTATAAAACACTGAAGCACAGCAGCATCTCACACATCATTTAACACTTTTTTATTTTTACATCGCCATCACTGTCGTCACCAGGGATGTGAAGTTGTGGATGTTTTCCTTTGGGGGGCAGTGTAGGACACTGTGACTGGTGGTGTGTGATGCTGTAGAGAGATGGGGGAGCTCCAGGTATTGAGTGGCCTTTATTTTTGAGCTCCTGCAGTACGGCTTACAGTAGCATGGAGCGGTGAAAGAAAAGGGACAATACCATTTTTTTTTAAATAAGACCCACTCTTAAGTGCTGAATGGGGGATCCTAAACAACAATAAGAATTCCCAGACTTCAACATCTCAACCTGAACTTCCTCATATCCTGTTCTACTCTATTTGAATATAAATATGGCTCAGATGATATTGACCATGTCTATAAAACAGGGATGTTATTCTCTTTAAATAAATTTAACGATTTAGTACATAACAATACTGGCAGCCCAGAGGATCCAGACCACAGTGGCTTGTAATTATCAATGACAACGTAACCTTGTAAAAAACATCTCTACCATGCTGCACATAAAACAAAACAAAGTTTCTCTTTATTTGATTGTAGAGTTTTTACTATTTTGGCTTTCAAATTAAATCAAACACTAAATCAACATACTGATGCCATTCCTCGCTGGAGAGGATGCGAGTGAGTTAAACTGCATTAAAAATGATTTCTGGATGTCTAAATCAACTTCTTGTGTCAGAAAACAGGAGAAGGGTGATCAAGCTTGTTTGAAAAAAACTGGCTTAAGGCTACAATGGTATTCCTACTAAATCATTTCAGTACAGGACTTGTTCAACAGTATGCATATACCGAACAGTGAGAAATACTGTATAATCCTGCAAAGTGCTGCACACTTGTGTTTCATTTTGCAGAGGGAGGAAATCACAAGCGACGCAAAAAACATTCACATCTGCTCTGCAACATAGTAATCTAGACAAGTTTTGTGCTCTAGCTGGAATTCATTCCAGCACAGTATGATAGGAAGACTCGCAGAACGATGCTTTACAGCACATTATCAAAACTGTTGATTTGAGAAAAAAAAAGGTTTATTCAGCACACTCATATTCCTGTTTTTTTTTTAAGTTTATGTTTCTTGGATAGTTTTAACCAGGTAGATTACCAGTTTTATCATAAATTCCTCATCATGACAACATACAAAACCTTAAAAACAGAAGCTACTGATACTGACAATGGACAGCCATTAAACATCATCACTTAAAATATCCTGAAATTTAAACCAGCCAATCCTGTGGACTTGAGCAAAAAAGGCACATCTGTGGTTTTAAAAGAGACCTAAGTCATTGAGTGCCAGCAAAGGAATATTCACGCTCTATTTCTGCCCTGCCATTAAATCATCCTGTAACACTGAGGCTCATTTTGGTTCAGAGACCATTCAGTCCAGCTAAAGGAGAGGATTCTGCAGCTTCTGGGAAACTGCTTTAAGTCAAGGGATGGTAACTTTGGAAAATTCTCCCCAACCCTCAGATTGGTAGGCAGATTTCCCCTCAAACCTTGCCCTATCTTACATGAGGAGTACTTATTATTGCAACTCTAGGAGGCTGTGCCAACTAAGTATGTTAAAAATATAAAACATACGAGCAAATTGACAGCACATAAACAGGCTGCCGAAGTCCTTTATCATACGGCCAGCCCTTGTCAGCGTTGAATGGCTGTTTTCATGTAAAGCACCAATTTTTAAGGTGCCTAGTAGGACACTGCGAGAGTATCTCCAGAAAGAAAAGTGAAGTTTTCCACAGAGTACTTTAAAGTGTTTTTTTTATCCCCTGGTGAGGGTGTCCCTGGATATTAAAATGTCTCAAAATTGCACTTGAGTTCTTTTTCGTTCTATTGTTTTGCCCCTTAAATTCCTTTCTCTCTCTCTCTCTTTCTGCCTCTATCTCTCTCTCCCTAATACAATGTAGTTTGTGTATTGATTTAATGAACACTTGCTGCCCTCATATCTTGGTTGCAGCATGTTACAAAAACCCCTGACATGAATAAGCATTGTCAAAGAATACATATTGACATTATCAGGATGAAACAAATAAAAATGTGTTATTGGATAAGTATTCACTGAGACAGAGGTAAGAGTTCATAATGGCCGCTATAGGCTACAGAACAGTCATGTAAACAGCTTGATCAGTAACTGTATTCCAGACATGAGGCGATGTTAAAAAAAGGACTGAGTGTCTGGTGCATTCACAAAATCAAAACACAGACAGACAGACCAAGATAAAGACAATTTCCAGAGAAACTGGTGAATAAAAAATGGTGAATAAAAATAAACCAAATTATGAGGAATCGGCTTTTGAGTTTTTGCAATCTGCTTTTGATGTTGTTCAATCTCGACTGCAGAAACTCAAATTGGTCTTGAATGCAAATAAAATCAAACTCATGGTATTTTCGAGCAAGAGTGAGTTACCTGGGAACATTCTCTCGATCCAGACTTTGCAGGGTGTATCCATTGAGCTTGTATTTGTGTATAAATATCTGGGTTTTCTTGTTAATCGCGAGCTTTCTTTCAAAGCACATATTGCTAGTTTGGTCACTAATCTCAGACTAAAACTAGGTTTCTACTACAGGAATAAATCCCGCTTCTCCCTCAGAGCTCAAAAATACCTTGTATCTGCTACTTTTCTTCAAATGTTGGATTATGGTGATGTTTTATATATGACTGCTTCAGCCAAACGCCTGCAGTCCTTAACTACTCTCTCTCACTGTGCGCTGAGATTTGTTACTGGTTGTAGTTGCCTTACACATCATTGTGAAAAAAATGTTCAGTTTTGCTGCCACTTCAGCATGGAATACTCTCCAGACTGACCTGAAATTGTTTAAATAAATTTCACTGGAAGCATTTTGTTCAATCTTACATGACAGATTTTGGGAGACCATGGAACAGTGCCTGTTTTTTTAATTATGTTTCTGGAGGTCATTTTCTTTTTTTATTAGTATTTATTATTGTGATGTGTGCTACCGACCTCTTGGCCAGGTCACTCTTGTAAATGAGATCTCGATCTCAACGGGTTCTTACCTGGTTAAATAAATAAATAAAATACTGTTTAAAATTTCCTCATGCTCTACACGAACTGTACCTACAGCATTATACATCTGAGCAGTAATACTTCTGATAAAGACAACCATAAAGGTAGCCCACGTTGTCAAAGTTGATCAAATAACTTGTGATTCTCCTGCAACAAAACCGTCGCTATGGTGAAAACACTGAGTGGCTGATAACTTTAGAAATCCACGATCCACAGCGGCTGATGAGTAAAGCAGTTCATGTTCATTCATTTTCTCTGTCTGCTGCTGTTTGGATCAAGAGTTGAATAAAAATCTGTGTTGTACTTTTTTTTTTTTTGTCACTAATAGAACATCAACTTAACTGACCCCTTGTAACATGAAACTGGATACAGTTTGATTCCTAAAAAACCAGACTCGTGTGTACGTAGGAACCTAGTTCTTGCGCCAGACTAAGTAAGTACAAGCACTCTTTTGTTCTTCACTTTGCACCACTGCTCAACCATCAGAGTTATGAAAGGAGGTGATCATCCTGCTCACACCTTTCTTAAAGATTATAATTGTTGAATTATAAATTAAATTGACTTGGACTTTAAAAATGTGTTGTCTTTTTCTGAACTCTGTGAGTGGTGAAGCATGAACATTGTGCTATATGCTGATAACTAATATTTCCCTGTGCACTAATTTACTACAAATTCAAAAGAGAAAGGAATACTGAGTACAATGTAATGTAACAGTAGCATAAAAACAAGCATATTCCCCAGTCTTTTACCAGCAACAGAAAACAGAAGCAATCAGTGTCACCTAGAAAGCAGCAGCAGGTTCATACAGGCCAGTGTGTCGCTCACAGCAGGGAGGGAAAACTAAATTGCACTGTTTACTGTTTGCCTCTTGCTTGGCTGGACAGCTTGTCCTTGAAAAATGTCTGTGTGTGAGATTGTGTGACTGAGATGCTAACGTGATCAGCGGACAAAACAATGACTTTGTTAGTTTTTGGGTGGATCTGTTTGTAAGGAAGGACGCCAAAGACAAAATATGTCAGTGGACGAGCTTGAATTGCGGCATTTCATCATTTTGAGCCTCTGGATGTAGGTTAGACATATCACTGGATCCGAATTATCTGCTGAGAGAACATTCAATACTCACTTGCATGAGTGTGATTTTGTGGTCGGTTGGGGAATTCAAGCGTAATGGTTGGATTTCATTAGATGTGTGTGCTGCTGACTGCAGCGGGGCACGTGTCTACTGCCCACGTGTGACTGGCCAGCCTCACACTGACAATCACTTGGCCTGCTAACCAGGACAAGGGAGGGGAAGGGAGGGGAGGGGGTAGATGGAAGGACCACAACGCTTGATGTTAGATTAAAGAGAGAGTTTGAGAGGAAGGGGGCAGCTATTAAGAAAGCTCTGTTGCTCTTTGTTCAGTGCGTGCTCCTAAGTAAAGTGGAGTGCAGGTGGGCATAGAGGAGTGGAGGCTAGAGGGACTTTTGCAGTGACGCACATTACTGTGGAAATATTCATGCCAGGGGAAACAACTTTGAATTACATCAGTTGAGGAGTAAGGCCCTCTTCCTCCTGGATGTATAATGTCTTGCATGTTCCAGTCCAGTTTTTATTGCTTTGTCATTATTTGGTTTAATTTATGAAACTGTAGTTTACATGTAAAGTTAACTACTTTTGCTGTTCGAGAACTATCTCAGCAGCGGCGAGGTGGCTGTCCTACCCAAGATTTCTGCCTGTTAAAAGAAAGTTTTTCCTTGCCACTGTCACTCATGTTAGATGAGATGGGTCAAATTTGTCCCATCTTAAAGGGATATTCCGGCGTAAAATTAAGTTAGGGTCAAACACACCGAAACACCGAGTTAGACACCCCCTCGAGAGATGAATGTTGCCGACCGCTTGCTTCTCTAGTTATACCAACTTTAGTAACGACCGCACGATAGCAATACACAGCGGTCTAAGGAGCCATACACAAACCTCAACCAAAACGCCACTCTATAGCCACAAATAATGCTCAGAACAGCACCTAACTTCATCAACAGTACATATAAGGTCCTAACCACAGCACTACCTAGCGTCACCTACTCTCTTCCAGCAGCCACTTGTTTGTAGTGAGACCTTGGGCCATTCCGGACTACAGCCGGGTGACGCAGCTCAAGGAAGAACATCTGTGATCATTTCATTATCATTTCATTAATCATTCTGAATTGCAGACGCGGTAGCTCTTCTGCATTAGCATCTCAGTCTGATTGCATTTCCATGAAGAAACAAGCGGCTGCTGGAAGAGAGTAGGTGAGTTGTGTTGTTACTAAAGTTGGTAGTATAACTAGAGAAGCAAGCAGTCGGCAACATTCATCTGTCAAAGGGGTATCTAACTCAGTGTTACAGTGTGTTTGATCCTAGCTTAATTTTACGCAAGAATATACCTTTAAGGTTGGGTCTTGGTAATTCATCAAACAATGAGTGTGGTCTGGACCTGCTCTTCTTTTTTTTGGAAAGAGTCTTGGTATAACGACTATTGTGATTTGGTGCTATATAGATAAAATTTGATTTGGTTTGAAAATCTAGAAAAAAAAATCTGCCACGTTTCAAAATAATAAACCAGTCTTTTGCCATTTCATGAGTGTTTTTCCTTTACAAATCCACCATGAGCAGACACTTAGCCACATTTGACAGGTTACATAGGCAGGGTTAGCCTCTTCTTTAACAGGCAGAGACCTCGAGCAGAGCCAGGCATATGTTGACCAGCCGTCTGCGGTGGCTGCTTCGGCTCTGAACAGGATGATGAGATATGCAGAGAGAAAGATAAGCTCAGTGGGAGGTTCAATACCCTCTGTAGATTATCTTTCTTTCCAGGAAAAGGAGGAAGATGCTTCTTTAGTCAATAAGATTATTTTCTCAGCTAAAAATGAGACCTCTGTAAGCACAAGTCCAGCTCGCCCCTCCTCTGATTCACTGTTGTGTCTGCGCAGAAGTGTTAAAGCCGAACTTAAATGCTTAAGATGCTAAGCCAATCCAAATTAACTATCTCAACACTAAAAAGCATTTACGAACTATCTTCCATTCACCTGCTTCTCTGCTGACAACCATAGTTGACTGAGCATGTTATAAAGGAAGCATAACAATCAAAATAATCCCATAACACTCTCACTCAAGCTATTACACTCAAACCACAGCAATGAAGGTCAGTGGTGTGGTTTTCTTTTCACAAAGCATGAAGAGAAAGAGGACAAAGAAGGGAAAGGCCCTGTGCACAGAAGGAGGACACAAAATGACGAATATAAGATTAATCATAGTCACAATTTTGGCCTTCTTGCAATTAAACCAACAAGATTGATGGCCAAAAGCAGAAACTGTTTCTCAAATAAAGCACAGCACTGTTCCCTCATCCACTCCCAAAGACATCTTCAATGATGCTGTCAGCTCTGTGGATTTATACTCTGCTAATGTTGAGTTTTTCGATCATGTCTGGCTGTCTGGAAGATAGTTATCAGGTTATCTGTCACCGTCAGACAAGTCCTGGATATTAAGTCCAGAGTCAATGTGGATCGTAAGTAGAGGCACAATTTTCTCTGGGTATATTGATCTGCACCAAACTGAGGCCGCTTGAACAAACACAGACACCAATGTGTGTTTATGTAGCTTCATTGTTGTCGTGTGTACTCAACATTAAAGCAAAATAGGACACACACACACACACACACTAAAACACACACACAGATAAATACATTTTTTCTCTGAATTACTGAGCAGGTATAAAGAGAAATAAGAGGTTATATTTTTCATAGCAGCAGCTGCTCTGTAGACATATGGTGTAGAACTGAGTGTATCCCAGTGGTGCTCATTGAAATTCAAGGTAGACTTTGTATAAACTGGGTTTGGAAGAATTCAGCCAGCCAGGCCTGAGGGCTCAGGGTGGATGACAGACGGAGATGTGCGGGTGAAAAAAAAAAGCACTGCAGTGATGATGACAGGTATAAAGATGCAACTGGAGAAACATTTAAATGAATCTGTCTCGATGCTTAACGCTGATTGGAGTCACTGAGAAATTAATCAAGACTTAGTGACACCACATATAACAAATTCTGAATAAATGAGCTTAAATGGACTTTAAAAGTGTGATTCATTAGTCTGAGAATTAAAATGAACACAGAAACTCACACTGAGGATGTGTCTGCCTTTTTCTCCTTCAGTCTATACTTAAGTGCCTCGATGAGACATGACAGTTTGATACTCAAGCTAATGATAACATAAAATTAAAGGACGAGGGAAAGTCTTGATTGTGGGCAAATGTAAACAAAAATCTGGCCATTTGCATTCCAGTATTTGACATCGCTCATCTGTACTCAAACCCTGATGGCTGATGACATGAATAATGTTACAATGTGGAAGACATGGGAATAGACACCCGAACGTATTGGAGTGAGCAACACAAGCCTCACAACATGGACTTAAATCGGGGGTATCATGCTTTTCCACATTTACAACAAAAACTGCAAAGCTACAAAGTTCAGTATCCATACTACATGTATGCAAAGTTTCAAATCACAAGTTAAACACATTTTTTTCATAATATGAGAAAGTAGATGTAAACTGCTCAAATCTCAGACAAACAAAAATGCCAGACCACAGTTTATGTGCGAGATTAACTTAAATCTGACACAATAACACAATAGGGTGGCAGTAGCTCAGGAGGTAGAGCCGTTGGCCAATAACTGAAAGGTTGGCGGTCTGAGTGCTGCCCTATCCCTAGTCTGTCCGTTGTGTCCTTGGGCAAGACACTTAACCTGCCTTGCTCCCAGTGTGTGTCTTCCACTGGTGTATGATTGTGAGTGTTGTGTGGTGGTGGTCGGAGAGGCCGTAGACGCAAACTGGCAGCCATGTTTCCGTCAGTCTGCCCCAGAACAGCTGTGACTACCTATGTGGTTTACCACCACCATGGTGTGAGTAAATGAATGATGTCTCCAATGTAAAGCGCTTTGAGGTCACTGACAACAAGCGCTATAAAATCTGATGCGTTATTATATTTGTTACTCTCCTTACTGGTTTATGTGCTTCCAGAAAGCCTCCGTAGAGGTGGCCAATCAGAAGAAAGTGACACCTTAAAGAGACAGCAGCTAAAACAAAACATTTCAGACAGAGGCTGAAATTATAATATTTTGATCTGAAAATCAGGTATAAGAGAGGAAATATCGAGTCTGAAAAACGACACTATTGTGACCCTACATGCCGTCACATCATAGCAAACCCTATGCTGCACTCAAACAACTTTGATGGGTGTCTTTTCCAGCAGAGGTAAAAGACTGAAGCTTCTACTTGCTGCAGCTTTAAACATGCTCACACCTCTGACAGATATATACTTTTTAACCATCATTCAAATTTAACTTTAATTTTTTGTTTGACATCATGGAAAAGCAAAGATAACACACAGATTTTATAAATGCAACTTTGCTTTATAAATGAGATGGCCAGGCCTACTGTTGACAGGTATTTTTGACTTTAAAAGATCCGAAACAAGTGCTTTCATTTTATCATCGTAGTATTTAATCTCCAGAAGAGGCAGTATGAAATTTTACAGCTGTAGAGTGAGGTTCAGCACATAAGTGTTTAAGACGCTATACTTTCAAATACCTTACATACCACCTTACATACCATGTTAGTGCTCCTGATCAAAAATGATTAATGGGGGGTGATCTTAAGACAAGGTAATAACATTGTTTTCAGAGTATGACAAAATGATGATAGCAAGCGACAAAGCAGCCAGTTTGTCTGCATGTTTGAGTGTCACAGCTCCTCTCTGGACTCCTCGTGTGCTTTTCGCCTCCAAACATAGAAAAACAAACTTCAAACAGGGACCAGAAATCAGGTCCATTTGACAGGTTCGCTGAAATATATTCCAGGATGTGTGAGAATAATGGATGTTCAATCAATAACTCCAAACTGAGTGATGCAACTGTTCCGGAAATCCTTTTCGATTTCTCTTTGCCCTCTAAGCTACTGCAGGATACTGTTAACTAACTGCACACACACAGAGTTGCATCAGCAGTAAGAGGGAAAGCCCTTGTTCCTGTACACCCAGCTCTCTTCGAGCACTTGTGTGTATATGTCACTGTTCAGGGAAACTATCTCCTGTATTGTTTCATTACCTGAACTCCCACTCAATCAAAAACATCCTCTTTTATTCCAGGAGGTGAGGAGCAAAGATATGAGGTATATTCAGGTTTTCCTCATGTGTAGAGCAAAAGGGAAAGGGTAGCATGTAAAAAACAGGGGTTGCCTGAGTGCGGATAACTGAACCAAGTGAAAAATAGATTCTGAATGCGTAATTTAGCTTTTTCCAAAACAGATGGGAACAACATTTTGGGGGGTTTATTTGCTTGGGGTCTAGGGAGTGAAAAAAAAACATCTCTGTCTTACATTCACAAACACAAATTTGTTCTAGTGGAGTGGAAGCTGTTGTGTGTTGTTTTAGGAATTTATAAATAGTCACAGGGGAATAAGTTAACCTCCTGAGGTTTTAAAATCCCTCACCCTGTCAGCAAAGAAACCCCCTCCCCTAGTGGCGTAAAAGGCTGGTGGGAAACAGGGGCCTGGAGTGACCCTTCCACGGTCACCTTCCCCCAGGGCCCCAAATTGGCCAACCCAGTTCCAGATCAGAGGAGTGTGTTAGTATGCTGTAGAATAGATGAAACAAACAGAGTCTGTCGACATGCAGGGCCTGCTCTCAGCATTAAATATCTGAAAATATTTAGCACAAGTAATGGTTTTTATATCTTCAGTTTTTATGAGGCATGGACTCAGCCCAGATTTGAAACTCAAACTCAACAGAACTGAACGGTTATTTTCTGTTTCCTATTGTTTCCTGCCTGACATGTTTTGATGTCCTATTTTCAGATCTCAGCAGTTCTTTTTGGATCGTGAAATCTTCTTACAGTAAACAATTCTGACAGAAGTTGATCCAGTTTTAACGAACTACAGTTTTTCCTTTAACCTAACTTGTAGAGGGGCTCTTTATACGTTCCAAAAACAGCTGATGTGGATGAGAGCGGCTCAAAGACAATAGGTTGGGTTGGGAGCGTAGAAGCTAAAGAGCTATGAGTGTCTGAATAATGTGAGGATTATCTGTGCTCTTATGATTTGAGTGGATGATGAATTGGATGAGCGGAGCACGTGGCAGGTTAGAGTTTTAGATCTTGTGACAACACTAGCTGGGTTATCTGAGTGGAATGGATTTGATCCACGTTCAGCTTAACCTCCTTTGCACGTCCAGCAAGTGTATGTGTGCGTATGTGTGTGTGCTTCTGAGTGCAAACTGTGCTGCAGAGTGGCATATTTTCTAAACCTCTTTCTGGGCACATAACTGAATAACATAAACAGAATCATGATTCAACGCCATCACCACACATGGAAAAGTGTGCAAAGGTTAAACCTTTCACACACGATTGCACTAAATATACTCTTGACAATAGCAATACTAATCATAACAATAAAGTGGGTGGATGTAGATATAAAATAAGGTTAATTGTCTTCCTGATTGATGGAAGATTCCTCATTAATACAGCAGCACAGTTACTATCGAATTAGTCTAAATCTTTCTTTTGATGTTTGTGGCTGTTTGGACTAGGGGTGGGAATCACTAGTGGCCCCACAATACGATATTATCACGACACTTGGGCCACGATACAATATTATCATGATACTAGGGCCACAATACGATATTATTACGACACTTGGGCCACGATACAATATTATCATGATACTAGGGCCACGCAATACGATATTACCACGACACTTGGGCCATGATACAATATTATCACAATACTAGGGCCACAATACGATGTCATCACAATACTTGGGCCACAATACAATACTAGGACCCCGTTGGGGCACTGGCGGGCCCGAGCCGTGTCGAGTCCCCCCCCCCCCCCCCAACGTGCTGCCTCCCCGTCCCATTTGTGTCCTCTGGCCACCGCCCTCTCTGTTCACCCCCATCACTGCAAAGACCCTTTTCCTTCATCGGCGTTTGCTGTTCTTCCTGCCAGTGCGTGTTGCTTTCACTTACACTTGCCACAGCCAGCCTCGTGAGTGCCTAGCCTATTGGATATCACTGTCACCTACACAGGACAGTCATTACCTTTCTATTAATACTTTGTGTTTTAATTTCACATTAATTTCCATATTGTATAAACGACTGGAAAAAACTTGAGCCCCTGCCCCTGTATAATCATGTGCATGTCTCTGTTCTAGCTCCAAGGTGAATCTTCACTGCTCATGTTCTCCTCAGAAGCACTCACCTCACTCCCCTCAGGTTACTGTACACATGCACCAACTGCCTGCTTCAGGTTTGGATGCAGCTTCATGGTTGTCTTTTGGAGAAATGACCAGTCAAGTTGTGTTTGAAATTTGATTTTTTTCAGGGGCAAAAGGAGCCTCTGCATTCTTGTCAAATATGTAAATAGCATGTTTTTGCAGGTGCTAAAAACCAGACTCTGAGTGTGTGTGTGTGTGTGTGTGTGTGTGTGTGTGTGTGTGTGTGTGTGCGTGTGTGTGTGTCTATGTGTGCGTTCAAGTCACATGACATATTTAACCGGATGTAGCTGCAAGACGGAGCCTCGTTGACTCTCCGTTTCAACTTATCTCAAAAGTGAGGACCTCAACCTATATACCAGTTTTTAAATTGTGTTGATAGGCCAAATAAAACCAGAGTTATGATAAATTATGTCCGCGATACTTTTTTTCTGCTTATTTTGATCACGTTCGGCGCTCGATCGCGCTGAATGAGACAGGAAAACATAGCATGCAGACATTAGCGACAGGTCTTACAGGCGGAAAAGGCTTGCCAAAAGAAAAAAAAACACACCACAACATCTCTCCTATTGGTGGAAAACTTCACCACAACAACCAATCCAAAATTATATGGTGACTGATTGACAAGGGGCGGGCGCTTACGTTCTTCCTGCAACATGAGAAGGGAGGGAGGGACTCTCAGCAGGGATGCAGTCTGGGACACGTAGTTGCAAACCTAGCGACTTTGTTGTTAGATTCAATGACTTTTCAGACACCCTAACGACTTTTTTTTAGAAAGAAAGGGACTTTTATCGACTTCTTCTGGAGTTTAGAGACTCTGACATGAAGCAGGCTTTCCTTACTGAGGAGTTAGCAACGCTGCTAAGGGTGCAGAGCCACACATGCGCTCAGAGCTCTGCATGGGAGACTGAAGCTGACAGAGCTGCAGCAGTTAGCAGGTTTCACCCTCAGAGACCACCAGGGGTTCTTGTTGAGGCATTTTAATTTTTTTTTTTTTTGTGCCATAGACACTGTCAGCACAATCTGCAGTTACACTAACAAAAATGCTGCAAAAAACAAAGAATTATGGAAAAATTACACATGGACTGACATAGAGGAGGATCTACACAAGTTTTTTACATCATGTTTTACATCATGCATCATTTACATCATGTTTTTTTGTAGTGGCATAAATAAAAAGTGACATTTGTGAGACTATACAGTGTTTTGTAAATAATTTTACAAAGAACGCCTGGGCCATTGCCTGCATTTTGATGTAAATAGAGGTAAATTACTATGTTCTTTGTTAAAAATTTGCATATGTTTTGAAGTTTACAATTTTTATTTGAAGTTTAAGTTTTAAAAACAGTTCATCACACATATTTGTGGTTTAATTTCACATTAATTTCCATATTGTATAAATGACTGGAAAAAACTTGAGCCCCTGCCCCTGTATAATCATGTGCACGTCCCTGTTCTAGCTCCAAGGTGAATCTTCACTGCTCATGTTCTCCTCAGAAATAGTCACCTCACTCCCCTCAGGTTACTGTACACATGCACCAACTATCTGCTTCAGGTTTGAAATGGAGCTTCATGGTTGTCTTTTGGAGAAATGAACAGTCAAGTTGTGTTTGAAATTTGATTTTTTTCAGGGGCAAAAGGAAGCCTCTGCATTCTTGTCAAATATGTAAACAGCATGTTTTTGCAGGTGCTAAAAAACAGACTCTGAGTGTGTGTGTGTGTCTGTGTGTGTGTGTGTGTGTGTGTGTGTGTGTGTGTGTGTATGTTGGCGTGTGTGTATATGTGTGTGTATCCTGCAGTACTCTGTACTCCTGCAGTGGCCAAAAAGACTTTTAAGAATGTGGATTTTTGGGTCATCTTTGGCGCCCCCTAGAACTGCAGTACTCTGTACTCCTGCAGTGGCCAAAATGACTTTTAAGAATGTGGATTTTTGGGTCATCTTTGGCGCCCCCTAGAACGTAAACCGTGGGGTGCAGCGTCATGATTTTTACAACTTTGAATGGGCATGGGGTGTAGATTGCCCTGAGCAAATTTGGTATCGGTGGGACGAAAGCCTTAGGAGGAGATAGCCACATTCCAATGTGTGCGAATCGGCAAAAAATGCAAAATAGCCCTTTAACCGTACATTATACAGATACGCGCTCTTTGACTTTTTCGTAGATCTAATTGAGATACACATGATTGTCAATTTTTGTGTCAATATGACAAAGCGTTCAGGCGTGACACTCAACAATGTGTATTTTTATGTAAGGGGACAAGAAAAAATTGACTTTTTTCTCCTACCATGGGGGGCGCTCTTTTGGGGAGTAAAAATTCCTTCACAAATGTGTTGATGGCTGGACATTGCATCATCCTAGAAAACTTGGAGGCCAGTGAGGACAAAAATAAAAAGTTATAAAACATTTAAGAATGTGGATTTTTGGGTTATTTTTGGCGCCCCCTAGAACCTAAACCATGGGGTGCAGCATCATGATTTGAATAACTTTTAATAGCCATGGGGTGTAGATTGGCCTGAGCAAATGTGGTGCCGGTGGAACGAAAGCCTTCGGAGGAGTTAGCGAAATTCCAATGTGTGCGTATCGGCAAAAAATGCGGAATAACCCTTTAACTGTACATTTGACAGATACGCGCGCATGGACTTTTTTGTAGATCTTATTGAGTTACATGTGTGTGTCAATTTTTGTGTCATTTTTACAAAGCGTATAGGCGTGACACTCAACAATGTGTATTTTCACCTAAGGGGACAAGAAAAAATGGACTTTTTTCTCCTGCCATGGGGGGGCGCTCTTTTGGGGAGTAAAAATTCCTTCACAAATGTGTTGATGGCTGGACATTGCATCATCCTAGAAAACTTGGAGGCCAGTGAGGACAAAAATAAAAAGTTATAAGACTTTTAAATATGTGGATTTTAGTTTTATCTTTGGCGCCCCCTAGAACCTAAACCTTGGGGTGCAGCGTCATGATTTTGATAACTTTTAATGGCCACGGGGTGTAGATTGGCCTGAGCAAATGTGGTGCCGGTGGAACGAAAGCCTTCGGAGGAGTTAGCGAAATTCCAATGTGTGCGGATCGGCAAAAAATGCGAAATTACCCTTTAACCGTAATTTTGACAGATACGGCCGCACTGACTTTTTTGTAGATCTTATTGAGATACATATGTGTGTCAATTTTTGTGTCAATATGACAAAGCGTACAGGCGTGACAGTCAATAGTGTGAATTTCCACCTTAGGGGGCGCTATGGAGCCATTTTGCATTTTATTGTTTGGGCGACTTCAGAATATCGAATTTTTCACCAGGCCCGGTCGTCCTGCCAAATTTCATGAGTTTTCGCCAGTGGGAAGTGGGCCATTTTCCAGTTCAAAGGGGAGGAAAAAGAAGAAACTAGGGCCCCGGTGGGGCACTGTCGGGCCCGAGCCGCGTCGCGCCGCCCCCAGTGCGACCGCCTCCCCCTCCCGATCGCGTCACACTCAAGGTCCAAAGATGGTGTGCGCACTTGTCTGTGGTCATTTCCCATTATAATGAATGGGAGGTGCAGTTTCTACCAAAACACTCGCTGCAGACAAACTTCATGTCCTATTTGAAAAAAGTCTGGACCATGAGTGAGGGCACAAACACAGCTATGATATATCGAAATGGCAGGTTGCTCCTCCTTACGGTGTTGCCTGGAGAGCGATGCGATTGAGCCATTGAGCGATGGGCAGGGTAAACTTGACTTTTTCTCCTGCCTTGGGGGGGGGGATGTGGATTCCTTTAAGAATGTGGATTTTTGGGTCATCTTTGGCGCCCCCTAGAACGTAAACCGTGGGGTGCAGCGTCATGATTTTTACAACTTTGCATGGCCATGGGGTGTAGATTGGCCTGAGCAAATTTGGTGTCAGTGGGACGAAAGCCTTAGGAGGAGTTAGCCACATTCCAATGTGTGCGAATCAGCAAAAAATGCAAAATAGCCCTTTAACCGTACATTTGACAGATACACGCGCGTTGACTTTTTTGTAGATCTTATTGAGATACATATGTGTGTCAATTTTTGTGTCAATATGATAAAGCGTACAGGCGTGACAGTCAATAGTGTGAATTTCCACCTTAGGGGACAAGAAAAAATTGACTTTTTTCTCCTGCCATGGGGGGGCGCTCTTTTGGGGAGTAAAAATTCCTTCACAAATGTGTTGATGGCTGGACATTGCATCATCCTAGAAAACTTGGAGGCCAGTGAGGACAAAAATAAAAAGTTATAAGACTTTTAAATATGTGGATTTTAGGGTTGTCTTTGGCGCCCCCTAGAACCTAAACCGTGGGGTGCAGCGTCATGATTTGAATAACTTTTAATGGCCATGGGGTGTAGATTGTCCTGAGCAAATGTGGTGCCGGTGGACAGAAAGCCTTCGGAGGAGTTAGCGAAATTCCAATGTGTGCGGATCGGAAAAAAATGCGAAATAACCCTTTAACCGTACATTTGACAGATACGCGCGCATTGACTTTTTCGTAGATCTTATTGAGTTACATGTGTGTGTCAATTTTTGTGTCATTTTGACAAAGCGTATAGGCGTGACACTCAACAATGTGTATTTTCACCTTAGGGGACAAGAAAAAATGGACTTTTTTCTCCTGCCATGGGGGGGCGCTCTTTTGGGGAGTAAAAATTCCTTCACAAATGTGTTGATGGCTGGACATTGCATCATCCTAGAAAACTTGGAGGCCAGTGAGGACAAAAATAAAAAGTTATAAGACTTTTAAATATGTGGATTTTAGGGTTGTCTTTGGCGCCCCCTAGAACCTAAACCGTGGGGTGCAGCGTCATGATTTGAATAACTTTTAATGGCCACGGGGTGTAGATTGGCCTGAGCAAATGTGGTGCCGGTGGAACGAAAGCCTTCGGAGGAGTTAGCGAAATTCCAATGTGTGCGGATCGGAAAAAAATGCGAAATAACCCTTTAACCGTACATTTGACAGATACGCGCGCATTGACTTTTTCGTAGATCTTATTGAGTTACATGTGTGTGTCAATTTTTGTGTCATTTTGACAAAGCGTATAGGCGTGACACTCAACAATGTGTATTTTCACCTTAGGGGACAAGAAAAAATGGACTTTTTTCTCCTGCCATGGGGGGGCGCTCTTTTGGGGAGTAAAAATTCCTTCACAAATGTGTTGATGGCTGGACATTGCATCATCCTAGAAAACTTGGAGGCCAGTGAGGACAAAAATAAAAAGTTATAAGACTTTTAAATATGTGGATTTTAGGGTTGTCTTTGGCGCCCCCTAGAACCTAAACCGTGGGGTGCAGCGTCATGATTTGAATAACTTTTAATGGCCATGGGGTGTAGATTGTCCTGAGCAAATGTGGTGCCGGTGGACAGAAAGCCTTCGGAGGAGTTAGCGAAATTCCAATGTGTGCGGATCGGCAAAAAATGCAGAATAACCCTTTAACCGTACATTTGACAGATACGCGCGCATTGACTTTTTCGTAGATCTTATTGAGTTACATGTGTGTGTCAATTTTTGTGTCATTTTGACAAAGCGTATAGGCGTGACACTCAACAATGTGTATTTTCACCTTAGGGGACAAGAAAAAATGGACTTTTTTCTCCTGCCATGGGGGGGCGCTCTTTTGGGGAGTAAAAATTCCTTCACAAATGTGTTGATGGCTGGACATTGCATCATCCTAGAAAACTTGGAGGCCAGTGAGGACAAAAATAAAAAGTTATAAGACTTTTAAATATGTGGATTTTAGTGTTATCTTTGGCGCCCCCTAGAACCTAAACCTTGGGGTGCAGCGTCATGATTTTGATAACTTTTAATGGCCACGGGGTGTAGATTGGCCTGAGCAAATGTGGTGCCGGTGGAACGAAAGCCTTCGGAGGAGTTAGCGAAATTCCAATGTGTGCGGATCGGAAAAAAATTAGAAATAACCCTTTAACCGTACATTTGACAGATACGCCCGCACTGACTTTTTTGTAGATCTTATTGAGATACATATGTGTGTCAATTTTTGTGTCAATATGACAAAGCGTATAGGCGTGACAGTCAATAGTGTGAATTTCCACCTTAGGGGGCGCTATGGAGCCATTTTGCATTTTATTGTTTTGGCGACTTCAGAATATCGAATTTTTCACCAGGCCCGGTCGTCCTGCCAAATTTCATGAGTTTTCGCCAGTGGGAAGTGGGCCATTTTCCAGTTCAAAGGGGAGGAAAAAGAAAAAAGAAAGAAAGAAACAAAGACTAGGGCCCCGGTGGGGCACTGTCGGGCCCGAGCCGCGTCGCGCCGCCCCCAGCGCGACCGCCTACCCCTCCCGATCGCGTCACACTCAAGGTCCAAAGATGGTGTGCGCACTTGTCTGTGGTCATTTCCCATTATAATGAATGGGAGGCGCAGTTTCTACCAAAACACTCGCTGCAGACAAACTTCATGTCCTATTTGAAAAAAGTCTGGACCATGAGTGAGGGCACAAACACAGCTATGATATATCCAAATGGCAGGTTGCTCCTCCTTACGGTGTTGCCTGGAGAGCGATGCGATTGAGCCATTGAGCGATGGGCAGGAAAAACTTGACTTTTTCTCCTGCCATGGGGGGGGGGGGGATGTGGATTCTTTTAAGAATATGGATTTTTGGGTCATCTTTGGCGCCCCCTAGAACGTAAACCGTGGGGTGCAGCGTCATGATTTTTACAACTTTGAATGGCCATGGGGTGTAGATTGGCCTGAGCAAATTTGGTGTCAGTTGGACGAAAGCCTTAGGAGGAGTTAGCCACATTCCAATGTGTGCGAATCGGCAAAAAATGCAAAATAGCCCTTTAACCGTACATTTGACAGATACGTGCGCATTGACTTTTTTGTAGATCTTATTGAGATACATATGTGTGTCAATTTTTGTGTCAATATGATAAAGCGTACAGGCGTGACAGTCAATAGTGTGAATTTCCACCTTAGGGGACAAGAAAAAATGGACTTTTTTTCTCCTGCCATGGGGGGGCGCTCTTTTGGGGAGTAAAAATTCCTTCACAAATGTGTTGATGGCTGGACATTGCATCATCCTAGAAAACTTGGAGGCCAGTGAGGACAAAAATAAAAAGTTATAAGACTTTGAAATATGTGGATTTTAGGGTTATCTTTGGCGCCCCCTAGAACCTAAACCGTGGGGTGCAGCGTCATGATTTGAATAACTTTTAATGGCCATGGGGTGTAGATTGGCCTGAGCAAATGTGGTGCTAGTGGAACGAAAGCCTTAGGAGGAGTTAGCCACATTCCAATGTGTGCGGATCGGCAAAAAATGTGGAATAACCCTTTAACCGTACATTTGACAGATACGCGCGCATTGACTTTTTTGTAGATCTTATTGAGATACATGTGAGTGTCAATTTTTGTGTCATTTTGCCAAAGCGTACAGGCGTGACACTAAACAATGTGTATTTTCACCTTAGGGGACAAGAAAAAAATGACTTTTTTCTCCTGCCATGGGGGGGCGCTCTTTTGGGGAGTAAAAATTCCTTCACAAATGTGTTGATGGCTGGACATTGCATTATCCTAGAAAACTTGGAGGCCAGTGAGGGCAAAAATAAAAAGTTATAAGACTTTTAAATATGTGGATTTTAGGGTTATCTTTGGCGCCCCCTAGAACCTAAACCGTGGGGTGCAGCGTCATGATTTGAATAACTTTTAATGGCCATGGTGTGTAGATTGGCCTGAGCAAACGTGGTGCCGGTGGAAAGAAAGCCTTCGGAGGAGTTAGCGAAATTCCAATGTGTGCAGATCGGCAAAAAATGCGGAATAACCCTCTAACCGTACATTTGACAGATACGCCCGCACTGACTTTTTTGTAGATCTTATTGAGATACATATGTGTGTCAATTTTTGTGTCATTTTGACAAAGCGTAAAGGCGTGACAGTCAATAGTGTGAATTTTCACCTTAGGGGGCGCTATGGAGCCATTTTGCATTTTATTGTTTGGGCGACTTCAGAATATCGAATTTTTCACCAGGCCCGGTCGTCCTGCCAAATTTCATGAGTTTTCGCCAGTGGGAAGTGGGCCATTTTCCAGTTCAAAGGGGAGGAAAAAGAAGAAAGAAAGAAACAAAGAAAAACCACTTGGGGAATAATAGGGCTCTCGCAGCTGCTTAGCAGCTACGCTCGGGCCCTAATTATCACGATACTAGGGCCACACAATACAATATTTTTATCACGATACTTGGGCCTCGATACAATATTATCATGATACTTGGGCCACAATACGAGATTTTTAACATGATACTTGGGCCACAATACAATATTTTCACAATACTAGGGCCACAATACGATATTATCATGATACTTGGCCATGATACAATATTACTGCGATTTTTAACATTTGCAACACAGTGAGTATTGTGATACATTATAGAGCGATTACTACAATTTTTTCAACTGTTTAGCTAATTTAGCATTTGGCTTTCCTTTATATTTGTCTTACTTACGCTGTATTTGTTGTAATAATTTTCTCCTGCTCTACAATGTCACCTCTGCCAACTTCACTGGACAAACAGTTGATTTTATTTTTCCATTATCATAGATTTGACTTCACATTAACAAGTAATTTGAAAAATCAATACTTGGTAAATGAGACGATACGATATATAACCAGACAAATTATTGCAATACTATGTTGTAACACTTTTTTTTCTCCCACCCTTAGTTTGCACCAGTGTTTGCAGATTAAGTATTTAAGTATTTTGCAAAAAGATTCATTTGCATTACTATTCACTTTAATATGCACAAACAGCATTGCACAAGGAGTCACTATCTGTGCAGTTTTGGGAGCATTTAACTGTTTCTGCACTCTGTGAATAAGTTTGTATTGTATCGTCTTGTTAATTCATAAATATTCTCTCATACTGCAGCACCTTGCATGCTGTTTAATCACCACACTGACCCCACTCAAACCAACCACCAATCATGCAACCAGGTAAGCCCACTTCCTGAAACCTTGACAACAACAGAGTACAGTCACTAGGAAGATAGAACACCATGCTCCCTCGACAACACATGTCGAGAATGCAACAGCAGCAGCTTCACAGCATGTGTTTCATGGAGCAATTGATGATTTACCACTTGCCATTTTTTTGGTTGGAAGCAGAACAATGTTATAGCTGCTGATGCCTTCCTCATTAACATGCTAATCACAGGAGGTTTCTGCTGTCTGAGTACACAAATCTGATCTGCAAAATTACTGTTCAAATAGGCTGTCTGCAGACTGAATAACGCCTAATGATGTAGGAAAGTTGCAAAAGGACTAAAAATTTTAACAATAGGGAGAAGTCTGGGTTGTTTAAAAACAAACTGGTTCATCTCTTCTTGTTTTAAAAGACTTAACTTTTAACTTAACACAACTGGCTTCATAATAGGGACGCACCAAAGACATCTTTTCACATACGATCCGATCTCAATTCCTGAATTTGGATATCTGCCGATACTATTTCAATACCAGAGCTCTGTTAGCTTTACCATCATTATTATTATTGTTTATTTTATATGAGGCTGTAATAAACTCTTCTCTAAATGCAAGTATATGTACGTATGATTTCCCGAATGGGGGCGTATCTTATCTCCGTGTCTCCAGGCCTCCATTCAGGAAATCCATTCACAGTTTGCAGCCAGCTTGCAGATTGGCAGGCAAGAATCACTTGTACAGTCATTTCAGAAGACAAAGTTAAAGCAAAGACATGACATATGGATCGGAAATTTTTTGCAGGTTGGATCAGAAATTTCCAATCAGTAAATTACGTTGGTATTGGAACCTGATACCGATACTGGATCGGATCGGCCCCATCCCTACTTCATGACATTCATGAGTAATACTGAAGGGATATACCTTTAAAAGGGTGAACACTTTCTCTATAGGGGGCAGGGCCAGTGTGTTGTTATGTCTATTAACTTGATTGTAGCATAATAGGAAAGGCTAATCCATCACCTGACTTATGTATTATGACAACATTGAACATTATCCTATGAACACCCTGGTTATTATTGCCAAAAAGCTTCTTCATTATGATAGTAAATCCAACAAAGTTGTTAGCAATCATTTTTCAGTTTTCACAAGATCAGATTTATATGATGAAAAATTTGGAACATAATGTTTAGCGTCACTTCAGTGAGTTTATTTCCATGTGGCATTGAACGGCTTTCTGCTTTTGCAGTGCAGAGAGTGTTTGATGGTAACTACTCGAAACAACTACTTCGCTCTGAGACACTGGGGTTGACATGAGTGAACGAATTTTAACCAGCATGATGCATTACATTTGGGCTCTAAATTAGCTATGTTTGTTGAAATTCAGCAATTGAGCAGCATTAGTTTAGTTAAAGATAAAGATGACAGTATCTATCATAAGAGGGAATTACTCTCCACAAAAAGCTGTTTATGTACCTATGATGGATGTACAGGTATCTTGTATTTTCCCCAAACTTCTACCTATTTCTTATGAAGGACAATAAGTGTCTTCCACATTTCATCAGGAAACCAACTACCACCTATCTTATCTGAGGAAAAAAAAAGGCCCAGTGTTGCTTGAAGTAACACATCCTGACGTTACTCGACACATCCACACAAAAGAATGTGAACTAGTTATAAATCTTGGCTCTTCTGTGTCACACACGTTGGGGGAGTGTTGTCTCGTGACTTATCTACCCTGATGAGGACTTCCAGGCTCTGACCAAGTGAAGTGAAGAGGAATGATAGAGGAAGGAGGAGGAGGGGGAGGTGTTCAGTGTGTGCAGGGAAGTGCCAGGCTGCGCTGCATTATTCCTCCGGCTCTGTGTTTACAGCCATACATGGGCAGTATATGAAAGCCATCGCAAATGCATTACAAGGACACAAACACTACGAAGTACACTACATGGAATGTGACAAACCCATCTCCCCACCCTGCAGGTCTGTAAAAAACGTCAGCGTCTCTGCTACTACTGCTGCACACCTTTGCCTGCATTATTATCAGAGGATGGGAAGGAAGGAGAGGACATGTGAAAGAAGGGGGATGGGCAGACAAAGGACAACAGGAGAAGAGGAAAGGTAGACGAAAGCTCTTTTCAGGAATCTGTCACATCGATGTCTTTATCTGTTTGTTAAAGTGAAGGCTTCTCAGCTTTCAGACATACAGTAGGCTGTATTATGTCTTTATTCAGACATTACGGACTAGCGTGTGCACGGAGGTTGCGAATTGGAAAGTCGTGAAGGGGAGCACCCTCATTTGTCCTGGTTCATTCTTGCAAGACTTCATTTGCAATATTCACGGACAAGTGACAAAAGTGCTCATTCAGACATTACACTGACCTGCTAATATACCGACATGGTGAAAAATAAGTGATTGAAAAGTGATGGAAAAAAACAGAGGGACATAGATGGAGGTAATGTATGATTCCAACTCTAACCCTGGTGGGAGTAAACATACAGCAGAAAACTGTGACTTGGAGTTGAACCAGTGATCACAGAGAAGAGGACTTTAGCCTCTGTATACGGGACAAGCAAAACTGGCACCCTGATAGTCTTCTCTTTTTTTCCTTTGCTATTTCTTAGTCTGCTACAAGAAGGTGTCTTCATTTTAGCATCACAAAGCTTTTTCTAACCGCTGATAAATCGGATGAATCGTGATCTCCCTGGAATAAAAATATTCCACTGGCCAGAAGCCAAAGATGATGACTTTGTGGTAGTTATACTATAATTGCTGTGAAGTCATTCAAACCGCAAATCCAATAAAGTTGGGACATTGTGTAAAATTTAAACGAAAACAGAATACAGTGATTTGCAAATCCTTTTCCATGTATTTTCAATTGAATACACTACATAGACAAGATATTTAAAATTTAAACTAATAATCTTTATTGTTTTTTTCAAATATTCACTCATTCTGAATTTAATGCCTGTAAAACCTTCCACAAAAAATTGGGACAGGGTCAACATAAGACTGAGAAAACTGAAGTCAGCTCCAAAAACATCTGTTTGGATCAATTTACAGGTGAAAAGGTTCACTGGAAACAGGTGAGTGTCATGATTGAGTGTAAAGGGAGCATCCTCAAGAGGCACAGTTATTTACAAGCAAGGATGGGATGAGGTTCACCACTTTGTGAGCACCTGTATGAGAAAATAGTCTTGGGAGCGACATGTCTTGATGTACAACTAGAGGAATTTAAGGATTTCATTGTCTACAGTCCATACTATCATCAAAAGATTCAAAGAATCAGAGAAGTCTCTGCACATAAGCAGCAAGGCCCAAAACCAACATGAAATGCCTGTAACCTTCGACCCCTCAGGCAGCACTGCATCAAAAATCAACATCACTCTGTGAAGGATATTACCACGTAAGCTCAGGAATACTTTGACAGTCAACACATTTCACCTCTACATCCACAAGTTCAAAATCGACCATGCAATACCAATGCCAGTATTGGTTTTGCTGGCTTCTCTGGACCTAAGCTCATCTGAAACAGACTGACGCAAAGTGGAAAAGTGTAGTGGCCTGACGAGTTGACGTTCCAAATTGTTCTTGGAAATCAAAGACGTGGTGTCCTCCGGGCTAAAGAGGAAAAAGACCATCCAGATTGTTACCAGGTCTAAGTTCAAAAGCCAGCAGCTGTGATGTATGGGGGTGTGTCAGAGTCCATGGCATGGCTAAGTGTCACATCTGTGAGGCTCCATTAATACTGAAAGGTACATACAGGTTTAGGAGCAACATATGCTGCCATCCAAGCCACGTCTTTTTCAGGGATGTCCCTGCTTATTTCAGCAAGACAACATCAAGACACATTCTGCTCATGTTACAACAGCGTGGCTTTACAGTAAAAGAGTGCTGGTACTAGACTGGCATGACTGCAGTCCAGATGTGTCTGGAGCATTATGAAGTATAAATATGACCATGGAGACCTGGACTGTTGAGTAACTGAAGTCATACAACAAACAAGAATAGGAAAGAATTCACCTCCAAAATTTCAACAATTAGCATCCTCAGATTTCAAACAATTATTGAGTGTTATATAAAGGAAAGGTAAAGTGACAGAGTGGTAAATGTGGGTAAATATGACCCTGTCCCAGCTTTTTGGAACGGGTTGCAGAGATCAAATACAAAATAAGCCAATATTTGAAAAAAAAAAAAAAAAGAAAAGGAAAAAAATGTGCCTTCTAGAAATTAAAGCAACTGTTGATGGTGGACTAAGATACATTTAAGAAAATAAGTTGAAGAAAACAAAGCTTTAGATGTAAACATTTATTACTTCATGGAATGCCTGTGTTGTAGTGTTTTATGTAAGAAACAGTGGGAATTTTATTTATTTTATTTTACCTCCATTTCTGATTAAAAGACAAGCTTTCACGCTCTGTACTTCCATTCTTTAAAATGGAGTCTTCAAGACTTATGCAGCCTTCAAATCAACACTTTTTTGTTATGCCATGATTAAAGAATCTTAATGTCAAAAAAGGAAGATAATTATCAAGATTATACTAGTTTTCACAAAACTTCAGAGGTGCTCAGTCTACACTAGCAAACCAAAGATTTGATTTATCCAAGCAATGACATTGTGCTATGGGATAAAGCATTGGACAACACCAAAGAGACCAAAATTGGTCCCAGACTCTCATTTCTGAGAAATGTACTCACTCCTAATCTATCAAGAAATGTCAGCACTTAAAGGTGTGATCCCCTTGAGTTTGAGGTCAGGGTCCTATCTTACATTCCTCACATTCTCGGTCTGTCTTCTGTTTCCAGGCAGACAACTTTGAGGTTAAACATTAAGTTAAGAGTCTTTCTTCAGATGAAGCAGTAGATGCTCAAAAATTCAGAATATGAGACAATGGTTTTCACAAGACAGGCCTGATAAATCACAAAGTTACTGACATCCAAAGGGAAAAATAAAATTTAAGATTCTGTATCCACATGTAACTATCCCAAAAAATAAAATAAAATATATATATTTAATCAGATTCTTAATACATGGGTTGTGTTTTAATACCTTATGAATCCTTGGTTATTTACTTTTACTCATGAATAAATCAGAGAGGTTTACCGCCTCACTCACCTCGCCTGTATTCTTCCTGACTTTTGCAGGAATTACCTAATGAGCAGCTACAAGCAGTGACTGTTTTATTATGCTGTTGCTTGCAGTCTTTTACTCGTACGCCTCTCTCTTGCTCGCTGCCTTCATGACTGGTTTTCACAGCTGCAGAGAGTTTAATTATCACCAGACATTCATACACTTCCTGCAAAGAGAGTCATCTTGCGGCATGTTGAATGTTTTTGATTGCGCACTTACACGCTGAGGTTCTATCATTGAGGTGTCCCACCGCAACCTAAGGATATTACAAGAATACTAATAATTCAGTGGCCCTCCAGCATTGCACAAGCTAGCTTATGCATTACACTTTTATGTAAGTCTTGAACACGTCTGGGTGTCTGTCACAGAGGTGCTTGGTGAAGTTTGAATTGCTCTCTGCCTTGAGTGACACTGTTTGAGACTGTTTTAGCATACAGATTTCTGTAAGTCAGTGGGTTCACCATAAGCACCAGCTCTGTATGTTAAGTAGTCTTAAAGGAGACTTAAGCAGCCTGTTCTGGTCACTTGTACAAGGCATGCAGATCAAATTTTCCTCCTCTGGGCCCATAACTTCCTCCTATCTCAGCCACTTATAGCAGCACCCATTGCCACTTGCAACAAGAACCACTTTAGAAATTTCAATACCAGATCATACTGAATAAATAGTTTTGCAGATAAGTATTTATCACTTTTGAGCTCTGGTGTGCTCAAACATGTGCTGCAAAATAAATATAAAGAAGTGATTACCCAGTTCCCAGTCCTTAAGCCTACAGTGGGTATTTCTGTTGTGACTCCTGAGTGCACCAGCTTGACATGTCATCCTAATTAAATAACATGTCCGGTATGCTATATAGGCTTGTAGAGATTGAGACAGAGAGAGGGGATCATCAGTACTAGGGGTGGGAGGAAAAAATTGGTTCACATACATATCGCAATTTTTTGTTTTACAATTTTTAAAATCAATATTTTGGTTCAAAAATCGCTTTTTTTCCCTTTCAAATTTAAGAATAAATCTTAAAAACTGACTTACATGTGATCAGTGTTGGGAAAGTTCACTTTCTACCTGAACTAGTTCAAAGTTCAGTTCACACATTTTAAAATGAACTAGTTAAGTTCAGCGTTCATAATTCCACATTTTAAACTTAAGTGCATGGTTCCCAAAAATGAACTAATTCAGTTTTTTTTTTCTGCAATACTTTGCTGCAAGCTATTATTTGTCCAGATTTTTTATGTAGCCCATATAGAACCACAGACAGCAATTATTTTAGCCGTTTTAACACTAAAACTACACCAGATTAATCTTCATATCCGTTTTTGAGTCCTGATCCAACCATAGCATTGAGAGGACAGCCCTCAGAATACTGGCGTTTCCCTAATGTTTTGTTCAGTCCCCATTAGTAAGAATGTTCATCCCTAGAGTATATTTTCATAACCATGAGGAAAACCTGCTGCTTGAATGGTTTTTAGACTCTTTATTATGAATACAACAACAGGACTGTAGTCCTTAAGTTTTTTTGTCATACTTTTCCAAACCTACCTGGAAACAATTCACATCAAATTCCATTTCAGTCATTATAAAAAGGAACCACAGCAAATACTGGAAAGAAGAGTAACAATTAACAGTAAATGCTCATATGAGTCTGGGTGCTCTGGGCAGCTAGTGCGACCTCCCTCATCCAACATGTAAACTTAAGTCGTGACGACTGACGTATTTATCAGAGCGACAGACAGGCTGCTTGCGGTTGCCAGATTGGGTGTCTTTTCGCAAAATATGAAGGCCTGTTTATGGTGTGTTTTAGCCGGGGTTTCGCCTGGAAGGCTCTGGACATCTGGCACACTTGTAAACAGAGTCTAGAACGCCGCTCACAGACGCCAGAATGAGCGCGTTCAATACCAGCGTGTTCATACGCAAATAAAGAACGATACATTCACGTTTGCCCGAAGAAAAAAAAAAACGTAGAAGAATTGAATCGGGAGAAAAGCATATCGTCCCAGCCCTAATCAGTACCATCATAGTAGGGGACCACAGTATTAAAAGCCATGGCAGAGGGGAACTTGCATCTACCATAGCAGCAATAAAAGCCAAGTGGGCGCTTGGCAGTGCCAGCCTAGTGCAATTCGAATACATCAAGAATGACCAAGCAGTAATTCAAGACAACAAGTCCCCCATCTGCAAGAAAATACAGCTGGATAGGTCAAGCAGAAAACAGGCAAGACTGGAATTTATGCTACACAAAGAGTGGCATGATGGGAAAAACAAGTTCCAGTCTCAGCTCTACTCAGCCCATGGGTGTCATCATTTCTTGCCATCAGAGGAAATCTATTTTAGGTAGAAAGACTTTTCACTATTTCCCTGCCAATGAAGAGCACAGACATGGAGTGTATTTTTTTTCTCTCCCTCTCCTTTCTTCTTGTACCAATAGATGAGGAGTAATTTTAGCATTCTGTTTAGCTGAGGTGCAGCCAAACCGGCCACATGGAGGTGGTTAATGACAAAATATAAAGTTAAACTCACCTCAAATACACTGACACTTGCACCAAAGGGCCTTTAAGTCTGCACTACGACAAAACAGCCCAGGTCAAAGCATGTGCAACGCAACATGTAAAGTGGAGGTGGAGCAGAGACAGAAAAGTCAGGAAAGAATTTAGTGAAAATTAAAGTATTTTTGCATATCTTTTCAATTAAAAAACTGACAATATTCATTTTTTTTTCTAAATGTGAACATGAACAGGGGAGGTCTCCATAAGCCCCTGCAGATCCGTCATCGTCGGAAGAAGACTGGAGACTGTATTGATTAATGGAAAAGCCTCTCTTTGCATCCTACATGATGACATGTGCCCCTAAACAACAACCACCGCAGCATTCAATCTCTTTTATGGAACACAGCATGCAGCCCTGACATGAGGTAATGGGCTGTTTGGAGACAACAATGCCATTAAGAGGGGTTAATTGCTCTCAGCACTTCATATCACCCTGCTGTGTTGCTAGCTTAGTTCACTGCTGAAATGACCTAAACTGTATGTCGGATTGATTGGCTGTAGACAGGAAAGAGTGTACGTACAGTATTCTAAAGGTTCGGAGGTTGATTGGCCATGTCTAGTTTGTCATTATCGAATTCATTTTGATGGTCCAGTCAAGACTCTCAATTTTCTGAGCCCATACTGAGCCCATACTGAGGGTTAAAAATAAACATTGGTTAGCTTCAAGATCTATTATGGTCTTATGTATTTATGTGTTCAAGCCTAACAATACTGTTACTTTCCTCAATTTGTGACACAGATCCTGTCATTTGAAGTAACTTCGGTCAAGTCTTTCGTTTGACCGTGGCATGAGCTGATCCAGGAGATGATTCTGGAGCAAATTTAGAGTTCCTGCACTTCTTTCTTATAAAACTCTGTATTCAGTTATGTCAAATTAAACAACAAAGTATCAAATGAACAAACAAAACTGGGGAAATCATTGCAGTGGTTCAGTTGTCTGTTTCAGCTATGTCCATCTCGACCGAGTAACTTTAGTAGAGGTAGAGCAAAAGATGCCTCTGGCTAAATGGCTGTTCCACAGTGACCTATTTCCCAGAGTGCCCTGTGCCTAACATTTTAAGTGATGGATGCTTTGAGACATCCTGCCCTCTCTCACTGTTTCTTACCACGCGGATGAGGACACTTGTTAGTGTGTGTGTGTGTGTGTGTGCGTGTGTGTGTGTTCAGGGGCAAAGTGGGCTTCAGAGTTGCGAGCTGGTTTGCTCTACAGCACTGGCCCACACAGAGGCAAGAGTGAATCAAAACACGGGCTTGTCACGTTTTAAAACTAGACCTCGAGATGACACTTGAGGTGCTTTCCCACCAATGGCACCTAGAGCTGTTAGTTCCAGGGGACTTCTCTACAAGTGGCCTGAATGGTTCCACTGGGGGCCTAAAGTTTGGAGTTTATGGAAAATGTAAATCAGGCCAATGACACCAAAGGACGGTATTTAGAAGTGAAGTTACTTGCACAGGTATTCAGAGGCTTTTTGAGAGGTTGGTCTTCTACTCAAGAACTAAATTTACTCTCTAGTTCCTGCAGTCATAGTCCCAGGATAAGGTTCCTTATTCTGGGATAAAGTTCCTGTGGTTCAAAAGCACCTTTTAGAGATTGTATTATTCCCGGTAAGAACAAGGACAAAGTGACATAGTTTAACCTGAAGGCTGGGGGCTCAGAAATGACAAGGTAGGGAAAAAATGCAACATTCAGTAGGAAATAGTATCATATAAAAGCTGTAATAACTCTTAATATTTCCAAAGCAGGACCCTGTTTGAACATGACTCTGCCCCCATGCATGGACAGCTCTCATCTTTTTGTGGCTTAGATTGGAGGAACCTGACCTAGAGAGTCCATACAACACCTTTATGATAAAGCTGAATCTGGACTGTGACCAAGACCCTACCTGAACATCCAATGCAAAAGCCCTGCAAGAAGTCATAAGGTGCAATATTTAAAACTACTATCCCCTAAATAAATGCATTCATGTTTGAAAAATCATCAATTTTCACTTCTGAGGCAAAGTACATAGTTGGAGCACTCCCACTATAAAGAGTTGAAGGAGCTACACAACAATGGTGAGGTAACTCTTGTGATGACAAACTATTTGTGTCATGCTATCAGTGTAAACCTTCTATGACATGATGACCTCTGGCTAACCTGCAGCAATCTGTTTGGCTCTGGTTTATCAGTCGCTGCCTTATACCCTTTAATTCTTCTGTAAGTTAAGTGCTTTTATTTTCTACTATTATGGTTCTACTGCATTAAGAACCTTAAAACATAACATATCCTCTAAACGCTGCCCAGCCAATCAAATTTACACATATGAGACATTAATTCTCACTGTGAGGTGTTTATAAGAAAAGCATGTTCCTGGAAGTGTCAAAGTTTAATGTCTGTAAAGTAAGGGGTTTAAGTGTGAAAAAATGTTAAAGGGAGAGGAAGAGACAAAGAAAAAAGAGAGAGAAAGGGATGAGAAAGAGAGAAAACGATGTGAGGGAGATGAAGGCGAGTGTGAAAGAGATAAGAAAGAGAGAAAGAGGTGGAGCGAGAAAGAGGGAGAGAGAGAGAGAGTTTACTATCAGTCACAGGGGCCCATTGTTGTCCGGAGACAGATGTCCTTGTGTCACTTTGCTCTGGCTCCCACCAAAAGAAGAAAACAATCAAACAATGTAAATCAAATTATATTCCCATCAGTGTTTTTATCATTCTTAATCTGAAGAAATCTGAACTCAAAACTGTCATTTACTCAACCTCTATTTAATTATTGAATCCATTTTCACTGTGCCTTTTCCACTCTGAGTGACAGGTTATCATGTTTTTGCGTCTCTGATATTCCTGCTTTGACAAAGCCTGGCTACAGTCTCCTCACATATACTCTCCATTGAAGGTACTGTTTGTGCCAGGCCCATCAAATTTTGTAACTGTGAGTATTGCCAACTGGTGTCAGACCTTTAGACTTGGACATGCTTCACAGGACATTGTGATCGACCCTTTTTAGTCTGTTAAATATCAATGCATTGATTTCGATTTATGTTGAAATCTAGATTTCTTCTATTTTGGAAGTAAGTCAAGTTGCTCCATGGAGGTAGATGTTGGAAAAAAAATGCTGTAGCTGCTTGGAACACTGGAAACGGACGTAGATCTATAAACATGACTAATGGCATGATACTACGCATATTCATTACATGCACTCTGCTCATTTTCATACCACTGCATAACTGCACATATGCTTGTTCCTCCTCCTCCTCCTCCTCCAACAAAGCAACCAACACTTGCTTATGTTCTTGTGGATTATTCAGTCTGTATCCGACCCTCCTCCCACTCTTCTGCACATCTTCAACTGTCCTCCCCTTCTCTAGCAAAATGTATACGACCCATCCTTGATAAGTTACAAGCGACAAGAATTCACGCACAAACAAAAGCCTGACCCACAAAGGCTCAACTACGACAAGAGGAGAGTGCTGGGGTCAACTGTGTAGTGTCATAACATAAAAATCAAAGCTGATGTCAAACAGCAGCATTTACTCATGGGTGAAAATGAAAAAAACAAAGAACTAAATTTAAACTCTGCTCAGCGTTCAGGATTTTTTTTAAGTTTTAAATGATAAACAGTACAAGAACTGAGTTTTTAGGACCCTCTGTGTTATTTTTCACATGCTTCTTATGGATCAAGACGAGTCTAGCCTTTGCAAACAACCACAAGCTTAATAAACAGAGATGCACACAGATTGAAATCAGAGAACATAACACTGTTGGAATGTAAACTTGGGCTGTGTTATGTCCTGGCTGTCTCGGCCTGACCACAATGCCACGAAGCTGGCCCACCCAAACATTAACACAGCATGTACCCTGTCAGCGAGTGTCATCTGGCATGATGCACCAACATGTACTCACACTCACACATCACGCAGGCACACACACACACACACACATACAGTATTTCTTATCCATCTCTTTGCAGCACATTAATGGGAGTGTGTCAGTCCCCTCGTGTACACATGTGTCTTTTCGTGCGTAAAAATTTACACTTTACATTTACAAGTTGCAAGTTTTACACCAGAGTGAAGCAGGGGGGTATCTATCTGCACAGACCTGCATCATGTGTGCACGGTGCTTACCTGTGGTGGAGTGCAGGCTCTCCAAGCTCCAATAGCGAGACAGGACCCCCCTCAGAGTTCCACCTAAGCTCCCTCCTCCTCCACTTCCACCCATACATCCACCAACTCCGAGACCAGCGTCCACAATGCTGTCCACCCCTCCGCCTGTGGGGCTTCCACCATCCGAGTCAGACCCCGGTGACAGCCCCAAGCTGCCACTGCCACTACTGCCACAGCTGCCCCCAGGCAAGGGAACGCCCCCCTCTGAGCCTTGTTGGGTCCGCATCCCAATTTGGATGCACCATGCAATGAGGGAAATGAAAGTGAGCAGTGAAGAGGTAAGTGGAAATGAAGAGGTGCCTGAGCAGGTGGTTTATCCTGCCAGAAGGGAGAGAGTGCAGTGGAGGTGGAGGAAGGGGAGGTGTCCTCCGTGCTGATCTACTGCGCTATTCGCTGAGGTAAGCTTGAGCTGTCAACTTGCTGTTTCCTCCTTCCAAGCAGAGAAGAGTGCTTCGCTTCTCCCTTCAACTCTCTTCTCTTGTTTGTCTCTCACACAGTGGCTGCCCTCTCTCTCTCTCAGTTCTTGTTGCCCGGTCTTTCTACCCATTTGCACAATGCTTCATTTCCTAATATCAACACACAGTCAATTGCTCTCTCTCACTCTCTCTCTCCCCCACTCTCTCTCTCTCTCTCTCTCTCTCTCTCTCTCTGTCTCCAGGCTGACATCAGTGGGGGTACTACAGGGAGGTTTCTGCAGCTCGACCATGTCAATTGCCTGCCAGCGACAGCGTGAATGGCTCACTAATGGCGCAGGATCCATTTAACTGGAGACTGAAAAGACTCAGCCCTCCCTCAGTCTACCCTTCCCCACCCACCAAACACACAAACACACAAACACATAGACACACAGCCAAATGCATATGCACTCACCAACACACACACACCAACACACACACATACTTATTTGTTGTGCATGGGATAGTTGATGTTGACTGGATTTTCAGGATAAAACATGAAACATATAATAGACATAATCATCATTTTAAGCCAGAGTTTATCTTCTCTTTGCATCAGTAGTTGATTTTTTTTCTGCTCACTTCAATCTACAAACTAATTAATTAAGTGCCTAAAGAAAAAATATTTAAGTTGTTTTAACATTTTTGATCAATCACGAATTCATCGATTAACCTTGCGTGTCAGCCATTCACCTGCACCTCCGTGTACGACCACTAGAGGCCAACAAAAACAAACAAAAGAGAGATTTCCAGGTGCTGTTGGTTCTCTTTTCGAACAAGTCCTGATGATTTCTGCCCCTGACTGAAGCAGAGCAGTCATAATTATCTCTATGGAGATGGTGCACCTCAGCGGTGTCACACCTGGAAGTGTGTGTGTACACGGCAAAAAACAACAAACCCTTTTAAGAGTAAGATTTGGACTACGGCGTCCGTCAAACTGCATCTCAAAGCCTTCTTTACATTACAAACATTTATCATCAAGAGAATTTAAACTGATTATTTGCAACTACTCAGCTTTGCCATATGCCAGTCACAAACAATGAGTCAGAAAAACAAAAATCCAAATCCACTCAGCTGATGCTTACTGTGCCTAACTTTACAACTGACTGTCTGACTTCTCGAGTTCAAGCTGCCGTTGTCAAGGGAATTCAACCTGATGAAACCACCTTAAAAGATTACAAAAGGAAATGAGATGTATCACTACTCAGATTAACTCTGCTCTACTGGAGATTACAATGGTAACCATGGCATTGTGTAAAAAGACCAAAGTGGCTTTATTGTGGTGTGCTGTCCCACTTGCATTCTCAGGCACAGTGGGGTTGTGTTGCAATCGCCCTATATTGCTTTTCCCAAATGAGTGCGGTCCATGAATCTAATTACACTGGGGAGAGATGCAGACATCACCATGAGAGAATGCAATCTGCAGTCTGTCAGATTTAAGATGACAGTCTGTTAAAAGACAGGCTGGATATCAGTTAACATTATTCAATTTGTCAATTTGTTCAATTTTACAAATGCTGCTCAGATCCCCCTCAGTGACATGTCCTGTTGTGCTCATTTTTTGCTTCCACATAAGGTTCTGCCTCTGAACACTTGATAAAGACAAATATTTTTTTTTTTGTTTCCATAAAAACACCCAAACAAAAATGAGTGAGGGAAAAAGAAAATTACAATATGAAATATCAAAGTTTGCAGGCGCAGCTGATGGTAAACTGTACAGTCAAAGGGACTCTTAGCTTTGACTTTCAGTGAGAGTTTACTGCAGCCAGCAGGTTGTATGAAGAACTGCATTTTTCCTCTCACATATAGGAGAGATGTTGCTCAGATACATGAATCACTGCATTTACACTTATGTTTTAGCATCACTAAAATAAGTTCAATCTACAGAATGAGTGCAGTCCTATTGAAGGAGATACTTTTCACCACTTCAACTTGTTAGATTGATGCCTCACTGCAGGAAGATACTACAACTCACACATACAGAGTCTACACTGCTTTACATTTAAGATTACAATGCCTTTTAAAACACCTTTTTTATAATAATGGATTTTGTCAAAGTCCCAAAGCTTTTAAGAAGCATGAAAATGGTACCCTATATTTTAGAGCATATGAAGTACTACAAAAAACACATAAATTCTGCCTGATATTTTGTTGTCAATCTTTATATCAAATATTCTCTTTATCTTATCTCATTGCGTATCAACAATTCAAAAGCCTTGGCATGTTCATCATCTGTTTCAAGGCACACCTTATTGTCTGCTGGATGGTTGACTTCATGTCCTCACAGGCATGATATTAACTGTTTAATGTTAATCAGCTTTTTAAAACTTAACTCAAACAAAACTGAAACACTTGCAGTCAGAGAGAGACAAAATCCACCTACACCTGAAATAAAAGTCTTTCAAAGTCAGTGATTCAGATCTCAGCTTCAGAGATCATATCACAAACAAAACGAGAGCAGCACTCTGCCATCTACAAAACACCTCAAGGTACAACCATTCATGTCCCAAACTGATGCAGAAAAGTTAATCCATACGTATTCAAACAAGCTTGATTACAGCTATGCCCTATCAAATGTCCATGAAGCACTCAATGGTTCAGCACCTCAGTATATTTCTGACACGCTACATAATCCAAACCCTCAGGTCATGGTGAGAGTCTGTTAACCGAGCCCAGAATCAGATCCAAGTCTAGTTAGGTTTTCTTTGTTTCTTCAGTTACTGTGTGGTGTGTTTGGTGTATGCTGGATGTTGGTTTATTAATTGTATTATGTTTTTCATTCTTTATGTAAAGCATATAAGGCTTACCTGTAATGACATAGGCTTAATACATAAAATCGCTATTTCTATTGCAATTAATATAACCAGTTAATTGACTGTAATAAAAGAACTTGTGGATTTAAAATATCATTTTCCAGTCTATCAAGGTTTTTTTTTTTTTTTTTTTTTTTTACTAATTTTATAAAATTTAATGATGAGGCCAGAGCATTACTGACTCACACACATCAGTGATAGTGGAGGTGCCTTGTTCATCCTTGGAGGAGCTAAAGCACCTCACACAAGAACACCTTGACACTTCAACAGCACACCATCTCCCGTTCCACACAGCTCTAGTTATTTGACAACCATGTGTTTGTGTGTGCTAGTCAGGGTTGGGGTCCAATTTGAACTAAATTTTAATAAAATAAAAACAGAAATAAAATTATATATGAACAGAGTGTCTAAATTGGGGGAAATCTGCACCAGAGTGGGTACTTACTGGAGTAGATGTGGCTTCTCCAACCTAGGCAGTCAAGGCCTATGGGGGTGCTCTGGGAGAAGCAGTGGGCCTTGAGGGGCATCCCCCGAAAGACATCTGTGGGCCCTGAGGTGACTCCAGCATCAATCTGTAGGAACAACAATGGATTTGTTTAATTACATTTCTACTGATATTAATGTGTTTGTCATTTTTAACAGGACATAAACCTACACAAGACATCGACTTTTTAGAGACAATAATTGTTAGGAAAGCAGGATGAATGAGTATGCTTCCATTCAAGTGGAGGTGAAAAGAGAGAAACAGTATAGAAGGACATGCCAGAAAGGTAACGTCATGACAGATTCAACGGTTCATTTTCAAGGAGAACTGTCAGAAGTCATCAAAGAGGAAGAAACAGTTTGAAAGAGACGGAAAAGCGAGGAAGGAAGAAGACGAGGATCAGAAAGATTCCCAAGATTCGGACTTTCGTCGGCCAGCCCACCTTGCTGTGGCAACATCTTACTTTGTCCATGTCTTCGGAAAACACTGTGTTGAGTTGTCCAAAGCTCCCCCTGATGATCCTCGTCATTTTACGTTTGTATTTCTTTTGCTCTTCAATCCAGAGGTCATCCAAACTCTTTCTCCTCTGCTGCTGGCCACATCCATCATGGACCATATCCATCCAAAGGCTACTCCTCAGCCAATCAGGAACCAAATGAGCTTTCACCTCAGTCTTCTCCATCCGCAGCTTTCTAGCTCTGGGCTGGCACGAAGGCTGGCCTCCATTTAGTATGCCCTTCTAAGGGCAGAGTTTACTGGTTAGGTTTGGGGCTTTGGTTAGGGTTTGAATATTACTGTCTGTATTGTAGCTGGCTGTTACAACTCACAAGACAAGATACAGACACATTGACTTTATGATTTCTTGACATAGCATGAGGACGAACACTCAAATACACACACAGAAACTTTTCACCAAAAGAGAGTCAAGCTGTAGTTAGTTATCATTGTAATTATTAATTAATTAGTTAGTTATAATTAGTTATCAAGACCTCAGATTAAAAAAAGAAAGAGGTTTTCACTTTGACAAATTCTTATATGTCAATTAAACAAAAAAATGTGGTGATGGTCTTTTTTTCCTTTTTAAATCATTACTTTGGTGAAGTTCTTTGCAAATAAGAACTAAATATACAGTGTCATAATTCTTGATAAAAAAAACAACAACATTATTTCAGTCTATATATCCATGCATATTAAACCAGTTCAAAACATGATGCAAAAATGAACCTTGTTGAAACCTTGTTTTTATCATAAAGCTGTCTAATCTAAGCACCTCTAAAAGTAATATTAAATTTGACAGTTCTTCTTGCTGGTCAGATCACAATAAAAACATTGCAACTTGAGGAGTAAGGGCTCATCAGGAATTTCCATCACGTATGTGTCTCATAAAAACAGTAAGCAGCTAAAGAGGTAGAGAGATAAATAGTTTGTGTGGGTATCTTGTTCCAAAAGAACACAAGATACCCGCACAAGCTGTCTGATTATGTGAACACTTAACGGCTGGCAAGACTTCAGGATGTTGTGTACTGAGTGGGAGTCAAACTTGGGGGGGAAATCCTGTGTTGAAAGAGCTGTTTCACAGTCTGATACCTTTTTTTTCACCAAAATGTGTTGGACAGCCACAAGGGGGGGCTGCTTCTCAAGTTATCTCTTTCTGACTGTGGACTATTGTTGGAGCTGGCAGGGAGGTAGGATGTTGGTCAGCAACTAAATCATAATGGAAAGCTAAAAATTCGACTGTAGGCAGACGTTTCTGTGCTCCTCACAGAGTTCACAAAGGGCCACAGAGAATTCAAGACTTGTTCTCCATCCTAATTCAGTCAAAGATTTACATAGATATACTGGTAACATTGTTGTAGGACTTCACATCGCATACATTAAACAAAAATTTCCATATATTCATGCTAATTAAAGTCTATGATTAATATGAGAAAGGTGGAGGGTGAGAGAAAACATTTTTGATCACTTCTGGGAATAGTAACCTACAAGCAGCACTCCTCAGGGCTGAGAAATGACTCACGTCTTTATATCATACTCAGATCAAAGTTGCGCATATGTGCTGATAGGCTGTTATGAGTGACAGATGGATCATCTCAGCTGAGTGATGCAAAAACATGCTTTGTTGTGTAGTTTAAGAATAAAAACATGGAGATTAACTAATCTAAAAGACAGGGCTAAAGAGCTGAGTTTAAAGTTTTCGGAAGTAAACACTTTCAGCTGCTTTCGACTGTTTTTTGGCTTGGAGAAATAAAAGCTATAAGCTACTTAAATAAAGGTCGAAGTTCTTTCCTTTGACTGAAGGACTCATACGAGAGGCATTGAGGGCCCATACTGGTTTACACACTCGAAGAATCTCACTAAGTGAATGATTTTGTTGGTGTCAACTTATTTGGAGTTGAGTGTGAAGCTGTGATGGCCTATATTGGCAAACTGAACAGACATCCCCCTTTGTACGCACTGATTAACAGCTGGCATTTCATTCAAGTCCAATATGAGTTTATCAATCTTAAATAGTAGAGATTAAACAATGCATGTACAACTTACAACCAATCATACATTTAATAGTTTCTTAATGAAGATGTTACACTGTTTGTCTACTACATGCAGGAGGTTTTCTTACCTCTAAGTCGTTGATGTTGCCAATGGCATACAGACTGATGTGTGACTGGCAGTCAGTTCTGATTTCGACCATATCTGGAGGGCTGAGGTTGAGTCCTATTGGGCTAGATGAGGGTTTTAGGGTTTTGGGTCTCTCAGGGGGATCTGTCAAGCCCTCCACGCTGACTGACTGGCCAAGAGGAGAGACAGAACTGGCCTTTGTTGAGTAAGGGTAACGATATATCTTGCGCTGAGCCCCAGGTCGAGGGCTGTTGGGTTTGGGGCTCATTGGCCGTAGGGGGCTCTCAGTCAAGCTTTCGTTGGCCGCAAAGTTGTATCTGGAGTGGGACGGTGAAATCTGGTGAGCAGGGGAAGCTGGTGAGCAGGGGCTCAAAGGTGAGGCGGGGCTGGTTTGGCTGGGTGGGGAGTCAACACCGTCCCCTAAAAATGAAGACAGGCCAGACACACACTCTGTGGAAGAGGGACCGTTTAGTAAACATTTTCTCTGCTGGCCTTCTGATTTACACTTGTGGAGGTTTTCTTTGACTTGTGGAACTCCACGCTTTGAGATAGGATCAGTGTGGCGAAGGCCCCGGAGAGAGGTTGGTGACCCTTGACTGCTGAGCCGGTTCATGAGTGGAGAGGATGTAAAGTCTCTGCATTCCGACCCTGAAGCCTTACTGACACAGTCTCCATCTGGCACTGAAAGAGCTCTTTTTAGCAAATCAGCCTCCTTGGCCTTTTTTGGCTTCTTCCAAGACGGTTTTGCTTTACCAAAATCCACACCAGCACCAGAAGTTGCTTGCTCACAATTCTCTTTGTCCACTAAACGAGACTCAAATAGGCTGGAAAGGGACTTGTGTGCTTGTGCAAAACGCATCCGGATATTTAAGTTGTCATTGCTCCTGCTTCTCTTGTAAGCCTGTCCGTTAGGTGACTGGACCTGTGCACAGGGGTTATCTGGACTTGGCACTTCATTACCCTCTATGCTGCTGCAATTGCTGACAGGGACGTGAGGAGAGTCGGGGACAGAGGGGAAGGAGCCATGGTCTTCTTCATCTACAACATAAGGTAGTGAGGAAAATGCATGGTGATCCGTTTGGCTGTGGATGCCAGCTTTACCAAAATCGTCATTGTCTGTGCTGTCCCTGCGCGGCTGTTGCTCAGTCAAAAGGCACTCATCTCCCACATCGGATATCTCTTTTGGCATCTCCTCACTCTTGGAGCCCTTTGTGCCCTTTGCCTTCTTTAATGAAGGGATTTTAGTAAAGACAGAAAACTTTGAGCCTCTATTTCCAGTCTGGTAGCTTTTCTTCCTGCTTCTCTCGATCATTTTCTCAGTGCTAGTACTTCTGCCTGAAGGAGCAAACTGGGGATCCTCTAAATCATCACAGCTGCTAGCTGAGGTGTAAGAAACGGCATCGTAAGCAATATTCCTAGGTTTATAGTACTCTTGGCCCGCAGAGGTCTCCTCAGGATCCAAATTAGAAGTGGCTAAATAATCCGTCTCGTTTTGCTGGTGGTGTGACCTCTTTGGACTTGTAATGTCGACAGTATCCCTTACTTCATCAGCAGGCCTCGAGATCTTGTAATCTGCTCCACTTTCTATTTTTGAAACATCATCTGCCATGTCATTATTGTCAAGTGAATTTTCAGCCTCAAGAATTGGCTCTAAACTACTTGCAATGAGCAGACTGAGGCTGACATCGGGGTGTGTGTGTCTGACTACCATCACTTCCTGCTGAGAAGCCGGCAAGCCAACTTGTGTGTGGTCTTCCCACTCATCTGCCAGTGTGTAATCCTTGAATGATTGGGCTAAGCCAATTCTTCCTCTGTAAAGTAAGCTATGATCTCCTGGTTTCCTGCAACAGTACTGGTTTGCCAGAGATTCACCATCCGCAGAAAGGTCTTGACTCTCTGAACTCAACACTGACGACTTGGAGCTTTCCTTTACTTCTGACTTGGAACTTTTGTGCTTCTGACTTTCTCTACAAGTGTTGCCTCCTTGGCTTCTCTCAATCTTGAAGTATTTTAACTCATCTGAATCAACTAAGCTTAGATTACTGCAACTAACAAAGCCAGTGTCCTCACTGCTCCTGATATGCCTTTTGTCCACCGAAGACTGAACCACCTGGTGTCTGTTTACGCCCTCAAAGTCAGATATCACATTTTCTGATGGTTCAGTAAGGGGGCAGTCTTTTCCTCCTGTAGTTTTATAGGTTCTCTGGGGTTCACCTAAGGAACATCCTACATCTCTCCCTCTATCTGTACATTTTAAACTGGCCCTGGTGTTATTATTGGAGTCAGAGACCAAAGAAAGAGGGGCTTGCAGGCTACAATGACCTTCAGAGATCTTAATCTTGTGATTAACTTGTCCACAGTAATCAGAAAATGTGCTGGCGGTTGTCTTTATGTTTGTTGAAATTACACTTTGAGCTACATCTTGGTCTTTTCTGCAGCTGCTCTGAGCAGATTCATTAACAGGGAGATATGTTGTTTGTATCTCATTAGGCACATGTGTAGAGTAGGCTGCTAAATCACCGCTAAGAGCAGGAGGATTTATTCTAGACTCGCTCTGCTTATAAAGCTCTGTAGCGTTCAGCTGTGAAAGTGAAAAATTGATTTTGCTTACTGCTTCCACGATTTCTTCCTGGCCAAGATTACCGTGGCTGCCGTCTGCCTCTGGCCTCTTACTGTTCAGGAGAGGACAGCAAGGTGATTCTAACGTCCGCCTCTCTCTTTCAAAGTCCTCTAATACCACAGAGGTGTTTCCTTCTGTCCCTTGGTTGTCAGACAATAGCAAATTCTCAGGAGATGTCTGCAGAGACAGGTATTCATCGAACCCTTTACCAGTGTCAGATCGGGTTTTGGTTGAGCAAGGCCCTTGGTCTACAGAGCCAAAGAGTGTGAGCTTTTCCAAAGAATGGAGCTGCCTACAAGTGGATATTTCTATTGCAGCAGCATCCTGATCCAAGAGATTAGGGATTAAATCTTGAGTTGGATCTGGAACTTGCAGTGTTTGTAACCTTGAGCTCTGAGATTGTTTTTGCTCTTGCTGCACCTCAGAGGACTCCTTCCTGCCTGAGTCAGGCAGTGCAACAGCCGGCTCAGCAGCACAGGTATCCAGTGGATAAGAAGCTGTTGTGTCTGTGGAAAATGTGATGGAGGAACAAATTTCATTTACAGTCCCAGGTGGTTTTGTTCCCTCTGTTGTAGCACCAAAACACCCGATCTGCTCTGTTTGGAAGCAGACTTGGGACACCCATGCCTTATCCTTGGGTTTTATTGCAGCAGTACAAACCTGAGAGTCTGACAGCCCTTTGTTTGTGCTTTCCTCACAATGAGATCGAGAGCAGCCAATATCCACATCATGAGCCGATACACTGCTTTGTGTACCAAGAGTGTCCTTTAACCTAGACTGAGTGTCGTGTAGCACAACATTTGATTTGACTTTATGTCTCTCTGTGATGTTTGTGTTTGCCTCAACAAAATCTGTTTTGAACTGGGGGTCTTGGCATTTTGTCTCAGATTTGGAGCCAAGCTCTGCATAAGCACTGTCAAAAGTTAGTGCATCTACATCTGTGATATCTGCTCTGCACGATATGCACCTTCCTTCTTTACAGTTACACTCTATTTTGTGATCTTCTCTATTAGTTTTGCATGAATAAATTTTGTCTCTACTGTGCACGTTTCTAGTCTCTACCTCAGGGTCTTCACTGATCAAATCCTGAGGTTCTACCTTTATTCTTCTGAGAAATCTATCTTTACAGTTGTCACTGCATTCATCTAGATCTGTGTTGTCCTCCCAAGAGAAAGTTCTGAACACCTCAGCGTTAAAATGGCAGATTTCTAATCTGTCTCCCCCTGTGTTCCCAGCTGTCTTTTTCTTTTTGAGTCCTGTCTGTAACTTCTCCACGTGTTTGCAATACTGTTGTCGTATCTCCGCAGTCTTGTCTTCTCCAGACTCTATCTGTATCATACATGTGTCTGAGTCTGTAGATGCGTTACATCTGTTGGTTTTGCTTACTTCAAGCAGTGCAGGTAACTTCACTTCCTCAGTGTCTTGTGTACAATTCACCTCTGTGTCAAAGGTTTCAGTGTTTTCTTGGCTTTGTGCAAGTAAGCAGCATGGCTCCGTGTTTCCCTTCACTTGAGTGTCAGTGGAAATGGTCTGTATACAGGGCTGCTTGTGGTCCAAGTCTAATTTTAGGTTCTCAGTTTTTTGATGGGGCTGGATCTCAGGGCAAAGAAAATCAGGTTCCACATTGTTCTCTGGGCTTTTCCTCAAACTACATGTGAATTGTTCAAAACAAGTCTCTGCATCTTTGTGACAGTCCCTGTCTGTCACTGACTCTCTCCGCTTAGCTTTGCTCTGACACGTGTGGAAACTGCTGTCCAATACTGATCGGCCGACATAGGCATCCTCCAATCCCAGAACGGTATCCGCGGAGTCCTCCTCGTCGGGACTCAAATCCGACAGGGTGTCACTGTGGCAAGAGCGGAAGTCAAAATATTCATCCGATGTGTCAGCCTCCCCGATGCCCCTCTCACACCACTCCAGTGATCCAGCACTCAAATCTCGTTCCACTGAGCATATCTCATCAGTGTGGGGGCAGTCTTTGAGGGCTGCCTGGGGCTGTAAAGAGACGGTAAAGAAGAGATGGTTAGAATTAAAATTGGAGTAATAACAAGGGTGTGAGACGATGCTAAAATCTTACAGCTTGCTCTGATACAATTACTCTAGGAGTGATCCCCCAGATAAAAACATGTAAGATGTTGAAATCTAATTTACAATAGTTAATAGTAATATAAGTTACACACCAAATGTATTTAACAGCAGTTAATCAAGTAGAGGCCATTGACTGCCCCAATCCACTTTTATCCACAGCAGCTGTATGTCATTAATGGAGCAGGTCCTGCTACATTTTTTCAACAGAATTTCTAAACAGGTGTGAACATACAGGAATAAAACCCACTCAATGAAATTTAAAGCATTGAATTATCTAATGATCATGATTTTAATCAGTCGAATTGACTCTTCATTCAAAATTGTTTTATATGGTTTTAGGGTGTTATTTATTTTATCATTTTGGCTTCTAAACAAGAGCAATTAGTAGTAAATTGGGGCCAATTGGAGTAATTGCACTTTTAGGCAAATAGGGTTAAACATAAGACAAGTGATTTTTAAAAATATAAAAAAAATTACAATAGCATACTGTATAAAGTGACAATATAACAGGATACAATCAATACCATATGACCTAATATAATACAATCTGATACAGTACAATATGCGATGATGTGATATGTTATAATACAAAACAATATGGTAGGATGTGATTTGCTACGTTACGTTCCGTCACCTTCACGGCTTAATCTGCATTGGACTCAACTGTCGCACACATACAGCTGCATCCACAGTAGTAATTATAGGGCTGGGTAAGAATATAGATTTTGTATATTCCAATCAGTTTTTAATTAAATGATAAGCCTACAAAGAAGAAAACCCTGAGTCTGATTTTTATTGCACCCCTTTCCTTCTTTTTCGAGAACAATCCAACAAAGTCTGGACACATGGTGCTGGTATTTTAAAGCAAACACAAAAATACACAAAGGTGCTTAGCTAAAAGCAGCAACTTAGTGAAAGCACAAACTTCAGAGGCTGAGTAGAGCTGGACTAAAGCAAAGTCATATGCAAGGTTTTACTTCATGGAGATGGACTATTGTGAAAGTAGGCAACTGCAAATCTCCAAAACCATTAAATGAGGCACCACCAATATAAACAGTCCTCAAAACTGTATGGGCTGAGACAAACCTGACTGGATAATCTTATTAATGTTTAAGTACAGACAGCTGACTCAAAAAAAAAAGAAAAAAAATCAGGCTGTTTTTCTTCTCTTCAGTTTTCCACAAACACACACAGACACATGCACACACAAACCCTGTCCTTTCCACACAGTGGCCTCCCCACCCCGTCTCTCCCCCTCTTTCTACCTGTATGTGCCCACTCTATTGTCAATATATATCAGCAGTTCAATTTATAAAGTCATCTTAACAACACAACTCATGTTTCAGAAACTTTCACTCATTCGAATGACAGCAGGTCTGAGTGCTGATGAGGCTTTTTATCAGTGACATGATGAATTCTCATCATCCGTAGCTGACAGAGCAGAATAACATCTGCAGAAAGCAAGTGGGACAGAGTGCGCATGGAGGGTGAAGCTGCACTGCATGAGCTAACAATGACATTGGGCGAATATGGACCAAGTGAACTAAGTTTTGTCTCAGTCCAGCCCTGGCAATAGGTGAGATGCAGACCATAAAGTATATTGTTTTTTAAAGAAACTATGAACAGAGAAAAATGTCCATAAAATCAATAAAAGAGAAAAACAAACAGTCTAGCACAGAATTAATTATGTGTCTAAGGAAAGACTGTAGATGTAGACAAATTAAGACTCCAGTAGTGAAGGACATCATATGAAATACTCATGTTGTGGCATTGAGTTCATTTATAAATGTAAACCTCTGCATTGGATAAAGCACTTGTTAAGAAGGTTCCTTGTACCGTTGCCAGTATTAGTTCTCTTTGGTATTGGAGCAAAGTTGGTACTCGTCCTCAGACTTCACCAGCCTTAAGTATTCATGCATTAATACTTGTTAATCATGCATTTAAAAAGCAAATGTATAATCAAACATAACCTTTTTTTCCTACCAGTACTGCTGCAGCTAAAAACAGGTTTCTAAGATGCACCAAGAAATGATTTCAACATTTCAGATTTCACTTACTTTCAGGTGCTTCAATGCATCGGTTGTGTCCAGCACCAGAGTATGAAGGCGAGCAGCAAACCAGCTAAACACTGCTCCCATGGTGTCCCTCACATACATAACCACACTCACAAGCTCTCCACTTCCGTGTGCTACATCCTCAAGCTTCCCATTGCATTTGTTTTCCTTCTTCTTTTCCCTCCATTGTTGTTATTAGTGCAAAGAGCCAAGTCATAAATAACAGATCCATCCCTGTTTTATCCACCTGCAATATATGGAACACAACAAGAAGCCCTTCCCATTTCACCGCATGTCAAAGGAGTGGATCTTCTACTGCAGCTATGAGTTAATCCGCCCTCAACACAGCAGGTTCCCAGTGAACTCTGTGTCTCAATAACAAGGGAAGACATTAAGAAGCCTGGCTATAAATACAAGACTGACACTCAAGGCAGTGTAGGTCGCATGACAACTCAATTTAAGGGCAAGCAAAAGTAAGCTCATCCAAGTGACATTTAATGAGAATCTATGGGCTCTAATTGGTTCAACAATGCCATTGTGTAGGACTCTTTATTTAGTATATGTACACTATTACAAACCCTTTGACTCAAATGCTTGAAGAAGATAGCATGAGGCTGCAGTTTAAACTCTGATAATGCCATTTGCAGATTGAACTGTTTATTCCGGGCAGCTAGAAGACAAAAATGAAACCTCTTTATTTGTAATGACAGAATATTGAAAGCTGATGCTAACCCTAACCCTATGAACATGGGAGATGTGTGTAACATCCCCCACTGATCAGTTCAACACCAATACAAACCACCCCTCAGCTTAAGGGGCGGGACCAAGATCAAAAAACTCCAATCATTGGTTGATCCATTCACAGAGTGGCCAGTGTTATTTTCTGCTAATTAATTATAGTTGAGTGTCTTAAAGCAGCTTAAAGGCTTAGCAGAGCTCCCTTTCTAGCATATAGTGGACTGGCTGGTGGTAGAACAACACTCCACCTTCTCAGTGCAGTTACCCAAGCAAACACATGGCCCATGTTATTATCCTTGTAGCAGGCAGAGACATGCTAGCTAGGACTAACAGAGACCAAATCTGGAGCTGCAGCCTACTGAGAAAAAAGCCTTTACTTGGTTGTGCAAGTAAAAAGTCTCAGAAAACACATTAGGGCCACAGTCCAGTTCACAATTTTTAAATTCTGATTCAACTGAGCCGAGGGAAAAAAGGAGTACAAGGAAGTCCAGGAAAAATAAAAAAAATCTCATCATTAGGCTGAGGCTGGGGATTTTTTAAGGATCATGTCTGCTAAAAGTAACAGCAATTTGAATATTCTATATTTAATAGGGGAGACCGGGGTTTGTTGTCACATGGGTAAGTTGTCACATTGCAATCATCTTTACCACCAGAGGGCGCAACTAAAAAGTGGTAAAAATACTAGTTTTCTTCCTTTACACAGTCAGGGGTTGAGTCCTGTCTGAGAAGAGTAGAGCACATTGTGAGCTGAGAGGAACGCCAATTAACCATTTTGCACAACCCAAAGTGAAAAAATGTACTTTATACATTTTAAAATAAGCTTCATCCAGATAAAAATCCTAGCAGTGGTACATGTGGACTTGTTAGAGGAGAGATTAAGGCATCCTGTCATACCTCAGTCATTCTTCTGTTTTAAGCTAACTTTAAGCTAGAGCTAGAATTAGGAAACATGGTAATTTGGGGAAACTTGTCTCAGTCATTTTGGGGTTAGTTGTCACATGTTTAAAAGGAATTCAAATTAACATAGAGTGTGTTTATCAGCAGTTTTCATAATGAAATTTCGACTTTACATTTACCGAAAAAGAGAGGTTTAAAGGAGAGGAAAAAGTGAGAAGACATGGTCAGGAATTAAAAAAGAAAAACTAAACATAGCAGTGCAGTTCCTGATATGATGCTGAGGGCAGTCAGGCAGGTGACCCAAGCTAATGAATCAATCTGGAGTACAATAAAGGACTTTAATGTCAACTACCATAGCTTGGCTCAGTAATACAAAACATTCACCCCAGCCAAAACACAGGGTCAGACAGCTCTCCAAACTCCAGAGCATGTTTGATAATATTTTATGTCAACGTTTGTTCAATGACTTTTTCTAACTCAATGATAAACATTTTTTGTGTCTGACTTTGATGTTCACTTTTAAGTAAAAAAATGAGGACAACAATAATTTTGTCCTTGTTTTATTAGCTGCAAAATCCACTGTGACATCTTACCACATGTAGTGAGACAACTTACCTGATGGTGGGGCAACATGTCACATGTTAACACTCTCTATTTGATTGCTTTTAACTCTACACTGACACAAGATATGAAAATGACATGATACAAAATAAACACCTTAGACTCTGGTCTTTCCTGTGGTAAACATTTTGTTTACATATGATTTATTGATTCTGAGAAATATATAAGAGTGTAAAAAGTGTGACGACAAACCCCGGTCTCCCCTACACCCTCTGGTTGGTTAGATCAGTGATTCTCAAGTCCAGTCCTCGAGGCCCACTGTCCTACATGTTTTGGATGTTTCCCTGCTCCAACACACCTGATTCAAATGATCAGCTCGTTATCAAGCTCTGTAATGAGTTAATAACGAGCTGATCATTTGAATCAGGTGTGTTGGAGCAGGGAAACATCCAAAACATGCAGAACAGTGGGCCTCAAGGACTGGACTTGAGAACTACTGGGTTAGATGCAGAGGTCAGACTTCATGATTTTAGGACAATTATGGCCTGGTACAGAAGTCCTAGTGTGGCAGGACTAGTCGGCCTTGAAAATAAACTGAGGGTTTTGACAATCTCACAAATGCCTCTACCGTCAGAAATACCTGAAAAACATGTGGTACAGTTAGGCGGTGGACAGGTTGTTCACCGTTCGTCACTGCTCATGTTGGGATGCAGCTTAATTCACAGGAACAAAAAGTGTTTACTATTAGCATCTAAATCTGTATGAAGAGGAGGACCATGCTGACTTTCTGCTTAATTTGAAGAACCATCATGGGCTAGTGACACAGATTAAACAAAACTTTCAGCATCGTAAGGGAGCTTGATTTAAAAGCAGAGAATACGCTTAAAGTTAGACATTTCAAATAGAAACAATACGACAATCTCAAATGAACTTACAGTGAATGGTTTCTCCTTGACTGAGACATGCAGACTGGAATTTACCCATCATTAAATATAAAACACAGAATGCCTATCTTTGATTCGTTTAATAAGAGGTTTTCAGGTTTCGCTCCCAGATCTCTCCCGTCTCCTTGAGTCCAGAACCGAAAGTTGCCTTGGCATCCCACCATCATCTTGATGACCTTGAGTTCCTGCCACACCCAGCATGAAAAAATGTGGACGTGGGTGCTGCAGCCGCACTGGGAACAGCTAACTATTGTGCCGCCAGGGCTCCCCACATACACACATCACAGCCTTATTAACACACCAGTGTTTGCATGAACACACAAGTGCATGTTAAACACAAGGCTACTCTTTCTTCTCCCCCTGACATTATAATTCCCATTCTGGAGTCAAACTTTCTCCTCATTGTGCCTGAAGCTGAACCTGACTTCTCTTCAAACCATTCACAATCAGTTTGATTTCAAATAAACCTTTGATCTTTTCAATGATCTACTTTATGACAGATGAATGCACATTAAAGTGGGTAACCATAGTAGATGTGTGAGTCAAGTCCAAACTTTTTTGTCCTGTCTTACAGTACCAGCACCTGCATGTTCACTTAATGCTTAATTGATGCTTTTAATAATCTATTTAAAAAAAGTACTTGACCAACAGTGAACAAGTCTCCCTCCTGCACTCTCAGTGCGTGTTACAACAGCGAGGTCAGCTTTTTGACATGTATGCAAGTACACATGCGCACAGTGGCACACACAAACTCACACCCCCACCCCTTTTTACTTTAACCAAGCTTTTCTCCCCTCCAGAGGACACTACCATGGAAACACAGCACAAAGGAAGGCAAAACAGGCCTCAGAGATCTGGGTCGGAATACCAATAGCACAGTGTGGGAAAGAACGGGGCAAGATCGCATGTGACTTCTTTCAGACTTAATCATCCTGTCCAGCAGGTCCTCCACAGAAACCATAGCTTGTTTCTTTCTACCTGGACTATACAAACTCTTCAGAGTGTACCATTACACTGGATGTACTGGCCACGAGATCGGATCTTTTGTTATATCAAATGCTGGAATCTAAGCTGAGTGCCAAAATAGGGGGAGGAGTCTATGTTGTGATTACAACATGTTCCCAATGATGAAGAGTTAGTCATACACTAAAACTGATTTTGCTTCCAACTTTCATTATCACTTTAGAGTAAATAAAGTGACTTTCTCGATTAAATGTGATTCAAATTGGTCACTTTGGCTCAAATTTGACAGCATATTGATGTATAATTTTGTGCTTTTCTTTCTAAAGGTGGAGAAACCATAGACTGTATATAGAATGGACAGCGATTGCCTCCTTGCTGGGTGAAGCCACTCCGAGAACAGCACCCTCTGTTGATGGGCTGCAGTATAGATCATAAATCCCGCCTTCTCCAGCAATACCTATGGAGTTGTGGACAAACTTAAGAAATTTATTACACTGAACATAATTTTTTTTTTCCCCTGTTAAGACTAGTTTATGCACAAGTCCTCTTTTTTTCTGTGAAGCTGTTTTTAAAAGTTATTAGGGGGTTCATGTTTTCTATGATTGACACCTGATACAGCCCATTGGCGTTCAGCAATTGCGTAGCTCACCCGTGGGATATGCTGTTTGAGCCGAGCGTCATCACAGTGACTCTCTAAGACTCTCCCGCCGAATGCGTAAAATGCTACTGCGTAATGCTGGTTTCAAGAAATTAAGAAAAATCGTGGAAATACCATGAGCTTTTTTGGCTTCAAATCTGTATGCAGGTGGGAGACGGAACCAAGTTGTCCATAGTATATACAGTCTATGGGAGCAAATTAAAGACCAGCAGATCAGCGTCAGAAACAGGATCTCCTCTTTTTTCATTTTGGTGAAACTTGAAAAAATAACTGACAGAAAAACTAGGTTTTGAAAAGTAAATGAAGTGTTTTAGTGTCTCATTGTCTTTTGCAAACATGCTATAGAGTTTTGATCCACCATCAAGCTGCTGTGATACTTAAACAAGAGAGTAAAAAGACTCTTTCCAAATACGGGCCAAAACGATTAACAAAAATCATCAGCAACAGGTGGTTTTTCATTGAGACATGTCTGATCTTGTCTGACTCAAGCATGCATTATTTAAGCTTGACCCATACAAACACATTTTTCCTGATTTCTTATAAAAAAAATAGATACTAGATATTGATTGTAATAAGCAATTTGCATTGTAGCTAAGAATAAGAAGAATGAGAACTTTATTGATCCCCGAAGGGAAATTCAATTGACTGTCGTCTCATTTGTTACGTCTCTAAAAGTTATCTACTATTTACAGAAAAGTTGTACAGTCTGATGGCTGTGGGTACAAAAGATCTTCTGAATCTTTCTTTCCTGCAGTGAAGAGAGAGGAGCCGTCCACCACCATTGGTCCTTTGGTCCATCAAGGTGTTGTGAAGTGGGTGATCCATGTTCTTTAGAATATTCTCCACCTTCCTCAGTGTAGATCTCTCCACCACATCCTCAGCTGAGTCCAGCTTGAATCCAACCACAGAGCCTTTTTCACCAGTTTGATCACGTTTGATCTGACTGTTTCATTTGATCACGCTTTCAGCCAGAAAAGCTGAGCTGCTGCACAACTCATGTTAATCCAACATCACTGAGCTCACTCAGAGTTGTGCAGTGTTTTAAATGGTGGTGATTCACATAGAAACCTGTGCTACTGCAGATGGTTTCTGATGCTGTGTCTATTCAAGGCAAAGGATCCAGTAGTCTCTAGGGCAGCAGGGTACTTACTAGGACCCTAGGAACAATATTAAATCTACAGCTATGATGTTTCACTTTTTTACTGTGTTAAACTCTCATCAACTCTTTGCTCACTCTCACACACTTTTCCAAACAAATCACATTAGGAAGAGAAAAAGAAATGATGGGAAATTCACGAAATGCTGTCACGTATCCATGTGGTGATGGAGTGGTAATAGTGTGAGGAGAGGGGCACCAAAACTGCTGGAGCCAGGGAGGGATTGAGTCAAAGCCTGCTGTTTGAGGAGCATGTACCGAAGATATCTGCTTTAACAAGTGTTCCCTGCTGCAGATCCGTGCTCTTGTTGAACAGATTACTCTTTGCAATTAGCACCTTTCATAAAATTGTCTAAACATGCAGCAGCAGGACTAAAGCTCCAGCAGATTTCCTTGGCAAGAGTTCTTTCTGTTGCAGAAAGCATTATCGAATTACTCTGTGATTTTTAACTCTTCACTGGCTTTCTGTTCAACAGTTAGGTCTGAAGTGTAGGAAAATTATTCTAGTTATACTTCAACCAAAATAAATGACTAAGTTCTCCACAAGCGGTGTTAAAATATTTGAATACTTCTTGATGCCTCCTGCTTTGAAACGATACAACACTACAACTTCTGTCTGTCTATGTCACTTTCATGGTCAATAGTGTCTCATGTGCCAAAGTTTTAAAAGACTTCCTTTAGTCTTCTGACCACTCAGGGTGCTTTCACACTTCATGTCCCACTCACCCATTCACACACTGATGGCAAATACTGCTCTGTATAGAGCCCATCAGTTCTTGACTAATTACATTCACACACCACTGGGCACAGCCGGGTCAAGTGTCTTGCCAAAGAGCACTGCGGTAAGTGGACAGCCCTGGGATTGAGCCCCGAACATTTTAATTCAGACAAGCAGGCAGAGGATAGAGTTGAGAAGAGCTTAACCCTGATCAGCTGTTTCATTCAGACTTGATCAGACTTGATTCGAGTGCTCAAAAACACAGATCAGGCACATATAAAGATATCAGTATGGTTATGTGCTGTAATGCTGTCAGTAGCCATGATCAAGTTTTGCTTTCTTGACCAAAACTTTCCACAGATAATGTTACCCACAGCAGCTTTAAAGCCCAATGAAAGCTATGACTATGAACTCCACTGATGAACAGATAAAACAGTGCAACAAAACTTGAAAATCATGTCTGTGAAGGCTCAGATTTGTTCAGACAATGGTAAAGTGAGGTTTTGAAAAGGTTTATCCTCTTATCTAAAAGGCTCCCTACATGTTAACCAAACTTTCAGATGAGAGGCCAAACATCTTCATGTACCCTGACAAGTCACCTTATCAGGATTACCATTGTACAGATGAATAAGGACCTTGCAGGTACATTTTTTTTTTGCTTTTAATCCTTTAAAACCGCCAACATACAACATTTAAGCATAAGGCTTACAAAGGAAAAGAAAACAGGAAAAATTCAAAGTGCTGAGTACAAGGTGGTACAAATCAACTCTTAACTTCACACTGTTATATGAGATGGAATCCCTGATCACTTGTTCAGAAGTTGTAGTTAAACCCAAGCCTCATCCTGGTCGACCGTTTGGCACAGGAAGAAGTGACAGACTGGACAGCACTGCTCTCCTATAATGCCTGTGGTAATCTGGTGTCGCCCTCTATCTTCTAAAACCATGAGGCATTCTGGGAAAGGAGAAGTTGTTTAAATTTTCTTCAGTCCTACAATTTATAAGTTCTGCGCTGGCTCCAATAAATATTAGTTTGTGGAAGTGGACTCAGAGCTATAGTCTACATGACTTCGGTAGTTTTAGATTGAATGTATCCTGCATAAATGTGAATTATACTTCTTTTAATGAGGGGATGCACTCATCATTTCTGCTGGAGGGATCACTGCAGGTGGTGACAATCTAGGTTTTGTTTTTGAAGGAGGTTGTTCAAGATATTGTTTTATGCTTTGCTGTCTTTATGCAGCACTGCTGTGGACTGAGAAAACAGCATCTCATCTTGTATATAACTGCAAATTCGTAGAGGAAATAATGAATCCTAAATCTTTAATAAATCACAATCTTAACCAAACATCTGGGGAGCACCTCTTGCCGAGAAGTCTAAGCGCACACTTAAAAAAGAGAGGTTATGCTTCACACTGGTGACCACATGAGTTTACTCCTCTCCTGTGTGCCACTTCAATGGCTACTTTACATAATGAAAACAATGTGCTGATTTAAAGTGTGTACACTTAATGGAAAATAGATTAATCCATGTTTAGGAATCATTTTGGGTACTGTTAGAAATCTGTCAATACTCTGTTTATGTGATTTTATGCTTTCTAAAAAGGCTGTTTGGCTGAAAATGCAGAAATATGGCAAAAATAGACAAAAGTTACATAAATTACCTTGCTAGTGTTTGAGTACAAACACTTTCATTTTATTTTACTTAATCTCTAGAAACTGTCAAGAAATTATGAATGTGTTTGGGTAAATATTTCCCAGGTGTGTTTAACTCCATTCAATCTACTGGATCACCGTCTTTAAATATGTAGAGTTCACAGAGTTTGTTTGTGTGCTTCGACTATAGAGATACAATACCTAAAGAGGCAAGCATCACAGTTTTCTGATGGAAAAAGTCCATATTTTTGTCTCCTCTCTGGTGTAATTAATGATTGTGGCATTATTGTAATTTGTGAAAGAAGGCTTTCTGTGCTCATTTGGGTCAAGAGTTAGAGACAGAGGAGTGCAGGGTTACCATGGCAAGTATGGGCACAGAGCTTTATAATAAGACTGCAGGACTGCTCTTCAGTTTTTGAGTATCCATGTAAACAAAGTGAAGCTGGAAATCAAACTTGAGCCTCTGATTTGACCTTTTGAAGAGGATGTCATCCTATTCTGCTGTGCCTCTCCTATTCTGATCTGTGCCTCTGTAGGGAGTTTCCTGTTGAGGTTTGGGGGTGGGATGAAAGATTAGCATGTCTCACTTTCAGTCAGTCAGACTCGTGATTGACCTGTGCATTTTTAACCATAACTACTTGAACCAAATTCTATTGTCCATGCACAGATTTAAGATATTGTAAAATGGCACGATGACCAAAAACAAGTTTTGCAGAGTCAAATTGACAATAGGGTAAAAATATTGTGTGATTATTGTCCTCTATTATCGTATAAGAAGCACTTCATTTAATTTATGTTACTTTAATTAGTGCTGAAAAAGTCTTCTGTCAAATATTAATGACTTGGTTGGTAATGCAATTTAAACAGTCTATTGCCACAGCTTCTCCTCAAAGACTCCACCAAATTTACATGATTGAAAAATCAGATGGCAAGCAGCAGAGGGTGTGGATCACTTTCTGGACTCCTTCTCTTAGCTGCACTCACATACTTCATGTCTGAATCACATTTAAGTGGTATGAGCCCCCAAACCACAAAATGTACTGATTGTTTTGTACTGATCAGTGGCCTCTATGCTAACCTTCGGGTCAGTTCTAGACAGAGATTTCTTTTGAATACTTTACCGGATTAGTCCAAGAAGCTTTTACATCATAATCAAACAATAGTCGAAGGCTCACTGATGGCATTGTCTTTGGGCCAACATTAAGGGTCCAACTCCCAAACCACTGGCTCTTACATAATACAACTTCACTGACTCAATCCAACAACTGCAACATGCCTTTTATGCTGCCTGTCACACTATTTCATTAGCTGTACTTAGGGGGCTGGTTTGGGCGACAGTAAGGGAGCTGGAACCTGATTGACCCCTGTTACAACTCTGAAATCCTAAACCATGATTGGGTTGTGTTTCAGCAAGCTGCCCAAAGCTTCTTTGGTCCTTTGTTGGTCCTTAAATGGTGACTTTGGGCTGATACCTTTTTGGGTCCTCAAAGATGGAGATAACCAAAGTGAATAGTGCCCCTCCATTTCAATCAATCAATCAATCAATCAATCAAATATAGCGCCAATTCACAACAGTCGTCATCCCAAGACACTATACAAAGAAAAAGAGCAGGTCTAGACCATGCTCATTGTTTGATGAATTATCAAGACCCAACCTAAGATGGGATTTGGCCCATCTCATCAAACATCAGTAACAGTGGCAAGGGAAAACTTCCTTTCAACAGGCAGAAACCTTGGGTAGGACCACACTCATGCTAGACAGCCACCAAGCCACTGCTGGGTTGATCTGTCCATTTGTTACCCGTGCAGTACAAGAATATGACGCTAAAGTAGCTGTGATAAGTGTTGGTAACCCTCCTAAGTTTGGCCTAAGCCTCTAATGTTTGCAGCACCTGGACACCACTAAAAAAGTCTGTGCCCCAGTTTATCCAGTCCAAGAAGTACGGTTCTACTGCTGTTGTCCAAAGCTGCCACTCAATCTTATCATCCAAAAACTTTGACAAGCAAATGTGTCTTCAGAACCGGTAAAAAACCTAATTAAATGTTCAAATAAGATTGTTTCTATGCAAAAACTTCTGCCAAAGTGTAAGTATTATAAGTTTTCAAAGGCAAATTTTGGTAAAGACAAGTCAGATGTTTTGATTTTGGCTTGTTTCTAGAGAAGAATCTGTGATACTCTCAATATGTCTATGATCAGATATAAATTTTAGGATGTGTCAGTTTAGCAAATGAGATATCACTCCATATTATTGCAGAGGAATGCAACACAGAGACCAACCACAGAATTCATTATCGAAGTCTTAAAGGGCTGACACATCCCTTTCTGTCTCCCTCTGGTTTACATTGTTTCTTGTTGAATTGTACTTACACTTGACTGTCAAGCCAGCCAGCATGAAAATCTGGAACAAGACCTTCAAAAGGTGCATCATTAATGCAGCTACCAAGTCCATGAACTATTGGACATGAACAAATGTCACTAACATTTTCAGATACTTCTGCCAAAACACGTATCAGCTGCAAAAGCATAGATTTGAGACTGTTATGCCTAAAGTATTAAACACATTGAACATAATCTAGTTATCCAGAGTTTAGCTGCTGCTGTCAAACAATAACTCTCAGGAATCCAGAATAAAGTGAAAGGAAAATGTTATATCCAAGTGAAGTGTAAATGAATCGTGTTTTTCATTAGGTGAGGTATTTCTTTACAGTTGCACTGAGTTCTGTTGCTACTGTTTGTTTGTTTTGATGTTTGTTTTGTTGTTTAGCGTTCAGGCTGCAGCAGATGGGAAGCAGCAGATGCTCTGACAGATAAAGTATTCAAACTACTTACAAAGCCTCCAACCAAAGAAAAGCTGATAATGCCTTCATGTCCGTTTGACTTCTTACATTTAACTCCACTATGTTAGCATTGCTGTATCGCAGATATCTCAAGTACAACTGAGAACTGACAGGGATGAGGGTCTCTAGAGGCCTCCTGGATGAGTCAAACTCATGAGACAAGATCATTATAGAGCCGTACCACAGCATCCAATGAAGCCGACAATTCACGCCAACAAGACTTGACTGTTTTGAAAGTCTCCAACTATTGACCTGTCAAAGTCGTCACAAATAAATGATAGCTGTGATTGATCCCTAGCCTGGAATGTCAACTCAAAATAAACCAAAGTTTTCAGGAATGAGAAGACTTACCTGGAAAATCGTGTGTAGGAAATACAAAACACTCAGCATTCTTGAAAAGTGGTTCAGAGGGAGACATGCATACAGCTGATTTTCCTCTCTTCTCCCCTTTGGCCGGGAGGTTGCTTCTGTGTGGCTCCTGAACTAGGTCTATAGGTCTGTAGGAGCTCCAGCCTTACAACCTGTAGCTATTTTAAACAGACTTAGGCCTGATCAGAGAGAGAGAGAGAGAAGACAGGAGGCAAACAGGGAGGGAGGGTGAAGCTCTGCCAAAGAGTTGCGCAACACTAGCTTAGTTTTTGTAGAGCAAACATAGTTATGATCAGTTTAAAAGCCCAAACATAATAAAATGCTTAACACGCATGTTTTGACTGATTGTAGTTGAACCAGTTGCCATGGAGATATTAAAATCTTGTAAAAGAAAAATGGATTGTATATCCAAACCTCCTTTTTTTCAGTTTCATCGTACTGTGTCTGTTTTTTGTCTGCAGGTGTCAGCCGGTGGTTATGGGTTACAACCTGGGCTTGCAGCAGCTATGGGCAAAAAGGGGTCTAAGCCCACCCAAAAAGTACTGACATGTTAAAAAAAACACTGTTTCCTCTGCCAAGTGAGAAACAGATTGTAAGGATGTCATGATGGTTTCCAACTTGTGACTAGGACAGCCTACAGCCCACACTTGGGTTTGCAGAAAGCCCTCTTTGTAATACACAGAGCCAGTGCTCGAATGCTGACTGTGGACAAAAAAAAACTCAAAGCAGCCTTCAAATCTTCAACTCTGGACTCAGACTGTGACTTTTCACTTACAAGAAATAATGCAAAGTTTGGGTGTGCTTTAACACAGTGAAAAAGTCTGTCCTGCCTTTTTTGCACTCAAAGAAATGAAGTAACCTGTTCAAATAAAATGTATTTGTTTGATTTCCTGTATTGTACAATCTCGCTTTTGTTTTGAAATCTGAATAAATCTGCTATTTCTAATAGACTGTAAGTTACAGAGCTGAATGAACTTGCTCTGAAATAGGATGCCACCTCAAATCCAGTGTTATCACAGGTTAAAGGTCAGGCAACCAACACAAAGCTCATGAGCCTGTCAATTCATGACTCCATCAGGTTTAGCTTTGCAGTAGTAAAAAACCTCTGCAGGACAAATATACGAGGAGGCTCACAGGTACAATACCGTCTCTTTGGCGACTCTGAAAACACTGATGGTGTCAAAGGCCAAATGGACTGCGCTGGTTTTCTAGAATGTTTTTCATTGGAAGATGGAGTGGTGGCCTCTGCATCCACACAATGCAGCACTACATGTGCAGCTTTTCAACAGACAGGCTGTTCAAAATAGGGCTCTGTGCTGAAACTGGGCGCTCTACAGTTAGTATAGGTTTCCAAAGGTGGAGAGGTGGAGGATGGGGAATTTGTGCACAGCATAATAAGCTGGTGCATAGTGAAGCATGGGACAGCCACTTATATACAATGCCTTTATATTATAAACTGGAAAGACAAAGACCATGGTCACATAGGATGAGCTCTCTTGGTTAAAAAAGAGGGAAATGAAGAGAATGGAAAAGATTTAGGAAACACACAAAACATAATCATATATGTTCTTCCTTGAGCTGCGTCACCCCGCAGCAGTCCGTAATGGACTGGTCCGAGGTCTCGCTACAAACAAGCGGCTGCTGGAAGAGAGTAAGTGAGTTGTGTTTAATCTCTTTGCCAAAGAAATTTGCCAAAGCTAAAAGGATGTTTGGTGGCTAGCACTGTGGCTGGGACCCTCTATGTACTGTTGATGAAGTTAGGTGCTGTTCTGAGCATTATTTGTGGCAATAGAGTGGCTTTTTGGTTGAGGTTTGTTTATGGCTCCTCAGACCACTGTGTATTTCTATCGTGCGGTCATTACTAAAGTTGGTATAACTAGAGAAGCAAGTGATCAGCAACATTCATCTCTCAAGGGGGTGTCTAACTCTGTGTTATGGTGTGTTTGACCCTAAATTAATTTAATGCTGGAATATCCCTTTAAGTCTAGTTAGACAATTAGGAGCAGGACACACAAAGTGAGTGATGGCCTGTGTCACAATTTTAATTAAGCTCACGTTTTAATAGTTTATATATTTGCTCGGTCAAATCAGGTCCATGTGACAGGAATGCATAAACATTCATTTCCTCCAACTCAGGTCCGACACTGACAAATACATATCTATAAAACAACAACATTGTTTGCAGCAGACCTCATTACCATGCAGGGTTATCTTTGCAACTTGTGTTATTTTCATTCTGCATGACTTTTCTAACAATCATTATTAGAAGCAGTAGTATTAGTGGTCGAAAGAGGAGGAGCAAGAGAAGAAGTATCAATATCAGCGTTTTGCTGCAGGCGCGGGGCACTCAATATCTACCTCCAGTTAAGTCCTGTTCAAAATATCTGCTTTATATTTATTATACAGGACAGTAGTTCTTTGCTGTTGTACACATTTGCCCTCTCACTGTGTAATTTTTGGGGTTTCTTGAAAATGTTAGGCCATAAATTACAAAAAATGACGTTTGTTTGGTCTTGGCACTGTATATCCAAAAGTTGACTAGTTGAGAGATGTATTTAATGATGATAAATGACTTTGGTTAATTACACTCACCAAAGAATGTGTTCATAGTACATAAGCATCATTTCCTTATCTTGATTATATTGCCAGAACATTATCACCAAACATCCACAGGGATATTTATCAATTCTAAAAAAAATTACAAAGTCCCCTGTTTTGTCTGCAAAAGTAAGCATAGGACAGTAGGTTCTCTGTATTTCCAGGGTTACCAACAGTTACAGAAGGAAAACATCATGCATTTGCTCCTTCATTTGCATGACAAGCACAGCAGAGGCCCAGGCTAACTCTAAGAACCCATAAGAGGGTCACTGCTCACTCAAAGAATCCCAGCACTTCGCTGTATCCCTTTTTCTGCAAATTATATTGGTTCTGTTGAAACTCTGTTACCAGAATGAAATAATAATTTAGGTACACAATTACTTTCCCATAATCTCTTTTTGTTATGAAATATTTTAAGCTTTATACTTGTACCCCTGACATTTTCAGGGTATTTCCAGGTGTCTGAAAAACTCAAAAAATTACACAAAATTTTAAACTGTCTTAGACCTACTGGTTGAATCACTTCAGAGGTTCTCCACAGTCTTTCAGACTTTAGAGCCTCACTTCCTTGTTTGGGTGCATCCTTGCCAGCTGTCTGGTAAACTTTTGGGTTGTCCCTGTCTTCCTCTTCTTTGTTCTTTCACTGATTAAACATGCTGCGTTGCTCTTGCTTGCATTTGCTGTCAAATATTTGAAAGCCCAAACTAATGACACGTGATACCTCTTTAGGCATCCTGTCTGGAGCTGTTGCTTGAACAAGATGGCACATGAAAGTGCAAGCAGGCAAACACTCAAGCCAACTCTTACTGGAGGCTGAATGAGTTATTCGAGCCTTGCCTTTCAAAACAATCAGTCGAACAGTCTTTATCAATAAAGAAAGTCGGCCCACTCCTCTCTATTTTTCTCTCTCACTTTCTCTTCCCAACCTGGTCCAAGTCAGTCATCAGTGTTAGGGCTGGGCAATATAGCTTCAAATCAATATCACAATATCTTAAGCAGTTCACCTTGATAATGATAAATGGACGATAACTACTCCACAAGCTGCTCAACCTCTCCCACATGAACTTCGTCTACTTCAACTTTTGAACTGTTCTTCATCTCCTCACCTGTCTTTCCCTCTTTGTTAAGGACTGGATGGGGTGGAGTCACGTCTCTGACGTGAGACAGCATCTTAAAAGGGACACCAGAGACATGGCCTACCTACACACATCCAAAACCAACTTTTATTTATTTATTTTTTTGACATTGAATATACTGATATAGGCAAAATGAAGTTGGTTATTGTCGTAAATTTCAGTATCTGTAAATTTTCGGCTTATCACCCAGCCCTAATCAGTGTTGAAGTCTAAGTCAAGTTATTGGTCCTGATCAGGGTGTCAGTCTAAGGTCTAACCCTCATAAAACACAGGGAGAGCGGCAAATATCTAATCCTACCTTTAAGGATATAGGTAACTTTCTGATCAGGTGATACAGAAAGCTTTACTGACTGATATTTTCATGCTTTTTGAACACCTCTACTCTAAAAAACAGTTCCTGCAACTTTTTGCTTGGCCGATTATCACATGCTCTGAAAGCGTAATCCTAACAAGCAGAGTTCACGTGCATAAATAAAGCCTTCATCCTTTTGTTTTCATTTGTTATGTGTTATTATGAAGTTTTTAAATCAGTTGACCCCTTGGGTTAGGGTTAGAAGCTGACCAATCTTTGCCTTTAAGAGTTTAAAAATAAATGCTAAAGCTTATTACATAATATGAGTCCTGTGACAACCTCCAGTCTTGAGAAATGAAGCTGATGCAGAAGTGCTTGCAGTACCCTGAGTGTCCACTTGAGGCTGTCTGCAGAAGCAACAGATACAAGGCACTGATTTGAAAAAGACAGATTTTGGAGCAAACACAAACACATCGGATCAAAAAAAGCTCTGGTCTAATTTGCTCAGGGCTCCCACAGAACCCACAGTAGGGCTGTCTCGATCTGATATTGATATCGGATATCGGTCCGATATCAGCAAAAAAATGAATATGAGACTATATTGGCCTGCATCTAAAAGCTCCAATATCAGACCTCTATCTAGCAGTGCCATGATCCAGCATGCAGAGTCCACAAAATCACAACAACAGTGTGTACTGAGGAACGAACAAAGTAGCAAGGAGTAAGAGTGATGTTGGCCTTGTGCTCAGCATTTTTTTTTTAAGCTGAAAAAGACATTGCAGCTGAGTAAAAAACTTGTCATGCACAATTTTGTGCCAATATCAGATCAATATTGATATTGCTCAAGATTGAATGCTACAATATGGGTATTTTATCGGAGGTCAAAGAGTTGTATCGGTAAAACCCTAACCCACAGTTAAAGGAGGTTTTCTTTTCTTTTCTTTTTGTATCATATTTGTTTCTGAGTTATCAAGGTTTCAACATCAGCAAATCAGAGGCACGGCTGACTTGACTGACAGGCAGGCACACTGCTACCATTTCAAAGTCAAAAAAACAGATGTAAGAGTGAAACCTCCACAGGTTAAGAGCTCACTTTGAAAAGGTGAAAAAGTGGAACTAATCCCCACTATAAAAAAAACACAAACACAAATAAATACTTCTGTCCCGTCAAGCCCTTTGGGAAGCTTGGAGGAGCAGAGAAACATAATGACCGGGCAGAGAAACCACAAGTCCAGAAAAAGAAAAGTCAGTCAGTCAGTAGGCTCCCCTGGCTCATTTCATCCTCAAGTTCAGGGAATGCTTTCTTTGGCACTCCCTGGTCCGTTCTGCCCATCAGCCCCTTTCTTTCTCCTCTCTTTATTTTCAGCCTGTGGAAGAATTTGGGTCAGAGGTGGATCAAAGTAACCGAGTTCCTCTCTAAAGCCCTGGTCAACATAAACAATTGATGTCATGGCGATGGTGCCTGAGGATTCAATCATCATCCGTTAGGGTGTTACTGTATCAGCGCTAGTCCTCAGTCTCAGTGTACTTTCCTCTGTTGGAAAGTTGACATCCGGTTTTATCTGGTGTGCTTCTAGCTTGTGCATCCTATCCACCTTACATCTAACACTCACATGATCCAAAGATACTTGAACAATCTCACTGTACCTCACTACCACAAGGGTGACCTTTACTGAGCTCAACTACCACACTGGTATACAGCAGGATAGCAAAAACAGATGGTACTACAAAGAGCTTCACGGTGCCGCAGAATCTGTGTGTTGTGACTTTGCTGAAAGGGATAAAAGTTTTCATGTAGGGAGTTTGGAAAAGAAACTGAATTTTTCCATTTCACAATATGACAATGAATAAAAAACCTGTCAATGTTGCAATGAATAAGAAGAAGAAAAAAAAAGGAAATATTGAAGGTTTCCTGATATACCTGCTGTCTACCATTAAAGTGAATGGTCTTCCTCTTGTTATACTCTTTCTGCTTGGTTTGAGGGGTTTCCTTGGATACAGTGAATGTGTATCTCCCCAAGAAGAGTCTGATTTTTTTTTTACTAATAAAATGACCTGGCATGGGGGTACCACTGGCCTCACAGTTTAGGCATGTGCCCCATTTACAGAGACTAAAGTCCTCATTTGTTGCACGTCTCCCCCCACTTTCTACCCCGCATTTTTCTGGTCTCTCATCAGCTCGCCCAATCTAAAAAAGGGACAAAACAACAACAACAAAAATAAAACAAGTGATTGAAAGGAGCTTAATGTGGCTAAATTGGACAGGAGTATTGTTCAATGGAGCTTTGTGTTCTTCGTAAAATCACATATATTCATAGATTAACTCAAAACTCCTGTTTTAAATATGTTTAAGGCCATTTATTCTGTTACATTTCAGATGATTTTCACACTTTTTGCCTCTCATTTAGAGAGCCATTACAATCAGACGTTGAGGTTAGGCTGCTGTCAGTCAAAACCTCACCTGTCAAAGACTGCATACAGCCCGGTATTTATACTATAGTATTTATGTCTTTATACTTCATTTATTATCATTTAAGTTGGCATTGCATGATAACTGTTGTATCGTTTTCTTTAAAAATCTACAGGTTTGTCAAACAGCCCCCAAATCTTGTTTTTATGAGCTTCTATACGGGAAAGATTTCTTGCCACAACTGAAAAACAAGGGCAAATGAAAACTACACAATCAGACAAACATTGATGTTGAAGACTCATCCATGCTAGTACAGCAAAATGATCCAGGTTTGCCATCATCAGACTTTATCTCTAGTTTGTTGCATTGGCGTTACTAAACATGTCACTTCCAAAGCTGTGTGATTCAGTTACAGTGAGCTAACTCTACTCCCAGTCGTCCTTTAATTTTTGGTCCCCTTTAAATAGAAAGCTTTGGTTTTTGCTGGGCCTCCAACCACTGAGTCCAAAATTACTGGTCAAGTTTTGGAGTTAAAGCACAGGAGCCAAAAGCTGCTGGACTGGTAAACTACTCTGAACCAAACGTACACCCACACACACAAACACACATACACATACACATACACAGGACAATGACACTAGAGTTACATAAAAGAGACTGAAGCCCTTTTCAGAGCCTTAAACAAAATGAGGAAGGATGGGAGACAGGAAAGATGAATTTTTTCCTATTAGCATCAGTTGGCTGGATGTGAAAGAGATAAATTCCAGGCTGTCTTTTGAGTTAACTTCTACACTGTGAGCCTGGATGGCAGTTCATCACCCTGTCACCCCGTCAACCTCACTGCAGCCCAAAACTTCTCCGAGGAATGTAAAGCTCTGCCTTGGACTCTAATTACCTGATCATCATGTGTATGCAGTGTGTGTGTGTTAAAACGTAGATACGAACAGTACTACCAGCAGTTCTGACTCCACCTATTTCAACACTTTATTTTGTACACACACATTATTAATTTAGTCCTCATATGATGGAGATTTACTGCCCCCAAACTGATGCAGCCATGGTGGAGAGTAAAAGGAAACTGCATCTTTGTCCAAGCAGACCCACAGCTAGCACAGTCGTGAAAGTACCCCACTTCTTCATCTTGTTAGAGTGAGGGTCAGTGTTGATAAAAGCAACCAGGGGGGGTTTTGCTCTTTACTCTCCAAGTTTAATGTTGGCACAGATGGGATTTGCATCCCCATTGAAAACAGGTCAACCTGCTTGAAAGTGTATATCTACTGATGACACATTGAGGCTGAAAAGATTGTCATTCGTGGTCAAAGTAGCGACTGTAACTCCAGAAAATCACTGCTAAATAATAAGTTTGCTAAAGCTCAGTCAATTTATTGATAAAATGGTGTTTAATTCTTTACACAAAATGTTGTTTAGGCTGGCTACATGCTAACTAGCTTGTTCTGGGGGGGATTTGAAGCTCAACCTACAGTTTGGAATAACATGCTGCCTATTTTCTTTTCTTTTCAGGTAACAGATTTGACACGTGGAACATTTACTTGTTTAGAAAATTGACTCGCATTAGTCCGACAGAAACTGGACAATAAAAATGCATGTTAACACATTAATCCGACTTAAAATAGAAAAAAATCAAACTTCTCAAAAATACCAATCAAGCCCAGGTAATGCGTCAGATGGGTCAGAGGCAGTCTTTATGAGCTGGCAAATTCTAGGTCAAGCTGGGGTCACCGTTTTGAAAAGGATTTCACTCTCTTGTACTACAATGTAGGGGTGCCCCACAGTATGGTGAGGGGTGAAGGCTTATCTAATCCTTTCCACTTCACTACACACTTTGAATTCTGTCAAAAAAAAAAAAAATACTGTTGGCTTTTAAGTTTCTTCTACTTAGAAACAGTACAGGACATTTCAGTCCAAACACCTGTCAACAGATTACAATCAAATAAGTCTGCACAGGAAAACTAAAGGAATACACCACCATTTTTCAGTATAAATCCAATTGAATCAAAAGTTTAAGTCTAATCAGGATGTTAGCATGAGTCTTTTTTATTTCATTATAATCTCATTATAATAATTTCAAAGTTCTTGTTTGAGTGGTCACCCTCTATGGAGGAGATACCGCCTCAGAATCGTTTGGTTATGTATATTTCAAGGAAATTTGCACTTACAAATAAAACATAACTGAAAAAATACTGAACCAGGGTTTAACAGTGGTTGATGGGTCCCAAAATCTACCAAGCACTCATTGTTTGTAACTTACAACTCTAATATTCAAGCAATCGTTAAATTATCCAGATAGACTTACTTTTTGCTCTGCTCACACACAGGGAAAAAGTTTGTTTCATTTTAGTTTGTGGCTGGTTATGTCCACCTTTGCAGACATGTCAATGCAAGAGTCATTGTACTAGTCTGTATGAGTGGAGTCATCATAAACACATCAGTTGCCCCTGGAAACCAAATGTGTGTTTAACGAAAGCATGAAATACTATTCATGCACTCATCATTTAGTATGTTTACAGCCATAGCTCAGTTAGGCGATTTCACTGGACTTCTGTCGTTACCCATGTTTACATGCACAGGGCAATAATCAAATTTCTGACAGAAGCATGTTTGCCCCTGCTATAGTAGGTGTCAAACCCCTTTTTAGCTCATTACTATCAGGTTGTCTCCCAGTGGACGCATTATGTATCAAAACAGGCAGCAAAACGCATTATTAAGAACTCAATGCCAAAGTTTTGTCTTCTTTACCTTTCCCTTTCTTTGTCTGACAAGGTTTGGTTTCCTAGCTATGTAACCCCAAGCTTAGAGCCAGAGCCTTCAAACCAGCAGTGAAGATTTATAGTAGCCTTTGACTATAAGTCACAATTACCTCTGTCAATCATCTGTGGTTTAAGACAAGTCTTCAGCTGAGAGCAGGTAAAAACATTCCAATGGCGAAAGAAGTCCCTGCTGTGTTCAGCTAAAGTGAAACAGAGTCGAGCCAATAACCAATAGTTAGTTTGGATGGGATTCTTCAGATACATGCACCTTTTCCAGATGTGTATCAATCTCATCCAACCAAAGAATGTAAGAAAACAATTAAATGCTGTGGAATAAAAGAATTACAGCAGCTTATAATTAAGTTGTTGAACCACAGTCTGTCTGCAAACTTCTTGACTGAGGCTGGTATAAAATAAATGCAAGTCTCTGTGTGTTTCTGTTCATACCAACATTTTCATGGCCAAAGGCACCAACAAGCCATCACGTGTAATTGCTCCATCCAACCATTTCACCCAGTATCTTTACCACAAGTCCAGACAGGTAACAGAAACTTGATTTTCTCACACTTTTAAATGAATTCCTCACTGATCATTTTTATGACTGAGGAAGACATGGCTGATTAGACCTGATGGTACCACTGAAAAAGACTTTCACCAAGGGCACAAACTGCTCCAAGCTCTGACAACAGAAAGTTGAGCCGTTAAAGCTCCCCAAACATGTCTATGCTCTTCCCCTGAGAATGACACAGAAACACACTTCATAAAAAAGACAGGTGGTGGGGGTCGGCCCCTCTCATCTAAAGATGCAGTCTCCTGCTTTGGGCCAAATAACGAAAGAGGAAGCGCTCTTAGGCTTGGGTAGATCAGATCGAAGCTTGCACCCTCTGTATTGACTGTGTTTGTTTGGGAGAGAGCATGCATGTGAGAGGTGGAGGTTCTGTAAACAGTAGTTTTCTCTGGGCCTCTTACCTGAAGATGAGCAGGCTGGCATCTGAGTTTCTATGGAGAGAAAAAAGAAAGTGGTGAAACTATTCTTCAGGATATTAACAGGAGCAATGCACCGATATTAACACTGATGGTCAAAGTCACTTAACTGACAGCTGATTTCTTAACCAATGCGGCCAATAAGGCTGGTGTTAAAAAAAAAAAGATTTTCAAGTTATGTAAACCCATTAAATAATGCAGAGACGACCTGACAAATGTTGAAACTGAAAAAAAAATACAATGTTTAATGAAAAAAAAAGGTCTAACAGGATGTAAATTGTTGTCTACAGTCATATTTAAACAGTCCTGATATTTTCAACATATTTTCCTCAGAGGTTATCGCTTTTTTCTTTCCTGTATGGCTTTTTTACAGATGTGGAATAGTGCCTTACATCTGTCCATTATTATTCAGGAGAACAGGTCGTTTAAATGTGGAAGTCCATACCTTTGAGATCTTAGCTGTGCAGTTGTACCAGTGCTTTCTATCAAAATTATTCAGCTTTGGTGACAATTGGTCGTGTGTGTTTGTTCATGGGGTTTTTGGTTCCAGTACGGTGTACTCAGTGAAATATTATGCCTTTAACAGTGTCTGGAGGAACTTTAAAGTGAGTGGTCATCAAGTCCCATAACAGTTCTCTAATCTCTAATAGCTACTGACAGTTATTCTTCTACAAAATGAAAGGCAGAAATAGGAAATATACCTCAATTTAATCCAGACTAAAGTATTTTTTCATGTTAAAAAACCCTATCTGAAATATAATCAAAGACAAGTGTACACAATGCACGTCTGCAGATACCCATGAAATAAAGTGGATAAGTCTGGCAACTAAAAAACTCTGCTACTGAACAAAGAGAAGCCTACCTTAAGACTTTGTACATGACAATGCTTGTTTCTGCATCAGTTCGGCAAAGATCAGAACTCCAGATGAGTCGGGTCAAAATACTACTCAGACTTGTTGTCGACTTCTACAATGACAACTAAGAAATTGGATGCCATGACTGGTGCTCCAGGCTCAGTGTGTAGGAAGGGAAAGAGTCTTATAATCCTTCAACTAACTCTTTGTTGGCCACAAAGCAAACCACTCCAATCTCTGATTTAGCTACTCCTCGGTTCAAACCCATGGAGAACGGGGAAGAACTGGCAGGACACATAATCCACTCCATAAAAAGCAGGAACATTCAAACAAAGGAGCCACAGTTCATTATACTCTGAAAGTTGTTGAAATATAACTCTAACCATGAATAACATGGATAAGCATGAAGTGGTGATGCAGCATCAAGGATTGTCAGAGCTATTAACGTGATGGCAGTCAAAGGTAATGCATTTTGGTTTGGTTGGAGGCACAACGCTGATGTGCTACGCCATGAAGGTGATCAGTGATTTGATATTAGTGACATGATTTGGCTTGACACGTTACGTGCAGCTCGGGTTTCGCTCTCTCTCTTATCTCCCTCCTCCCTCTGCCTCTTGCACACCAAAGTGCTACTAGCCCTCAGGTTTGAGGAGCTACTTGCGAGGGCCAGGAAGGACAGAGGCTCTCTTACACACACTGAGCAGCATGAAGTGAAATGTTCGATTGTTTCTCTACTTAACTTAATTTATGAGCAAGTTTTGAGTAATGAGCAAAAAATAATTTCTACCCTTTAGCTAAAAAAGCAGTTTTATTGAATACACCATATTTGTTTTTTTTACAGTTTTACAATGAGTGTACCCTGCCAGTGTCATGAATTGTATCCAGTCTTCTGTGATGGCTGATGAATTACTGCAAATTAACAGGAATACCCCCTAGAGGCAGGGTTGGGGGGTAAATTGTCCCATGCACAAGTTTCCTGCTTCTAACCCCACTGGTTGTTACAGGGTTTCACCAAGCCATGTCACTTAAGCACAACAAAACCCCAGCAAATGAAAGCTTCACACACTATTAAGAAGTTTAATCAACAGCACCAGCATTTTACAAAATCACATGTGGCCTCACCGCCTGCTAAGCTTGACTCAAAACATATTGGGCGTCTGTGAGTTGCGTTGTCTGAGAAACCAGTTCTAGGGCATTGCATTCAATCTTAGTGTGAACAACACTGCAGAAGCAAAGCCAGGAAGCTCTCTGAAGTAGCCAGACAGCCAGACAGACACATGGAGTAATGTTGGTGGTCTTATTGCTGGCATCCACATCTGCTTTCCTCTTCACACACACAACTTTAAAGCAGAAGAGACCATGCCATAATTCATCACCCTAAACATGTTTGGTTCTCACACTATCAATTCAATATATGAAACTGTGAAACATCATCCCATTCCAGCTGAATCAGATGACACAAACACTCAAAATGTTCATTATAAGAAAGAGATCAAGTATATGGTATCCCTTTCATTTGCACTCATCTGCATCTCTTGGTAGACTACTGTTTATGGGTCAAAATATCAGTTTTGTTTCTTTCTGATGCATTTACAGCTCAAAGGATAGGAGTTCATACTTTAGTGATGAGGAGCCCACAAAAGAAAACTTGATGTACTGTAAAAGTAATAGTGTTAATGTTACATAAATGTATTAAGAATTAAAACTTTTGCCTCTGAGTGAAACTGAAGTAGACTTCAAGGTGACAATAAGTGTAGATACCTGGATTCAGTTTTCCTAGAGGTCTACTGCATTTCATTTTAAATCTGTTATCTAAAGTTGCCAACATCACCAAAACTAAATATATAAATATATAACCTCACCTGGTACCATCTTAGCAGAGCCCAGCAAAGCAGGTGAGCCGCCAGGGTGAACTTCGCCGTCCGGTATCTCTCCGGCAGACAGGTGAGGTACATGAGCAGCTCGGAGCGTGCCCCGCTGCTCGGCTCCTCTCTCCGGGCCGCCCCGCTGCTCTCCGCGGCCGGAGCTCTGTCACAGCCAGGGCTGTTCATTTTACGGTTCCTCAGTGGCGGGGTGTTGTTTGTGGTTAACAAGTTTCCAGCTCACTCAGCAGTGACCCAGAGTTGTGTTGGACATCGAAAAAAGCTCCCCATGTTCTCAACTCACGGACAAACTTTTCTTTCCCAGGACACTTGTCGATGATGATCCCCGAGGGAATAACTTGCAGTAAGGTGCTCAGTGAGAATCCGGCTGAGCCACAGCTTTAAACCTGGAAGACTTTATCAACACAGACGCATTTCGTTTTTGTTTCCTTTTTCTTGTTTCCACTTTTAAGTCCCAGACCTCCCCTTCATGTTGAAGCGGTCTTTCTGCTGCCTGTGCTGCCATTCATCGCCAGAAGCAATTAGGACCCCAGTAAACAACTTCACAGCTGGCTTACAGCGCCTCCATCTGGACGAAATCAGAAAGTTGACTAGTTTGAATAGCACCTGGCTGCAGCACTGTTACCATAACCGACTGAACCTGAGAGCTGTTGAAATGTAGGGGAGAGTGGGGTAAGTTGAGCCAAAGGGTAAGTTGAACCACCCCCTGCTGCTTGGAAATGGTAAAAGAAATTGATCATGTGACCAAATATTTAGGAGACGGGCATCAAATCATCGAGTCCGTGAAATTTAGAGGCACATGGGTGAAGAGGTTAGACATTTATTTTCAAAAAACACCTTTCACTTGAAAATGAATTTAGTCTTAGGTTTTTTTACAAAACAGCTTTTTAGTAGTTATATGCAATAATAAAAAGAATTATTGTACCAGTTGAAAGGCGTATGATAGATAAAAATACACATGAATGTGAAAAAGTGACTGTTATTTAGGGAGAGAGAAGGTGTGTGGGGGGGGGGGGTAGTCGGGATAAGGCTCAACTTACCCTGCTCCTATGGTCAACTTACCCCGTGTATGGGGTGAGTTGACCATAGGAGACCACTCTTTTTGGCATGCTATATTATTAAGACAGTTATGTTTACACTCATTCTGTTGGTTTGCAGGGATGCACAACATCTTGAAATATATGCAAATACACTAGTTAGAGACAAAACTATGATTGCCTTGATGTAGTGATCCGAAACATGAAAAATGGCTCATCTTACCCCACTCTCCCCTATTGTTAAATGCCCAGAGATAGTTGGCCTACTCTCATGTTTTCTCCAGTAATTTAAAACAATGAAAAACTTCATTGTGTTGCAGCTGCAAGTGGTCTACACTTTAAAAAAAAAATGATTGTTGTAGGCATATTGGGAATCATGGCCAAAATGCTGGTTAGCACGTCTTTTAAATATCTTATTTTGGGTATCTGGAAGAAAAACAGCTTGTCCCATTAAAACTTACATGAATACTCGGTGTCCTGTTGGTTCATTTACTGAAAAAGATGTTTGAAAGATAATTTTGTAACACCATTAAATAATGAGCGGATTGTGGGTATTTGAATTACTGACAAAAACATCATGAAGGCGGGGAAGCCATTGTCAGAGTCCAACAAACTGTGACAGACTGAGGGTCCAGTCACTCATGCATTTAAGAGCCACATTGTGTAGTCTGACCTCTTACCACTTAAGGAATAAATCAAACTAAACATTGATTTTTTTCTTTTTTTGGTTGGCATACACAACAGAGATGGCGACAATAACAGCAACGGCAATAACTGACATGTTAGATACTACATGTTATATTTACACATTGTCCCTTCAAACTAAAAGTTTATTCTTCTTTATGAACATCAGCTTTAAATCCAGGGAACAATAATGGGTGAACATGAATCCATGTTACAGCAACATAAGGCAATTCTCACATAGGACTGATATGAGATGCATTCTGGGAAAAAACTGTAATCTCTGCAGCATATCAAAGTATAAACATTTAGAAAACCTTATCTGCATGCAAGATAACTGATTAAAACTCTGCTTTACATACCAAAAAGAGACTCATAATAACATAATAACATGCAGGTTGATCAACTGCAACATCAGGCTGAGATGCACTAAGTGGGGAGCCAAATAATACAAAACTTCACCTTTTAATCAAGGCATTAAAACAATAGACACACTTCACTGGATTTCAACTTTGTGTAGATCATCCATGGTTATATTAACCACCTGAAACACAACAGAGTTGAGCATCATTACTGCGTACTTTGAGTGACATACAAAGATACTTTATTTATATATCTAAGTATTTGGTGATTTCCCCTGTACCATTGTGAAGATGTGGTGTCTTTTACAGAGTATGACATTACACTATAACCTTGTATCACAGCCAGTAGAGGTTCATACTGAAGTCACCTGATCATGGCAGGGGTCGGGGTAGTCACAGACGTTCTTTGAGAAGGCAGAGCGAATCAACATTTTCACCTCCTTGGGGTAAACATAGGTGGGTTGACGCAGGTTCCCATCTTCTACACCGATCCTGTGCTTTATCTTCAATAAAAATAACATAAAGTTGATGTAAAATAGTAAAAACTGAGACTGTATTAGATTGTAGCAAAGCACTTACACATTACATTTTACATTCACCCATTTACATCATGTTCATACACTGATGGCAGGGACTGCTTTGTAAAGCACTAGGCAAGATAGGACGGCTCTAAAATACGAAACGAGGGAAACAAACTGGTTTTGGTCAAATTCAAGATCCATGGGTCTACATCTTTCATCAACTTCAGCCGACAATCCAGTCTTTTTTGTAGCTCCATCACTTTACACCAGCTTAACTCTGAAAGTGGGTTCAGAAATCAGCACTAACCAGTGTCCTCTGTAGAAGCCTGTATGCCTTCTTCCGGCGGGCACAGTCATTTTTTCGGCATTTGGCAGCATTGAGCAATGATGCGATCCACACAGGAAGTCTAATGAAAGGGGGAAAAAAATCTATATTTAAAAGTGTCCATAATTGACTTAGTAAATAGTTTATCACTCGTTTTTTTGTAAATGTTTTGTATATGTGTTACTTTGTGAGAGTAACAGACTGATCGAGTGAATGTTCATTAGAAGTTTTTCAGACTGAACGTGAGCAAGCAAAAACAACTGACAGGACCGTCACTGCTGTATACTTGACCTTTCATTTCTCTCTCCAAACTATTGGAGTTTTTATCTGTTTTGCCATTTGACACCACTGATCAGCAGTTGTAACTACATATTACAGTGGAAACATGGCCCCTCTCTGATCTAAGCTTTTTTGCGCCTGCCATACCAGACTAACATTACCGATAACTCGACAACAATAATTGGAAACTGGCTGGTATGAAAGTGTATTCCTTCAAAGGGATACTTTCTCTAAAACTTCAAGTGATGATAACAGTTTAAAAGCTCACATTAGTGACTGTGGATTAAATTTGTCACTTTTAAAGTGATCTTTACATTTTTTAGCTATTAAAAAGTTTGAATTCACCTTGATTATATTTTTTAGTCACAATGACTTTCCAGTGTATTACTTCAATGCTTGAATTTATTGCTAAAAAAAAAATATAGATATTATGGTCAAAAGCTCAAACTTAGCTTTAACCACTGGCTGCATACCAACACCATCTTCTACTTTCTGAATCTGTGCCCATGATTATATTTGGTTCATATTTTGGTTGATTTCAGCACATGAATATGACTTACTGTAGGGACTGGTGAAGTGAAGGGAGCTCTAAACTTACCCAAACAAATGGCAAAGGTCAACATACTTGTCCATGAGAGGGTGAAAAGAGGGCAGGAGGACCTGCTACAAAAAAAAAAAAAACATTAACATTAAATGAAAAACCAATCAAGACTGTGTACTGATAGCCAGTCAGCACAGTAGGCTACATTACACAGCGTGGATTAAATGACACCTCCTGTACATCTTAAAGATTTTCCGGACTGAATGTGAGCAAACAACAAGTGACAGGACCATCACTGCTGTATAGGCTACATTACACAGAGTGGATTAAATGACACCTCCTGTACATCTTACAGATTTTACAGACCTGTTTTTGTGTGTGTTTTATCACAGTTCAAGGTTTGTTTCAAATATGCATAAAAAATGTAAGGTTATCTTCTATTCCATTTATTTAACTTCATATAGCTCCAGTAACTTAGATGCTTTAATTTCTGATGTGTTTGAGTCTCCCAATGGCCAGCTGAGACCCTATGTGTAACATTTTTTTAGTGAATCTCATCAGTGTCTTTACGTCTAAGCATGGTTATGTGAGGTATCCATCACAGACACAGTTAAAATATATCTGTTAAGAAAATGATAAGTTGGTTCATATTTATTTAAGACAGAACTTTTAAACTGGTAATATTTTCATCATCAAGTTATGCAAAGTATCAGGCTTAAATCAAATTGATCTCTCCAGCAACATCCAAGCTGAGATGGATCAAAGTTTTACAGTGTTTTCTTTGGTCAAGTCTGAGGTAATCTTTCTTTACTAAATTAAAAGTGGGATGAGTGAGGTGGGGATTTTTCCCCGTTTTATTTGGTCAGACAAGATTAACATCCACACTAACTGAATAAGTAAACTTATGAATTGGCACTAAGCATGGGAACCTTTTGAGAAAACAAAAAGATGACAGATGTTCAATATGAAATCTTCATAAAAACCCTATTTGGGAAACTGCTCTCTGGTCAAAGATGAAGTTCAGCAGGGTAATTCTGCAGATGCAAATATCTCCTCAACGTTTATAACCCAACAATACAAGAAAAAGCATTTGAACAAGAAGCCACACAACTCTGACCTTAAATGCTCACTGTTTTACATCTGAGAAACTAACTTAGTCTTATCAGGATTCAACAATTTCATGAAACAGTAAATAGTCTGTGTGCATGGCCCCTGGCCCCGCGTGAATACTGACACAATTTATATTTGGCAACAAAAAAAAAATACACTTTATATCACAAGTCTGGTTGCCAGCAGCGAGGCGTCCTTACTGCAAGCTCATTTTTACTTTAACGACTTTCTGTGAGTTCAGACAGGCCGCCATGTGCAACAAGTAGCTTCTCGTTCTTACCGCCATTAATCTAAAAAGACTGAATAAATTATCCGTGGACAGACGAAGCTGCACAACTTTGGAGTAATTACACATGAAGAGTTTCAGTGCCTGACACTGGCATAGTTTTTACCCAACACGTACTGTGTACCCACTTCAAATAACATCCATATTTGAAACACAGGCTTGCTATTTAGATTAAATTTGCATTAAAAGTGCATGACTCTCATTTAAAGTATGAAGTATAAAGTAGACAGCCACCTTTGAGCTTTACCCACCTGTCCGTTCGTCCAGTGCTGAAGGTTCGAGTACATGCAGACTGGTTAGAACCTCTGCCAAGACCACAGTGGACGATAACCGACCGTTAGCTTATGTGTTGCATGTGCGTACGTTCGTGCGTAATTACGCACACACGATTCTTTGGAGTAAGATGTATGGTGATAGTGTATTTTTATGTTGATTGGGTCGTCTTCTGTGTTACTTGTCTTTTATGATAAGTAACACAAATTATTGATTAATTATCATGATTGAAGAATCATTGATTACATAAATAAAGACATGAGGGAAAAAAAGTCAGCATTTTCTCAGGGATCCAAAAACTAAGACTGATAGAGAATCAAAACCATTCCATATCAGTAAATACGAGCTACAATAGGGCTACAAACTGAGTGAGATTAGATAAAACCGTTTAAAAACTGAAACTCCTTTGTTTTTACTAAAAACAGACAAGTGTTAAAGGTACATTTCATGTTTGCAAGCATTACCTTGATCAGGGGTTTACCATACCATTGATCAGTAGACGGCTATTAGATGTCTAGTGTTTTTTAAGCCCTAATTTCAACCCTCTAGATTCTGGATATTTTTAGATGGAATTTAGATGTTCAATTTAACCCATTATTTGATCACTATTTATTTCAAAAAGCAACTGTGAGCTTCATAACTGATCTCCAAGCACTCAACCAAAATAATTACAATAAGCGTCAAGCAATATACAGTGCAGTATATAGCCCAGAATTAGACTTGGTCTAAATTTAGACATCTAAAAAACATTCATTTTTAGACCTGTGGTAGCCTGATTTTAGACCAGTCGTCTAGGTTACATTTAGACGTCTATTAGACCTCTTGAGACCTCGGTGCCCGGTGGGATGGTGCCAAAGTTGGTGCCTAGCTTTCAGTGGAGGTCCTTGAAGCAGACTGGTTCTATAATATCAACTCTGCAGACGATGAATGATGGTGATTAAAAGTAGAACAGATATAGCTATTTGTGAAATGGTTTGGGTATACCGTCATGATCAAAAAAAGGAAAAGACATTTTACTCTGAAGAAAAACTGCATCAGTTTTTTATAATTCAAATACTCCAGCTCATGTATTGCACATACTCTTCTCAACAAACCTCAGTGCATTAACAAATCCCAAAACATAAATAAATGTTTTATTCTTATCCTTTCCACTCTTCATTATTTTACAGCAGACCAGCTCCTGATGATCATTTCCAAATGACAGGAGCTTCTGGCAAACCCCCCCGTGTCCATGCAGTGAGATGGCACCACCAGAGCGAGTTTGTAGGAATCGTCCTGGGCCAGCTGTACTTGACAGTGTCTCTGTATGACCCTGCTGACCTTCAGTACGGTTTGCCTCCAATTGCAGCAAGCTGTTCTTGCCTCTCTGCAGCAGTTGGCATGTCTGGTTTCACACCGTCCCTTCTCCTCTGCAGCATTATGTTGTGCTACAAGAAAATAAACACAAAAATCCTTAACAGAGATTGAACTAATTACTACTACTTTTAGTTCCAGTTAATGGTACATTTGCTTCAAACATGCAGTGTGAAGTTGATTGGTATGCACAAAAAAACGCGAAGAGGTTCCAATAAAATTATGCTGTTAGTTTCTTTGCGGGAGTATGGCAAACATTGTTCCTGTATTGGAGCCCAAACTTGAATTTTCAAGCTCTCCTCAGATAAAAAATCCAGCACTAATGGCCTCAGTGTTTGGATGATATCTTTTTTGTTATCCAGAGGTGCATGTCAGATAACCATGCCTTTAATCTGACATATATTTCACAGATGGGAGCTAAATGCTCAGTGGTGTCAAGCAAGACACTGACTGAAACTTTCCTTTAATTTCTTTTTCATTTTCATGTGTTACCTCTTTGCTACTTAGGAAATGAAATGTGAAAGGCTGAAATATAAATGGCTAAATATTGGTTTCAGATTTTATTTACTGAAGAAAAATGCTGCTTTTGCATGTTTTTTCTGTTCCCCCCAAATGCCCCTCTGCTCAGTTGACAGTTTTGCCATACCTCCATTACCCACAGCACCACTTGGCTCCTCTGTCAGCCATTTCTGGCCCTGCCTGCGCAGGTTTCCTAATCCACCAGTTGGTGTCACTGAAGCATCAAAGAAAACAACGTTTCCTATTTCCTTGAGGAATCAGTTCCACATGCACTTTCTCCATCCTTTCTGATCTCCTACATTCAAATACTTAATTTTTTTAAAGCTAGTTCTTTACTCCAACAAGTCTTCTCAGTTTGTTTAGTAAAACTCTGATTCCACCAAAGTTAGGACACTGTTTACAAAAACAGATCATGGTTCATGGTTTGCAAATCCTTTATAAAACAGTAATGTAATGTGTATAAAACCCCAAATAAATACAAATCTAATAATATCAAATTTAATTTAAAGTAGTGCAAGAATAACATATCAGACGCTAAAACTGAAAAGTTTTGTGGTTTTGAGGAAAATTTATACTACTTTTAAATTTGGTGCCAACAAAAAGTTCAAAAATAGTTGGGAAAATTACAACAAAACACTGAAAAAGTTGTGTAATGTAAAGAAAACAAAACAAACAAACAAAAAAAAAATACCTAAAGATTAAAAAAAGGTTCACCTCTCATGAGAGACTGCGTGACGAAATAGTTTGAACGAATTTCTGAATCATGTCCTTCTGTGTGTGAAACTGCATAGTATTTCAGGATTTCATCATCTACAGGACATAATATTATTAAAAGATTTGGAGCAATCTCTCTACAAAAGGGAAAAGACAGAAAACCAATACTGGATGGCCAGGATCTTTGGGTTCTCAGGCAGCACTGCACTGAAAACAGACATGACTCCGAAGTGCAAACCACTGCACAGGCTCAAAATCACATGAAAGAAAGACTTAACTTCTGTGAATCTGGTTCATCAATGTATTCACAATGTTGGCTAAAACTCCACCATGCAAAGATGAAGCTATATACAGCACAAACATGATCCAGGAAGCCCAGACTTTGTGGGCCCAAGCCCATTTAAGATGGACTGAGGCGAAGTGTAAAACTGTGCCGGGGTATAACAGATCAAAATTTGACATTCTTTATGGAAGCTATGAACAACATGACTCCTGCTTTAAAGTAGACCAACCAGGTTTTGATTAGTGCACAGTTCAAGAGCCTGTGAATAGATGGAGACACACAAGTGCCCATGACATGGTCACCTTTAACAGAAAAACTATGCTTACAGGTTTTGGAGCTGCCATCCACACGCCGCCTTTCTCAAAAGTGGCCTGACATATTCTAGCAAGACAGCGTCATACTAAATCCTGCATGAATTACAACAGCATGACTTCACAGGTGAATAATCCAGGTGCTTCATTGTCCAGGATACAGTTACCCAAGTTGAAAACATTTAATGCATACAAAAAAAAGATGTAACAAACTCTGCTGAACCTTTGAGCAGCTAAAATCCTGGATCAAGATTCCAGATGCTGCTCTGTTGATGTTCAAAAACATCCACAGAGTATTGCTAAAAAAGATGTGCTGCAGTAGGATGGTATACATGCTCCAGTCCAACTTTTTTTTAAATCACCTTGCTGGCACCAAATTTAAAATAGGCACACAACTCTCCAACATTTGATTTAATGTATTCGTGTCATTTTCACTAAAATAGATCGTTTTTATTGATTTGTAAAACATCAAAATCTGTTTTATTTGCATTTTACTCAACATCCCAGCTTTTTGGAAACAGACTTGCAAAGTGTTGATAAGCAGATACTCACCCAGTATTTCCTACAATTCTTATATTGCTGAAAATATGCTGAGCACATGCTCTTGTCGTAGTTGTAGGAATCCAAGCACTTTTGGGAGGCATCACTTTCCTATTAAAAAAGATCAAATTCAAACTGAACCCACCATTATAAACATTAAACCACAAAAGATGCAAACACAATTATTTAAGAAAAGTATGCTTACTTCAATGCATGGGTTAATGTCCTGATTCCGAACTCTTCGAGTATTTTTATCCATTAGAGTCTGTGTGAAATTGAACATAAACAAAGTCAGAAACTGTACTGTAAAATACACTGTGCTGTAAGACTGTCTTAAATATATAAGAATTAAAAATTATACAGCTATCAAAGCAAGGGTTACTCACTGTCATAATAATTGAGAGAGAACCCAATAGACCCTTAGCTGATGCACCAACAAAAAAAAATACAAGGTCTAAAATTTTGCTATTTTCTTAAACTACTTTTAAAGATCAAACAAACAGGTAAACATATATTCATTTTGCATGTGAGGAGTTACATGAACACAACTTTTTGCTTCATTTAAATGATGACAAATGAAGAAGTAAAATAACTTTTTACATTGAAACATTCAAAATATTTTATAGTATCATTTTTGGCAAGATGAGGATTTTCAGCTTTTCTTGGTTTCATTTCACAACATAAAATCTTTGGACTTTGCACATTTGTTGGTCTAAGACAAGTTATTTAAAATGTTTACTCTGTATTAGTGTTACTTTGTTTTGAATCGGTGGGAGTGCTCACACCCTTAAATAATTACACCACTTTGCTCTGTCACTTTAAACCATTTTGTAAGGATGTTTAACATAAACCACATACATATGGATGGATATTATCTTTAAAAGCAAATGTAAAACAAACCTTTTTAGTCTTGCTTTTAACTAAATTTTTTATCATTAACTTTGTTAACATTTATCTATTATAGTTTTAATCAGAGGATTGTCTTTTGTTGAGATATTTTGGTGCTCTTATTTTAGTATATTTTACTGTCGTTTTTATTTCATTCTATTTATTATTTCTTAAATTTCATTTTATGTTTCTTTGTTTTTAGATTTTAACATAAACCTTAAGTGTTTCCTTATCTTGACTTTTAAAATGACGTTTCCTCGATGCACACATTACTGTTTCCACGAAATCAAGCCCCTTTTAAGTTTATGCATTTCAACACTGTTTCTATTGCAATTAGATCGTGGGGTGGAAATGAGGGGTTGGGCTGGGGTAGATTTTGGTATTCTTTGTTTCTTTTATTCCTTTTTCTGTGCTACTGGTTCTGTGCTTTTTGTGCTACATGTTGTGTATGAAAAGTGCTATATAAATAAAGACTGATTGATTGATCTGATGCAAATGGAGTAAGGAACATCACTGAACTTGGTTTAATCAAGAAAAAAACACTGAAACTAATAATCACTCACTTACGTTTGGTGTGTCTTTCCTCTGCCAATACAAAGACGATTTGTTATTTCTATTTATCAGTCAATGTTAATACCAAGGTAGCAAAGATAAAATGACACAAATATTTTGTCACTTATAGGTTTGCAAACACTTCAGGAAATGATCCACCAAAAACAGTGATGCCACCTGCTCAAGACTCGTTTAGGTTTGGAGGCTAAAGTCTATTAAGGGGATAATCATGAGCCCTATTATGTCAGTGACTGACAGACCCAAAGACATTCCTCATACTTGAAACTTACTGAATATAATAAGAAAGTTTTATTCTAGTGCCTACTGAAAGATGGTAGAAGCTAGTTCTAAACAACAAAATAACAGGCTGCCTATATTGACTCTTCCTGCTATCACTGATTCTAATGTGTTTTGGTGCAAGGGAAGTGCAGCCGAAAAAGACATGTAATTTGTTTCTGATATTATTTCACCTTGGTGTCTTTACTATATGCCGAATTGAAGATTGGCTCTCCCTTTTGGAGATAAAACGATTAAATGTGGTGTTCAATGCCAAAACACACCACGCCTGACTGAATTACTAAATTTCCTGGTGGAATTTGGTGCCCCCGTCACAGACTGCACTGCTAATATGCAACATGCTGACCTTCAGTGATGTTACTTAACAAGCACCGTGAAAGCTTAAGAGTAGAAATTCATTCGGGTGCACCGATAGATGTTTAGGGTGAATAAATATGCAGCCGTACAACGTTATGACCTACCTTTAAAAACACAAAGTTTATTTTCCTGTGGAAGTCTATGGGCTCGTGGATTCGTCTATTACCCAAACCAGTGAAGGTTATCCAGTTAAAAAAGGACCGACTGGTTGCAGAGCCTAACCACACGGAGTCTATAGAGTATAATGGTGCCTTTTACCTTTCATTAAATATCAGCCAGAGTTTTGCTTCGGAAAGCTAGTGAGCAGCTACAAGCTAAGCTTCGTATTGCTAACATATGAGCCACACAAGCTAAAGACTACAACCTCCCCTTCATGCCCAAGTCAACCCCACAACCCTGCTGCAACAGCGCACCAGGAAAATAACCTCAGTCGTCACCGATGACTGACAGCATCGTCAGCCAATAGGGGCCCACAGAAACAAACGGCTCAGACTGACAATCAAACGCACCAATAGAATTTATTCGCTGAAATAATGCTCTTTTATTGTTACAAATCTGACTGAACCAAACTCGAGAGATGTTTTCTGTGTTGAAAGAGTCAAAAAAATTACTTTTATCGAAAGGGACCAGAAGGAGCACATAAGTGAAATCGTCAGTGCCTTACACGAACCCAAATAGCACAAGTGGGCGAAACTTTGAAGGGGCGTGGCTAAATCAAAGTGCGGTTGCATCGCAGCGCATACACAATGGCTGCTCGAAAGAGGGGAAAGCAAAACATTTTCAGGCCCGCCGCGTCTAGCAAAAAATATGAGAAAAAAATTATTAAAAAATCGGAAAATAGTTGAAAGTGAAGAAAAACTCAACAGAAAGGATGCTAAAGCGTCCGTGGTAAGTTTGATGTAAATTAAGTTCCTGGTTACTCAGTTCTTGAATTAAAATATCGGGGTTATTTAAATTATGAGAGAGGGGTGAGCAGGGGAAAAAGTTTGTGTTAATCAGTACCCTGTTTGGTACCACAGATAAAACCAAGGGAAGGCATAAGTATTTAAAAATAATAATTTATGTCACTGCTTATATTAGTCTCACACTGCGTGCCAACAAATATCAAAGACTACAGGAACCAGCAGAAAGAGCGAAAGTTGAGTGGAGTTAACATAGCCTCCTCACTAAGTTTATTCTTTTATATATAATAACAACGACAGTGCGTTGAGGACCGCCAAGGACAGGCGCACTACGATTCAGCATTAATGTCATTTTTTCCCTTCAATCTGCGAATACATTCATTTTCACGTCATGTAGCCCGTACACTTAATCATAAGCAGTGTCAACAACATATCCTTATCGATTTGAGCATCTCGTTTCTAGAAAATCTATCGCCAAATGGAACCATTTAGTGACCAAGGGGGGGACGTTTGATCAGTCTATTTCACTTTTGGTTGTACTCTGTATCGCATTTTTTTACCCACTACAGGTATCGATCACGTTGTCATGCGGATGACAGTTCGGCTATGACCCGCTGTCAGGCAAGAAACGACAAGAAATGTATTTGTCAATAAAGTAGCAAAATGGAGGTAGAACTTAAGGCAAACTAATCAGGTAATACTTGAGATTTGCTTCTACAGCCTGCGTCCCCAACTTGTCGCAAACAACTTGTTGAGAGCAAATAGTCAACTTGTGTCCAGTTTGATTGGTGTGGCAGGTTGCACAGTGCATAGGCTATTAGTTAATCGTGTTTATAAGATCGGGTCTTATAGCTGCGGTGGATGTGAGGCAGCAGCCTATAACATGAGGTTACAAGGATCTATCATGTCAATGTGTTGAGCGTTTAACGTGAAGTGGTGGAAGAGCTGAAGGGGTTTGAGGATCCGAGTCTTCTCCATCAAAAATGTGTCTTTGGGGTTGAGGCTAGGTTCTGCTGTTGGTGGATGGAAAGCTGATATAGGTTATTAAACGGTTCCTGGAGTTGAAGTGAGTTGTGCACAACAGAGATCTGATTTACAGCTGTTATGTTACTGCCAGAGTCTTTTACTGAGTCTGTCAGTCTGAGGCTGATTGTATATGTTTGTGAAAAAGAAGTGAATATCCTGCATGAAAACTAACTTTTTATTAGTTCAATAGAAAGAGAAATCTGGTCTAGAATATCTTGTTTCTTTTTAGTTTCTTCCAACATGATAATCAAAAAATTTATCAGGAGAAGTGGCTTTCTTTTCTACAGATTTACCTGTTTTAATACATCATACAAATCATGTCCTTTAGGCCTCGTAGCCTTAGTTATTACAGGTTTTTATAGCAGAGATGAGTTTTATTTGTCTAAATGTGCTGCAGATTTTATGTGGCTCACCTTTGAGGCGGTTGTCAGCGTTGTCAAAAATCATCTATGTTGAATTTTTGACTTAGTTTTTCAGCGTAATGACAGTAATTTTTCAAACAGAAATCCAACAGAGAATTTTGACAGTATTAAATATTTGATATTCAGCCTGTTATCTTTAAACAAATTATTGTAGGCCCATAGATCGATGTTTAAAAGCACAACATTAAGAGATTTAATGTATTAGTGTGTTGTAGATGTCATTTATGTGATTTGAAATGATTAATGAAATGATTTAAGAATTTAGGGGCACTTACGAAGTTCATGTCTGAGCTCTTTTTGAAGATGTAAATGTTAAGTTCATTCAACCTTTAGATAACTCAAATATATAATTTGATTATATTTATCAAATAATGGGAATACAGCTTGCTATCATTGCATATTTGCAGTATTTTTTCTCGGACAAACATGATAAACTACTTTTTCAAGTGGCTGCATGTATTGTTCCAAAGATCTAAAGTTATTGACTACCTTAAATTAAAATACTTTAATACAAATAAATGGAAATATCAAACGGATCCACAGTTGAAAGCTGTAGGCTACTCTTTTTGTACTCAACAGTTATTTCATTTTTGTTCAAACGTTTTCAGACTTATTTGGGGTGAATTCTAGATAGATAATTCTTATCAACAGGGTTATACATGACAGGCTGAAGTATTTTTGAATTTAAGGAACTGCAGGTCTCTGTTAGCAGGTGCTTCTGGACTAAAACTAAAACAAAGTTTATTGAGACAGATTCTTCAGTGAAAGTTTGCTTACCGTAGAGTTGTGGATTTTAAAATAAAGCTACATTATAAGGGAGTTTTTAAAATGTTTTTTAGGACGCATGAAATAGGAAATATATGTGAGTATAATAGCTAAAAGCAACATGCTGTTTTTTAATGAAAACAGGCTTTTCCACATGTCTTAAGATGTGGTCAAAGCTCCATTTAGTCCAAAATTTTATCGATTTCTTTTTGAGGATGAGATGAATGTTAGTATAGCTGTGCCAAATAAGATTACTATTAATGATTTTCCCGGGTTTACTCGGGTTTTACACGTCCATGTCTATGTGATGATATCATGATCCTTAACTCCCCCTTCTTTGACTCAGAGAGTTCTTGGACAAGAGCTGATCCCCAGACTGTTTTAAGTGCTAAGGCTTTCCCCCTGCCTGGTTTCTTCACTAGTGTGTGAATGTGCAGTAAAAATAGGTGATAAGTTTAAAATTGGGGGTTGGGGATATACTGTAAATACATCTAATTACCTCTCAGACTATAAGTTTGCAGTCATCTGAAGGGAGATAAATATCATTCTTGATTAAACCATGCCGACCCTGTCTCCTGGAAAAGTCATCCTGCTATCGATTTTCACAGCTGACTTTTTTATTTTTATTCAATAATAATGAAAAAAAGAGGTTAGTAAATATTCAGAAACATTATCACAGTCACAAAATAATGTTGTGCAGTTGATTTTTCCTTTCAGACCAGCTCATTATCAAAATAACAGAAACACCTGCTTGTATTAAAGAGACACAGACAACTCAAGCTCCAACCTCAGTTTATCATTATGTTTTATTGTACTTTGATCTGTTTTAAATTTCTGTTTTTCCTACTTTCCGTGACTTTCACCATAGTAGTTTAGATTCGTACAAATTTTTTGTTTGAAATTCTCAATGGCAATTACCAAATTGTGAGTGATACAATACACTGTTAAGTATACAGAGTCATAGAAAAGAGGGAGAAGGAACAAAATATTCACAACATACCTAAAGAGTAGCTGTGGCAGAGGGGTAGAGTGAGATGCAGACACAAACAAGCTTTGGCAATCTTTCTGAAGGTTTGACTTTTGCTAGCTGTGAGAGTGTGCATGAGTCAGCACCTGGCAAGGCAGATCCTGTCACTGATGTATGATTTTGTTTTAAATTTGATTGTTTACGTACGTGCATCATAAATAAGGTGTTGGGACTAGAACAGTGCTTTAATCTTTTACCGTTCACACACATTCTACCTGGCCTGGATCAACACAAAAACACATACTTTTTTAGTGTATTTAACTTGTGTATGTCCAGGTCACTGCTGTTGAATACAAGGTTTTTACGTGTCCAATTTTGATAGAAAGATGGCACCTCTCTGTGGTTGTCCTGCAAATCTTTTTTTTAAATTTGGACACCTAAAAGAGTGACTTTGACTGTCAGCTTGAAGTTAGGGTCAAAAACTACAGGGGCCCTGTGCAAGACTTGTTAGTTATCCAGCTTTGATTGAACATAATTACCTTATCCACATTACTCTGCCTTACCCTTGGCTGGTCATCCAGGGAACATCACAGCTGATGGTGGACTGATCAAAACCTGCCAAGAGTTTTACTATATTCTATATTGTTATTTCGTTGTCATCATACCTGTAGGATCCTAACACTAACATACTTGATTGAGAAAAAAATACATTTTATCTGGATGTTTCTGACTACTAATGATAATGTATATTTCCACTCTAAAACCTTCCTTTTATGAAATTTACTTGAATTTTTTCCCCAAGTAAAAGATTTTAAATTTTCTGCACTCCTATGTCCCGACAAGAAAGGAAAGAGCTTCACCCAAAACTGTTCAAACACTGTGCCATCAGTGTGCAGATGTGGTGTGAATGGATGAAAGTGGAATATCGTGAAGCTGCCTTTAAGTGGCCAGAAGCCTAGAGAAAGAGCTACATAAATTGCTGTCTATTTACTTTCTTACTTTGTGCATCCTGTGAAACGACATACTGAGTCAGCCATGGAATGCCAGCTTTAACTGCAGGCTTCTATGTATCAGTACAAAGGTGTCAGGATGACTGATGGAACCTTGTTACCATGCTGTTGTAGAGCTACAGAATTAAGACTCAAGGACATGTCCTCATTTGATCTCCTGCAATCTAAGAACTCCATTGATGGTTTTAGTTATGGTTATTTTAATCACAGTCTCATTGTTTGAAACTTAGGTTACCCAAGCCAGTTAATAACCAACTTGTTACATTCACTGAGGTTTGAGTATCCAGAGAGATCTAGATTCAGTTTAACTTGGATTTTGATTCATGCCTTAGATTTATTTCCTGTAGCGTCTTTTTGGTTAAGGTGTTGATTTTCATCTTTTCTTCTTTTTCCAGCAACATGAACCCGAACCTTTTAAATCATTTCTCTTTCCTGTCTCTCTCCCCCCAGGCCCCTGTGTCCGGCCAGTGTTGAGCACTTAAAACTGGATAGAATAAATGCAACAGTACTAGTTGGGCATTGTGCCTCTGTCCATGTAGCTGGTCTGCCTTAGAGTGCCATGGCCACAGGAACCCAGGACCATCGTGACCAAGTCCTGGAGAAAGTCAAGCTTGTGCCTCCCATGGGGAGGCGCAGGAGAGCAGAGGGCAAGCCGAAGAAGAATTTCTCCTGCCAGGAGTGTCAAAAAGCTTTCAACAGTCTGGAAAAGTTGAAGGTGCACTCGTACTCTCACACAGGAGAAAGACCCTACCGCTGCTCCCACCCCGACTGCACCAAGGCTTTTGTCTCCAAATACAAGCTGCTACGGTACAGACAAGCAGCAGTACATATTAGACTGCAGCATGTTGCTTTTCTCCTTACTCCTTTGGTAACATAGTTTTAGTTCTAGTTAAAGTGATTTGTTGATGAATACTTGTTTGCAGGACTTGTGTTTGTGTCTTATGTAAAGCATGCCTACTTAAAATTTGATTGCAACCATTTTAAGTGCTCATAGAATGTGTCTGTGTTCAAAGGCATATGGCAACTCACTCGCCAGAAAAAAACCACAAGTGTTCATACTGTGAGAAAATGTTCCACCGCAAGGATCACTTAAAGAATCACCTACACACTCATGATCCATACAAGGAGGCATTTACCTGCCAGGAGTGCGGCAAGAGCTACAACACCAAGCTGGGCTTCAAACGCCACCTTGCCCTCCATGCTGCCAACAGTGGTGACCTTACCTGCCAAGTGTGTCTGCAAGAGTTCCCCAGCACTGGGGTTCTACTGGAACACCTCAAAACACATGCTGGCAAGTCCTCTGGCGGGACCAAAGAGAAAAAGCATCGCTGTGAGCATTGTGAGCGGCGATTTTATACCCGCAAAGACGTGCGGCGCCACATGGTGGTGCACACGGGACGCAAAGACTTCCTTTGCCAGTATTGTGCCCAGCGCTTTGGAAGGAAGGACCACCTGACACGTCACGTCAAAAAGAGCCACGCACGGGAGCTGCTGAGGGTAAAAACTGAGCCGGCTGATTCGCTGGAGCCTGTGGTCTATGACTTGGCATCTGAAAGCATCAAGGATGAGCTCCCGGGGATGGTGACACCAAGGCCACATCAACTCAACATGTACACAGGCCCCGTCCTGGACACAGAGTCCTTTCCCACCCCGACACACCCCTTTTCTTTAAAGTACTCTTTGGGCTCCAACTTTACCTCATACACCTTCTCCTCACAGGAGCGGGAGCAGAACCTAAAGGGAGAACTGGAGACCTACCTGATGGAGCTGCAGAGCAGCATGCCCTCCTCATCCTCTGCAGCACAAGAATCCCAACTCTCCTCCAAACTTGAGTTAGAGACTCAAGCAGGAGTTCTAGAGGAAGCGAGCCAGGAAGTATCCCTGTCCAAAATATCCACTCCAGTGGCAGCAGCCACTGCAGGGGACTCGCTGACTTCATCCTCGTCTCTGATGGACTTCTCACAGCTTTTTAACTTCTTGCCCCTCAATGGGCCCCCATACAGCCAAGCAGCAGGGCAAGGGGTTGCCTATCCACCCACTGATGAATCGGCGCCCCTGGTTCAGTTACCACCCCAGCCCCTTGAAGGCCCTGAAACTGCAGAGGGTTCACTTCAAGGACTCCCATCCTCGTTCATATCAAATCTGAACACACCTACCACACTGCCCCGCTTCCATCAAGCTTTTCAGTGATTCAGTATGTACTGCACATGGCACACAAACACTCATGCATACACAGAGACAACATACAACAAAAATATGCTGAGCTTCACAAACACACCAGCAAACACTGAAACAGGATGCCAGTGACGACACAAGTTTTAACATTGAAGCATTTTTGTTCATTTATGGCAACATAAGCAGACACACATACAGCAGATGGTTAGCACTGACAGTAAAACACACACACAGGGCACACAGTGACAACATTTTCCTGTCAGGATAATTGTTAGTTTTTTTTACACCCGTCAAGCTTTGGACTGATGCGCAAATCTCCTCCACCGCTATGTCCTCAAAACATGTTCATAAAACAGGATAACATCTATTTGTGATCCTTGCAGTTTGCATGGGAAGTACATTGTAATCTCTTCTGATCATCAGTGAAAGATTTTTCAAAGACTTTCTTTTAATCTTAGCACAAGCAGAAAAATTCAGCTAATGCATGGATTCGCAAAGGTCAGCAAAGCTCGCCTTGATCATTTCTGTGCAGTAGAAATGTAAAAATATGACGTAAACACAGTAATGGGGTAAAAACCCCAACAGTATTGCTGCATTCCAGCTACCTCAGAAGTCGGATGTCGGAACTGGGAATGAAGTTACACCCGAGTTGACAGCATTCCAGTTAACAAGTCGGAAAACCAAAATGGACGCCTACAGTTACCTGTTATTAGCTGTTTTTTTTTTACAATTGTCAGCTGTCCTTAGCTGTTGTCAGAGGTTATTAGTTGTCGTTGTTAGCGATACCAGTTGTAAACAACGCATAACACAGTATTTAACTCACTGCATTCACAGTTAGACGTTGGGCAGCACAACATATACCACTGATTGAATTTCACAAAAACAAAACAGAAGTGCTAAGAAATAATACATGCTGCCATCTTGGATTATGACGTTGTCATCAAGTCGGGGTTGGTGAGGATCGTTCGACTTTCCAAGTTGGATATCCGACTTCAGGGGGGCGTTACAGATGAATTTCCGACTTCTGAGTACAACTGGAATGCAGCATATGAAAACAGCCTCACTCATTATATTAATAAGTATGACCTCAGTTTGAACATTAGTCTTTGCATTAGAGCTTTGAAATGATGCCCTCATATTTGTTGTAGGGACCAATCATAGTTCTGGATGTTTCTGCCCATTAATATCAAATCCCCCAAGTACTCCACTCAACTGCTCTATGCGACAAATTACTTTTCTATACTACAGATAGTCGGAGACTGTTACCTAAACTTGACAGATGATCAGCTAGTACATTTTTTTCAGGCAGCTAATTAATTTAATCAATTTCTTTGCAGTGGGCAATACAGCAAGACTTTTTTTTTAGCTTCAGAAAACCTCAAACATCACATAGAGGAATTTACACAAAGCTAAATTAATAGAAGCACACAAATTCATTAATGTGGTCCTATTCATGAATCAAATTAAAGCAGGAGTGCATTCACATTGTCGGAGGCAAGGCAGTAAGAAGGAACCGCTGAGCAATATTTGTACAGTTTTAGATTTTATTTTTGTAGCAGGAGGATTTCCTGGTCCAGTTTAATACAAATTCTCCAACAGTGGTGACATAATCATACAAGCTAAAATAAGTCTTCTTTTAGAGTTTCGCAGTAATCCTTCATAACCCTGAACCAAGGACACACTCACACACACACTCACTAACACACATACACTCACAAACACAGATGTTATTTTAAGAGTTAGGACCTGGATAAACAGACCCTCACTGAAAGGATCCTAGAAAGATAAGTCAGTGGAGTTATTTCAATGTAAGAGTGAGAACTTATTAGTTTCTTGGCTGCTTTACATCCCTCTAATTGAAATCATCATGTGCCTTATTTTGAAACTTTTGAGGACCTTATAAATACGTAAGCACTTGCTCTAGATCTAGAATGAAGGAAGTTTGACCTGGAAAATGCACACTCATTCACATTGTGTTACAAGTGCCACCATTTCTTTCCTGTATGCGTATTAGCACATTTTTTTAGCAGCAGGACTTAAATGTTTTATGATTGTGACTAAATTTTACTATTAGAAACAAACCCCACTCCGCTCTCTTGCTAAACTATTGAGATATCTTCAATAGTCATACTACTTTTAAGCCCCTAAAGGATAAATTTCTTCAAGTGGATAAACTTTTTAGTTTTTCCTCTGTTGCATCATTTAATTGACTGAAAAATTGCGCTCCCCTCGATAAAACAAAAATGGTACAACCCGTAAAAATGATAATCACAAGTTAAAGCCTCTTTATGAATACAATCATTTAAAGCATCTAATACTGAAAGCTATTCAGTGCCTTGAGAACCACAGATATGAAATTGAAATATGACAGTGTCCTGAAAGTCAATGACGCAAAAAAAAAAAAAGATTTAATCAGAAAGAATTTAACAAGAGTTTTTTCACTTTCTTCAACTTTGATTGAAATCCGAAGATTGAAATCTGCTAAAATTCGAACAAAGTCAACATTGTCGTCTTCTTACGTGAAGCTAGTTCCCTTTACCAAGACATTAACTGTTCAATGAAAGCTGCTATGACATAGACGATAGTATCAGGGTGCTTTTAAATACTGCAGATGCAAATGTGCGAAACTGTACGAATGTAAAGTGTGCTGGAACTGAGCTGAGTTTAAAAGCAAACTTCCCATGATTACAAAATTCATTGATTAGCCTTACGATGTACGCTTAACCTCAACGGTCTTTGTATTCCTACATAGTGAGGACTGTAAAGGTCTTCAATTATAATTCAGTGTTTTGTTATGACTCAACATCTGATTTGTCGCTGATAAATCACAGTAACTCATTTTTGTAGTCGCTCATAGTAGAAGTACCTTAGCAGCTGATGCAGACAGTTTTGGTTTGATACGCAGAAGTTCTGTGATGTCTACCTCGAGGCCTTCTGCCTTAACTTTTATACAACGGAGGAGAAAGAAACTGCACTGAGATTGGGATAAGAATTGTGTTTTTCCTTCTCACTTACATTTTCTTCTCAGTGTCAGTGTTGAGAGTAGTGTATTGAACGGCGTGGGAATCACCTGCAGCACACCCATCTACCATAGATCATAGATTTTATCATTTTCTTGTTACCACGTTTGCCTCAAACAAGTGTAACCCTGATTTTTTCCCAACTTTTACCACCTTCAGTCGCCTTAAGTGTTGAATAGAAAGTGAGAGAGTTTAAAACATCAGCATTGGGTGAAGTGAGAGCATGCTTTCATGTATTTTGTTTTGTTATAAAATATATTCTCCTTTTTTGTCAATAGATTTTATTAGGAAATCAGTCCACAAACATTACCACAGCTACATTTTTAAGTGAAGTTTTTGGACATTTTTTTTCCCTTTTTTCCATTAGACCAGCTGAAGAGAGACAGGAAGTGATGGGAATGACATACAAGAAAGGATCATGAATCAGAGTGCAGTGAAGATTATAGCCTCTTTATATGGGAAATCCACATAAACCACTATGTCAAGCGATGCCCCATTATTTACACTTCTGTTCAACATAACAGACAGTCCCATTCAGCTGTAACATCTGCTTGTACTCAGTCCTTACATGCCTTTAAGGACTATATGAGGACAACAGAGGATTTGTGCCAGAATGGGTTGTGATATAGGACTACATGTAGCAAGACCCCCTTTGGCATTTGAAAGTGCTTGACCACATACATTACACTTAATATTAGTATAAGACTTTAAGTTCTCACATCCTCCTCTGCTTCTACTAATTCTTTGTCTGTGCTGCTTATTCCCTTTTTCTAAAATAATCTGAGATACATTCAAAATAGATAAACAAGCACAATAGGCCAGAGTGACTTCATCATGAAGATGGGTACAAATCTTGCCCTTGTATGTTTGTGTGTTTCCTGTAACAGTGCACTTTTATGATCTAAAAGGGCTGCTTTCTATACTTAAAATGTTTCCATGGAAGACCTAAAAAAAAGTTGATTTAAACTTGACAGAACTGAAAAAATGATTTGGAGGAAAAATAATTTGGTTTTTAGCTTCTGAAACAAATATTTCAGACTATGAGTGAGCTCTGGATATATTAGTTTCTGTCGCTGCAAGATTGCCTCAAGTAATACAGATAAGAAGGGGTAACAGTAGTGACACGAAGACAGTGGACCTTTTCGCTTGAATCAATCTAAATCGATCACTGAATGTTGCATGTTTTAGGCTCCTCAATTTACCTTCATTGTGTAGGAAAAGTCAAAACCTTGGCTTAGAAACCAAAACATTTAAGATGGATAGATGCTAACAGAAGGGAGTGAAATGTTAGTTTGTCAGAGTTTATGTCTATGATTAAGAAGAAATACAACATTGAGATGATCATAGTCTTGAGATGATATTTTTGGAGTCACTGCTTCTACCCTTGACAAAGTCATCGACAGGGATGCATCTCTGAAGTTTGTGTCATATGTGATGTGTAAAAGGGTTAATCATAGTTATTGCAGTAACTACACCCAACAGAGCGTTTACTGCCAATGAAGTAGTGTTGGAGTCATGGGCTGTTTGTGTTTGTCTAAATCGAAGAGGGAAATTTAAAAATGAAAACCAGCACTTAGAAAAAAAACATGATAACCACTAGAGTAACATACTAACAGTAAATGTCACAAAGAGTCCCCTAAATTCTGTGAACTATCTCAGCTTCTCTGATGGTACATGACTGCACAAAAACATCCTCTTTTTAAAACTTGGAGTCTTGAGTTTGAACCTTTGACTTGACACACCTTTAAAGAGCAAGTACAGTTTTACCTTTCACTTCAAACTGAGCATAATGTTATAGTTAACTTTAGTTAGCACTGATTCATTGCTTTCACATTTTCCTAGCAACTGCCGTTACCTCTTCTGATAGGGTTGAACATACACATTTTAGTGAAGCTTGCTTAGAGTGTAGTGTAATACAGCGTAACACGGTGCTTTCAGGCCACAAATGTAACCATCTTTACATGTACTTGGGTGTGCTATTTTTGTTCCTGTGTGTGTAGCTGTTGCTCGCTTTGGGCCTATGACTGAAGTCAAGTTAACAATGAGCAGAGCTAATAATCCCCCCTTGTGCCACCTGTCTTTTTGACCCTCTGGTTTAAATCAATGAAAAAACACAATCACACAATAGGAGTTGACGTATAAATCAACCAATCTGACCGACAGCAGCTAAAAAAAAACGAACATTTAAAAGTGGTTTGACACATTTCATCTCCTTTTTATACTCTCTGAAGACAATGGACTGCACATGTCTCCTTTTTCCTATCAGCATAACAATGATGAATCAGCTCTACGAATGATTTGATGCATTTATAACCCGATAGTGTTATGATTTACCTCACACCCTCATCGTTGGTTTTGCTCTCTGAGATTCAGAAACGATGATGAGCCAGAAGTGTTAAGTTCCCCCCTGAATGACAGGATAAGACATGACTGGTGATAAAGTTGCTCTTGTTTGCGTGAAATATAGAGTTGAATGCCTAATGTGTCAAAGCATTTATAGAAGTTTGCTATTTTCCTTTTTTTTTTTTTTTTTTGAAGGTTTGTTGTTTTTACAAGAGGTGTTAGCAAGTCGCTATTTTTGTAATTATAGCACTTTTTTGTAAATCTAATTGCCTTTATTTCCTTCAATACCTTTTGTTTAAAAGTTCTATTACAAATGTATAGATTATATATTTACCTCTTTTTAGAGAACAATAACATGTAAATACAATATAAATGTTTTATTTTTACAGGTACAGTTTTGACAGTGTTTTTCCTATCAAAGTGTCTTTTTTTTTTTTTTTTTTTTTGCTTTACTTGCACAAGTGTTCTGTGTATCTCATTGAGGGGTCTTTTAACAAAATAATGTAACTTAAACACTGATTTGTTTTTGTGCCTAGTTTGTAAGACGGTCTTTTTGAGTATTCATATGCCGATCTAGGTGAGAGCACAAGCAATATTGAAGCTTAAGTAGACAGCTGCGAAGCACTTAGTTATGTCACCTTGTCATTCAATGACTAGTTGACGAAAAAAGCAAATACAGTTGAGGTTCAGCTGTTCCTGGATCTGTCCTCTATCTTCATTTGAAAAAAAAAGAGTTAAGTGATTTCCAAGGGGAATTAAATAAGAACCTGTTTTTAAAAACACAAATTTTTGAATCAGCTAATCATAGTTTTAACTTCATGCATAACCCATTTGGACTGTTTTAGGAGCTTGATGTGAGGAGGATTAATATGACGAACTGAAAACCTACTATTGGAAGAAGGAATCCAGATTTGGGATTAGTTCAAGTAAATGATCCTGAAACCAACCTGAGCTGTCCTGGAGAAAGAAATAGGAAAAAAACAAAAACAAACTGAATGTCTCACCATGAGATGCTCTTCAGTGAGAGGCACAGACATTTAGCAATTCATGTCAAACTTCTTTATAAGCTTCAGTGGTACCAGTGAACTTTATTGAATGTGTATGTAAGAAACACTGCAATACTGCAATATATTTTGGTATTGGATCAAGCTGCTAACATACTTCTAAAGCTCCTTAAGGTGCTACAGACCTCTTTTCAAGTTCTTAAGTGTATCGTTTGTACAAAGTATCCATTTTAGCTGAACTGTTGGCCTACGTGTGCCTGGTTGTGCTATATAGCTACATATATTTTTATTGTACTGTGACTTTTTGTTGTCTTTTTACAGACTTGCCTATAATATCACATGCCCCCACCTATCCCTCCTGTGTGCTGTGATATTGAGAAAGGGAGTCATTGTGGGAGATAGCTCTGAGTAGAGATGGAGACATCCTTGCTGGCGCTGAAAAGCATGACTCTAAGTGACATTATTATTAAGAATGAGCTGAGGAAGTTCAGAGACAAAAACTGCATTCCAGCCATGTTTTTTTTTTTTTTTAATTTTGCATTTCAACAATGCCATTCTGTTACAAGGATGTACTCATTGCTAATCCTCAATATTTTACTTCAGATCTATTTTATAAACTACTGGTGTATTTGTTAAATATAGGCAAAGTTATTCAAATAAACATATAGATATATACAGGTAAATATATATGTATATGTTTATTGGTTGTGTAAAATAAAATGAATGCTGCAGCCTTTATCAGTTGTTTTTTAGACATTGACATCATCCAAAGAGGCAGATTATTTATTGTCTGGCAGAATAACCTGATATGACTTACAAACCTTGCTGCTATGAGAGAGAAGAGCTGCATTCATTAACTCCAGTGTTTTTACACAATGTAATGAAAGCTCAATAAACATAAGAAGGATTCAATCTTGTGTCTGATATGTCATTCCTGAAATGTGTCACTAAACTGTGAGCCTGAACTCCCGTCTATGAAATTTAACAGAAATGTTAAAGTGGTAAAAGCAGCATGGCAGGTAGGGGAGAGCGGGGTTAGTTGAGCCACCCCCTGTTACTTGGAAATGGTAAAAGAAATCAATTCATGGAGTCTGTGAAGGTTAGAAGCACATGGGTAAAGGGGTTAGACATTTTTTTCCAAAAAAAAAAACATTTTTCACTCTTGAAAGTGAATTTAGTAGTTTTATTAGAATTCTGTTCAGACCAAAAAAAATCATATTAAATTTGTTTTATACATCAATTGTGGTATCTATGAGCTACAACATGAGGTCAAAAACCTAACATAAAAGTCCACTATTTTTGCTTAGAGCAGTGGTTCTCAAGTCCAGTCCTCGAGCCTCCCCCCCTGTCCTGCATGTTTTGGATGTTTCCCTGCTCCAACACACCTGATTCAAATGATCAGCTCGTTATCAAGCTCTGTAATGGCTTAATAACGAGCTAATCATTTGAATCAGGTGTGTTGGAGCAGGGAAACATCCAAAATATAAGTATAATATAACATGCAGGACAGTGGGCCTCGAGGACTGGATTTGAGAACCACTGGCTTAGAGGACAAAAAAAGTCATAATAGTAGTTCAGGGGTAAGTTGAGCCAGTGGTCCAACTGAGAAAGTAAAGGAGTCTGATGAGAGGATCAGAGTTTCAGTTCAGATTGTTGAAATGTGTTACTTTCTCTTTTGGAAAATACAGCTGTGAATGTTTTGAATCACTTTAAGACATTCTCATGTAAAAATGGCTTTTTACAAAACAGATTTTTCACTGTTGTATACAATAATAAGAATTATTGTACTTGTTAAATGGTGTATAATAGATAAAAATACACATGAATGTGACACAGATATGTTTACACTCATTCTGTTGGTTTGAAATATATGCAGATACACTAGTTAGAGACACAACTATGATTGCCTTGATGTAGTGATCCGCAATATGAAAAATGGCTCATCTTACTCCCCTCTCCACTACTGTTTGATTCAGCTTTTCATTGACTGGATGACTGCAAGTTTGCAAGTAACATAGCAGAGGAGAAAAGCACAAACACATGTAAAAACAACAAGAAATACCCTTATAAGATTTGAAATCAACTCATCTTGAACAGCTTATCCTCTTTCTTTTCATTATTAGTATAACTTTTAAAACTAAGCACTTTTTGACCACTCAGTGTCTACTCTTGGTTAACCTTAGATGCTCAGCACTCAGTACTTTTGACTGATTTTAAATAAAGTACTTTTAATTTTCACTTCAATACATTAATAGCGCAGTAGTTTTACCTTCACTTTCTCTCTGTCTCTGTATGTCGACAGAGAAAACAGAGAGAGTCCCCCAGTCTCCCCCTCCTCCTCCTCTGCTGTATAGGGTCGGCCTACATGGTTAAACAATGGTGGTGAACCCGATGAACCATATCAGAGAGCACTTCATACTCCAGACACTGAGCGGCGGTGTGGCCGGCTGTGTGTGAGTGTGCGTATTTGTTTGTATACGGTTGTGCTGAAAAGCTTGCAGGCTGTGGAGAAGCTGCTCATTCAGCAGCAGGTTTCACACATGTGCGTGACACAAACCGCACAATGCCTTCTCCGATCCCTGTCACCCGTCTGCTGCCCAAAGACATCTTCCCCTCTCTTGATATGGGCATCTGCAGCAGTCCGCTCACCAAACACTCCCACAGCTCCACGTTACAAGTCCCAGTGCGGCGGTTCCACGGAGCAACCACAAGCCGGCTGTGGTCCTCTGTGATCAACTGGAAGGAGTTACGCTCCGTGCAGCCTGTTGGTTCCGGAGGGTTCGGCTCCGTCTACAGAGCGGCGTACTTTGGAGAGACTGTTGCGCTTAAGAAAGTCAAGAAGTGCACGAAGAACAAGCTGGCGTCCCGGCAGAGCTTCTGGGCCGAGCTGAACGCAGCACACCTGCGGCACAGGAACATCGTTCGGGTCATCGCTGCGACCACCTGTGTACCGGAGGACTTTGGAGATGAGTCCAGCATTGGTACGGTACTGATGGAGTTTGTGGGGAGAGAAAACCTACAACAGATCATATACGGGAGTGCTGCGCCGCTGGAAGAGGACCGGTGGCTCAGGTACTCCGAGGACATTGCGCATGGCTTGCGGTTCCTTCACTCCCACAACGTTGTGCATCTCGACATCAAACCAGCAAACATTTTAGTTTCAAGTGAAGACGTCTGCAAAATTGCCGATTTTGGCTGCTCTTTAAAACTGGACCATGGTTGTGAAGCCAGCCCTATCAGCCCTTATCTGAGCCACGTTGGCGGCACGTACACACACAGAGCCCCGGAGCTGCTGAGAGGTGAGGGGGTCTCTCCTAAAGCAGATATTTACTCCTTCGGGATCACCATGTGGCAGCTGATCTCAAGGGAACAGCCTTACACTGGCGAGAGGCAGCACGTGCTGTACGCGGTTGTGGCGCACAATCTGCGCCCGTCTCTGCACATAAACTCGGTATTTCAGTCCAAACTGGGGCAGAGGTGTAAAACTCTTGTGGAGCGGTGCTGGAGCAGGGATGTCAGCTGTAGACCCACTGCACATGAGTTGTTACCTCACCTGGAGCAGCTTCGCTCCCAAGTATGAATTTATTTTATATTTAGTGCAGAATATTGTCAAATTAAGTAAATTAACTCATTATTTGGTCCTTGGATGTATGTGTTTTTGATACAGGGTGTGTGCAGAATCCCATTTTCTTATATAAGTAAAAAGAAAGTGCCTTCTCAGTCTGATAGATGTATTTAATTCACATAAAACTGATTATAGTTAAGTGCCTACAAATGATTAAGCAATGGCATGTTATAGATTTTTAAAGCAGTGCTGGATTTTATTGTTCCAACAAGGAATAATTGATTTAAATGCCACATGGAGGGATTATGGTGCACAATCCTCTATGTCCTAACAGTGCAAGAAGTGAAGTTTTTTAGTTTTAAAGATAAGTAAACCTTTTATTTGTTGAGTCATCCCATTTATTAATAGACTTTAAATGTCAGAGTTGGAACTCACTTTATTGCTTTTTAAATGAAATTGTACTGAGGTTTAACTGTGATGGATTTTCATTAAAATCAGTTTTTACTTGACATGCTTGTTTTTTTTTATTTTTACTTGTTTTCACATATTATTGTCTGGTCAACACTTTTTCTTTGAGAATTTTTTTCAAAAAGCAAGTCAGTAGAGAGCAGTTTAAATTAAATATGACCAAAGTTGCTCTCAGACTTTGTCACTAAAACTAAATTGTATGCCATCAATCAATACAACATAAACTGCTTCACAAACATCAAACCACAAGTAAGCAGATGAAGTCAGCAGCAGAGGTCGCTGTTGCTTTAAAGACAACTTGTAAACAGTGACTTATTTGACTCCAGATTTAATGTTGGTCTCAGAAATACGCAGCACATTTGACAGTCTAGTGGGACACAATATACGTACAGGATTTTCTCAACAAAACAAAATTATCAGATAAGCTCAGTGTTTTGTTTTTATTCACTTAAGTTGTGTCAAATGTGGATTCATCTAGAGATGTAAAGCAGTAAAACTAAAAAGAGTGTTTTTTTTTAACCAGAGACCATTGCTTTTAATACACTTCTGCACAGCTCGTGAAACAAGCCACAGAGACTTAAATGATTCGACGAACCTTTAAAGTAAACATCCCATGTGTTCGCATTTCCTGTTACTGTTTCATTTCCTGTCAGGGTAAGTGAAAGGGAAATGTGTTTTGTGGGTTCATGGCGGGATAGTCATTCATCAGTGAAATTTATGGCATCAAAAATCAATCAGTTAAGACTCAGATCAGCCCACTTTGAGACCCTGTAAAACCCAGCACATATAGATAATACAATGAAAATGAAAAAGGTGAACTGATGTGACAGATTTTTCTTCAGTAAGTCTTTGAATGTGACAGCTTTAACAGCAGCTTATTTTCACTGTCAGCAAAGAATTATTGCCTGGATACAAAACAATACAAATCTGTCGGTATGATACTTTTATGGCAGATTCATGGCATGAGAAATGATATTGCAGCACATCTAAAAAAGTAGGTTTGATGGTCCCATCCTGGCTCCCTTAGCCTATATGTCAAAGTCCTTCGGTAACCCGACACTTAGCATAGCAGCCATATGTGCGATGTGTGTGCAAAAGGGCTAATGCTTCCTGGAGTAAAAGTGCAGTTGCTCCATTAAAGTATATGAAGCTTTCTGAAACACATAATCACAATTACTGCCATTACTGTCATTAGGATATATCTTCTTATTCGTTAAAATAGGCTAAGGAATGTAATAAAAAGTTGTAAAAATGCAAAATCATGAGAGACAAACAATATTAAAAAGTTTACCCATGATTCATGAGAGCCAAAAAGAAGACAAAAATTAAAAAAAGGTGTATTGCTTGTAGTCTCAACCAAAAAGTAGATAAATGAAGTCAGGGTATCCATCTGTGAAATAAAGCTGACCTTAACAAATCTCCTCCAGAGCGACAGACACATTATTGAATTGTTTTCCTTGACCGAGTTAAACTAGTCAACGTAGCTCGGTTTTACAACAACGTCGAACACTTAGAATTCTCAAGTAGTATCCGCCAGAACAAGACAACAGGCACAAAGTATTTCTGACATTATAGCAATACACTAGGAGCATGGAGAGGACTGTAGAGGGACAAATATTCAGTTTTACTCTATAGTCAACCGAAACAAAACTGTGCGTATTAACAGCTAACAGCTACTTAAATCACAGGTCACCTAAAGCAGTCCACTGTCTGAAAGTTTAATGTGCCATTTATTCGATTCACTACTGCTCACTGTGGCAGTAAACACTGTTTTGGGGGCAGACAGCTGTGCGCTACACAACTCACATGATGGTAACCCTTTGAGGGGAAATCTGGACAGCTGAGCCTGCCGACTCCAGGCGCTTGCAGCGATACTGACCGCTGTCTAGACCCCTGCGGATCTGGTGGAGCTTGCGTGCCACACAGGGTAACAGCATCAGCACCTTCCCCAGAATGACACACACTGGCAGGGCAAGCGCCACCACAAAGCAGGGGGGCAGGTAGAAACGGTAGGCCTCTTCTTCAAATGCTCGCTTCCAGCCAAACAGCAGGCCATGGAAGACCGCAATGAGTAGAGCGATGTAACCTAGAGTAGACTAAAGCAAAGACAGAAAGACTCAGTACAAGCTGAGAACATCACAGATTCTGTGTATCCATGCAGAGTCAGACCTGATCAACCTCTGCTCTAAAGATGGCGTACCTGTATGAAGCTAAACTCTCTCCAGTTGAGCGTACTGTGGACAGAGGGAATGGAGGTGATGGCCAAAAGTGACAGGAGCCCAAGACTCATAATCCCAAAGGAAACGTACATCTCCACCCTCCATACCTCCTCCTCATTCCAAGAATTTTCCAAATTTGCATGAACCTGCGAATAAAAGGGATTCTGAGATGTTATAAAAGTTGCAAAAGGAAAATGTGCCACATTGAAATTAAAGGAAAGCAGTCTGTCACAACACAGTCTACAAGTTTGCTGAACTTAAGAACAGCCTCTAACAGTTAGCCAATCACGAGGGTGACCATATTCTGAATCCCCAAAAAGAGGACACGACTACGCGGGGGCGGAGTTACTGAGTTGCGCGTAGTAAATTTTAAGAGTGTTTTGGGTCGGCTCGAGTGTTTTTTACGCGCTTCTAACTCAGTAAGTCCACGCAACACAAACTCAAAACTTTCATACAAAACCACGGACATTTGAAGGATTTTAGAAACTCCCCTAGACAAGACCAGACAGTCCCCCAAAAAAGAGGACATGCCCGGGTAAAAGAGGATGTATGGTCACCCTACAATCACTGTTTGGGATTTTGGGTTGGCCAATCAAATTAGTAGAGGGGCAAAAGCCTCATCCTAAATAGTAACACCCCTGGTGCCTTGTGGGAGTGACAAAATAATGTGTGTAATTTTACAGGTAAAAGATCTTTAAAATATAATGTGCACCACACTATTGCAAAAAAAGGTTCCCAACCCCAAAATACAGAAATAAAGCACAACTATACAAAACCTAGACCTCTTGATCAGTGAAAACCTTAAAGAATTGGTCTAATCAGAGGTTTTAGTCTGTATTTTAGTGACAGATTATCGCCTAGGGTCAAACTTTTCATCATGATCAGTACTTACCTGTTGGTACGCTGTATTTAGTAGCAGGTATCTCTCAGACCTCCTCATAGGCAGACAGACACTGTAGAGAACATGAACAGCAGCGAGAAAGAAGCTGAGGAGGCCCAGCTGTTTTCGACTCTGCAGCCAGCCTTCTAGCCAGTGTGGAAAATGCCTGTACTTCGTACCGTAGTAAAGCTGGTGGGCAGCAGCCAACTGGCCTGCCAGGTACACGAGGGCCAAGAGAGTGATGGCAACAGTGGGAAGTGTTCGATTCACCATCTCCATGGGTATCTTATAGAAGTCACTCTGCTTGTGTTTTACGTAAGGGTGGATGATATCTCGTACAAAAGAGTAGGCGAAAAAGAAGATAGATAGGGCCACGGCGGCGAGGACTGGACCCTTCCAGCTTGGAAATAACTGTATTGGCATGGCCTCGATGTCCCAGGAAGAAGACAGGGCACCCATATCAACCGGCTGGAAGCGGAGCTGGCGGGCTAGCTCCATAATCTGCTGTCTCGCCTTCAGTGAGTCACTGCAGATAAACACCTGCATAACAGCAGAATCACAGAGAGGAGGATTGGTGAGAGTTAAGAGCGGGTAAGAGCACATGTAAAGAGGATAGGATGGGAAGACAAATGACTTAAAGCAGTGGTTCCCAATTCTCTACTTATATCTGGGAAAAATTGTATCCCCCCAGGACCCTAACAGAAAATAAATGATTCATTGCTGTAAAAAACAAAAATTTTTAATCTGCTTACTTAAAGAAGTGAAGCAAAAATGTATCATCTCAGTTTTATTTACACAGAAGTGAAAATAGTAAGCTGTCACAATCTTAATAAATCTGCACAAATCTATAGTCCCCATGAGACTTCTGGCACATCCCTCAGGGGGACCCAGACCCAAGGTTGGGAACCACTTACTTTGAGTATACATCAAATTCCCCTTTCATATTTTGTGCCTGGATTTTAGAGGCACAAACTGAGAGGTTGTCTGAAAGCATCAAGAGTAGGGGTGTCCCGATATAACTTTTTACCTCCAATACGATACCGATATTATAGCCCGTCCAATACCGATATTGAAACTTGTGCATGAGAAGTTTTAAACTCAGCTGCAATGTCTTTCTCAGACTTAAATGAAAAATACTGCCACAGGGCCGACATCACTCCTACTCCACAGTACTTTGTTACTACCTTAGTACACACTGTTGTTGTGATAATGTTGCTGCTGTCCCCTGTCTCTCTCTCTCACCCTTGTTCTCTTTCTCTCCCCCTGCCCTCCCCCTATCTCCCTGTATTCCTCCCCAACCCAGCAGCAGCTTGGTGGCTGTCTAGCATGAGTCTGGTCCTCCCCAAGGTTTCTGCCTGTTAAAAGGAAGTTGTTCCTCGCCACTGTCACTCATGTTAGATGAGATGGGTTTAATCTGTCCCCTCTTATGGTTGGGTCTTGATGATTCATCAAACAATGAGCATGGTCTAGACCTGCTCATTTTCTTTGGAAAGCGTCTTGGGATGACAACTGTTGTGAATTGGCACTATGTAAATAAAATTTGATTGATTGATTGATCATGTGGACCCTACATGCTGGATCTGGGTGCTGCTAGATATGGGTGCTGGAGCAGAGTCTGGAATGGACTGCTTGTATCGGAGTGCTGATATTGGAGATTTTAGATGCAGCCCGATATAATCCAATATTTGATTTTTTTGTTGATATCTGACCTATATTAGATATCAATATCATATCGGGACAGCCCTAATCAAGAGTAGAGAAAGACCAATTAATCAGTCGGTCTATGAATGGCATTTTTAAATAATCATCATTATCAGCAAAGGTCCACATAAAACTAATCTAACCATCATCCTTTCTGAATACAGACATATTTTTCCATCTATAATGGCAGCATATCAAACATAAATCAGTTACTGACTGATCATGTAGTGATGTATAGGACATTTGGTTGTAGCCTACCTGTGTGCTGGCATCTTTGGGACAGCTCTGCTGCATGGCCCAGGAAGAAATGACATTGAAGCCTTTAACCACAACGGAGTCTGGTAACAACGAGGCCAGGTACTCAGCATTAGACTCCGGATACTGGTTCATCCTTCTGTTGTTACTCACATCAACAAGGATCTTGCCTGCAGGTCAAAATGACAAAGGAATATAATTTCAAAACTTGAATTTTATACTTCATTACACAATTACAAAATACACAAAGATAAAAATAACCACCTACTTAATAATGACACGATGAAGCTGAAACAGCACAAAACTTATGATATGAAAAACAAAAAACCCTGGTTGCTCACTATTATGGCTCAAGTTAGACTGGTCTCTTACAGTATAAAGTGAATCATAAATCAACTGAAGAAAGACTGCTCGGTTTGCCACCACTTCTTAAAGTAATGTTTTAAATAACCTGTTTTCCCCACAATTTGTGTTTGCAGTGTGAATGTGCGCCCTTTATACCTTCTAGTAAATGCTTTATGTCCCACAGGGCAGAGTAGTGCTCGCGGCGAATGGCCAGGAACACAATGCTGGCCTTCCCTACAGCATCTTCATGGTGCGTCACATCAACCACGTGAGGAAAGGACTGAGCCGCCAGCTTGGGATGGCGACTACCAACCACCACGTGGAAGCCACAACGCAGTAGACGTATGGTCAGGCACTTGGAGAAGTCACCTGAGCCGAGGATTGCCACTGTAGGCTGTGCAGGCTGGGCTGACAAACGGTCTCCTGCTCCAATTCCATTTTTCATACCATTGGATAAAAAGCAGCTCTTGAGGTGTTTGGAGGAGGTTGTGAGGAACAGAGGGCTCCTGCTGCCATCGGTCATAGATATGTTGTCCATCTTGACTTGTTTTTCCGCGTTGCTCTGCTTATTACGCTCTAAATGGGTCTGTGGGAAGAACAGAGACATTATAAAAGCACCAATAACTGTTTTCAGAGTGATTACATAGAGAATAAAAAGTCTTCAGCTCATATTTCTGTCTGTAAAAATGTCTAACATCTGCCTGACAGAGGTACATTTGTTTGGATTTATCACTCAGCCACAGCATCACCAGCATCAGCCGGTCTTGGTTTGTTCTGCAAGGAAACATAAAAAACAAAAAGGGGTTGCCAGTTTCTTTTGTGTTTTTGGGTCAGATCTCATCAATCACTGTGTCTAACATCCTAAATACTGTACAAAAGGACAACTGCCCAAATATTTTACAGATTAAGGCAGAAATAGATTATATAAAAGGCCTTTTACTTGTTGCAGACAACTTGGTGCTGGGTGTCTTGTGCAATTGTAAGTATCGTATTTTAGGTAGCCCTAATGTCACCTGCAGGGCTGTTGTCCCACCTTTGAGGGACTATTTAGCCAACACCTTTCAAACCCACCTCACACCCAGTGGCCCAAACATTAAATTTGGATGAGCAGGGTACACAGAAGTTGACTGAGAAATAAACAATCAATGTAGTGAAAATTACAACCAGTCTTTACTAGTTAATCTCTTGTACAGTGAACGTTCACAAGTCCTAGATGGGCGGGATATTAGTTGGACTGGTCTCCCTTTCCCAGAGCTTAAAAAAACGGGCAGTTTGTGTTGATTTTGGTGAGATCTGCGGGACTATTTTTTCTGTTTCCTGACATTATCCTGCATTTTGTCATTTTTCTTCCATCGTTCAAACATATACCTAAATTTTAGTCTTGGGGAATGTACGAAGAGGACTTTACCAGGATGCTGTCAGTTACCAGTGTACCATACAGTGAAAAATAATCAATCTGACTTGTTGCTGACGGGCTCTTGCTTTTGTAGATCATACAGATGCACTGTTATTTATTTCAGTCTCTTTCCTAACTCATTACAGGAACATTAAATTAAAATAATGGCACATTGGGGGATTATAAGAGAAACCATGGCTTCATTTATTTAAATGAATTATCTCAGCATTCTGCCTCATAGATGAACCAAAAATGATTTGACATTATCTTTTGACAAATGTCTTCACCTATAATAGCATTTCTTGTAAAGCTAGTGCCACATGTCATCTGGACAAATATCTTATAGGAATATAAATTTTTAACATAAAAATAAACAGGGATTATTGAGTCAAAAGCACCAAATGACGGGGTATTATGATGCTCCTTCATTTGCCACAGAAGTACTTCGTCAAAGGCCGATTGGAGGACACCCATCCACCAACGAACCCGCGTCTTCTCATGACCTTCCGTCTGCAGAGGCGGTGATCTTGTGAAGGACGCGGCCGAGTGTGTGCATAGGCAGCCTGTGTACACCTGTAGCGCTGCAGTCAGACCGCCTCTGCACTGACATGCTCAGCACAACACAACTGACATGACACAGCACGCTGATGTCAAAAAACACACAGATGCATCGATCCACACATGTCGTCAGTAACGAGAGTGTGACGGTGAGCTACCCACCTGTCATCGAGCTTCACGGATATGATGCTGTCTATGCAGAAATGAAGTCCACCTGCTAGCTGCCCATCCTGGTACTGATGCTATACTGAGCACGCTGTCTGAGCACATGCTGCATTCAAGCTCAGCGGGGAAGATCGGAAATAACAGCCTTCATCAGACATCTGCACACTACCCTCTTATTCTAATGGAAGACTCTTAGTCAGGTGGGTCAAAATAACCTCCTGAATTGGACTTCAATTTCAACAGACCAGTAAATGTGTTTTTGAACGAAAAAAAAAAAAAGACAAGAAAAAAATAAAGAATTTTACCAAACAGGCAAATAGAGGTAACATGTCACCGAAAATGACCTAAACAGCAGTACCATGCAGGTTTGATTAAAAAAATGAATTTTATTGACGTTGAATAATAAGGCTAAAGGGGACTAAAACAGAAAAATCATATTTGTGACTTGACTTAAGTTAAGATCAATTTAAAAAAAAAAATGTAGCCTACATGTTTACAAAGCCTCCTGGCATTCATTTAATTCAGCTGATCATTTACCTATAAAATGTAAATAATTTTTAGTTGATATGAAGCTTGAAGCGTGTTATAGAATACCTAAGACATTTAGTAAATAAATCAGAAATTAGTTGTATAGCATATTTAAATTTGAAGCATTTCAGATTTTTGTTTTGCTAAAAAAGAACGAAATGTTTTTTTTTATTTAAGAATGTTAAAACATAAAAGTACCTAAGGCTCTCAAAACTGTGTCCACTAATTATCGAACAGTTTTTAAAAAATAGAAATTAAAATAGACAAATTAATTAATGAAAAATAAGGCAAAGTAATTGCATTCTGACATTACACAACACTGTTTGTCTCCAGTTACTGTCAAAAGCAGCTGAGTGAACATTGAACATGACAGTACATTTTTATTTGTTTTTAATACATCACATAATTTTCCCCATCTGACAACATCATCCATCATCGCTTAAAAGTCTGAGAGACGGAGAAAGAGAGAGAAAGAGAGTGAGATGTTAATGTATGTTTTTCTCATTCTTACAGTTTCCATTATGAAGTGTTTTTGATATCAATGTGCTTGCACCTTTGCCCACTTATTGTGTTTTTAGCTAGTGCTACCTTGATTGTCTTCATACTCTCTTGTTTTTTTATGCATATTGATATTTTTATGACTCGGATGTGTTTCTTTTTCCTCATTTGTTTTAATTGTGAATTTCACCCACCTGTGCTTTTGGCCATTCTCTAGATACTACACCAGGTAAGCTTGGCTGTTTTTATGGTAGCCAGTGAAATAAACTTGCTTTCACATGTCATTTCTTATTAAATTGTTGAGAAATGCCATAAAAACTCAACCCCTATTGATGGGGCTCAAGACATAAAAATCTTGTAACTGCTGACAAGGACATTCAACCCTGGAGACAGAGATGAGATGGGACAAGTATGTGTCTGTGGGCAGGAAAGAAGAAGATGATGATGATAATGATGATGATGATGATGATGATGAAATCAAGAGATTTACTTACAGTTTTGTTACAATAATAAATGCAGAATCTAGTAAAATAGTGTTTTTTATCCTGCATGGAAGACAAAAAAGCCTCCCCCCTCCTTTTTTTTTCTTTTTTTAAAATATTTGCCTTATGTAGACTCTGCACAGACTGTTCCTCTCTATCAATGACAGGTCAGCTCTGGTTCAAATGTTTTAGAGTACAAACACAAAGCCCGCATTCAGCGCTTCACTATGCTGCTTTTGTGGAGAAGGGGGGCGACACTGTTCAGCTGCTTTTACAGCAACCGAATTCAGCACAGACTTCTTCATAGTTTGAGTTGATATGTAAAACAAAAGAGTGGACTGAAAAGATCCAGATTCGACCACCTGGCTTTTCCAAGTTGAAAACAGATATCTCTGTTGGTCTCTCTACTGGACTCCAGGTATTTTGATTTAGACTTCGACAGTACTGTAAAGGTTATTCTTGTGCTTTGTAGACAATGCAATATCTTGAGCACAGAACACATTGTCAGTCTCAATGAGAACTGCATTATCTACAGTAAGTATGTTGGTTCAAATATGATAAATTTGATTTGGTGAGATTTGGGGTGGATTCAAGTGTTTTCATGACTTTTAAAAGTCTAGTTTCTGTCAGAATAATGTAATTTTCAACAACATGTAAACGTTTGAAGTGTACAGGATATGAAGACAGGGAGTCTGTGTTTGAAACTTAGACATCGGATATTAGACCATAAACTCGAACATGTTATTTTCTCTCAGTTCAAAAGTTTAAATCTTGCTAGGATAAGAGCCTGCAGTATTGAGGATCATGGTTATGTCTCACAGCCTTGATATCCAGAAAATGTACAGAGATGTCCTTCATGGGCAAAATTTTGCAGCTTTTTTAAATGTGTTTTTGTTCAGTAATATCCACCATATATAATGTTATTTTATGTGTAAGCCTTAAGTTTGGTTGCAATATTTTGCTGAGGATGTTGTGATTTTTATATTTAATTATGGGCCAAATTTTATTGATCACTTTTTTTATTTCAATATCTTTTTAAGAATTTATTTTGACAGTAACCTTCATTTTATCGACTTATTATTTACACAAAAATAAGGGACTAAAGTTTGCCCGTATTCCTGGTTTCTGACCCTGAAACATGCTACTGTGATCTTGTCCATAGAGAAGGATGCTGACTGGGGCCAAAATGGAGTTCAGAAAGAAATGGCATCACCTGCACCTCCTACATATTGCTCTGGTTGGAAGAGATATGGGAAAGCCACAGGGGTATGTTAGGGTGAAGGGTTGGGTTAAAGGGAGCAGGCTGAACTTTGTTCTGGAGGGAAGAGGGGAGGAGAGGGGTTGAATCTGATTAACCCAAAAAATGGAGTTGATTTCTAAAAGCAAATGAGACAAATCAGAAGATGACCTCCCTGTCATAGAAACTGGAATGAAAATTGATTTGTGACATCAGAATTATAGAGTTAGTTTGGAAAGATATTTAGGATCTGAAACAGTTGTTACTGGCACTTGGATAACTCCTGCATAAGTTGAAAGAATTGTCTGAAGATTTGAGATCAGAGACAGAAAATAGCAAAAGATTAAATTATAGGAATGAAGTGGTAGTGTTTAGGGAATGCTGTACTTACTTATTTGTGTGTTTATTCATGTGCAAGTCTGTCTGTTTGTCTTTGCAAATACCTTGCAATAAGAATAAGAATAACTTTATTAATCCCCGAGGGGAAATTCAATTGTCTGTTGTCTCACAAAATATGTCTCTAACAGTTATCTACTATTTACACAAAAGTTATAAAGTCTGATGGCTGTTGGTACAAAAGATCTTCTGAATCTTTCTGTCCTGCAGCGAAGAGAGAGGAGCTGTCCACCACCATTGGCCCTTTGGTCCATCAAGGTGTTGTGAAGTGGGTGATCCATGTTCTTTAGAATAGTCTCCACCTTCCTCAGTGTAGATCTCTCCACCACATCCTCCACTGAGTTCAGCTTGAGTCCAACCACAGAGCCGGCCTTGTCACCAGTTTGTTCAGAAGTCTTGGATCTTTGTGTGTGATGCTTCCTCCCCAGCAGACTGCAGCGTAGAACAGAACACTGTAGACACCACAGACTGATAAAACATCTGCAGCATCTAACTACAGATGTCTATTGATTGGAGTCTTCTCAGGCAAAAGAGGCAGCTCTGCCCCTTTCTGTAGATGAAGTCTATATTCTTAGACCAGTCCAACTTATTATCCAGATGTACACCTAGGTATTTATATGATGTCACCACTTCGATGTCCACTCCACAGGTGTTCACTGGCTGAAAAGGGGGTTTGGATCTACAGAAGTCTATGACCATCATTTTGTCTTTGAGGTGTTGAGGAGGAGGCAGTTTTTGTGACTCCTGTCACTGAAGGCTCTTATCAGATCTCTGTATTCAGCTTTTTGTTCATTTCTGATACATGCCACAATAGCGGGGTCATCTGAGTATTTCTCAATGTGGCAGGACTCACGACTGTCTTTGAAATCTGACGTATACATTGTGATTTTCTTTTACTGAAAGTTTTTCTTTCATCTGATGTGCTTAATGTGATTTTTGCGAGAAATTGTAATTTATCTCTGTGGTTGGGGGGGAAAGAGCATTAAAAAACAACATAACATTAGGCTTAACGTGTTTTCGCTTCACACTCCGTCCATTCGGTGGCGCTGCTGCACTATGATACTGTTGTCAACAGCAATAAAGGACATGAAGAAGATAAATGAGCAGAAGAAGAATAAGGAGGACGCACCGTTTCCGAACTGGTCTGTCGGAGTTGTCGTGATGGAAGTCCTCTGTGGACTTACACTTTCTGTTCTATTTACAATTTTATTTTTGATTATCCGGCTGTATATTACTGTGAAAAATGGACCTAAACATCAACCTGGAACCACAGGCTCTGTCTCTGTTCTCGTCGTTGCTGGATCTGGTAATATCAGTGACATCTTTGTAATCACAGGAACTTTATTTTGTTTTTCTGGTCTGTACAGTTTAAACACGCAATAGACGTAAATTTGATGAATTTTGTATTTGATTATGGAGAATAAGATGCTGAATCTGTTTAATAAAGCTGCAGTTAACATACTGTTTGTTTTGTTCCAAGAAAGAATCAACCAAATAAGAGTAATAAATTAAAAATTGACCGTTTTGCAGTATCAAAAACTATTTAACAAGGTGCAGATGTTAGTAATGTAATTGTAGTTCCTGGAGTCTAAAATTAATGAATAGAATTTACAATTTGCCAGACTTGCATGAAACCAATCTGACAATCATCTAGGGTTGAGTCTAACATGGTTGATGATGTCTGCACATTTCGACAACCTCATGTCAACCATATACTAACAAGAAGTCAAACATATTTTCTTCAAATAGTTGATAAAATTTCCCAGTAAGACTGTCACCTCTTTGTGATTTATTGCCCTCCAGTCTACTGATATAATTTTAGTATACAGTACAGGCCAAAAGTTTGGACACACCTTCTCATTCAATTAATTTTCGTTATTCTCATTACTATTTAAATTGTAGATTCTCAGTGAAGGCATCAAAACTATGAATGAACACATGTGGAATCATGTGCTTAAGAAAAAAGTGTGAAATAACTGAAAACATGTTTTATATTTTAGAGTTTTAGTTATTTCACACTTTTTTTTAAGTACAAAATTCTACATGTGTTCATTCATAGTTTTGATGCCTTCAGTGATAATCTACAATGTAAATAGTCATATAAAAAAATAAAGAAAAGACATTGAATGAGAAGGTGTGTCCAAACTTTTGGCCTGTACTGTCTGTATATGTGATATATCTGGTTCAAAGTGAAATAAATTCTGAAAGAGTTTTCAGAGGTACTTTTATCAATTTAAATTTTATGCACATTATTGATACTGGCATTTCTGATTTCTAAGTTGTTGTCTTATCACCTTATTCTCATTTTCTGTCTGTTGGACAAAAGCACCACATGCCGAATTTTAGTGTATTTTTCTGGTTTACTTTCTTTGGCTAATGCCACCCTCCTTTCTCTGCTAAATTATGTCTTTCTAAAGCTTTCCGACAATTTCCATTTATCATTTCTAAAGCTATTTTTTAAAAAAGTTCATTTCATTTCCAGTCATTTGACTCACATTTTGTTAACAGATTCTTTTAAAGCAGTGGTTCTCAAGTCCAGTCCTGGAGGCCCACTGTCCTGCATGTTTTGGATGTTTCCCTGCTCCAACACACCTGATTCAAATGAACAGCTCGTTATTAAGCCATTACAGAGCTTAATAACGAGCTGATCATTTGAATCAGGTGTGTTGGAGCAGGGAAACATCCAAAACATGCAGGACAGTGGGCCTCGAGAACTGGACTTGAGAACCACTGCTTTAAATCGGTATCAATCAGTGTTGTGATCAATGATTATTGATGATTGTATTGTTGGTCTATTAAATCATTGAATAACTGCTAAAGTCAATTCTGAATCTTAGATCAACAAGGCTGCAGTTTATTTTTAACCATATTTATTTGATTTAACAAATAGTTTCATTTAATCCAATTTATCATTCATGTAGATAAATATATGAAAGTAGAGTAGGGGGAACGTTTCACTTTACCTTCAATAACTTGCAGGTCTTTTGTTTGAATTCTTATTCCTGATTAGATTATCCTGATTAGCCCATCATGATTAAACCAATTTCATGAATATCAAATTTTGACACTGAAGCTTTTTTATTTATCCTATCATTTACAAGCTGATTGTAAGACAGAGCCAGTGCAGACTTGGGGTTGAAGTCTTGAAGGACATTATATCTTAAAATCGTACAAAGTGCATGTTTATGAGTGTCTTATTATGTGTTGTTATATAGTTTATCATATACATCTTTGTCTTGTAGGTGGTCACACTTCAGAAATCCTTCGGCTAATGGAGAGCCTCTCTGCTGCTTACACACCTCGGCACTATGTCATTGCTGACACTGACAGGATGAGTGAAGAGAAAATCTGCACCTTTGAGCGCTCAAGACAACATTCAAACTCAGAACCGCAGGTACATAACTGTGCATAAGAATCAGTGTGAGTATAGTTGGTAGAAAGATGTCCCTCCAAGAGTCAAGGAGCTGCAGAAATGTCCCAGATAAACTGTTAACTTACATATAAGAATACACGATTTTTAAGACATTCCCCTGTTTTCTTTGAAGACGATTTTCAAGGTATTAATAAAATTGGAATTAGATTGTCAGACTGTAGACTACACTGTAGAGAGAGATTTATTACATTTAATTTAAGGCAGGGGCTTAAACATAAAGATGTCATATCAGTGCATGCCAATCTGGGAAATTATTGAAGAGGATGCCCAGTGCACAGGAAGGTCGCATCATATTGCCTGCTTGTAAAGGACCTCAGTAAACTAAAACAGATGTAAACAGCTTTGCAGCTGAATGATATCGTTGTGGACCAGCTGACTGCTTTGACAAAACCAACACATCTTATCATACCATAGGAGAGTAGATCTGGAGCTACAACCAGATTTTCATCAGTGCAGGCCTTGCTGCCAGCTCTAAAACATACCTCCATATCTTTATTAAACTCAAAATCAAAAGGCTCAAATAAGAATATCTTTACAATGAAATGTAATCAGTTATTGAAACCCTGAAGGTGGGGACTCAGAGTGATGCAAGGGCCCAAGTAACCACATTGGGTTAGAGCCCCAGCACACTATCCTGCAATATCACTGTGTTATTCCTGTAGGCAGGAAAACTGTACGTAACTTCTTCAGGTATGCCCTTGAACCAGCTTTTGAAAAAATAAAATAAAAACCTTGCAGGCAAAATGCCAATCAAATGAGGAAGAAACACCAAGACAGAGATGGAGCCCGATAAGCCATGATCTAACCCGCATCACTCAAGACCTCATGACACTTCTAATCTAACTAAAGATTTCTGCAAAGATAATCTCAGTTTTCCTGGTAAACAGAAGTCAAAGTAAAGTTACTCATGCTCTTTGTCACGGTGCCTTTAATGACCTTATCCGTTGTTCACAGTTTACCATCTGTCAGATCCCACGGAGCCGGGAGGTCCATCAGTCCTGGAGTTCCTCTGTGATCAGCACTGTGAATGCCCTGCGGTATTCCTTACCGCTCGTATTCAGACTCAGACCTGACATGGTGAGTGGACTGAGATACCAGTCAGTTCCTGTCCTCATACGGTACTTCTTTAGCCTCCAGAAAATGCTTGCTTTAGTCATGTGCTAGTCATGCTGCCCCCCTGTTGTTCTAGTCTAGTTTTAGTCAAGGAGCCCGGATAGCCTTTTGGAGCTTGTTTAATTTATCTTTATTAAAAAAGAAGTGCGACCCATCAGACTATTTCCCAGGAATTCAAGGGCTCATGAAGTGGTGTGACAACAACTACCTTGTAGTGAACGTTTAGGAACAGAGGAGATGTTATTCGACCCTCAGTGACCTACAAATATGTAGGTGTCTTCATTGACGACTCGCTATCGTGGAGCACACATGTTCAAAAACTCTGTTGTAGATTACAGAAACTTTTACAGAGGGTCAGTGGTGTTGATATCAAGTTTATGTTGATGGACCCCGACCTTCTGACTCTACCTCTGAGCCACAGCCACCCTTTTGTATTGTGCAGCTGTGCAAATCAGCTTTTATAAAGAACAACCCCCCCAGCTGCTGTGTGTGTGTTTGTTTGGAGATGACATGTTGGACTCTTTGTCGCACCTTTCCTGTGTCCAGTACAGTCTGTCGAAGAGATACATTTTTGAGTTTTAATGAGGTTTGGGTTTTAAGAGAGTCACTGCTTCACCTCATCATGTATTCAAATGTCTTCTTATTTCAAATTTAATCTAACTAGCAGGTTAGTTTTGTCTTGAACAATTAGCAATGAATTTCTAACCACTTATTATGACTTCAGAGTCAAGTCAACCCAGTTATAAAGACATTGTTTTTCATGTGGCGTCAGATGGTTATGGTTTGATAGATGCCTTTGCTGTGTAAACTGTAAGCTGGCAGCTGAGAGTTTTGATTCTCGACCTGTGATGGGTCGCTCAGTGTGGCTGTCAAGCAGAACCCTCTGGTTATTGGCTGTGGTTGTCTGAAACAAAGCAAAGACTCAGTGCCAGTGTAGTCATGCCCGGATTGTTCCAGTTCGGCTTATAACAGCAGTAGAGGCTGAAGAATAGGAGTAAACGTTCAGCCTCTAGATACAAAAATAGAAATGAGAGAAGCACTAGCCAGTTGGGGTTTTAGTTACACACTTTTGGGTACTGTGCGTTAATATCATACATAAATGACTTTGAAAATGTGTATATTAAAAAAACTGCATCTTTATTTTATGGGATGTCCTTTATGGGATGTCCTTCATTAAGTTGCACACTCCAGGCTCCATAGATAAGGCCACATTAAAGGATGAAATGAAGTTAAAATGGGTATCCAATGTTATATATGACCACTCTCACAAGCAGAAACCAATGTATTGGTTCATTTAAACCATGGTGGATGTGCAAACAAGTCCAGTTTTCTGAGTGTTTGCTTGAGGCTGCTTTAAACAAAACAAGGAGTCCCTATTAAGTCTCATATTAAAACGCCCATTTTTACAGCAAATTTAACAGATTTACAGCCTGGATCTAATAAAAAGTTATTCAAGATGTAGCTTGTTTTTATCTGAAGGAGCTGCAAACAATTTGAATGCATCTGTTTTGATTTTATGTTGTACATAAATTTGCATAATCAGAGGCAGACTTGATAGGAAAAAGGGGGGTCTGCCTCAGCTTCACTCCTTCGCTTGTGTTTAGGTTGATTAAAAGTAATGCTGACTCAGCACTTTCATGTTCCGCCCTTTTTTTTTTTTAAGTGTATTTGAGTTACTATTTGGCAACTATTTAAAGGACTATGACTTTTCAGATCAGCTGTGGAGCTGTGGGCGTGTTTAAACTGTCCTACTTTGTGACTGCAGAGGGGAGGGAGGTGTAGTTTCCACAGTAGTGGGGTGAGAATATTATAGTGCTGTCATGTCTGCACTGTGGAGTACATGATGACTTCTCCAGACTTCTCCAAAGTAGCTCCATCCAGTTTCCTGTAATCCCAAACTACCCCAGCCTCCATTAGCCCTCAGGCCACATATCATCCCAGTCACTGTTGCTGGTAAATCACACAAATAACCCCGGTGTCTGAGTTCTTCGGTTTCCTCAGACTATGTATTCAAGTACAATTCTTTGATTGTTTAGCAGCTGTTGAGAAATTCCACATAACTTTGAAAATCACATGATATCAAGAAGCAGATCATTTCCTCTACTATCCACCAGCTCTGTCCTAACTGTACTGAAATTTTACAATGATACCTTCCTCCCCTTATACCTGACTGTGGACTTCAGGTATGAAACGTCAAACAAAAGAGGGATATTTCTTTACATATTTACTCAAAATAATGATTTTCAGGATAAAAGAAGTTAACATTTAGTATATTCAATGGAATTTCGGGTGTTAATAATTCACAAACATGCTCATTGTCTCTTCTTCTTTTGTGTTTTTCCAGGTGCTCTGTAATGGCCCTGGGACCTGTGTTCCTCTCTGTGCCGCTGGACTCCTGCTTGGAATTCTGGGAATGAAGAAAGTCCTGATCGTGTATGTCGAGAGCATTTGCCGTGTGCAGACTCTGTCTCTCACGGGAAAGATCCTGTACCCTGTATCGGACTATTTCTTTGTGCAGTGGTCCTCCTTGAGGGACAAATACCCCAAATCCATTTTCCTTGGAAGAATAGTGTAAATGTTGTTACATATGGGCACAAAATTTAGATTAGAGATATTGTAAAGATTTTGTTCATTTCAAAAATATTTTTTTATTGTTGAGTAAAATTTATATGACCACCATGTGGCTTTTCAACATGTACACTTGTAGGATTTAAAACTGGAGTATATCTGATGTTACATGGAAAAAAATAATGAATAAATAAGCAGAGTAACAAACAACAAAATAGTGTTACTCTGCAGTGTTAGTATTCCTCTGTTGATGGATAAGTTTTCTTAAATTTAAGTACTAGACCTAAAGATTAAGATGCAGCACATCTTACTCACAGAGTTATGATGGAGCAACTCAAAACAGTTAAAACTTTAGAGCGGTGAACAACATGTCAGTACAAGTCCTCTGTTTTCTCATTATCACTGCATTATACTTCTGGGCAGTGATTTGTCTGTCCACAGCAGTCCTCTCATTTATTGCCATCACTTACAAACTCTTTGTCTTTCCATATGTGCCACCATCAGTGCAGACACCCGTATTAATAGGCAAACTTTATGTTAAAGTACTTTGAAGAAGAGAACCTCCTCAAACTTCATGTGGCTTGTCCTAGAAGGTTTAAACCACTGAAAAGACATATCCCAAGTGCGTAATAATGGACAAGCTCTGGATCAAATTCTTTCCACTGTGTGTCAGAAGTGGATTTGGATCGCTGGCAGGTTGTGAAGATTTGTTTCCAGATTATCAAACACTCTATACTCATTTGTAAAGAGGCTAAACCAAGTAAAACCAAAGAGAGATCCAAAAGTTTTAGGACATTTTGACCCAAATTTGCCACTTTAGTTACAGATTTAGCAAAACCACTTCACTCAGGAGTAGAATCAGTTTAGGATCTGTCTGTTTGTGTAATTTCATGATAAAAGGTAACAACGTATTAAATCATCTGTCAAAATTTCAGCTCAATTCTCACATGGGGGAGAGGTGGGGTAAGTTGAGCCACCCCCTGTTGCTTGGAAAGGTAAAAGAAATCGATCATGTGACCAAATATTTAGGAGATGGGCATCAATTCATGGAGTCTGTGAAGGTGAAAGGGAGAGAGTGACGGCTCAACTTACCCCGCTCCTATGGGGTAAGTTGACCATAGGAGACCACTTATTTTGGGCATGCTGTATTATCAAGTCAGTTTTGTTTACACTCATTCTGATGGTTTGCAAGGATGCACAACATCTTAAAATATATGCTGATTAACTTGATCATAATATGAAAAATGGCTCATCTTCCCCCACTCTCCCCTACACCAGGTGTGTTTTTCAGATCTAATTGCTATATATAGAAGGTGGTCATACTGGTTTGGGTCCTCTAGACTTGTAGGGAAAAAAACATGTTTCAAAGTAACTCTGCTAAGAAAACAGCAAATGAATCATACTTACAAAGCAAGGCGTTCATGGGTCAGATTCACTTCAGTTGCAATCTGAAATGCATCATGACTCTGAAACTTACTGGTTTAAATTGCGTAAACGTGCGTCCATAACTTCTTATCTGTATGGGTGATAAGGTGATAGTATTACAGCTAAATTTGGAGAGAATGTGGATCTGTGCAGGGCAGGAAAAGTACCCCTCTCTCTGAGCATTTCCACCTGAACTGTTTGTCATAGTTCTCATCAGTTCGATGGAACAAAAGAAGGAGTAACCGTCTGCAATCCGGGCTCTCTGATTGGCTGTCTCTGCTACGTCAACCCCACGACGACATTTCTTTGCAATCTGTGCTGGTCCTGCAGAAAGTGAAGAGTTTCTGTTGACCTCCGCGAAATACTTTCCGATTAAAGGACCCGAAGCAATCGCTAATCGATAAGGATTTTTTCCCACAGAGAGATTCTGCAACAACTGAACCGAGGATATCCATTCAGGTTTCACCCAAAAGCAACAAAATGACACATTTTAATAAGGGACCAGCCTACGGATTGTCTGCCGAAGTGAGGAGCAAAGTAAGTTTTCCATGAGTGGGTTCATCTTTATGTTTTACCAGGGGAAAAAAATCATTTTTAAGGAGGTTTGCGTAATTTTGCGTGTGCGTAAAAGTTGATTCAACACAACTGCATCCAAATTTGCTCTTTTAACAAACTGCGCGTTACCGCTATTTTTTTTTCTTGTTTGTTCGCACCGTTTACAAAGGGACAAAGCTTCATCAGTACTGCAGCTGAAAGTCAGCAGACTTCAGGGTAAACTTAGTCCAAAATCCCCTGATCTGGAATTTGGAAGCCTCTATGAAAAGGGTGCTATACAGGCCGGAGTCAGAAGTGGGACGCGCAGTTTGGAGTAAAATGATCCCCGATTCCTCAAACTCTCCAAAAGTTCACTCCAACAAGAGGAGCGCAGTAGTGAGGGGAAAGGTGAAAGTTTTCTGTGAACGGATCAGAGATAAAGAGATGTTTGTTGTCGATGCCAAATGAAGCTAAGTTGGAGTTTTTCCTTCCAAAAAAAAAAAACATTATGTAAGCTACTTCTACCAAATAGTGGACCGGGGCTGTAAAGGGAGTTCCGATGGTAGTCCGACGCCACTATTTTCCTCTCAAAAAAGTTCCTCTAGTTCTCCGTCCTGGTGGCTGCAAGTACTGCAGGACTGGTGAGATCTGCTCATGGTTTTATAACTTTGGTGATTTGTTTGGAGGAAATATAGCCCACTTAGTTCTATTTTCATAGTGGAAAGTGTTGAATAGCCCACTACAGTATTGTTTGTGTGGCGAGGAGCTCAGCATCATCAGGGGCAAGATGACTGGCAGCTGATAAATAGACGAAGGCTATAATAGTTATGATAGGCACTCCTAGCCTTTAAGAATAATAGATTACAGAGAACAGTCAGACTCCTGAAGAAATAAAAACAAGACTAGATAAAACACAATAGTGATGACTGAAATAGGGGAGACCGGGGCTTGTTGTCACACTTCTTACACTCTTGTATATTTCTTGCAATCAATACATCATATACAAACAAAATGTGTACCGGATGAAAGACCAAAGTGTTGGGTGTAAATAACGTGTTCATGTCATTTTTATATCTTGTGTCAGTGCAGCAGTGTTGTTTTCGTTGACGTCAACGTCATCGTCGGCGAAAACAACACTGAGGAATATATGTTTAGCGTTTGACTGACGAAATGCTTAGGAATTTTGCAACTCTGTTCGTCATCCACCACTAACATTTTTGTCTAGTCTCGTCTCGTCACATTTTAGTAATCTAAGACTTATGTTTAGCTCGTCAACGTCACGTCTTCGTCATGGAAACAAAAGGGGACAAAAACGACATTGCAGTGCAGAACTATAAAGGTCCTTACACACCGGGAGCGTTTTTTCGTGCGATTATTTTGGACATCAATATTTTTTTTTGAACCCGTATCCTGTCAATACAAGTGTTCACATCAGAGACGTTTTCCCTTCCTGGCATTTATTTTTTCGTAAATTCAGTAAAATTTTCTAAAGTTTCGCATACTGTGGGTTCACTTCTGACCAATCAGATTTTGTGTTGTTGCGACGTCAGATTCACTGGTAGATATCCAACATGGCCGACCGGCTGATTGTTTACGTGTCGGAGAACAGAGTGATTTTTGATAAAAGACACAAATATGACAAAGATAACGACCTGAAGGACAACTTGTGGAGAGTCATAGCGTTGGATTTCTCATATGATGATGGTTTGTGTGCTTTAACAGTTTGCTAAACGTCTTTGTTTTAACTTTCATCTGTACTAAGAAACTTTAGCTCGTAAGCTAACCTGTTCAAATACAACATACCATATGTATTTTCACTGTCTCAAACTCAATCGTGTTGCTGTCACAGCACCATTAGGTCTCAGTTGATACCTTATGTTTATGGATTATAGTTTAATGTGCTTATCTGGTACTGTCCCCGACTCAGTGCATGCGATCATGACAGACAGACATCTCAACACAAGTGTCTTATCAGATCTGAAAAACACTCAGTCTGGTGTTGTATCAGTCTCCTTGCTTCCACACAGAACATGCCCCCCCCCCCCCCCCGAAAGTCCCAAAATCACATCACGCTTGATGTGTATAGTCAGGCGCGTCAAAATTCGCCTCCGAATATTTTGTAGTTTTGCGTTGTATATTTGTGACCATCACGGTGCGCAAGGACCTTAAGCAATCAAATAGAGAGTGTTAACAAGTGACATGTCGCCCCACCATCAGGTAAGTTGTCCTACTACATGGGGTAAGATATCATAGTGGATTTTGCAGCTAATAAAACAAGGACAAAGTTATTGTTGTTTTCATTTTTTTTATTTGAAAGTGAACATCAAAGTCAGGCACAGAAAATGTTTAACATTGAGCTAAAAAAAGTAATTGAACAAACGTTAACATAAAATATTATGCAACATGCTCTAGAGTTTGGAGAGCTGTCTGACTTTGTCTTTCAGCTGGGATGAATGTTTTGCAGTACTGAGCCAAGGTATGGTAGTTGACATTAAAGTCCTTTATTGTCCTCCAGATTGATTTATTAGCTAGGATCACCTGCCTGACTGCCCTCAGCATCAGGTCAAGCACTGCACTGCTACATTTAGTTTTTCTTTTGTAATTCCTGACCATGTCTTCTCACTCTCTCCTCACCTTTGGACCACTCTTTTCTCTTTAAAAAATAAAGTCAAAATTTCATAATGAAAACTGCTGATAAACACTCTCTATGTTAATTTTAATCCCTTTTAAACATGTGACAACTAACCCCAAAGTGACTGAGACATGTTGCCCCAAATTACCATGTTTGCTAATTCTAGCCCTAGCTTAAAGTTAGCTTAAAACAGAAGAATGACTGACCTATGACTGGACGCCTTAATCTCTCCTCTAACAAGTCCTCATATTTCACTGCTTGGATTTTTATCTGAAAGAAGCTTATTTTAAAATATAGAAAGTTAACTATTTTTTTACTTAAGGTTGTACAAAATCGTTAATTGGCGCTCATTTCAGCTCACAATGTACTCTTCTCCTCTCTTCTCAGACAGGATACGACCCCTGACCATGTAAAGGAATAAAACTAGAATTCCACTTTTTAGTTGCGCCCTCTGGTGGCAAAGATGATTGCAGTGTGACAACTTACCCATGTGACAACAAGCCCCGGTCTCCCCTAATGCTCATAAAAGAGAAAAAAGATCCATTTTAACCTCTACCAGACTTATCTTGGGTCCTCAGGAAGGGAGCTCCAAACTTTAGAGTGATCCTTCTGTGGTAAAGCATAACTATACTTCCTTTTGGCTTTCATTTCAATCAGTCTCTCAATGACCAATCACAGTTAAGCTGTAGATAGGGTGTGTAACCCTGGGAGACCCCCAGGATTCTTTGACAAGTTACTGGTGAGGCTTTGAGGACCAAACAGCTGGCCAACTTTTGATGTAATCACTCTGTTGTCTATTTTTAGCTACATCAGTGTCCATCAGATGGTTAGACCAGCTTGCAGTTATATGTGTGTTTTTTTTCATTTTTTCATTTTATTTTATTTTAGGAATTTGAGGGAAATATGCATCAGAGAGAAGGCGCTGCAAGTTCTTATTCTCAAACCTTTCATCACAGAGTAAATCTCTGTACACTGATGTTAGAGCACGATAATCACAAACATTAAACAATAATGATACTACTATTAAAAGGAGTAGTGTAGTAAGCCTATTTAATGATGATATAGTGGTAGAAAGATAAATAATTAAGTGTTGTTGTATACTGAATGGAAAATGGTGCAAAGACACTGAAAAATGTTGATTTATGGAAAAAAGATTAAAATTTGATGCCAGCAACACAATTCAGGACTGACTGTTTTCAGTACGTGGAGAGTCGGCGCTGCAGGCAGCCCAGTTCAGCACATGGACTTTTGCACTGTGGAGCCATGCTGTTGTGATGTGTACAAAATATTGGCATCTCCTGAAGAGATAACTCATGTGAATCATGGTACCAGCTAAAAAATAAAAAAGTATATATATATATATATATATGTATATGTACACTACAGGCCAAAAGTTTGAAAGCAAGATCAGATTTGTACAAAAAAAGATCATAGTTTCATTAATATACTTTGCAACACAATAAACATGACTTTTGTGTAAAGAGTAACTTATCAGAAGACATTTTGACTATAATTATTAGGTATTTGAGTTATTGTTGCTTAGACTTTGCTTTCTTTAAAGTAACCTCCTCTGGCTTTAACAACAGCTTGACATATACCAGGCATTCGTTCCACAAGTTTTCTAAGATATGTTCCAGGGATTGCATTCTAAGCGATCGATCCAATTCATCCCACACAAGCTCTATTGAAGAAAGGTCTGGAGACTGAGGGGGCCAAACCATCTTTTGAAGAACACCTTCCTCTTCTTTTTTGTCTAGGTAACCCTGACAGAGCTTGGCAGAGTGCTTAGGGTTATTGTCTTACTGCAAAACAAACTTGTGACCCACAAGCCTGAGTCCAGATGGAACAGCATGGTGCTGAAGGGTGGAGTGGTACTGTCCCTTCTTCATGATACCCTTTACTTCAAACAAATCTCTTACTCCATCACCTGCAAAACATCCCCATACCATGGAACTACCTCCTCCTTGCTTGATTGTGGGTGTTACATATGGTGCTTTCAGATGTTCACCAGTTTGTCTGCGGACATTGACTCTGCGTTTTGAACCAAACAGTTCAAACTTTCTTTCATCGGTCCAGAGAACTTGTTTGTTGTTATCAAAAGTCCAATTTTTGTGAGCTTTTGCCCACTCATATCTCTTTTTCTTGTTCTGTGGAGGAAGTAGTGTTTTTTTGCAGATACACAACCCTTCAGACCAGCCTTTCTCAAACGTCATTTCACAGTTGTCAGAGATATGGGTTTCGACCTTGTCATGTTGATTTCCCCCCTTATTTTTGGTGCTGTCTTTTGTCGATCTCTCTTTCTAGTGACAATGCTATGTTTGTCCTCTGCTTTTGTAGTAACTCTCTTTCGTCCAGGCCTTTTACTATCATCAAAACTTCCAGGTTCCTTTAGTCTCTTCAGAGTGTAGTGGACTCCTTTGTTAAACACCTTTAGGCGTTTTGCAATTTCTCTTTCTGTGTATCCTTCTTTCTCTCCTCAATGTACAAATCTGTACTTTTGTTTCTATACTCAGTTGCTTATTTCTAGCCATTTTTGCAGTAATTTGAACACAGTTGAGATTTATTAGAATTTTTGTACGCAGACTCTCAAAAGCCAAAAAGTTATAGTGAATAATCCAACTGTGATTTGTTTTTTTGCTTTTGCACTTAAGTTGTGACTCTTGCAAATGTTTTCAACCCTGCAACTAAGCCCTTATTTTCTTTTGCTGACATATATTTAGCAATAGTCTGTTAATATCAATGTATATAAAGGTAAATGGAGTAAAATGGTGCATTTCCATGAAAGCAACATCTGATCATGGAGTAAATAATCTTTTTTTCAACTCTAAGTTTATCCCTAAATTTCTCTTTTTGTATTTGTATTTATGCTGCTGTAATTTTTAAATTTCCCCCCATGGGACTATTAAAGGAATATCATATTTTATCTCATCTAAAAATAGAAGGTTCTCTGAAGCCTGCTGTACATACAGGCTTAAAGAGAGGATCAAACTTTTCATTTCCAATTGTTCTCAGTGTGTTTTTCACAAAACAGTAACATTTTCAGTTTCGTCATTTGATTTGTTCAATCCAGGAATTAAAGTAATAATTTCTTTTTTGCTTTTAACACACTGGCACAACTTTTCTGGAATTGGCTTTTAGTATAAACACAGCAAGAAGCAACTTCCCTTCACTCTATGTTTAGGATTTGTCTATAAGCTGTAATAATTGTGGTCTTTTGCAGTTGCAGTCAAGTAGTTAACTGTGGTAAAAATCTCATATGTCAGAAAGTGCACATAAACAAAAGGAGGAGGACAGGCAGGGGCCCATCTGGGTTCCATTGCACAAGTGTGATCAGTAGTCTATGCTCTTCTCTGAGCTGCATACAACACATTCCTGGGATTCTTCAGTGAACACCCCTTCATGAGGACCCCATCCACTCAGGCTCAGTCCACTGTGTTTCAGTTTGACTCCGCTCAAGTGGCATCACAGTAAGGGTGTCATATGGGTGTCAGAGGACATACGCTTTGTGTGCCGGTTTGCTCTACGGCAAGTTATGTGGAAAAATGTCGAAACTTGATGAAAACAAAAAGTAGATATTAATGATTAACAATTTTTTTTGGTTTATTTATAGTTATATTTTAACTAAAAGTGGTTTTAAATGTTTTAAAAGGTGTGTGTGACATAGGAAATATTGTGCTATTGGCTTAAACAAAAAGGAAGCTCTGAATCAGTTTGTTCAAAAATTTCTGCACCTCAAATCATTCAGCCTTCTGGATTACATCCTTCATAACCCAGAGACCTTGTATTTATTATGACTGTGAACACTATCACTTTTTAGCCTGTGTGTTCGTACGCACTCGTGCACGCTTGTGACCTCCACAGTCTCTCTCTCTTTGTGCTGGTTGTGTCCCTCAGACACACACACCTGTCTCCTCCTGTTCCTTTCCCCTCTCTTTCCACGTGTGGCTGCCTGATTGTTTGCACCACTGTTGCACAACGTGTCGGGTCCACCATTATTAACCTTGGCAGGAGCTGGAGCTGCCTCTTACTCCCAAACTTTGTTTCAAATCAAGTCAAACTTTATTTAAAGGGATATTCTGGCGTAAATTAAGTTAGGTTGTGTTTAGTCTCTTTGCTAAAGAAATCAGGCAATGCTAAAAAGATGTTTGGTGGCTAGTACTATGGCTGGGACCCTGTATGTACTGTTGATGAAGTTAGGTGCTGTACTGAGCATTATTTGTGGCTATCGAGTGGCTTTTTGGTTGAGCGTGTGGCTCTGTGTATTGCTATCTGCGGTCGTTTCTAAAGTTGGTATAACAAGAGAAGCAAGCGGTTGGTCAAATTCATCTCTCGAACTCTGTGTTATGGTGTGTTTGACTCTAACTTAATTTTACACCGGAATATCCCTTTTAAATAGCAATTTCAAACACAAAACAACACAATGTGCTTCAAAGTTACAACAAATAGTACAAATGGATGAAAAATCTACATACAAAATATGAAGCATACGTACATATTGCATGCATATATGAACACAAATGGGAAAACATGCATAATATAACACATACAACACAGATGTGCCCACACATGTGCTTTGAGGTTTGTTGGTGGGATGGTCAGGAAACACTGCCTATGGACTTGAGAGTCCTGGCTGGTGTAGCTGGTTAGCATGTCTCTTATGAACTTAGGGGCAGAGCCACCCAGAACTCTGTGCTGGCTTTGATTGGGAGCCAGTGGAGGTATTTAAGAACTGGTGTGATGTCCTCAAACCTTTAAGTTCTTGTGAGAACTCTTGCAGCTGTATTTTAAATCAATTGTAGCTGTCAGCAGAAGTCTTATCTGATAAATATACAGGCATGTTTGAATGTCTCTGTGTCTGATTGTGGAAGAAAGCCCTTGAGTTTGAGTTTTTTTTTTTTTTTAGATGATAAAACGATGGATGTGTGATTTAATTGATAGGACTTTTAAAGCCAGGACCTGGGGAACATCAATAGTAGTGCGAGTCATTAGAGAGAGCTGACCTCGGGGGATTATTGGGGCTTACTTTGGGCAAAACACCAGAATGGAAAGCACCATTAACACCATTTCACACTGATCTGAGCTACTTATGATGAAGTGAAAGTGAGAGCCATTTGAGAGGAGGGGTTGTGCCCATGCTCTGCTCTAATGGAGATGAGTGATGGTGTTAGCTTTAGTTATTGCTAAATAATGTAGTAAATTTGTTGTATAAAGCCAATGCTGCTAATCTTTACATCCTGTTATAGAACAGCATTAATTGATTCACACAAGTGGTAATTTATTGCACCTCATGCACAGAGACTATAAGCCTCGATTCCACATCTGGCACATGATCACATCTCACTCCCCACTATGGCTTTCTAGTTTTTTACTATATCCACTCTGTCTTATCTTCAGATTAAAGCCATAAAAGCCCAACAGTACTAACCAAATGTTCATTTCTTAATGGAAGTTTAATTTAAATTCAATATTTGCACTGATTCAATCTCAATTTCTGTACGGACTTTATTTAAATACCAGAAGTTGAGCTTTTCATGTCATTTTATTCACTTGATAACTGTCCAGCACACATTCAGATTAAAGCTGTTGTGAATCCCACAGCAGAGCACAGACAGAGTGGTGTTGGGTCACACTGGGGATACACTGTTCAAACAACTTATTTTAACTTTCGAATATCAATTAGCTTTTTACTGTTTAAATTGTATCGGAACCCCAAATTTTATTCCAACAGCCTGAGGGCTCACATACCCTGGTCCCTCCGACCCATACATGAAAGCACAAAGGCAGTGCTGTGACCTGAGTGCTGTCAGGAAGTCCGTTTTTCTTAAAATAAGCATATCTGTTTATTATAAACAAAATAAGAAAAAACTTAGCTGAACTCTAACTTCTGTCCCAGAAAGACAGAAAAGGGATAGTGAATTCACAGACGACTAATAGGGTTTACTTTTTACTTTGAGGGTACGCTCACACGAGGCCTGCAAGTATCTTTAATACTGATGTCCTAACAAGACACACACACACAAATGGCTCTCTATTATTATGTAATGTCTTTCATTTAAAAGAAGCACAGTCACAGAGCAGGCAGAGTGGACAACAACAAAGAGAACAATCATTTTATACTACAAGTTTTTGTTTTATGTGTGTGTGTTATAATGCATATGTCGTGTCGTTTCAGAACATCCAGAGTGAGATGGAGAGAAAGGCATTTGTTTACTATTTCAATGTTTATGTCCATATAATTAATTGGATTCAGTTGTCATGCTTGACAATTAAAACAGTTAGTAAGATCAAAGAAAAGCAGTAAATGGGTGCGGTTACAGAGGAAAAATAAATTAGTTTAATCAAAATTCAAACAACTAACCAATTACAACTGACAACAAATAAGATTCAATAGTCAATTCTTGGGCAGTAATCTAAGGAGCACCCTGCTAGAGTACCTCAGGCTGTGGTAAGGCTCATCGGGAGTTAGCAGCTCTCAGAAATAAGGTGGAGCCTGGTCATTTAAGGCTTTACAAACAAATGGTAAAATCCTGAAATCTTGTCTAAAATTCCCTTAGAGCCAGTACAGGGCAGCAAGGACTGGTGGTCTGTGGTCGCCTCTCTTACCAAGTGTTAGAAACCTGGCTGCAGCATTTTGAATTATTTGTACTTTTCAAAGTTTGTGCTCACTGATGTCAGAATAAAGTGCATTAGAGTAGTCCAGTCTGGAAGAAATAATACATGAATGACTTTTTCTAAGTCAGGAGGAGAGAGAAAAAGACCTGATTTTGGTTTAGTGTCTCAGCTGAGCAAAGCAGGACTGCTTTGGGTGTCACCTCTCTGGTCACCTGGGTGTCAAAGGAAAGGTTTGAGTCCTCCTATGTTTTGAACGTTGTAAGACAAGGCACAGATTATTAATGTAGCTGGAACTGGGGTCGGGGTAGTAATAGCAATAACTTTAGATTTGGAGTCATTCAGCTGCAGGAGTTGTTCAGACATCAAATTCATGATTTCAGACAGACACCTGAGACGCTTTAATGGTACCAGGTTTTAGTGGTATATCCCTGGAGTTTGGGTTTTCTTCTGGGTCGCTGTCTTAGATCCGCTGTTTACCTTTTACCTCAAACATCTACCTGCCTGCTCTGACTCCTGCAATGTGATTGGCTGCTCTAGGTCGTCTTCTTCCGCTCTTTAGGAATAGGGTGGCAACAAGCACTTGAGGTGTATTAGCGCCCTTAAGTTTTCCAGTGGATAGGGGGTGTAATAGAGTATAATTTCATTTCTATTGATTATTGAACTTTTGTTTTGTTCACATCAAGACAAAGATATATCCCTGTAATTATTGCTATTGTTTTATTTCCCAGTACTGCCTTAGCACATTGTAGTAGAAACTCATAGTAAGCCTGAGTAGATTGTTGAGACATGACATCATTGGTACCTGAGGGATGTCAAGTAGAGCTAGTATTAATTCAATAAAACCAGCTGTCTTCCCCCTGGAGAGGCAGTCAGTGAAAGCACCAGGAGGCTTGGCGTAGTGGATAATGGAGTCCCCATACCACTAAAATGATCAGTCTTGGGACCTTTGGAAATGGAAAGTTTGGAGCTTTAATTGTCAATTTCCCTCCTGGCAGTACAGGGAGCCATCTTTCACCATCTTCCATCTCTTACTTTTTGAGCAAGGGAGTATTTTTCTGCTTTTTTTGTTGTTGTTGTTGTTGTTGACATTGTAGTTCCTAGCTTAATGTTATGAGGTCACTGCATTGATGTAGAAGTCCACATAGTTTTACTCTTTTCAAAAATGCAGATGACCCAATTTTAAAGAAACCTGCTTTGGTCATCATCAAAAAAACTGAAATACAAGCTCCAGTATTTTTCTAATCAGGCACATTGCATATCCACTTTGAGTAACAAGGACAAACACTCCAGAAGAGTAATCTGTTGTCTGAGTGAATTGTTTGTTACTTATCGTCTATCATTCTTTTGTTATTCCTTTATCGTTCTCACACACACACAGCAGTCACAAAGCCCCGGTGGATTGTAGGTGATGAACGCAGCATTTGATAGACTCAACCAAAAGTGTTGTGATGTGGCTGAGTGAGGTGACAAACATGTGGAACCACAAGGGGAAAACTGGGATTGGGGGTCAAATCAGAGGAAGATTTCAGCAAAACTGCAGGATCATTTAGAAACCAAAAATTAGTTTAATGTGTGTGGATCAAATGTCAACACAATTATAAAACCAAGAACACCCCTTTTAACAGTTTGAGGCTTTTTCTTTTTTTTTTTTTAATGCAAAAATTAAAATCAGTCTTTCAATCAATGAGGAAGTACTGAAAGCCTTTTTCTAGTTAGATTTCTACCACGTTCGTTCAGTTTCAAAATGTGAAGTTATATGCACACCACAGAGCACAAAAACCTAAATGTTTGTGTTTTTCTATTTTGAAAATGTGTGCAAGACAGATATGATTCCTCCTGATATATTTCCTCACTGCTTTTATGTTTGAATATCTATTTAATCCTCTCTATAATTGAATGCAAACTTAACACGACATTTTATCCTTCAGATTGCTCAGAAATACGATACACAAAAGGAAGAAGAGCTCCGCTTTTGGATCGAGGAGGTCACTGGAATGTCTATTGGAGAGAACTTTCAAAAAGGCCTGAAGGATGGTGTCATCCTCTGCGAGTAAGTCACTTTGTTTGTGTTTGTGTGGGAGTTTGTGCTGGTGTGTTTTTTCTGGCAGGGTGTATGTTACAGCTGTGTGTGAATAGATGTGTTCAGACTCTGGTCTTTTAGTTTAAAGCCGTGACAGAATGTCTGAAAGGTCAGATGCTTTTTAATGCTTTTGTACGCAATCCTGCCTTCATTCTCGCATAGTGTACCCCTTCAACTAGCTCTAGATGTCTTTAAACACTATGCTTGCACTCAGTTTTATAGTAAATCACATTTCCTTTGCCTCTTTAAAAATTGCTGAAAAGAAAAGAAACTATGGAGAACAGATTTCTGAAGATGCCATTGATCAGTGGTCAGCTACAATCTGTTGAAAATATAATCAGTAGAGCCAGTTGTAGATATAGTGGCAAAGGTCTTCATAATGTGAGAATTGGTTTATGTTGGTTGAGAGAAGAGCTTGGTATTGTCTACATAAAATACTCAAACGCCCCCAGTGGTTGTGAATCAAAGTAAAATATTATTTTTTCAATCCTCAAGTTTTTATGTAATCAAATAAAATATTCTGTTAAGTAAAAACAGCATTTCTCCATTACTCACAGGTTTTGAATACAAATTGAATACAATACGTCAGTGCTACTGTACATACAAACATGCCTGTCAAAATAGTTGGTGAGACATAAGTTTAGAAACAGAAGTAGACGAGGTGATCCTGCATAATTACATGGACTGTTGTATCCCTGCACTGACAGAAATATTGGAAAAACCTGGAGAAGTAATCCATTTCTTTGTTGAAGGGCACCTGGACCTGTTTGAGGTTCTTCAGAACATTTGGCCTCTCTTCCAAAAGGCTTCTTCACTTTGTATCTGACATCAAACACACAACACAAACTGTACAGCAGATCTGTTATCTACTTAGCAAAAACATGGTACATGTTTGATAACCTATACTAAGATTCTCAGTTGAAGTTTGTGAATACTAATTGACATGGTCCACATGACGGTGAAATGGTTGCTTTAGAAAATACCTTTAATTTGTTGGGAATTTTTACAGTGTGAAAGAGAGTTGTGCTTAAGCCACCACTAGGACTTCAAGTCCAAAAAAGCACTTTTGTTAGTCAAGCTCAGGACTAGAAGGAAGGAAGGGAGGAAGCAAGCTCCCAAACACCTACTGAGTGTTGTTAAAATAAGAGGAAAAGTGGTGTAAACATACCCCTGACCCAGCTTTTTTGGGGGGTTGTGTTCAGGCATTAAATTTAGAATGAGTGAAAAAAAACAATAAAGTTTATCAGTTTGAACTTTAAATATCTTGTTTTTGAACGCAAGTCAAAAAGGGTTTGCAAATCATTGTATCCTGTTTTTATATTCATGTTTTACACAACATCCAAACTTCATTGGAAGTGGAGCCTGTAAGATAAGATATGATAGGTCTGATGGATAATAGAGGCCACTGTGATCAGTGAGATCCCTGAATTTTACTCTACACCTGTAAAGCTCACATCATTTACACACAATGAATCCACATTGTAGCTACTATATAGCTATTCTCCAGTAAACTAAAACAAAGGAACAGTCTTTAAAGTCAAAAATGGTCCCTTTATTCTCAAAACCATACAGATGAGAGGTTACATAACAAAGCTGTTGTGAACAGTGGTGGCTGTCAAAGAGAAACCAGTAAAGGACATTAGAAACTATGTCCTGCAGTCAGGTGGATATTTTTGCAACAATTATTGGTGGAAATTCAATTATTGATTGGTTTGGATAGCTGTTGTACAAATTATTATTATCAAAACTGCATTTTGTATTTACTCAGGTTATCTTTGTCTTATAATTAGATTAATCTAGTGAACTGAAACCATTAAGTTTGACCCAAAAAGCAAAAATAGAAGAAATCTGAAAGGGGGCAAATACTTTTTCACAACACTGTATATGTGTTAAACAGTACAGCTGAGTGTTTGTATCACACACTGAAACACTGGGCATGTCATAGAGTTTTTTATTTTTTTTATACAAACTGTCATACAGTTGAAAGGATGTTGGGTTTAAGTGGTTTTATTTGATTTAAAGTTAAACATCCCTTTAACAGTTTTAGATACAAACTTGTATCCTTCCCAGTTGTTTATTTCTCATCTATGATACGTTTCTCTTTCTCTCCTAGACTTATAAATAAGCTGCAGCCTGGTTCAGTGAAGAAAATCAATCTTTCACAGCTGAACTGGCACAAGGTAAGAGGATCGGAACTTGTAAAATCTTTGGCCTGTAACATAACAAATTAATTCAGTGTTCTTGCCCAGAAATGAACATTTAAAAAGCTTCTTCAGCACATAAACATCAGATGCCCTCAGGAAGCAGTGGCTACTGTGTTTGAAAGGCTTTATCTAAATAACTGCTGCCTCATGTTTTGTTTCCTTGGACTTCCCCTCATAGCCCCCGTCACTTCTTTTTTTTATGTTGCTCTTTTCAGCTGGAAAACCTTGGGAATTTCATCAAAGCTATCCTGACCTATGGCCTAAAGCCCAATGACATCTTTGAGGCCAATGACTTGTTTGAAAATGGGAATATGACTCAAGTCCAGACCACACTGCTTGCACTGGCCAGCATGGTGAGTGGAAAAAACAGTGTCATTGCGTACAGAGGAACACATTTTCTGTTGTTGCAATGAAAAAGGCCTCTGACAAGCATTTCCTCTGTTAGGCAAAGACCAAAGGTATGGACACAAAGATCGATATTGGGGTGAAATATGCAGACAAACAAGCTCGACACTTTGACAACGAGAAGATCAAGGCTGGACAGTGTGTCATTGGACTGCAGGTGACTATGGTTGTTGATTTAGACCAATGAATGGGCCAGTAACTTAAGACTGATAAGGCTAATTTAAGAATAAATCTCTGTGAATGCTGGATTAGGCACTTTTTTGGAGGGTGAGGAGAATTTGTGCCCCGAAAAGTTTAGTTTTAAGGTCCTTACACATCGTGGCCGACGCAAATATAGAGCGCGAAATTACGAAATATTTGGAGAAGAATTTTGACGCCTTTGATTATACACATCAGCCCGATGCGATTTTGCGACTTTCCAGGGGGAAAAAGACGCGTCCTAGGTGCAAGCGAGTAGACTGACACAACAGCAGACTGACTGTTTTTCAGTTCTGATTAGACACTAGTGTTGAGATGTCTGTCTGTCATGAAAGCATGTACTGAGTCAGGGCCAGTACCAGATAAGCACATAAAGCTGTAATCCATACCCATAAGGTAACAACTGAGACCTAACAGTGCTGTGACAGCAACGTGATTGAGCTTGAGACAGTGAAAATACATATGGTATGTTGTATCTGAACAGGTTAGCTTACGAGCTAAAGTCTTTTATCAAAAAGCACTCGTAAACAATCAGCCTGTCGGCCATGTTGGATATACCGGTGAATCTGATGTTGCAACAACACGCAATCTGATTGGTCAGAAGTGGACACACAGTATGCGAAACTTTAGACAAATGGACCATGATCCGAAAAAATAAATGCCGCAATATTGCAGGACGGGAAAACGTCACTGGTGTGAACGCTTGTATTGACAGAATACAGGTTTAAAAAAAAATATTGACGTCCGAGATAATCGCATAGCAAAAACGATCCCGGTGTGAAAGGACGTTTAGTTTAATCAAACTTTAAAACAAACTTTTATGCGCCAGTTGCTCAGAAGTTGACCTCTCACTCTTGTCTTCAGATGGGGACAAACAAGTGTGCGAGTCAGGCTGGGATGACAGCTTATGGAACCCGAAGGCACTTGTATGATCCAAAGACTCAGACTGACAAACCATACGACCAGACCACAATCAGCTTGCAGATGGGAACCAACAAAGGAGCCAGCCAGGTTAAAACCCCACTCTTCTTCTAATGCTGCATGTATTTTTTTTCAGTATTTCACTAAAATTAGGTAAAGCCACAATTACTTAACTAAGCCAGGAAGTATATGTTCAGATAGATTTTAAAAGGCAGGCCTTGCTTCGTCTACTTCTTGACCCAGGAAACCAGATTTCTGACCACCTGTCACTGAAATTAGAGGAATCAGTTCATTTTTGAAGGCAGCCATACTGCAAGAAATTTTGCCCTGCAGTCTGACTCAAGGGGTGTATCCACACCTCCTATGAAGCACTCTCTTTTTTCTGTAAAAAGCGAAGGCCATGTCAATAAATTTGGGAGCGCTCCTGACTAATAATAGTTCTGTCATGTTTCCCAAGAGACTCATCCTTTGATCTAACAGAACTGCTGTGTCCACAGTTTGAGTCATTGCTTCACATTGAGCATACCAAAAAGCTGCTCCCTCAAAGAGTCAAAGGTGGACTAAGAGATAAGAATGGGAAAATAGAGACAAACCACGAGGAGTTTAACACATTTTCAAAGGGTGTTATGAGGGACTTGACTACTCAGATGGAGATCAACAAAACTACAGCCTTTATTTTAACAACTTAATTAATGTATTTGAAGGAAACAATAAAATTAATTTGAAAAAAAGAGATAAAAAATTGCCAAACAGAATATTTGACTCATAAAAATCTGGGATGTGTGATTTAAGTTTTTCATTGATTTATTTATGTATTCGTTTATCTGTTTATGTATTGCCTTTCATTAAAGACTTGCATTTCTATTTGTGTCCATAGGAGGGCAGAGTTGCATTCAATAACAGACAGAAACGGTGGTGCTGCCCTATGATAGATAGCATGAAACAAGTTACTCATAGGCCCCCCATCTTATACTCTAACATACCCCCTTCCAAATTTTTTCAAGTTTCTATTTCATATTAAATCATGTACACTTTCACTCTGTTTTTTTAAAGGAGTGATTTAGATACATACATTATCCTCTGCAAAATGTTGATTTTAATGCAGCTGACTCTCCCAAATGGGCAAGATGTAGTTCCCTCAACCTTTTCAAGTCACTGGGCTGATAACTTTACCAATAAATTAATGCCATAAAAAAATTCATGCATGAGTTATAAAGACCACTTGAATCCCTTTTATTTACTATTTTGGTGCTCATGGCTCCACAGCTAGAGCAAGTTTATAATGTAATAGTTTGCAACACTGTACAGTTTGTAATAATGATAATACATTTTATTCATAGACGCCTTCCAAAACACCCAAGAAAACTTTGCAACACAGTTTTTGATAGTGTTAACTTGTAGATTAAAATATTTGTTTTGCACCCAATAAATGAAAAACATGTGAAAGCTAATTTTGTCCAGAACACCAAATTTGGGCTTTTACCATCAGAGTTTTTTTTTGTTTGTTTGTTTGTTTGTTTGTCGTCTCCCTGGTGGAGTCATCCACTGGGCCATCTCCTAAAAGACAGCAAGGCATACATTCTATATGGGAAATTTTATGAAGACTAAATCTGTTTATCAGACATTCACTACATGACATATGTATAAAAACTATCTTATTGTAATTCTGGTTTCTTTCAGGCGGGTATGTCAGCCCCCGGAACCCGCAGGGACATCTTTGACCAGAAGGTGGCACTGCAGCCTCTGGACAACTCCACCATCTCCCTCCAAATGGGAACCAACAAGGTGGCGTCCCAGAGGGGCATGAGTGTGTATGGTCTGGGTCGTCAAGTCTATGACCCCAAGTACTGTGCCCCCCCAACAGAGCCTGTCATCCATACAAATGGCAGCCAGGGCACTGGCACCAACGGGTCAGAGATCAGCGATAGTGACTATCAGGCTGAATTCCATGAGGATGAATACCACGGGAGTTACCATGACGACTATAGCACCCATTACAACGATCAGGGTATTGACTATTAGTCAAGACCTCCCCCTTTCAAAGCAGTATTAAGAAGTGTATTTTGTCAACTACACAAATTAGCGAGTCTTTTGCTGTTATGACTAGTCATTCTTGTCTTGAAGCATCAAATGTTGCCTTTAATGCTTTCCTTTTCACTTTGACATTTTTGATATGGAAAATAAAGGTTGTAAGAAGTTGTAGCAGCATAATGAGATACAGACTCAGACTTTTAAGTGTAAGAGTAATATTTTTAGTACCTACTCTTTAAAAAAAACGTCTTAATTTTTGAACATGTAATATGTGATAACTTTGTGCCTGAATGATAAAGCACCAAGTGAAATGACTGCGATGTGTTTCCCTGGAGCGAAACTTTGCTGATGTGCTTTATGCAAAAAAAAAAAAAGGAATTTCAATGTGTAGTTCTGTTTTTGTCCGCCCTGTATACATGAACCCCACCACAGCTTGTGATGCTGGTATGTCTTTTTGTCTCATTTAATCACTAGATTTTTTTCTAATAATAATAATTAATGTAAATGATAGCTTTACAGATGACCATTCCTGAACAGACTGTTTTACAGCCGATCTTCCTCATTCCATCATGTGACGTCAATTCCCGTGTTTTTCTTTTTGTATCCACAAATTGTATATATTGCAATCACATACATTGTTGAACAGTTTACTGTTACATGGTTTGTAAAGAAAATTGTATGCTATAAATAAAACCCTATATTCTTTGAATATCAGGAAACTTGTGTGTTGACTTCTGCTGTGGCTGTGGCTTTAGTGGTGGAGCTGGTCTTCTCACATGTTGAGCTCAAAAGAACAAGAGCTACGTCATTAGGAGAAGTTTGGGCTTCAGTGTCATGCTCAAAGAAACCTCAGCATGTGACTGCAGAAGCTAGCATCAGACTGCACTCCCACTCCTGAGCCACAGCCGCCCCAACAACGGTGGAAAAGTTGTGCTAATTTCCTGCTACATTATAAGGGGTGATCTTGGGAGATCTTGATTCTTAACTGTAGGAAATACGTTCAAAACTAGTTGAAAGTTTAAGTTTTTTACCTATTTGTAGACTCAAACCTATGACACTCTGGTCATGCTGTTTGTGGATTTCAGTTTCACTTTCAATTAGAAAAATAAATAAATAAATAAAACGTTACTTAAACAGCAAACAAGATGTGATGGATTTCAGTCCCTCCCTGTGTTCGATCTCAGGTCCCCAGCCCCACGTGTTTACATAGGATTAGTCAAAAACTGAAGGTTGCTTTACAGAGCTTTGAGAGATCAGTCAACCAGAGAAAGAGCTATATAAACATAGTCCTGTTAACCATTTACCAATGACTTAAAGTCCTGAGCTGACTTTACTTCTTGCGGATATTAGCCTATGTGATAAATCAGGTTATTTAATGTCAGCAGTAATATGCTCCATGTTTTATCAGTCTGTTGTTTCTGCCTTGCTGTTGTGTGCAGGTGTAGGCCTTACATTGAATCACATCAATGGTGCTGACATAATGATCTGACATATTGATGAAAAGACAGGGTCTGATGTGGGTCTGCAGCTGGAAAGACAAGAATTACAACTGTAAACATATTATTTTATTAATTTTTATGAGTGTGGGGAACCATAATCATGATTAAAATTGAACTTCAATTTATATCCCATGAGTTTTTTTTTTCTCTCGGGAGATGTTAATCTACAGTTGCTGTACAGGTAATGTAGGTCCATTTTACCCAAATGTTTCAGTGCGCACAAACAAGCTGTGATTTAGCCTCCTCACTTTATCTTCAGGAAAAGTTTCTAATGTAGTTTTATGGATGATTCATGAAGAGAGACACCTCTTCGGTTTATCCTTTTCAGACAGTTTGCGCTTAAGTATGAAATATGGATGAATATGCTTTTCTAATATGTTGTGGAGGAAGCAACATGGATGGATTTCTGATGTTAATACCTCATGTGAACTATGTTTAGTGTCCCCATGCAGCATGAGAGCTTGATGTCCTCAGGGGGGCGCTGTTCCTCCTGAAAGAGTTGCATTTTACTGACAAAACCCGCCATCTGGCCACATGACCATGAAAGGAAGTTGGCTGCATAGTGATGAAGAAAGGAGGAGCTTTCTCACACAGTAGCACAGAGTTTGGTTTAGAGGCTCCACACTGCAATTCATGCCATTGACTCAGCGTGGATCAAAGTCCAGTAATTCACAGAATTATTACATGTTGACTTGGCTTTTACTGCTGGATGTACTCATACTATTTGTAAGGGGGAAAAGTTATGACAACTGTTCCCATCTTTCCTGTCAACTTCTTCCAGATGGATAATCCACTTTCTTGTCTGTGTTTTGCTTGGCCCTGATCATTAAGTTTGTTAGATATGCAATGTTTTCCGCAGATTAGCATGACAATAGTGTAATATTTCATGTTCTATGTTTGTATATAGAGGGCAAAGTCGACCAGAGTCAATTTCCTTGTGCGTACACAAACTTGGCTGATAAAGCTGATTCTGATTCTGAACAGGGGATGTTGCACTGCGTCATGCTTCCCTGGATCTAATGAAAAAAAAACATAATCTCCCTAGGAATAGGTAATGAGTGAAAACATAAATACAAGGAGGATGTAAGGAAGGTTACAGTGACGTCTGGAAGCTATCTTAAACAGCAATAATACTAAACTGCAATAAAATATTCTTCCAAGAAAACCCCTATAAATTTGCTTTCTGACTACTTATTTACACCTTATCAAGGTAGTCTTGGGCTGAAGTGGGCAAAAGACCCAAACTACTAAAACGACAAGTCAAAAACTAAAATAGAAAAAGTTATCTGATACCCAAGAACTTTGACATCAAGCATGAGATGACTCAGTCCAGACTCAGTCAAACCCAGAACCAGCGCATTTAAGAATTTTCCTGTGATTTCAGAGAAACACAGATTTGTTTTGGACTCTAAACTCTGCATCTCATTTGGCATTCAAACATCTGGAACGTCAGACCCCACTGTAAAAACATTGCTAGATTACAGGAAATGCTACTGCGAGGCCTGTCAGGGTGGAGTGCTTTGCAGCTCAGTATCCTGCAGATACGCTGCAGAGACTTTCTACGTGTAGGGAAAACCAGCCTGATTGCTGGACTCATGTGAACCAGCGCTGTTGTTATTCTACCAACAACAACAACTACAGTAAATACAATTTCTGGGTGAACTGCAACAGCTTTGTGTTCATAACAAAACTAGGATGACTTGAAGTTTCAAGTTCCTCTAAAATTTATAATGTGGCATCATATCCTAGATGATCTAAATGATTTCGATGGAAATGGTCTTTCATGTGATAAAAGCAGCTTTTACAGGAATTCGAAGTGCCCACACTGTGGGAAAATGTCAATGTCTGGGCATGCAATGTCTGGCTCTGTTTTGTTCCCATATCATTAACGTGACACATTTTCCACTATCAAGCTCCAGCATGAGGATAGATCTTTTTAGCAGTATGTGGGATTTCAAAGTCCATGTGTTATATAAGCAAAAGGTGAAAAGGGGTATTGCTTAAAATAAAAATTAAAAATTGCAATTTTGCCTTACGGGATATTATTATCAGTGTTACCCCTGATGTTACGAGATCATTTCCACACCCCATCCTTTACTTAGTCATATCCGTTGTATTATGAGTTCACTCTGGGGTCAAGCAGAAGTGGTTTCACAGAAACTCACAGTGTTCCCAACATGAATGTTCAAGATAACAGAGTCACAGGAACGTAAATATGACACACCTTTCTGTCTCGCACCAGCCCTATCTGTCTGCGATTGTGCCAGCCAACCATCACAGCTCAGGTGTGTCTCCAGATTTTTCTATTGTTGCAATCATGTCGCCTCAGACAGTTGAGAGACACTAAACTTTCAGCTCAGCCAAGCAAATCATTTATCAATTTCCTTCAAGGTAATCGTAATCCTGCATCTGGAAACCGCATTAAATATCATGAAGTTTGAATAAAGAAAACTTCTGATTGCACAACTTTGCAGACATGTCACTAACCGCCCTGTATGATGTATATCTGCACACATTTAGAGTCCGATCCACAATGTCAGTGTTGAAATTTTTACTTAGGCCAAACAAACTTCTCATGTTGGACTTGTGAGTTTGCTCAGTTTGATGGCTGTGTTCAGATTTAATGAGGAAAAAGAAATTACTGCATGCACTTATAAACCACTATAAGTAGAGGACTAAAAAATGCCGGACACTACAAATTATGGCCAGAAAATTCCAATTTTATGGAGCTGAAATGTTTATTTCATTTACTACTGAAAGCCAAAAGAATCAAAATGTCCTTAAAATTCAACAAATGAATTTATTTATCTCGTTTTTGGAAACTAATAAACTAAAAGAGGACATTTTTATCATTTATCGGGCTGTATTCAGGTGCTTTTTTAGTAAATGGTTGATCATATTGATTTGATAGAAGTATATAAAAGTATGTATCAAATATGATACAAAAGGCATTAAAGGGTTAACGTGAACTCTAACACTAACAATTCTGGTATGCTTTCTCTTTTCTTTGCTTAATAAGTGTTTAGTTGAAGGAATAATCTCACTGCACTCAGAGTCAGGTCCTTCATTCTACAATTTAACAACTCATGAAATCTAAGGTCAGGTCAACTTTTATCTAGCTCTATTCAACCACCCCTTTAGTTTGCCAGGACACGTTGTCCTCATTCTTTCCCTTTTGTGCATACTCAGCTACCATGGCATTATCTCAAAGCCGGGCCTGCAGGTACCACTCAACCCCAGGGACGTGCTTTTTCCAGTCTCCTTCTCATACCTGGTTTTGAAAACAAGGCGTTGTCATTCATGTCTCAACAGGGAGATCTGCCTTTCCTCTCCCAACAACCTCCATGCCAATTCATAAACAACCCCACTTAGCATTCCTGGGCAAGCTGGGGCATCATGCGCTAACTGGAGCTGTATCAGTGGAAGCTCACAGATTATACAATTCATCCTGATGGTGAAACATTTAACTCTTCAGCATGTGTCGTAACTACAAGACAGGTCGGTTATACCCTGGGGTATCAGTCCAATTATGTAGGAAACACTGCGGTGGTTGTGATTAGCAGGAACAACTCTGTGCCCACCTTCCTAGTGTATGAGGTAATGTGAGGTTATCTCTGGTATAAGCAGCTCTCTCAGTGATCTTTCAGCACAAGTGAAGAGTACATGCTCTGATTTGCTGTGTTGATGATAGCACAGAAAAAATATTTGGCCTATTTGTGTCCCTCAAAAGATCATTCTGCAGCTCTAACACCATGTGCGGTAAAGTGGCACCTCAGCACTCTAAGCTGTGCAGACACAAAGCCGGAATTTGTTTCCCATTGTTTTTCACCACTCCCCCATGAATAAGATGGATTTAAGCCTTGCGCCATCACACTGCTCTTTATTCCCTGCAAGTTTGATCATATTAGTACTCAATTACTGTTATATTCCAGTAACTGCTAATCTTCGGTTAATTATTTTGACATCATGAAACTCTATTCAGAGTTGGCTTGCCGATCATGCCTCACCTCAAGAATCAAATCACGCTTTTTGGCCCGTGTAAGCTTTCAAAGAATGACGTAAAAGCCTTAACCTGAGAAGAACACAATGTAATACACTATTTCAAACAATCACAAGTCTTACACCTGAGAGAGCAGTGTTGACACAAGCGCCTCCTCATAACTTGCACAAGTAACATCACTTAGAGCAGGTGTTTTTCCTACCTTTAAGGCTTGCAGGGGCATGTTTTTATGAGGATTCACATGCCATTGGTACCAAAAATTGATGACATCGCTGATTTATTATGCAGGTTATCCGCGTCTATACTTAATTCAGTATCAAACCCATCCAGCATGTTTCTTAGCAAGTTTAAATGAAACTAGTGGTGAGATTTTCAGATTTGTCTGCATGTGGAGTTCTGCTTGCTCTTGTTGGTGTCTTGGCACAGGGTCTCCGTAAATATACCACTTAGTAACACGCTAACATAACAGGATGTGTCAGATGACGCCCAGTCTAACAGGCCTTTGTTTTCCTCAAAGAATCAAGGAAGACATTTCCCATTCCCTGGAATTGAACACAAACATCATAAGTGAAGATGGGAGGCCTAGACTACAACAACAGCTCACCACTTTTAAGAGGTTACACCAATCCCTCAAAGCTGTGTGGAATTTACACTTACACAATATAATGTTAGTAATAACTGACATAATTTCTGATAAGTGTGCTTTAAGGAAGAATGAATGATGATTAAGTGAATTCTGTTCAGCTGATAAAAGTGAGGAAACTCTGGATTCTTACAGTGTATCACATAGACCTCCTCCCTTTAATACTAACAAGTTTAATCCATTTACTACTGCTTAACTTAACTGACCAACTGCTTAAGTATATACCACACTCTACATCAACAAATTATGGATTTGTTGATGTAGTTTTTGTCAGCATTTTTTGTTAAAAGTCAAAATAGTCTGTTTTAGTTGGGACACTAACACTTGGGTCTTCTGTGCTCATTTTTGAGTCAAACCTAAATCACCAAAAAAGGAAACAAGTCGAGTCCCAGTCGAGTTTCCATGAATATTAATATCAATCAAGCGGAGGAGTGCGGCTACACTTCAAACTACTTACTAAATAAATCTTGGTTGACTTTTGGGTATGTGGGAAATACACTTCTTCTATCAACACTGGATTTTTAGGGATTGTGTTGGTTTGTCAGGAGATTTAAATGATCAACTGAGTCCCAAAGTTTTATTTATTTATTTTTTTAAATGTCAACGGGTCACACAGAGCTGAACACCAGCGCAATTTCTACAAATTAGAAACTGTCACTGACTATTCCAACTTTCCAACGTTGGATGGAAAATTTGCAGGCAGATAAGCATAGCTGTATTCAGTAGAAGCTGTCAGTTTTAGATGGGATCAAATACTAGTGTCTTCATTTCCTTAATGGATGTCCTGTTTGGGCCGTATACAAACAATGAAACTGTCCTTATCAGTAAATAAGTCAACGTACTCCTCTCTATGGACGTCAAGAGGAGAATGGAATATTTCACAGTTTTGATCAAAACTTAAGTTGGATATGTATGCCTGACATTTTTACACTCCTCTGCTCAGCATGGGGGAAGAAATTCTTGCTTTGTTCGTTATGAGAGAATATTTTTCTTTTTAAAAGCCATAAGTACAACACAGGCACAATATTTAAAACAAACAATGCTTTGGATTATATACAAACCTAGTTCTGCTTAATTTAAGACACATTTAGCTGTTTTAGAAATCCAAATAATTTACTCCTGTGCACTTAATGCTGCCTACTGTTTTACTTAAATGTCCAAATCAAGAGGAAAAATAAATCATCACATTGTGTTTACATATAAATCTGTGAAAACTATATTTGTTGTACTGGAATCAACACAATGTCTGGGATAAATGGTTAAAGGGCCACAGAGACTGTTGATGTTTTAAAGAAGAGGCTCACGACTCACGTTTTTAACCAGGCTTTTCACTGATTGCTTTTTCCTATTTCTCTTATTGCAAATGTTCATTTTAATCAAAGTTCTTAATGTTTCTTTTATGTTGTCTTATTATTTATCTCTATTCTTAGTCTTTTTCTTAATCCCTCCCTAGAGGTTTTTTACTTCTTTTACCCCTTTTACATGGTAAAGACCTCTTACTTATTTGTTTATTTTATCTTAATGTTGTTTAATTGTTTTTTTAGCCTCTGTGAGGCACTTTGAACTACATTATTTGTCTGAAAAGTGCCATACAAATTAAGTTAAATTTTGATTTTAATTTAAAAAAAAAATGACATCCCAAAACTATTTGCAGGGTTAGATAAGCTGGACTCTTCCATAAGGGGACAGAGATACCAGCCTGTCAAGGACAAAGTCCAGTATGTTTACATACACAAGTTTAGATGGAGCTTGATTAGGGGATTTAACTGGACTTTGTCCTTGACCCAGTTAACAAGCATTAGGCAAGAGTCAAGCAAGAGAATACTAAGAGGAAGTAAGAAAGGAGACTGACGGCACATCGGTTCCTTGGTATTCCAGCCACACATCATGCTAGACCCTTCACCAAAGGGGGAATAATGTGTCAGTGCCAGAAGAAAGTCTCAGCCAGGACTCAGAGAAAAAAGGATGCCACATAACAAAAAGAATTTGAATACTAAGCCACTAATGGATTTGCTTGTTTCAGCTGTTTTAGTGCAACCCTATTTGACAAAAGATCACATAAAACAACACATAAAACATGCTTTGTTAAAGTTTTCATTCCTCACTCTGTCACAGCGTCAGATGTGACCCTACAACTCTTTTCCCAGAGCTTTATGTCCACTCTGGCTAATACAGTGAAACTATTTGAAAGCACAGCGTAAAGTATTTCTCACTGGCAAATCTGTGCCTGGAAATCTAAACAAGTGAGTCTATTAATAGACCCCGAGTTCATCCACTGAAGCTGTCTGGTGAGTGTATGGCTTGACTCACACAGTGATTCATATGGATGCAAATGAGGTAGTCTGACCAAACTGAGTTACGTGAGGGTTCCACTACTATTCTGTTTTCTGTAGTAAAAAGAAATGTGCTGTCAGCATAGACCAGAAACAACGTCATCCTTCTGATCTATTTGACAGACCTCGATACTGGTCTTTTTTCCTAAACCGTCGAGGTACAGCAGACAGACAGATACACAAAGATGAACATTTTTATGGCTTGATCAAAGTATTTGACGCATCAATACTGCCTTTATTAGTCCTCTTAGCTAAAATGGTGGACTTTTATGTTAGGTTTTTGACCTCATGTTGTAGCTCACAGATACCACAATCGTATAAAACAATTTTTAAATGATCTTTTTTGGTCTGGACACAATTCTGATAAAACTTATGACAGACTAAATTCACTTTACCAGGTAATTACCTAGTAACAACATGAAATTATCTGGTAATTACATGATAATTACTAAGTTAATACTGTCTAGCTACCAGGTAGGTAACCTTCCATCATTATACAAATATAAAGCCGAATTACTCCGGTATTTCCAGGATTTTCTCTGCTTCCTGGAACCACCACTTGCGCAGTAGCATTGTACACATTCGGCGAGTGAGTCGCTGTGATAATGCTCAGCTCAAACAGCGTATCACTACGCAATCTTCACACGCCCATAGGCTGTATCAAGTGTCAGTCATAGAAAATAAGAACCTCAAATAGCTTTTGAAAATGGAGCTGCACAGAAAAAAAAAAAGAAAAAAAGAAAATCTAGTTTTGACTTAGTAGTTATCATGTAATTACCAGATTATTTCATGTTGTTACTAGGTCATTACCTGTTAAATATCTGGTAAAAAAGAAAGGGTTACCATGTACCATTTCCATGCAACAGGGGGTGGCTCAACTTACCCCACTCTCCCCTAAATGAAACTGTATTTTCAGTCCAAAATGCACAGGAATTTCCCACGCTTCACTTCATTTTTAACAGTGCTGTCTTTATATTAGTGTGAACCATTAGTCATTTCTTTAAACAATAGGGTATTTGTTATGATAATGAGATGCAGTATTGAATAGGTTAGAATAGGCCATCAATAGGTCGGGTACTTTGCAGCAAAGCGTCATGGGAATTCGCTATATGATGGAGTTTTCAGTGTAGTGGAAATGGCTGTGATCCTAGAGAAAGGCCTAGTGTATCCGCTAAATGACCTCAGCTGGAAAGGCACGCACTGTAGAGTGTATGTATAACAACGGCTCGTCTGGTGACGCCACTGCCGGACGCTCCTTATATGGGCAACCCTCACGCTCGTCCACTGTTAAAACAAGTTGGAGCTCACAGACAGACGTGAGACGAGAGGATTGGTAGCACGTAAAAAGCGCTTCTTTGACATTGAGCCTCTTAAGTTCCACCAAGGACCAAAGAGCGAGGGATACACAACTTATCGATCTGGACTACTCTATCGATTGGAATTCGAAACCCGACAAGATGACAATAAGACTGACTGTAGCTCTGTGTTTGGTGGTCGTACTTTCCACAGACTCTGCTTCAGGTGGGTCCGAGCAGCTTTTAACACAGCACCCCTGATACATGTCAAATAGCAAGAATCTTTGTCTTCTTTCAGATTAATTTAATGAACATTTCTGACAAGAAGTTTTCGAGATAGATGTGTAATGGTAGGATAGCATATTAATGACTAAATCAATGCTCATGAATTCACTATAAACGTTTTAAAAAAGAGAAATGTTTGAATTTCACATAGTGCACAGAAATCTCCACATCTGTTATTCACTCTGAATGTTAATCTCCCTCTTTTCCAAAGTCACATTGACAGCAAATGCCGTCCATTTAATGTTGGATCACAAGGCAGTGCACCCCTATGTGAATCGACTTAATCAGCAAAATCGAAAACTCTTTACACAGTCTTCTGTAATACTATTGGAAATCCTTTAATGTGGAAAATTTATGCACATGGCTCATAAAAAGACCAGACTATTGTGATGAAAAGAAATACTAAAAAACTTCCAGTGAGGTGCTGGTGAACTACTACTGTCAGTCCATAAAATTGAATTCCCGTGGATATTCCCATAAATCTGTCAGGATCGTGTATATCTCTCAGCACCTCATAAAGACCACATCCACTGGACACTTTACTGTATTGTTTCTGCAAAAGTAAAGCAGAGTGTGCAGAATCCCTGCAGTCGGTGAGCTGTTATGCAAAACATTGTGGATGAATAACAAACTAGTCCAGATTTTATCATATAAAGAATGCAGCAAAAGTGTTTTTGAAGCACACTCATTAGGTGGAATTAGACTGTAACTTTTTGGTGTGACTGCAAAATGTGTCTGGTTTTATAAACTACGGAGGAAAATCTCACACAACACCTTTCCTTCTGCAGGCTCCTATCCAAAGGCACAAAATGTCACCTGGAAATCCACCAACTTCAAAACTTTCTTGACCTGGGAGCCCGAACCATCAGCAGATTACTCCTACACTGTGGAGTTCTCGGCGTAAGTATCTGAATTTCAACCTTTCGAGAAATGGTATCTCATAAACTCTGACAGTACGGTGACTGATGCATGCTTATCTATTCTTAACACTGATAGCAAGCAGAGTCTTCAAGAATTCATTTTCACATTTGACTAAAACGTTGAAAGAAGGCATGGCTAGATTTAAAAAAGAAAAAACAATTGATACATGATTAATGGTTAGATAGATAGTTTTTATTGTGTTTGCAGTCATTGGGCATTGACTAAAAATAATCGGGAGACATTAAGAAAAAAGAGAAAAGGGTTAAAATGTACCAAAGAGCGGATTTTGTGTCAGGGCAATCCACTGACTTAGCTTCCAGACGCACTAAAGGTGCTGCATTCATATTAAGAAAGATGTGATATGGAAAATTCACAGTAACCATAAGCTGCTGAGAGGAACTTCAAGTTTTCACCAAGTTTGACACCCTTGTGTGCAAAGTAATACTTTCTGTCTCTTGTCCCGTACATTTGAACGAAGTGTTTGTAGGCAGAAATCTTATGTTGTCTTGTAACAGAAAAAAATATATCACTTGTGTGTATGGAAAAAAGTTTTAAAGAAGATGTTTCTCTAGTCTGCTCTGCACCTATACCCCTCACAGCAGTGTTAAACTAAACTAGACCTGTTGCTGATGGTCTAGTTTGCTTTTAAAGGTCATAAAGAGGCCTCAGTATCACTCATCTCATTAAAAACTCCTCACAGCGCCTTTAAAGATTTATTGAGAGTTAAAGAACGAGTCAGGAAAATTGTAAATTTGCTCCCTCTGTTGAAACATGTAGTTCACTGTGATTAAATCTTGCATTGTCAGCCATGCTCAGTGAAAATCCCCGACTCTTTTATGTTCTTTCTTGTGCTTGTGTTTTGTTTCGTTTATGACTGAGTTCTTAAACTTTTTCTATCCACACACGTCCTGTCTGTGTGTTCTGCTTTCAGGGTTGGCAGGGACAAACAGCGGAGCCCTCATTGTACCCGGTCATCGAAAACCGATTGTGACCTGTCCAGCTTCTTAACTGATTTGAAAGCCTGCTATAAAGCTGATGTTATTTCTACACCTCCACTTGGTGCCTCCTCTGACCTCACTGAGTTCCCGTACAGCAGCTCGACACGATTCTGCCCTTACCAAGAAAGTAAGTTCTTTTGCCAAAAGAGCTTTCCAGTTAAAAAAAATATATAACTGATCATATTTTACCAACACAGTGCTCTGTTGAAACTTTAAACCAAAGTTTCAGATGCATTTTACAAGCAGGACAATGCAGGAAATGGGGCGGTGTCTGAAAGAGAATCTGACTCTTTAGTTTACAAGACAACAACACAGAGAATATGACCGAAAAGTAATACTTCAGGGCTTATTTTGAGCTTTTGTTAGTCGCAGCACTCCCTTCTCTATTAAAGCCTGCCCATATTCGGCATGAAAGCTTGACCTGCATCTCATCAGTGTTAACCATCTGCAGCCGTTTCTTTGAAATGCACCAAGCCTAAGCCCACCTCTTCCCAGGGCCATGGGAAAGTAGTCTGCTTCAGCATGGTATGAAGCAGTCACACTATTTAAACAAACTGGACACAAAGGGTGAAACATGCTCAGCCATGGGACAAATCCCCCAGTGTAAATCTGCCCTTAAAGGGTAAGAAACATCAGCATCAAAAATAAACAAAAGTTTTTCAAACAGTTTTCCAACAGCTTAGCGTGTTAAAAAGAATCCAATTGAACTAGATTCAGGTGCAGAGAAAACATTCAGCATTGATCCTTGAATTTCAAAGGACTGCTCCCTCTCCAAGACCTGCAAATAGTACTTTGTATTTTAAGGTACATGTAAAGTACATTTTATTTACCAGTTAGTAAATTAAAATCCCTTTTCTTTTCTTCCAAGCTGATTTAGGCCGACCTGAATTCAAGTTGGAAGTGAATGGAAACAAAAGGAGCACCACACTGTATGTGACAGACCCACTCACAGCTGTATTCAAAGATGGCCGCCAGCTAAACCTCAGGGATATTTTCGCTGACGAGCTTCAGTACAAAGTCACTTATCGGAGAAATCAGAGCACAGGCAAGGTGAGTGGTAGCAGACTGTTCAATATGGTATAAAAAAAGATACACGCATGGACAAAAAACATAAACAAAAAGCTTCTTTTTTTATCTTGTCTGCAGAAAACTCAAGTCTCCAAGACTAATGTGATAGAGGTGACCAATCTGGATAAGGGGGAGAGCTACTGCTTCAACATCCAAGCATACATCCCCGGTCGCGACATCAGTAAACAGTATGGGGCGCTGAGCGTGACCCAGTGCTCTGATAAAGGTGAAGGTAAGGTGTCTTCATACTCTTGGAAGCATGATTATGTTGAACCTTCCGTCAAACCTGTCCCAACATAAGGTATTGATTAGTTTTAATGGAATATTGTCTTGTTTTTTTCTTTCCCCCAGAGTATTCAGCTGTTGTGATCGCTGCTGCCATCTTCCTCATCTTGTTGCTGCTTGGTGTCATCATTACTGTCACAGTGATCTGCTGCAAACGCAGGAAAAAGGCTCTTGGAAGTAAAAAAGAGGGATTACCACTCAGGGATGTATAAAGTGTGATACTCTGGTGATACTAAATCTGTTAGTTTCTGTGAAACTGCTTGTTAATTGGTTGAATATATGTAATTGTTTTTTTATCTCATGATGTAGATAAAGACATTTGAAAAACACTGTTTTCACACACTACCATGTAATTTTATAGATTTCACTTGATAGTCTGCAATTTACCTGAAATTGCCAAAGTGAACAGGGGATGAATTAAGCCTTTTTACAAAAATCAAGTGCTGTATTTATTGTTTTGATAATAAAGCGGAACACAAGGTAATATGACTCTGGTGTGGTTTTATGGTGTCAATGCAAACAGGTACGAACAGAGATTAACTCACAAATATATCACAGTTGTTTTAATCACTTAAAATTTTTAACAAGAAAAACAAATGTTGACATATAAGATAATATTTTAACAATAATATAATTTTGCAGTATATTCTGCATCAAACCAAAATCAGTTTGATAGATGCTTGTAACTAAAAAAAGTTCACAGCTATTACTCTTTGTGTTTTTGTCACATTTACAGCCATGGAACAACAATTAGAGACCTTCCTATAATTATCTGTAAATCTGTATTTCTACATAAAATTCTTTTGATTTACAACCTAATTCATTTTTAATCTGAATTCTGGTTCTGTGATCACCTGATCAGCCACAATACAAAGTTCAGGTTCCTGGATTTTTGTATCTAGTTGTAAACGGCCACACAACACGGCCAAGTGACAAAAAACTGTAATCTAAAATCTGGGTACTAAATATGAATTTCAATACACTTCTTAAATGATGACATTTATTCAATAAAAAGACGAACATAAAAATATAAAAAGTGTAAAATACACATAAAAAGTGTATTTCTTGTTTTTGCAGTCTAAAATATAGTATAGGTACTGCTTAATTCATCTTGACTGGTTGTCATTTTCTGCAAATATGAAGACTTTAAATTTATTCAGCAGCTTATGTGGCAGTCTGGAAAACATATGCCTGTACTCCTACAAACAACCTATAAATAGCAGAACTACAGGGAAAAAAGTATTTTCTTGAAAAAGACTTTCCGTAGTTGCACAATGATAAGTAGTGATGAAAGCCTGCATTCCTTTGATTTCAATTACGTGCTTTTCCTCATGAATGGGGATTTCTTTGGTAGTGTCATTGAGTCCTTTCCTTTTAAGCTGAGGGGAAAAATAATATTTTGACTTCCACTAAATGCACAGTTTTGATTGGTTAGGTTGGCCACCAGCGTAGGATTGTGTGTGTGGATGTGAAGTTCCCACATGAAACCACCCTGTGGCAACAACATTATGCTGTCACAGGATCAGCACAGAGGCGAGGAGGTGTTGCAGACCCACAATATAAATCCAGTAATCACAGGACTGTGGAGACGAGTTCACTGAAGCAGCTTTTTGAAGCTGCGGCCCAACAATGCCCTCTACTGAGCATAAGGTGGTTTAAAATGCTAGCTTTCCTGTGGAGTTTTTGATCTGAGCTATTCAAGTGGATAGCTCGGATCAAAAACTCCATGGTGGTGAGCCTGGTGGGGTGTTTTCTGGAGGAATGAAAGAAGGCAGTTGTCTACTCCTCTGCCTCAGCTGTCATGTTGTAAATTGAATCTGTTTTGCAGCAGAGGTAAGTAAAATACCCTCTTCCCTCTTGTCTTTGGACCCTCTGGGTGAAGAAGGCTGTCAAAGAGGTTTTAAGAGTGAGGAGGGATATAACTGGGTTGGTCCAGGGAAGAAACTTTTCACTTTTGTAAAACAATGGAAAGTATGATGACTCAGTGACAGGCATATTATTTTGAACAAAAGTCTGTTTTATCCTCACACAAGAGCAGGTTTTGAAGATGTAGCAATACAATGGATTCAATACTATGTTGAGAATGAATTAAACTTTTTTTAACCAGAAAAATTGAGATTCAAAATCTCATTTGCAAGAGTGTCCTGGCCAACACAGTACTTTTGTGTAGTACTTTTACCAAGTTACAGACACAAACAATCACAGATGTATACAGACATAACAACCAGCTAAGTCGAAGTCGCAGAGCAGAACATTTTTAGTCAAAGCCTGCTTCATCTTCCTCTCAGTTTTTCTTGTAGCAGATTCCAGTCTGCAGGAGCAGCATATCCAAAACTTCTGAGAATTAAGGGAAGCACGAAAAAACATTGAAGGTGTGGTAGCACTTAATCACACTCATAGCACCAAAGCATAGGAAGGTCAGCCAGGAAAAACGATGATGAAATCTATCATGTTATGTACACCATAAAATACAGAACATCACAACACAATTGGGGTTGTGGGTCATAACAGGTAAACGAGGGCTTAGGATAAAATAACAAGATATTAAAAGTAATAAAAAGTAAAAACCGAAGCCAAAACATTCATCAACACACATGCACACTCAGTATGACAATGTTGGTATGGTCAGTGACAGGAAGTGGAATGGAATGGAGGGGAAGAACGTATCATTACTCCCACCAGAATAAGTCACGCAGGTCGCGACCACAATCTTCGCAGGATTTAGTTAGTAACCAACTGGGAGGAAAATACACACATTTCATCAACTGGAAAATTAAACCATACTAACTAAAAGTGTGATAATCACGTTTTTGAATGACTCAGGTCTAGTCAAAGGATTTTAGTCAAGAGGCTTTGCTCCCTTTTTTAGGCAGATTGCGCACTTGCTGATACAAGCGCCAAATTTTGTATGAGGCTTCCTGAGGACATACTAAAGCTTTTTAGGCTAGAGCACAACACAGATATTGGAAATATCCATATAGAACACAAAAGTTGTTTTTCTACTAAAAAAGAAATACATTCTTCAGTCATAAGAAGATCATTGATGACAAATTGTTTTTTTATACTCATAAAACCCACCAAAACAGGAATTAAAAAAATTTGAATACTGTGAAGAAACCAGCCCAAATTTTGCAGGTCATTAATGTTTTAAATTGAGCGTCACACATTAATCATCTACTAAACTCAAGGCACCTGCACGGGGTTCCCCGGGTTCCTGCAGACTTGACAAGCGGCCAGAAGACCATCATTGACACCCTCCGTAGGATAAGTAAGCCACAGAAGTTCATTGCTAAGGTGGCTGGCTGTTCACAGATTGCTGTGTCCAAGCATATCAATGGAAAGTCTAGTGGAAGGGCAAAATGTGGCAGGTGGAGATGCACCAGTAAAAGAGATGACTGTAGGGTTCAGCAGATTATCACACAGAGAAGATTCAAGAATCTTGCAGAGACCCAGAAAGAGTGGAATGAGGTGGGAGTCACAGCTTCAAAAAACCACCACATTAAGGATCTTTATGGAGATACAGATTTCATCTTCCAGCAGGATCTGGCCCCTGCCCATACTGTCCCAAATTGCAAACTTCCAATACTTAAAATTCTGAGTATACTCAACTCAAAATGGAAAATGTATGGATAGTATGTGAAAATTGAGTATGCAAAAGTACCAGGATGACGTACTCAAATTGGTCAAGATTTTGAGTATACGACTGTGGACACTCACCCGCACTAATTTCATCAGTGAGAATGGCTGTGGTGCCAGTGGGTTGGCGACAGTCGACCTGGGGGCTTTGTACAGATTTAAGTAATAAGTTGCCTTTAACACATGTTCTTTCCACCAAGCACCGCCAGCGTTTATCGTTTTGAGTATATTTGTAGTGCAGCTAACCTGTTTTTTGTCTTTTACTGCAAACGGTTTTGCGAATGCTAATGGTAGTCAGTAGCCGCTGGGTTCCAAAGCATTACCTGTGGCAAATAAAAAATAACCAGCGGCCCAGCAGAGCCTGCTCATCAACTATACAACCAGAAGCACCAACACCGACATTTTAATTTATCGGTATATTTTCGCTGCTTTCTTGGTCACCTCAGTCTGCTGCACAGATACCAGCAAACCCTTCGCTGTAGAGGAGGTTAGTATTAGAACTGTGGGAAGGGGTTCCATTGTAAACACTCACAAAATACGGCAGCTATTGTTGACTAGCGAGGCTAGCTAGCCCGTGAATAGAGGCAGTATCAGCCACAGAGGTTTGTTTGCAGCATATCGTGTCATTATTTCTTTAGTTTTTGTTTATCTGTAATTTCTGGTGGGTGCGCCGTACGGCAGTATGCAATTTGGGACAGCACTGCACTCTCGAGACTCACACACTGTGCAATTGGGTACATAGTATGCTTAGTATACTCAATTTAGTATTTAGTATGGAAGTATGTAATTTGGGACACCATACCCATGCCATCACAGTGTTTGACTGGCCAGCCAGTCTATGGGGTTTAACTTTTTGAATTGAATTATGGAAATAAACAAACTTTTCCATGATATTCTAATTTTTTGGAAAGGTTCTGTATATTTTATTTTTGCTGCCAAATCTCCTGGTCCACACTCCAGTCCAGTTGGTGGCGGTAATGGGCCTTCAAACTGGCTTTTGCTCACCGCCGTGAATCAACAAAGAAGAAGGAGGAGCCGGAAAAAAAGATCTCAAACTCGAGCAGCAGATCCGAACGGCATTAGAAACATGGCGGCCATCAGTAAACACTTGACTGCGAAGAACTCTTCAATAGCAGGCGGTGTTTTACTGTTGTTGTACATACTGAAGAAGAGAAAGCGGGCGCCCAAACAAGACGGGTAAGTGGTGTTATTTGCTAATACTACCGGCTGCACCATTATGTGGATATGAGGTTAAAAGGGTGATTCTGACGGCTGCCGGGATGCTAGTAGCTGCTAGTCGCCTTTCTGACAGGTGACAGCAGCGACCTGCAGGGACACTCCTGAAAGCACTCCATTTTATTACCCTGCTTTGCTTACGGAGTAGCTACAACACGAGTCTAAAGTACAATTGTAAAAAAAGTGGTAATTTTTAATGCGTAACTATAACAAACTGTACAAACATTCACGCTGGCGAATGGCCTATTATCGCCACTGTGGTTTACTTTGTACAAACTTGTCATGACTTTGTGTTGAGGTCTCAAACTCTGGTTTTTCTTTCCGTTATTTTGTTGCAATATTGCTGTAAAAAGCACCTCCTGAGGTTTTTTCTTCATGTGCATTACTTTATTAACAATAGCTGCAAAGAGCATTTAAACAACATGGGAAAACTTTATATGACATATAACAACAAAGTAGACAAGAACTAACCTTATTAGTTTTTCTTAATTATTATTATTGTTTTTATTTTACATAACGTTTTGCCCCCAAACAACATACATTGTACTTATCCACACAATCAAGCGATAATATTCCCAACCATACCTTTTGAATAGTTGTGACTGATACTCCCTACTCCGGTCTACTTTGTGTTTTTGCTCTGCTTGCCTTTTTTTGTGTGTCTTTTTTGTTATTGTTTTTGATTTGTTTTTGTCTCTTGTTATTGTCTTCATTGGTGTTGTTTGGTGTTAGGTGTTAAATTTCTTGTTTCTATTATTTTTCATATTGCACTTCACTCCTTTGCATGTTTTGTTAAATGTTTGCAATAAAAAAAAGAAAAAAAGTGGACAAGAAACAAACTTTCACATTAAATCACTTCACTTCTCTCCCTTTTTAGCCTATTTTTGCTTAACTTTTGCAATCTCCATTTAAAGGGAGTAACGTAAAAGTGCAGTGCGCATACCGTAGCCCGCATATGTCCTTGCACACATAACGAGAGTAAATATTATTCAGACTCTTTAGTAAAACATTTCTCTATATGGTTACAAGCTGAGACAGTCTTCACAGAGTGCCAGCGGCATGTTGTATAGAGGATTTGAACAGTTATGTGATTGTATATAGTGAAAACAAATAAGCATGTGTTGAATCAGACATATTTTGGCATTACTTTATTGTGTATCTCATTAATCTCAACCGTGTGCCACAAGTCATAGTAACAAGATAGGGGGAAAATTACATAAGCATATTACAGCAGGGTTGTGCACTGTGTACTCTCTTTGAATAAATGAAGGGGGGTATAAATCTGCTCATAGTCTAGTGACTTTTGTTTACATTTTGATCTGTCTGATTATATTATCATTCTGTCTCCATAATAGAAAAAGAGGATCAGATCTAGTGATTAACAGTGAGGTAAGTACATTTTTAATTTTTTCTGTTTAAAGGTATTCATTTGTACGAAAAAAATAATAAGTCAGAAACAGTTTACTACAGTTTTATCACAGCTTCTCCGTGTCCTGTCTTTTCTTTCAGAGAGATGGCAAAAAAGACCGAGCAGCAGTTGACAAGGTCTTCTTCCTCCGTATCCTACGCATCCTGCGACTCATGGTACCTCGAGTTTTCAGCATGGAGGTATGACATCTAACTGCTTCTATTGTCATCCAGATGTTCAAAGCACTTCTCCAAGTCTTACTATGTCCATGCAGTGAAGGAAGACTGTCAGTGCAGTAAAAAAACATGATGTGTTACTTTAATTATTTCACACTACATCATCAACATACTGGCGTGTTAATATTTTTAAATTGCTGCACACACAGTGGAGCCCTCTGGCACAGATACATTTAGTCCATAAGCCAAGGTCACAAGCAACATGGCCCCGTCGCTCCATGTGGTCTTATCAGATCAGCTCTGTGGATATGATCAGAGTGAAGGGCATAATGATAAGGACTTTATGATACAATATGCAGAGCTTTACTGACTCTGCTCACTATTTGCTATGTTTTTTTTTCTTCTTCATGACAGACTGGCTACCTTATCTTTATTGCTGCCATGTTGGTGGCGAGGACCTACTGTGATGTATGGATGATCCAGAACGGCACCATGATTGAAAGGTCAGGCTCTAGCCTACATGTCTGAATCAGTTATCTTGTTTTAGAAATGTGGATTTCACAATTTATTAGAAACGTAACTTGGTGAAAAGCTTATAAAATAAATGGGATTGTCCCTTAAGGGTACATGTAGGCTTAAAGTCAGAATTAACAGTTACGGTCATTCAGATTAAAGATGACATAGTTGACCCTTGTTATGGACATAACCAAAATTAAGTGTTCTGGACAGAAAATAAAAATCCTTTCAAAGGAATAAAACTCCAATCTGCCCTGACAACCCATTCATTATACTTCCCTCCACAAGATACATTTTGCTCAAGCCCAAGCCCCCCCAAAAGGCAAATTTATTTCAACCTCATTCCGACTATCATCCCAGTCTTAACATGAAAGATGCCATCCTACCTTTCTGTGTGGCTGAGAGTCATGTGACTGATTGTAAGAGGCCGGCCCCACTGCACATAACCATGGTGGCCGAATGCTTTAAACCTCCACCCACAGACGGACAGTCATGTGAAGCTTTGCATCACACGGTCATGTAAGTGTGCCCTCTGTCCATGGTGGGATTACAGGATGCTCACAAAGGGACTCCCCTTTGGACACCCGGCTTCAAGTGTACACTCGTGTCAACAGATGCCTCCTGGATAGGCTGGGGAATAGTCAGGATGGCAAGAGGTCTGTGGGTACCTCTGTGGAGCAAAGAACATGCCAATGTCCTGGAGCTATATCTGGCCCAAAGAGCTCTTCCTCCTTTTGTGGGTGGCAGGCTTGTCCTTGTGAACTGATGATTTGGCCATGTGCGCCATTAAAATAATCAAGGGGAAACAAAGTCTCAACATTGTTTTGAGGTGGTCCAAGAGCTTTTGCTTTGAACCTCCCCATGCCTCACCTGGTTTATGTGCCAGGAGTTCTGAACCAAAGGAGCCATTCCACTTCCCTTGATTCTCCATGTACAGAATCACTCAGGGGGGTCGCGGGGTTCTAAGAAAAGCACCATGTTGGTCAGGGGAACATTGATTTCCAGCGCTCCTTTGCCTTGTTCATGGCAAACCCTGGGCGTTGCCACTCAGGGCAGACTTTGTCTCTACAACCCACTTAATGTTTGGTAAAAGCCAGTCCAGTTGATGCCTATCTCACTGGATCTGCTGTGGTCAGTAGCCAATACTGTTGGAATGAAGTTGAAGTCGGCCCTATAGCAGCTCAGCAACCATGAATAGTAGACCACCAAACTTGAGTAGCAGGTCCAACAAGTATGGAAGCTCAGAATTCCCTTTAGGTGCCAGATCATCTCACAGATGTTGCTCTGGAGGCTAAAGGAAATGGGTCACTATCACAGAGAAATGGCAAACAAATGTCAAATTAGTCAATGGAATCAGCTTGTTTAGCTTTTAAACAAGAAACTAACAGGGAATTCTAATACAGTGGAAGTGAATATGAACACAGATAGTGTTCCAAATTATCTGCTGCCTTCACATCATATCCTATTATCTATGTTTGGTATGTAATGTTATCGTCAATTCCAGTTAGACCAGAATCGTCTTAATATTATCGTGGACCTGTGACAGTATGTTACTGTTGGCCTGGTTCCTGCAGCAGTGGGTCAGATTGAAGGGAAGTGGGGGCTACAACGTGGTCCAATGAAAACAAAGTGGACTCTGTCATAGTGGCAAGAAACAGAGAACTAAAAAATCTGGATGCTTTTGAAATGAACATATGAAAACCCACTTTTACAGTATTTTTGCATACTTGATATCAAGAGTATCAACTGATCAGCAAAATGTGACCTAAGCCAACCCAGTGATTTGCCTAGGTCTGAAAACACACAGTCTGTTCAGAATCTGCCCTTCACTGTTTCTTTTCGGAAACTTCTGCAAAGTCTCTTAAAGTAACCTAGGTGAGCTGTATGTGTAAACTCAAACAGCTGAGTTTTCCACATCAACTTCACCCCATATACTTCAGAATATCTCCTGCTAGCACTTAGGTATCATTGGGGGGTAAAGTCCAGGTGAGTGGTCAGCTTATGTGATCGTCCAGATAATTCCCTGCAAAGGTTAGGGTTAGGGTTACCTGCACATTGTTAATGCCTAACCTCACAGATGCTCCTTATCCTGCTTCAAAAATCTTGGGAAAAAAAGCTAACTCTAATGTGTCTGTGTAGGTTGTAAACTAAAGGCTGTCTGTCAGGTTCCAGCGGTGCAACCTGTTCAAGCTTCTCTGTTCCTGTGCTCAGATTTTTATGAAAATGAGTTGGATGTAAACTTTTAATCGCTGAACTTACAACTTTGTTTGATTCTCCACAGCGGTATTATAAGCAGAGACATGAGGCTATTCAAGACGCACTTTTATTCCTACATATCAGTCATACCAGGGGTAACTCCGCAGTGCATGATTTGCCTAGAAGTGTCAACCCGAGCTTGAAACCACAAACACTGTGCTTGTAACATACTGCCTTGCTAAAATGGTGTGCTATGCTTTTTCATTGCTGTCTGTCTTGGTGTTTATTTCCCTCAAGGCCACAATACCAAAGCCTTTTTGGGCTTAGCTGCAGACAGTAAAAATCATGTTGGCATAAATTATTATCACGTGATTCCATTCAACTTATGTATTTATGATTGCAACAATATAGACATTTGCTAGCTGCTAGTTCTGCTCATGTTAGCAAGTAAGCATCTTTTTGTCTTCTTTTTCTCCTGTTTCCGCTTCTTAGAATGAAACAATGAGAGTCACAGTAAATGCAAAAACTGTTTATAATCATTTGCAGTGAGAGGAATCGTGTTTGCCTTTTCTCGGAAGATTACAAAATAAGACATTAATTTTAATAGCTTGAAATTCCAATTAAAGGTTCATCATTTATTCAATTTAGAAATCTGTCAACCCTCAACAAGGATGCAATTTATGTCATTCAGCGTGCATAAATTTTTTCTATAGTCTTGATAATATTTTTGGAAAGGAAACTTTTTGGGCTGTTTTATTACATTTCTCTTAAGAGTGCTGCTCTTATGAAACTGTCTTCATTTGACTGCACTGTAACTTACAACAGGCTCGCCCGGTTTCTCGAGTTTAATGAATCAAACCTGTAAAACCAGTACGAAGAACCAGAGCAGAGGAAAAGGAAAGGGTTCATTGAACTTATTACCAAAGCCAAATCCAGTGAGTTTTGTAACTTGTCTTTGGATAATAATGTGAAGATTCACTATTAGATTGTAGCTAATGAGCAGCAAAAAGTGTTCTTATTAAAGTTAGACAACTATTAATTGTAATTACGGATTTGTTGAAACTGCAAAATATTGAATTATGAGAACTTTTTCAAAATATCAGAATCAGATCACAATCAACTTTTTCAGCCAGACATGAAGGTCATTTTATTTGATTTGATTTCTTAGAAAGAGACTTTAAGAAGTAAGTAAGGATTGTTACATAATAAGGTCAGGGCAAATGACCTGAAAATCCACTGGGGGCTTGTAGAGTGGCATTCTTCAAGAGGCCCAGATAAGGAGCTTTTTCTGCAGAACCTGTCAGTTTCACAGTTTATACATCTGTTCACACTGCTGGTACAGAGAAAGTTGAAGAGTAAAGAGCATCATTTATCAAATTAGTAGAAGTAATAAAAACAGTCAAGGTTGTTCTGAAAAGTAATCAATGCCAAAGGTAAGGTGTGTATCTGCAGAGAGTTTGATCTTCGTCTATATTTCTAAATTTTCTTAAAATTTTTGCCATCTTATATGCATCGATTATAAAGTGATGTGTAAATAATTCAGGGTTCCTACACAAATATGGCAAATATGGTCAAGTAGGGAATAAATCTGATCAATTTCCAGGTCTTAAAAAGTATGTAAAATGAAAAATAAAAAAGGGAAAAATATTTATATTTCCAGACGATTACCACAGTTCTAAAATATTTTCATAAATAATTCCTAAAAGTAGAATATGAAAAAGTATGTAAATTCTAAATGTGTAGGAACCCTGATAATTGGCATTTTTTCCAGTCCTGGTCCTGATAGAAATGTCTCTAAGTTTCAGCTGGTCTTTCTACAAGAAGCTTAAAGGCGACACTTTCCTGTATGTTGATGTCCTTCAAGACAAATGTAAAAGTAACAGAGTACCGTTTTAATGCATGTGTTTCTAAAAGTATTTCTAATTAAATCAGGAATCCTGACAACCTTATATAAAATATGGACTTTGTAAATGACCAAAATTCCAGTGAAATTTCAAACTATTTTTCAAGTGACAGACATCCTGTAGAGTGAAGGTCATTTACTAAAGCCATTAGAGGGAGTAAATGCACATGTTGAATGGAATTACATGTTAACCTTTATCAGGACTCTAATATTTGCTGTCTTGTCATCCCAGTAAAACAGTTCACAATGTTTTGCCGAAAGAAACTTCTTGTTCTGAAACCTCAATAACTCCTACTGATTCTCTCACCAGTGTTTGCTCATCCTTGTGCATGTTGTGGTTTGCAGTGCAATTATCGGTCGCTCAACAAAAGATTTCAAGACCTACTTGTACAGCTTTATCAAATTCATGCCACTTGTAAGTGTTTTCTTTTTTTTACTTCAATTTCATGTTTGTCAGCTTTTAAAAAAAACATTTTTGCTTCACAATATTCTTTAAGTGTCTCTTCTTTAACTTGTATATAGTTCAGTGTCTGCTAGTATTTCTGCCTGTGTAGACTGAAGTTCATAGTTATTTGAAATGAATATGAAAATGATTTAACATAGATGCACCATCATCCCTGTCTCCAACTGTTTGATGACTTATTTCAATGTATAGGAATATTTTTCTTAATCATTTCATGCACTAAAAACATTTGACACAATAACAGTTTTGATTAAATGTGAAATAAATCCATCACTCTTGTACAAATTTGAATTTTTATGTTACATTGTGAAATGTTTAGGCTTGCAATATTCTATTTTTTTATCATCAACAAATTTAAAAACTAAGATTAAAACTAAATGAATGTATATTTTAATACTTTTCAGTGACCATTTGTACTCAGTAAAACAAACCCTTCAAACAACCATAAAAATTGAATTTTTCTAGTATTTACATAAGCAGCAGGGTTATCCTTTTTTCCTATTTTTATTGCCTGCATTAATATTTTGTGCAGCAGAATAGTTTATACAAAAAATAGTGAAAATTCCCTTTTTGTTTGTTGATGATAAGCGAAAATAGACATGTGCATTTCTCTTGAAGTCATACTAATATTCTGCCATGTGCTTATTTCTGTCGTCCCTATTCTGTGCCTCTAATCCTAAAACAAAAAAAAAAACTAATAAACAAGAATCAGTTAGCTGATCCTGTGAGACTTCTTCTTTATAACTGTGATGTTCAACTTTTTTATTCCAGATAGCTTTGGTGAATAATTTCCTGAAGTTGGGTCTGAATGAGTTGAAGCTGCGGTTTCGAGAGAGGCTCACCAAAAGCTTGTATGACCAGTACCTGCAGTAAGTACAACAACAAAAACAACAACAAAAAAGCTGTCCCACCTTTATATGGTGCCATATAAAGGCAAACACCCTCTTATCCTTCCTGGTGTAAGCTCAGAAACCAGCTATCAGCTGAAACAGAGCGGTATGAGGGCCTAAGATCCTCTATTGGGACCTGTTCTCAGTCCAGGACTGCCCAGATTTGTTGGCATTACTCAAAGAACAGCAGCATTAACAGGTCTGACCCTGGTGTCTCATTCTCCTCTCAGATACATATAGAGATGTAGATGGGTGTAGGTTCACATGTGTACATACAACAAGTGTGAAAGAGTCTGGAGACACTGTGGTGAATGATATGTTGCCTACATTATCATCCAGCGTGGTGTGGATGTTCTTAGAGGGTTTTATAGATCAGCAGTTCCCTGACTTCTATGAGTTACCAGGAAAAGAGCAGTTGTAGATGTTTTGCTGGGGCGGTGGTCCCTGGGTTCCTCGAGATGTAGGACAGTTCCCTGTTTCAGGAGCTTATAAACCCCAATCCTGATGAAATCTTTCTTTGCTTGTTTTCGAATCTTAACCCTTTTTCTGTTTTTTTTTTTTTGGCCCACAGAGGTTTCACATACTACAAAATGGGAAACCTTGACAATCGGATAGCCAATGCAGATCAGCTTCTCACCCAGGATGTGGAGAAATTCTGCAACAGCGTGGTGGACCTTTACTCCAACCTCAGCAAGGTAACAGCGTTTGTTTGCTCCCACAGTCGTATTCTCAGCCCTGTAGCAAAGTGAATGAGAAACTGAGATTGGGTTGCTTTAAACACATGGATGAGGTATCAGTCTAACATTTAAGACTTCCTTACTGCTGTTTAGTTCGTTTGATTTAATTCACCCTTGTCCTAAAGACCTTCTCGAATCATCCTTGAATATCAATAATGAATCTTTCCCTTCTCTCTGTCTTGTAGCCTCTCTTGGATATCGGTCTATACATATTCAAACTGACAAGTGCCATTGGTGCGCAGGTGAGTAGATTATCTGAAGTCAGTGTGCTCTTTTTGTATAACTTGTTTTTTTTGTGTTTTTCCAACAGTGAAAAGGACTCTTCATCGAGTTTTAAACTTAAACAAGTCGAACTGTATCAAAGTTCAGATATGACATCCACTGTGTTCAAATCCCTACAGGGCCCAGCCATCATGATGGCCTACCTGTTGATCTCTGGTCTGTTCCTGACCAGACTAAGGAGGCCGATAGGTAAGATGACAGTCACAGAGCAGCGCTACGAGGGAGAGTACCGCTTCGTCAACTCACGCCTCATCACTAATAGGTAAAAACACATGAGCTCTAAATGCTGCCAGCGCTTTACTTCGAAGCTGTACTGATGTCTTTTTCCTCTCTACAGTGAAGAGATTGCCTTCTACAACGGTAACCTGAGGGAAAAACAGACTATTTATGCCACCTTCAAGAAGCTGGTAAGGAAGAGTTTTGCATTTTCAGACATGATATGAAATTGTTGTCATTCATTTTCTTGCTCTTGTAACCAGACTTTCTTGTATTGAGAAGAAAAGAGACAACGGCATATTTGACATTTTTCATTTAGCCTTGAAAAGTCTGTCATATTTCAGAGAGGTCAAGTGAATTTAGAAGAGTTGCTCAAATTCATCTGAATGTGGACGTCTTTGTTTTTGTCTTTCAGGTGGACCACTTGCATAACTTCATCTTTTTCCGCTTCTCCATGGGATTTGTGGACAGCATCATTGCAAAGTGTTAGTGAAAGCATGTTTATTTCCCACATTGACAGTATTCAGGTCAAATCTCAGTTTTTTTAAATGATACATAGTGGTGCCAAAAGCAAGTCATTACTTGAACAAACCCCCACATACTAATTTCAGGCATTAGTATTGAAATCAGTATTAATCCTCAATATCTATCCATCCATAAATTGTCTCTACTGCTTTATCTTAATATGAAAACTAATTATAAGATGATCAAGAAAATGTAGAAACAGAAGACGTTTTTAAAAAAGAAATTTATGCACCACACCAGTTACATACATTTTAAATAATGCAGGTCCTCATGAGGTACCAGGAGGCTGAAAAACAATGGTACATAGAGGTGTAAAGGAAATCTTATTCTGTGCCAGTTGGGGAATCCTGTATCACCATCAGATGGGTCCTCCTCACCTTGTGTTTGTATTTGCTTGTCCTTTGCAGACCTGGCCACAGTGGTGGGTTATCTGGTGGTTAGCCGTCCATTCCTAAACCTTTCGCATCCTAGGCACCTGCAAAGCTCGCACTCTGAGCTGCTAGAGGTCAGAGTTCACACAATGCACACAATCACACACATAAACACACAAACAAAGAAATTGGAGGGTGCACTCAAATGAGTCTGTCTGTACTATACTTGGGACATGTTTGCCCCCTAATGGAGAGGGAGCTGGCTGCAGACCTCTACTGAGAGGACCCAAGGTGACATTATTTCTTACGCGCTCCAGTTTGTTTGAAGTGGTCACCCCATTTTGTACTTTGTCTTTGTTGAACACATGAATACACAAAAATCATACTGACATTGTATACATAAAATTAGCCCCAAGAAAAAGATGATATTCATACGAGACAAAAAATGTACTTCCCGGTGTAATCGCTTTTCAGTTGAAAGGCTTTGAATCAACTTTGGATGAAAAAAAAAGAAACATGCTGCATCCGAACTGCCCGCTCGGATACTACATGCTACTGCTACGTGCTACTGCTAGATCCTACTCCTACATACTAAAAACGTTGGCCCAATTCGGACACACTAGACGAGCGGTGGGGAAAGACAACCCCCGCAGGCAGAGAGTAGGTACTGCGCCCGTGCAGACAGTGGTAACTGAAGCCCCTCATCTGCGGGCCTGGCTGTAGTACTGCAGCTGTGCAGTTTAATGATGGAATAAGTGAGCTTTACCTCCATGATGTCGCCACTTGCTCATAAAATGATTACTTGGGCAAATATGACACCATGACATGACAAAGAGATACAACCGCACATTTTTTAGGACAGTGTGTGAAGTTACATGAAACTTACATCTGTACTGCTGCGGTCCCGCCTGCTGCTGCTGCTGCTCCGACATGGTGCGCGCTGCTGTGGCCAGCCGGCGTTCGCGACACTTTTAAATAGGCAGAGCAGCTGGTGGCGCTAGCATCACATGCGCTTCGACAACTTTTAAGAGGACGAAGAAGAAGCCCGCGGTGCATTTTGGGTCAGTAGCATGCCCGTAGGATGCACCGAGACCAACCTACAATGTGGGCGTGTCTAGCATCTGAAGTAGTATCTGAAGTAGCATGCTACTCGCTCCGGTGGCCAATTCGGACATGCTAGATACTACTTCGACTACTACTTCGACTACTACTTGGCAATTCGGACGCAGCTTCTGACTCCTGGTATATTTGCTTTTATTTTGAAAGGCTTCAAACAACTTCCGGTCCATTCAGTAGAGGTCTGCAACTTGACTGTCTTGCTCTAATGAGCTCTTTAGTCCAGTTCATTCGGCCAGTGTAAATGGTCTGTAATTGGCATGGGCACAATCTTTGTACAGTGCAAGTGATCATTTCTGCTCTCACTCTCACACAACACGTCACAGCAACATATTGGTTCTTATAAGGGCGTAAATCTGATTAGTTGTTCAGAAGTCAGAATTCTGGAGTATTACCCATGACTGCCCCAAATTCAGTAAAGTTGAAGTCATGTTTCTTGTAGAGACAATTTAGAGAATGACAAATTTAAAATTTGACGAGTACAGAGACAGTGAACAACCCCTGAAAATCTGGATTTACATTATTGAACCCGTCACCTTCAATCATAGTGAAGTATTTGCCCCTTGCCATTAGTTTGTATGCAAATGTTTATGCTTTGTGAGCATGTGGGGCACATAGCCTAGTGGTCTAAGTGCGCCCCACTTATGCAGGCAGCCCAGGTTCAATTCTCCCCTGTGGCCTCTTTCCTGCATGTCATTCCCTGCTCTCTCCGCTGTTTCCTGCTTTATCCACTGTCTTTAACTGCCAATAAAGACCAAAACATCCCAAAGTTAAATATAAGAAAAAATTTGTTATAATCTTAATTGAAAAGGTTCAAAAGCACTTAGTAGCCTTTAAAAGTAGGCAATGCAGTGGTAATGCTACTATAGAATCAAAAGAAAACAAAAATTATTCCCTGCTTGTTACTTAAGTATTTAACTCTACAGTTTGCCTAAAAATGATCTGAAGTGATGTTTAAGAGTTGAGTGTTTTCACTGATGTGATCGGCTCCTTTGTGGACTGCAGGACTACTACCAGAGTGGGAGGATGCTCCTGAGAATGTCCCAGGCCCTTGGTCGGATTGTACTGGCTGGCAGGGAGATGAGCCGCCTCTCGGGGTGAGTGATGTAGAATAATAAAAAAAAAAGATGAATACTAACAATATAAACTAAAGAAACTAAAAAATCATAATCTGAATATTCTGATCTAGGCCATAAAGATTAGCTGATCTGAGTAATTCTGACTGAAAGATCTGGGTGCATCAGTCTGTGCCACCCTGGACCAGTAAAGAACCTACATGTACAAAAACCAGCAGGCATCGCAATTAAGTAGAATATCATGCAAAAATTCATCATGGGAAGAGTTATAATTCCTGCATTTACAACATTTGCCGCCCCCCCGCGCCTACACTGATTCAGCAGCCTTCAAGTCAGTCCCCTCTGACTCAGAACCAGATACAGATTAGATACAGAACCAAGCCTCCTACCTCTATCCCCGTTATCCCCTTTCAAATAAGCCAGAGCTTGGACCGTTTCCAAACAGGTCAGTTGTTAATGTGAAACCTTGACGTGTTTGTGTGTCTCAGATTCACAGCTCGAATCACTGAACTGATGAAAGTCCTGAAGGAGCTGAACGCTGGCAGATATGAACGCACCATGGTCTCTGTGCAGGAAAAAGGTACACGTGAATCATAAATGCAAAACAAGTTCAGTGATCATTTCTTATCAGGATAGCAACTGTGGGTCCAAACACTTCAAATGGTTTTGTATTTATTTTATTCATCGTAGAGTCCGACTCTGCAGAGAAACTCATTCTGGTGCCTGGAAGTGGTCAAATTACCAACAGAGATAACATCATCAAGTAGGTGCTTTTTTATTACTGCGATCAAATGTACTGAAGCACAATTTTTTTTCCGCTCTTTTCATCATGTCATCTTCACTTTGCAGATTTGACCACACTCCATTAGCGACCCCCAATGGAGACGTACTGATTAAAGACCTCACATTTGAGGTAAAGCTCTAATGGTTTCTGGTCATTTCTTGCTGGAGAGGCTGTCATAAACCTAACAAACGATCTAAGTAAATGCCGCAGAAGCCTCTCTTGGTCAAATATTCCAACATAGTTTTTGTTCTTGGCCCTCTGAAGGTGAAGTCTGGCACCAACGTTCTTGTGTGTGGACCAAACGGCTGTGGAAAGAGCTCTCTGTTCAGAGCTCTTGGAGAGGTGAGAAACCATTTGGCTGAGTGTGGATAACTTCAAACTAAAGTACTGTATGTGTGACGTACATGTGTTTATTTCTTTTGGTCGATCAAGTTGTTGACATTTTTGTTTTAAGCTGTGGCCTCTGTTCGGAGGACATCTGACAAAACCAGATCGGGGGAAGCTGTTCTACGTTCCACAGGTAAAAATCCTCCCTGGATCATGTTTTCTGTTTCAACTCAAACAAAAACAACAAAACCCCCTAGCTGTTTTCCACCTGCAACTTTGTTCACCCTCCTTAAAATTCAGACTCATTCAGACAAATTCAGATTCATTAAAGCTGATGTTAGACACCAAATCAAATAATTGTTTTTCATACAGAGACCCTACATGACTCTGGGATCCCTGAGGGATCAAGTCATTTACCCCGACACCTATGAACAACAGAGAAAGAAAGGCATCTCTGATCAGGTGGGACACATCATCCTAACACTTTATGCTGTCATATGTCATTGTGCTTGAGAGTTTCTTATACCTTATTTTGTTTCCAGGTGTTAAAGGATTACCTGGACAATGTTCAGTTAGGTCATATCCTAGAAAGAGAGGGCAGCTGGGACTCTGTCCAGGACTGGATGGATGTTCTCAGTGGAGGAGAGAAGCAGAGGATGGCTGTAAGGTTTCACTAACTCTTTTTACATCTTTCTAAAAATGAAAAACAGTTTGTGCTGATCAGTTTGATCTGTGTGTGTCTTTACTTAGATGGCCAGACTATTCTACCACAAGCCCCAGTTTGCCATTCTCGATGAGTGCACCAGTGCAGTGAGTGTTGATGTGGAGGATTTCATCTACAGCCACTGCAGAACGGTACAACCCCACTACACATCTGATTCACATCTTGAAGAAACTTCACAAAAACATTTCAGTGCATCTTTAGCAAACCTTATTTGGTGTCCAGGAAGAGTTGACTGACATTTTAATTTTACATTTCCTTTAAAGCAAAGTTTCATTTAGTGCTGAAACTGATGAACTTTATTTTATTTTTTTGTAAATATTCACTCTTTTGAATTTGATGCCCGCAACACGTCCCAAAAAAGTTGGGACAACTGTAGAGTAAGTTTCAACATTCAGCAAGACAACGCCAAGACACATTCTGCAGCTGTTACAACAGTGCAGCTTCAGAGTAAAAGATTGACAGTACTGGACTGGCCTGCCTGCAGTCCAGACCTGTCTACCACTGATAGTGTGTGTCGCATTTTGAAGCTCCAAATACCACAACAGAGACCCTGGACTGTTAAAGAACTGAAGTTGTCCATCAAGCAACAATTGGAATGATTTCACCACCAAAGCTTCAACAATTTGTGTCCTCAGTACCCAAACATGTATTGAGTGTTGTTAAAGAAGGGGATGTAACACAGCAGTTAATATGACCCTGCCACAGCTTTAAGGAAAGTTACAGACATTAAATTCAAAATAAGTGACATCAAAAATCTTTTTTTTTGTGTGTATCTAATTGAATATGGGTTGAAAAAGATTTTCAAATCATTGTATTTTGTTTTGTAATACAATGTATTTGTGCTTCTTTTTAATCTACAGGTCGGCATCACGTTGTTCACAGTGTCCCACAGAAAATCTCTCTGGAAGCACCACGAGGTAAAGACTAAATGCTGTCTTTATTGTGCAACTTTTCGGACAGTCTTACTTACTTACTGTTGTATCACTGAATTTGTTATTTTCACTATAATGCTTCTTTCCCTGAACAGGTTTAGAAGACTGAATTACAGTTAGAGAGAAAGATAATCTGCTCTAATTAAAGACATTATGAACCATTTAAATTAATCAGTTGCACACATGAAACCATTTGTGCTTTGTAAAAAATGCAATGTCTTCTTGGCTACAGTCAGTGAATAAGACCCTCATTTTGTGTAAAAAATGACCAATTATGGGTGTCTTAGAGAAATTGATATAAAGGCCTGCCTCTAATAAAAGCCTGCTTCATATAAAGGCCTGAAACCTTTGGCAGGTTTATATTTAAGGTTTACAAAAGGGATAGCTCAATATATTGTTTATTGTGAGTTTGTGATGTGTAAATATTATGTCCATCTGCTTTTTTTTTTCTCATGAAGTATTACCTCCACATGGACGGAAGAGGAAACTATGAGTTCAAACCCATCACCGAGGAAACCGTGGAGTTCGGCTCATAAGTGACTGCTGATGCCGGCCAGAAAAACACTGCTCTGATAAAAACCAGTCCTCTAATTCTTTGCACTCAAGTCAGAAGTTATAGCTAAAACTAGGAATTAACATTTTAATCATTTTTGAATCTGATACTTGTTTTCATTTTTTCACTACAATGTCCATTAATTTGTCGAGTGTGATTGTTCCAGTTGTATAAACCTCCTAATTTACATAGCCAATCTCTTTGTTTTGTTTTTCACGTCCAGATGATGTTTGAGTGAAAGCAAGACTATTCCAAACTTCATTACCTGTCCCTCCTTCGAGCAACATTGATACCTAACAAGTGTAACAAAAGTTTGACTACAGACTATATGTAGGTGCAGTGTTCATAGTGGCATAATGTTGCGCAATAAACCGTGCCCTGCACAATGAATAATACTGATGTATGTATGCATGCAGACGGATGTGCGCTCACACAGCTGACAGACGCTCTGGTAATTTATTCCAGTTATAAATTAGAAGTATTAAAACAGTTACAGTGAGTGTGCAACAGTTCAATTTGACTCTAAAGTTTTATCATGAAACCTTGATTCCTTGTTGCCTTAAGGTATCAAGCCTTTGTGGTTGAATTTGTCAGAAAAAAAACATGTTTTAATTGTGTTCTCTGCTGTCATTGTTATTAATGTAATGTCTCACCTTCTGTTTAAGACCACCTGATAACATAAGCTGCTCTGATGTGTCATGAAGTAAGAATATTTTTTTTTTGTCCACAAAAAAATCCTAACCAGAAGAATTTAATGACTTCCAGAAATCTTTAAATCTGTATCATGATAACTGGCTTTGAATCAAAAGTAAAAGACTTAACATTCACAACATTTGTTATCTTGAGATTGTACAAAGTGTGGGGGTACACACATCCCGAAAGTCTATTTACAGATTGAAACACTGCTTTTGTGATTAAAAGTTACTGGGAGCTTTTTATACGACGTGCGGATCCTCTCTTATTTCTAACTGGAGACATAATTGGACGAAGAACTCAATTATAACACTTGTTCACCGCTGACTAAAGCCTCTATATTACTTTGTGTGCTGTGCTGATTTTTTTAACAACTTCACTAAACATTCAGTACAAATGGAAGAGCATCATCAAAGTAAGTGTTAACTCTTTTTTAATGCAAATGACACAACTCCTGGTCCACAGTAATATGTTCATGTTTTCAAATCCTCTGCATCAGCTGTCAAAAGGCGACAAAGCTTAAATCAACCATGCGGCCATTACTGTGTCCACTAGATAATTTGGCATTTGGTGCTTAACACGCAAAGAAATATCCAAATTCATAATGCCATTGACTCATACATCACTGGCGCAAAATGCTGATTGAACTGGATGTGGAAGAGCAGGCGTATGAAGTCCCTGATGGCAATGAAGAGCTGAAAAAATCCCAGTGAAGCGCATACTTACATGTGGCTCGTACAACCCCTCCTTTAAGATACTGAAGTGAAACTTGTAAGCTAAAGCTTGTGTGTTACAAATATGTACTGTGGGACTAATATACAAGAACAAAGACACTTGAGCCTTGTTCTTCACATTTTTTGAACAGGTTTAAGAAAAAGAAACTGATAACAAAGCCTCTTCTAAAGCAAACCAGACCATCAGGAACAAGGTGGATTATGTCACCGTAGGAATTTTTAATCTTCAAAGCAGCTGTGAGGGCGGCAGGTGCACCCAGGTGATTGACAGCCGACTGAAGACACAGCTTTGTTTTCCTTTTTCCATGCTGAACACACACAATGAGCGATAGAGTTTTTTGTCAGAAGACAACAGAACAAGGTTTTGGTCTGAAAACACTACTTTTACATGTATGGGACAAAAGATAGAAACATCATCATTTTACCCACAGGAGGCGCCAACATTGGTGCAATCTTAAAGTTCGTTCCAGCAGCTGTAAAAGACAGTAAAGTAAATGACTCAAACATACTTTTACCTTGAGAAATGTTAATGCATCAAGACTTGAAGGATAAAAACTTAAAATACTTATAAACAAGAAAAAGCAACAGTGCACTGAGGTCTTATGTACCTTACAGTAGTTTGTTGTCGTGTTCGTTCAGGTACCTTGACTTGGTTAGTTTTTCTTGGAGGGGTCTATAACTTAATCAAAAATACACAAGTTAACCGAGGAGTTAACTGAGGAGTCCAGTGGTAGAGTTGATCCTCTCCCAGATCAGGGGTTCGATTCCAGGGCTGTCTGTGTGCCAAAGTGCCCTTGATCAAGACATTTGAATCGCTTGTGCTGGCTGTGCCAAGTGGTGTGAATGGAATCAGTCAAAAACTCATGGACTTGTGGGAACTGATAGTCTTGTTGTTTGACACCCAATGATTTAAGGCTGAGATCCCTATTGCAGTGGTTGCTGGCTCGAGTCCTGGTCTCATCCTTATGCTGCATTTCTGCCCACATGTAATGTATAAGCGCTTTCAACACTTAGAAGACTAGAAAGAGCGCAGTATAAACATACTCAATTTACCATTTACTGCGTTTTGTGTTGCAGCAGACAGAATTATCACTGGGTTGTGTAGAATGGTTTCATTGTTCACAAGATTAGCTTTGGGGTGGAACCTGGGGAAAACTGGTAACCTTGGAAACTCACTAGTAGAGTCACACGTAAACATCTTTCTCATTTGCGAACATCTATGAACCACACTTAGAAAGTACACACACACTCACAGACGTCTAACAACCTTTCCTCCTACCTCATATGTCTGGACAAACAGAGCAGGAGTACACCTGTGGACTCCTGCTCTGTTTGTCCACACACATAGATGTCTAACAATCTTTCTTCCTACTTCATATGTGTGGACAAACAGCGCAGGAGTACACCTGTGGCCTCCCAGTACTCCCTTTGGGCCTCCCCCTCACTCATTGTTTCCCAGAGACTCAGACTCCACCCCAGTTCTTGAAAGTTGAACACCTGTAGATTATAACTCATGGTCACTGTTCTTCAGATTTGAGCGGAGTGGGAATTAAACATTTTGTTGAAATGGGTTGTGCTATGTTGCTGCTCGTATGGATGGCTCCTGTGGTTTACTGCTTCAGCTCAGGTCAAGTTATAGACAGCTGTGAAAGTATGCAACCGTATCACTCTGGGATAACGGCACAGACAACGCCTCCACCATTTAATATCACTACGGATAACACCAGGTACACGCTTGGAGAGGAGGTGAAAGGTAAGGTTCAGGCTCGACTGGACTATTTATTTAATTTACATAACTATATGTATTGCAATTGCTTGTGGTGAGGACATACAGATCTGTTGAAAGTGTACTCAAGTGTTTTGTTTCCTTTTACAGTTCAACTCCAGGCTACAGCCTCGATACCATTCACTGGTTTCCTGTTACAGGCCCGAGAGGTGGGGGGGCAGTCTCCTTTGGGTACCTTCTCTCTGACAGGAGGATCGGCTCAGCACCTTTCCTGCAACCAGAAACTTGTGAGTTGACTTATATAAAGCATAGTTTGATGTCAGGCCTACAGCATTAAATCATAATTTAGTACTCAAGTTAACAGGAATACTCAACATCTGCCGCACATGGATTTATCGAACTTTAATACTGACATTCTGAATGTTTTGAGCATTTTATCACAGGTTGCAGATTTGACCTGCAACCTGTGATGCAACCTCTGAGCCCCCTCAAGCCTTTTCTTTTAACCTCAAGGCGTGTGTTTACAATGATATGGCCCAATGTAAAGCCTGGCAACAGCCCCTTAACACCATATTTTCCCTTTCCCCTTGAATAATGAACACCTGCCTCCCCTTGTCCATCTCCTTGGCAATGCTGTATGGCTCCTCTCTAGGGAGCTTTAGTTTCTATTTGTACAACATGTTGAAGTTACAGCAGTCTCCAATTGAGACAATTTTTTAGTTCCTGCAACTTCTGTTTTTATGATTGCTGCTTCGAGCACTGGGGATGTTAAGACCCTCTAGTAACTCACTGAGCATTTTTTAGGTTAATTGATGTCTTAATGTAGCTCAGATGGCTGCTCTAAAATCAGGCTACCACAGGTCTAAAAATGAAAGTTTTTTGCCTCAGCCACAGTAACTATTTAGATTTGGACAATAAATAACTTCATAATTTATTTTATAGAGCTGGACCATTTATCAGGTTTAAATTTCAATAACAATGATGGTTCCCCATAATCACATCAATCTGATTATGGAGACTGAACACTATTGTGCTTCCTGCTGCGACTCTGATTGGTGTACAATGACTCGTGCTGCTGTGGTGAGACTTTGCCTCAGCCACAGTAACTATTTAGATTTGGACAATAACTTCATAACTTATATTATAGAGCTGGACCATTTATCAGGTTTAAATTTCAATTACAATGATTGTTCCCCATAATCACATCAATCTGATTATGGAGACTGAACACTATTGCTGCGACTCTGATTGGTGTACAATGACGGTTGTAGGTGTGAGGAGGCAACAGATTTAGATATGGACCAGTGAACAGCAAACCATTGTTATTGTTTTCAAGGAAATGTTGCCACACCACTTACTTTCTTTGGGGGTGGTGTTAATCCATTTGTGGTGGAGTACCAAACGTGCAGATTTGTGGTCTTCAGTCTCTTTTTGAATGGAAGAGTCCAAAAATGTAAGGCTTTTGGACTGCAGCAAACCACACTGAGAGTTATAATCCACACATGGAGAAAACAATGAACAATGGTGAAACTTCCCTACCAAATTTCTCCAAGAGTGCACTGGTGACTCATCCAGGAGACAACAAAAGAACCCAGAGCAACATCTTTAAAACTGCAGGTCCCACTTGCCTCAGTTACAGTCAGTGTTCATGATTCAACACTTAGAAAGAGAGTGGGCAAAAATAGCGTCCAATGGAGACCAAGAACAATACAAAGGCTAGTCTCTCATTTGCCCAAAAAATCTTGATGATTTTCAAGACTTCTGGGAAAATATTCTGTGGACTGATGAGACAAAAGTTTGGAATGTGTGCATCCTGATACATCTGGAGAAAAAACTAACAGCATTTTAGGAAACATCATACTGACTGTCAAACATCCTGAACTTTTGAGACAGAAGACAGAATGACCTTGTTATTCCTCTCATCCCATCTCATGTGTTTATGTGTTTTTGGCTTGATGTAGAACTCAGCTGTATCCCACACGTCAGACTCTGTGAAGACCTCCATTCAGGTTACATGGAGACCAGATGTGCCAGCATTTGAAAAAACTATTCAGTTCTGGTAAAGTAGATTTTTTTTCCAACTTTCTTTTCCCCACTTTTCTTTTTCCAGGTGAAATTAGTGAGCGAAACTGGCAGATTATAGCATGTTTTCTCACTTTCTGTGTATCCGCAGTGCATCAGTTGTGCAGAACTACAGGTTATTCTGGGATGTTAAGAGTCCTCTCCTGACTGTTACCAATGACAGCACTGGTGGAACAACAAGTGACCCCACTGTACTGTTGGAAACCAGTCCCAGCACTTCAACAGCTGCAACGCTGACAACTCAAATACATCAACCTGCTGTGAGTAACACTGAAAAAAACAGTGAATCGAACTAAAACTGTCCTCTTTCCTGAACCAACAATACAGCTGTACCAAGTAGTGTTGCAACAGACCAGAATCTGATACTGACATTTGTGTATTTTTTCGTACCACAGACATTGCATCCTCTCTTGGGCATCCAAAATTGTGATTTTTTTATTTTTGACATCCAACCTGCTCACAAAGTTTAGAAAACATAACTGATTGGAATTGGTCTTTCAAACACATGTGCCTATTTGTGGAAAAAAGCTGAAAAAACCTGAACACAGCTGTAAAGATAATAATGAATCATACACAATCATTAAAAGTAATTCACTGCAAATCAATCAATCAGCGTATGGAACTCCCAAAAAGTTCTCAGAAGACTGATCTATTGAAGTATCTGGCAGCTCTGACTTCGCTGTCAGTGATGAGGGTGAAGTGAATTCCTCTGGTTACACCGACATGACAATGCAGCTTCTGTTCTCTGCAGGCCGGTGTCTCCAATAAGGACTGTGGCGTCAGCAAGGTGTGTTTCAGTCAGCCATCAAACTGTGACCCTACAGCCAGTGCTGACTGTTATTTCATGTCAGCCAGGATGTTGTTTCCAAGTGATGAAGAAGTCCGCTATGAGATGACGGGATCCTCAGACGGATACATCGCTTTTGGATTCTCAGATGATCAAATCATGGTAATGTGGCAATGATGTGCTTCACTCGATATGTTTTGTTAGTATTCATAAGAACAATATGGTAAAACTATTTCAGCATGATCAACCATAGCTCTTGACATGAAAAGACAAAGTTTTTAAAACTCTGCTTGAAAATGACCTCTTCCTTTGTATTATTCAGGGAAATGATGACATCTATATTTGTGGCATTGGGAGTAATGGTCTTGTGCAGTTGCAGCGTGCTTTTTCTACAGGAAGAACAGCTCCTCAGATTCTTCCTTTGGTACTGACTTTTTTGTGATACCTCTAATTTCAATGTATTTTTTTATTTATGAAGACTGAATATTAATGTTGAAATGTAATGTCTCTGTGTGGACTTAACACAATACTGAACCTATTTCTGCCCACAAGGGGAACGTTTCTGATGTAAGAGCATCAGTACAGGGCAGCATCATCAGCTGTTCTTTCACCTCAATGAACACACCGTCTACTGTGAGGACCACAGGGTTCAACAACTCCTACTATCTCATGTTCGTCTATGGACCCAGTAAAAATGGTAATGAAGACATTGTGTAATAAAGCAAAAGAGAGATGTTGTATGTTTAAGATCAGAGATGAAATTGAACAAGGATCACAGACCTTTTTGTGCAAAGAGGCACGGGCTTATAGATGTAGTAAGTGCTCAGAGTTGAAAAGCCTCCATAGAAACCTAGCATGACAGGAGTGTCTGCGGCTATCCACCCTGCTTGAGACAGGTCCAGAAAGAAAGCAGATGACCGAGAAGAAAGACAGCTCATTCACAAAAAGATAAATACTCTACAAAGGTGTACTCTACAGGCTTTTTGTGCAAAAACCATGGTGGAGTGGAAAAATGTCCTCAAAGGGAACCGCATCTATGTTGCAATTCTACATCAGACACAGTCAGAGAGTGCCAAGGTATACAAGAAAATGTAGCAAGTGTGATAGTTACAGACGGCGTATTGATCTCCATCCAGGATGCCCAATTGTGGGTCGACTTGTCAAGTTCCTCAGATCCTTTTGTCAAAAAACGTATTCGGAAATTAAAGTCTGTGTTTTCATGAATGAACCCAGTAATAGATCTTTGGCCTGTTCAGACTTCTTTGACCCCTTGAACATTAAAGGTCCCGCCATCTTCTCATACTTGCTCGAGACCTGCTTTTACAGGCAGAAACCCCGAGCAAAACCTAGATCATGTAAGACAGTCATCTGCCACCAAATATGACAAAACATTGAATTCACTTGTTAATTTTTTGAGTTTGAAGTTTAGCAATAAATTACGTGTTTCAGATTGAACAAAAAGTAGTAGTTTTTCAAGAAGCTGAGGCTAATGTCAAGAGACTAAACGTTACCCATTATTTTCTCTGACAAAACCACAAGCATCATTTCAAAGTAGGCCTTTGTTTAGCTCTGTCTTTTTTCTCTCTTCTACAGGACTAATCCAGCTCCATACATCAACCTTCATCAGCACTGAAAAGATAAGCATTTCAAAACCTATGCTTGTCGGAAAAGCGGGCTTGCCTCAGATCATCAAAGCACATGGTGAGTGGCATGAAATTACAAGTACAGCCACTGTGATATAACTTAAATAACAGTGGCTGTGGAAAAGGATAACAATGCTTGTCAGTAGTTTTGTCTATCACTTCTGCCAAAAAAAAATTGGCATTACATTTGCTGTAAATGGCAAAGCTTATGGTTTGGTGATGAAGCATTATCTAGAAGTTATACTTACCCTTTCATCAATAAACAACCCACTGGTTAAAATTTAAGAGTAACTGACAGAGTAATCAAGATGTGTTTGACATGCCAGACTCAGGTTGTACTCCTGAGAATAATTTTTATGTTGCAATTTCTTAAGTCATGAGAAGTGGAGGAGGTCAGAAAATCACAGATATTTCACAGAGGGAATAAAAACTGGAGCCAAAAACAGGACCAAGAGAAGTTTTTCAAATGTCCGCTAGAATAGCTGTGATGTTTTTTCAAACTTTCTGTCAAGGTCATGCAAAGGTGGACGTGAATTAAAATGGCTTCAGACATTTAACTATATAAACCAGAAATCTGCGAGCAAACTTAATACTCGCAGTAAAGAAATCATTGCTGTTTATGTCTGTAAAGTTTTTCATTTGGGATAACAAGCATGGAGTAAATCATAAAACCTCCTATGACATTCAATTGTTTCAGGAGCACTAATGCTAACAGCATGGATGTCCGTTGCAACACTGGGATTGGTGGTGGCCAGATATCGAAATGGTTTTGCCAATGGAAAGAAGCTATGGGGCAAAGATATCTGGTTTCTGGTGAGACTGAGCAATACAATAAACAGGTGTATTATATTTTTTTTACATGTAGGTCTGACCAGGTAGAAAGACACTTAAAAAATTATAATATAGGAATTATTTGAATACACAACTTTGAAGTAAACACACCACTTTAAAATATCATGTTGATAATTTGACAAAGACTTCCGTGTTCCCAGTAGCTTTTGTTCAACCTGAATAAGAAAATGAATTGCTGCTTTACATAAAGGGTTGAAGGGTAATTATTCCTTTAGTTTATGTTTTTTTTTTTTTAGATATTTCATTCACTTCGCAAAATATAAACTTTATATAGTAAAAGAAGCTAAGATCATATTAATTAGATTATATTTATTTGATTATATTTCCATCTATTTCAAGTTTTCCAAGCCTATTTCTATTGCACTCATCTGATGTTATCTGATATTGTTTGACTTGTTTCTTATCATATTGTACTGTTTGTTTTTCTTAAGGTCCATGCCTTTATGATGAGTCTGACCGTAACAGCTACAGCCATCGCCTTTATTCTTTCCTTCTCATACGTGAGGGCCTGGTCTGGGGTCAGTACCAAGCCTTACAGCGACTAATGATGCACTTTCCACTTACATTTGTAGCCTCTGTCTTTTGAAGCAGTCTGATTGTCACTGTAGGCTTTAAACAGAATAGTTTTTGCTCTTTTAAAATGATGAGAAAGAAGGTGGGTTCAACAATACTCTAGATCTCAAACAGTATCACAGTTCAACTGTCTACACTTGTCAAGTAAATATGATCTTCCAGTTTTTTATCTTGTTCATTATCATTTTTTTAAAATATTCTGTTATGTATCTACACAATAAATCTAGTTAATACCTCTCAAATTTGCTTTTGCTTTATGATGAAAACAAATTTGGGTAACACTTAACAATAACCATAACTTATAAGAGGTAAGCAGATAGTTTATTAATGTTTAATCATAATCTATAAATAGCATATAGACCATTGATAAATCGCAAACTTTACAATTTTAAAAACCTAACCCTAACCCTAACTTTATAATAACCATTTAAGTAATGTCTATAGGTGGTTTATAAACCACTTATTGATCATTTACAAAATATTACAAACATCAGTTGCAACTTTACAATCACTATCTAAGTAATGTTTATAGATGGTTTAAAAACCAAATATTTACCATTTACAAAGTGCTACTGACACACATTTTAATCTAGATGTTTTACAACCAACATTTAAACTTTATGTAAACCTTTAATAAATAGTCAATTAATAATGAATGAAAATTATTAATCATAATTTCATTGCTTGTTAATGGTAAAGTAACTATTAACTTACATTAATAAACTATTTGCCATTTTAATTGGTCTATATGCTGTTTTTAAATAAAGATTAAACATGAATAAACTATCTATTTACCATCTATAGATTATGGTGATTGTAAAGTGTTACCCAAATTTGTCCTTGAGACGGACAGAGGAATAAGCATCCTTGAAAACTGTGAGGCAATTGTTAATATCCCAGGTAAGACCTGTTATGCTGTAGATAGGGCCAGCCCAAACAACTTTGGTTACCTTGGCAAGATTTCATTAGCAGTGGCGCCCCCTGTAGACAGCTGGGGCCCTCAGCATTGCTTCGACTGCCTATGCCCCAGGCTGGCCCTGGCTGTGAGGTTGAAATCCCAAAGGAAGATGAGCAGATGTTCAGATGTTTTTCTCCATGTCTGTTATGTGATCAATCAAGTGATGCAACACCTCTGTTATGCAAACTTAAGGGAGGTAAACACTATCCAGAACTCCTACAGTCAAAGAAACAAGCTTTCTAATTTGAACTCTGATAACCATTTGCTTCAATAGAAGGGACTCATGTCAGTGACATAAAGGTAGGAGGGATAGAGACTTGTCAAAGTTTGATATCTTGCCATATTAGAGAAGGTTACTGTAATTACCTTTATCATGTCATTGTACTCTTCTCATGTTTATTTTTATCATTTTAAGAAAAAAAAATGCAGAGTTCTGGGTGAAACAGCTGTGTTACACAATAAACAGACATTCTGTGCTTTTTTTCAGGGGGCTCATCCTGTGTTAGGCTGCCTGGTTATGATCCTCTCATTCATTCAGATTTTGTTGGCTCTGGTACGCTGTGGACCTCAACATCCACTGTAAGTCACATCCATTCCTCTTAACTGTCTTTTTTCTGTGTTTATAAAGATTTTTAAGATAAACTAAAACAGTGTGTGGTTGGCTCCCTGACATCTTACCACTTCTAACATTATTTATCAAAGGTGCCTAACTGCCTATCAATCTTTATTTATTCAATGCCCATTCACAAGAAATGATATCTCAAAACACTTTAAGAACCTACCTACCCACCTACCTACATACCTACCTACTTACTACCTATGGTCTAAACCATACTCTTTGTTTTATCACTTACAAACATCAGGATAGGGTGAGACTAGTATGATAACACCAGCTCTCAGATAGACTGACATGACCCAAATGTTCTGAGCATGCTCCAGAGCTTGGATGCCAATTATGTTGATGCTCAGCTAAGAAGCCAAGTAGTGAGCAAAACTTTGACAAAAGACAAAAGGATGTAAAAACTAATGTAATGAATGAAAGCTCTTCAAAAAACCCCTAATGGCACTTGTAACGGTAATAAAAGTTTCTTACATTAATTTCATTTACTATTTAAAGGGATATTCCGGCGTAAAATTAAATAAGGGTCAAAAACACCAAAACACCAAGTTAGACACTCCCTCGAGAGATAAATGTTTAAGGCATCTTTCTACTACTGCTGTTATATTTAACGTGAGGTATGAGTAGATAATTTGATATTTTTGCTCATTTCTTTGACAGGAGATTTCTTTTTAACTGGACACATGCTTTGAATGGAGTGGGAATAAAAGCTTTATCTGGTAAGATCCGTCACACTTGGGGACACGATGGTCCGCTAATTTTGAGAAGTGCTGAAAAATGGATAAATTTTTTATTTGTTTTTTTTTTCCCCACCAACAAATTTTTTTCACTATTTATGTGTTTATGTGTGACTCCACACAGTGGCAGCCATACTGACAGGTTTTAGGTTGATTGACAACACTCCGGAGCAATGGCTGATGAAAGTAATGGGTGGGTTTGTTGGCTGGGAGGCTTTGTTCTACATCCTGCTGAGTGCCAATTTAAAATGGAAGGTTCACGGTAAAGGTAGGTCAACTTAAACTCTTTTTTTCCCCCACTGTACTCTGCATATCATGACAAAAAAAATACTAATGTTTTGTTATTGTTTTATGAAATTTCAATTTTGTAAGAGGCTGGCAACTGTGTACAACGTAAAACAACACAGAAATACATTTTAACTTTGAATTTGACCATAGTAATGCAAACTAAGCATTTTTTTCACCCTTCTTTTTAGATACTTCAGAGTCAAAGATGGTAAGAAATGAAACAAATGTTTAAAAAAGTGATCAAATGGAAAGGTAGTAATACTCTGCTTTTAAACATTAATTTTATTTGGTTTTGCAGACAACAGCTGACCTCCTGCTGCTTGCTCTGTTCCTCTCTGGGAGCATTGCCTTTTTGGTGTCACTGTTGGTTGGAATTGGGAAGTCATAAGAAGTCACCACCCAGAGAGGATATCTTTCATATATCAGGGAATTGCCTCTTTTATTATTATTTGCATTAGGCTGCAGTTTTTGGATGCAGTGCTAGAAAATTCTGTCTTAACGTCTAAATGTCTACAATAAAATAAAATGTGTTTGTTGCCTTAAACAAAAATGCCTCAGTAGTCTATTTTTCTACTCATGACATCTGTGCGATGGATTGAGTTTTTTAAAATCGTATTGCTCTCTCATTTTAATTTGAAACCGGACGCCCTTTTGACACAGGAAGCATGTTGGTTACATCGGCAGGGTTCATGGGTTTGAGAATGTCATGATGGTTAGCACAGACAACCATCATGTTGGTAATGTTATGATGGCTAACATTGTTGTGGACAACCATCATTACTCAGCATTTTCTCCAAGAGCTGGGTTCAGTGCCACATCGGCTACATTCACACTGTAGCCATTAATGCTTAATTGAGAATACTAATATGAGAAGATGGCAGGAAAAGGGAGTAAAATATGGTAGTTTTCCGACCAAAACAGTATACTTGACAGCTATGATCCGACTTTTACCCTTTGTAAACAAGTCCTGGTCCCAAACTGACCCAAAGGCACAACAGAACAACAGGGAAGTCTCACGTAGGGTGATGTTTATAGAGAACAGTTGTTGAAGTGAGTGTAGTTTAAATAGAAATGCAATTCATCCCAAGATTTTACCAAAATCTGCTATTTCTGAACTCCACCTCCAAACACAGTCACACACACCAGAGCAGGAAAATAATACCAGTATACTTCCTGGCCATTATATACACATTTCTTCCAATTCTGTCTTTGAGTGTGCTCATGAGCGTGGTCTGGACTCCAGGTTTGGGGTTCATGAAGTAAAGTATAAAGAGAAGAGTGATGCTAATCCTGCAACTCTCTACAGCTTTGCCAGAGTGATGCAATTTTACAAGAATTATGTCCACAAATCTACTCATGACATTTTACTATCAGTTTTAGTATGATAAGGCACTCAGTAAATTTATATGCGCTTGGAAAAATCAATTAGTCAGACTCAAACTGGACATGTTTGGCCAACTGAAATCGCAATTCTCATAGTTGGACTTTTTCTCTTACATGTATACAGCTCAGTTAGGCTGAAACTGGCCTAAGCGTTTTGTGCATGCCCCAGTGTTTGTATGCCAGGCTCTGAGTTGGTGGTTGAGCAGCATGGATGCATCGCTAGAAAGCCAGGTAGTAAACAAAATCCTGTCAAATGGCCCAGAGCTATAAGAGTGATATCTTGTAAGACTGTCCATTTAAAAAAACAGACACTCAAATAACTTTATTTCTGGAAATAGTGTAAAGTCTCTGTCAGAGGCTCCTCTTACCCTCTTCTTCAGACTGCAAGCTGACAGGATCATTCTGACAGCAGTTCAGCCTTCTGCTGAGTACAAACTCTCATACACTCAGCAGAAGGCTCACACAATTGAGTCAAATCTCACACTCTTACTCCAGACATGCCTCTTCTCACGCAAGTTTTAGGGATGAAAAACCACAGTATGTTGTGTGAATATTTTATCTTTTACATGTGATTCTAGACATACAGGGTGATGTGTGTTTCATTGTTGTTACTATAGCCTATTATTCCATGAATGACGGATAAAGAAAAATGTTTTTATCAATTCAATTTTTATGTCTAACTGCAAAACCAGTACATGCAACAAGTATAACCTCATTGTAGAAAAAAATTATCGAGACTTCATCCTGATGAGCTTCTGAGAGGCTGTGTTGCTGATCACTGCCACGTTCGTGTGCCCTGGATTCACACGGTCATCTGACATTCCGGTTAACCGTCATAACCGTCTTTACACCAGTATGGGAGTCACTTTTTTCCTTCCAGTGTATAAATTCACATATGTTTATCCCACCCTTTTAAAATTCACAGTGATGTGGCTTCTTGCAGCTATTGAAAACTCTAAACACCCTCAGAGCATTCAGATCGTTTGATGTGAACATTTATGTGTAGATTCACGAGTAAATGTCACTGGTGCTAAAAAACTACCCCAGATTCACTGACACTGCAGAAACCACTAGACATATAAGTTCATGAAAGCCAGTTGATCATGAAGTGACAGCATGCTCCTAATAGCCACAAATCAGCACAAATCTCTGCTCATGAATAGATCATGAATACTGTATAAGGAGGTGTAGACATGTGTTTTCTGTGACCTGACGAGTGGAGGAGAAAGAAAACAGTTCAGAGACAGAAAATGAAGGTATTTTGGATAAAGTGGAAATAAGGAAAATGCATTTCATTGTTTCCTGTATCACTCGCTTTCATTGTTGGTGCAGTCTGAGCCTCTCTTGGTTGTCAATCAAATGATACTTAGACCGAGAGGTTGCTGCAAGTCTGGTCTCTCTGTATAGTATGTAATTTTTTGTAATTTTTGCTAGTTTTTTGTCATATTTTTGTTGTTTTTTGTTGGCTGCTGATGGATATTTCTGCTGGGCGAAGAGTTTACTCAAGAGAAGGGCTCTTTCCATTGAGACAGAGCAAATATAGCAAATACACACACACACACACACACACACACACACACACACACACACACACACACACAGAGTATATAAACGTCAGACATGGTCATTTCTCGGTTCACATACGGATGAGAGGGTGGGGGAGTGGCTTTACTGTGGGAACATGTTCTATTCATCACAGACTGTTAAACTCATTGTGAGGTGAGGAGTGAATCACATGGATAATGTTTGCACACTGCGTTCAGCCATCCAACCAATTGGAAGGAATTCCAGCATGTCTGAAAAGTGAGGCGTGGTCCTGAAATAGGTAAAAATTCTCAATAAAATCAGAGTTATGGGTGGTGCAAGCGGAGTCAGGAGCGACTGGTGTGCCAGCTTTGCTTGTCAGGAAAACCGTTCTTCTTGTTATGATACCCATAAGTATCTATAAACATATAGGGTCCCTGAATGAACCTGAGGCAAAAGTATCAAATACTGCATGATGGTTAATTATTTTGTGTGCAGCTGGAAAGTTGCATTCATTACAGTTTAAATATGAGTTAGTGTAAGACCTACATGCTTATGTAACAAAGCCTGTGCACACAAAGGAGTCCATTTTCCGTTGCACATAGTGCTCTAATCTCAGAGGTCGGATATTTGCAGTGTGATCTGATCAACTATAGTGGCAAGAGCTTACAGCTTACATGTTAACAAGTAAAGAAGTGATTTAGGTCAGTCAGTCATAATTCAACTTGCATTAGCCTATATGCTTTACTGAGTTTTATGAGGTTTACAGGCTCAGTTACCAACAGCTGTATTAGCAAAAAGCTTTAAACCCCTATAAGATTTATGTCTGTAAACTGTGCCTCATTTGGAGATTTAATTTTACCCACTCAGAGGAGATTATGGGTGAAAAAGTTTTTGCATTAACTAAAGTAAAACAGCAAAGTCTTCACTTAGTATTATGTAGATTTTATAAAGCGCTATGGGTGATCTAAAACAGTGGTTCTCAAGTCCAGTCCTTGAGGCCCACTGTCCTGCATGTTTTGGATGTTTCCCTGCTCCAACACACCTGATTCAAATGATTAGCTCGTTATGAAGCCATTACAGAGCTTGATAACGAGCTGATCATTTGAATCAGGTGTGTTGGAGCAGGGAAACATGCAGGACAGTGGGCCTCGAGGACTGGACTTGAAAACCACTGATTTAAAGTGTGCATGTTTCTGTTTGGACAGCAGAGATGCTTTGATTTGACCACTGGATGGCAGCTGAGCACAAATGATGGAGCAGCAGCAGAAGTTTCAGAGACACCCCTGATTCAACCTTGCTTACAAAAGTTTAATCAAAGTCATGGTCCACTCTCCAGTTCTTAGATATGGTTTTTAATTTCTCCCTCCTGTGAGACTACAGCCCAGGTTTCCAAACCTAGTTCATCAATATTGTCTATCTGTTCAGAACAATTCTTATTACAACATGTCTAAAACAGTTCCTGACAAGGCTGTCATTTGATTAGCCCTCCTTAGACGATAGCCCAGTTTATAGCTAAATTCTCTGAAGGCAGCAAAAGCACAAAACTCAAGTAAAAATTGTGGCAAAAAGTGGCAAGAAGATTCAGGGTTCCTACGCGAGTATGGAAAGTATGGAAGTAATTTGACCGAATTCCTGGTCTTAAAAAGTATGCAAAATGAAAAATAAAGTATGGAAAAGTATTTAGGTTTCCAGACTATTACCAAAGTAAAAAAAAAAAAAAAAAAAAAGTTTTCCAAAATAGAAAAGTTTCCAAAATTAATTCCAAAAAGTAGGGTACAGAAAAGTAAGGAAATTCTAACACTGAAGAATAGATTATTAGATTGACGGTCATGGAAGTCAAAATTTCTTGTGGCAAAAATCACTGACAACAGGTGAACATAAACAACTGCGTCCAAATACTGAAGTATGGAGTTCCATATCTGAAGAGCTTTTGTGTCGAGGATTGAAGCACTTGTTGTCACTGCTAAATGTTTCCTATGATAATTCTCTACAAGTCTTCTGTGACAAGCTTGTGATTTGTTCCTATATAATTATAATTAAATAATGTAGTTCAAACTTACAGCCAGAGGCAGAATACTACATCCCCATTAGATTTACGACTGTGGCTGCGATTGAGAAATAATGAACTACTGATATACCAACAAGAATAACCTGCCCCGTCTTCAGTGAAGCAACTCAAGTCAGTTGCCAAAATTTTAAAATACATGAATGTGAAGATGAAAAGAAAACCACTTGAGCCAATTTCAAAACTTTTAATGGTTTTAATATCTGTTGTCTTTAACATCCAACATCTTTGACAAGTACAATGCAAGAAAGTGAAAAACCTAACCAGCTGCAGAGAAGCTGCTAATCAAGACTAGACAGACGGCAAGTAACTAAGGCACTGAGATAAATCGTACAAATATGGCTCAATGACCGAGCTATGGCCTTTAATAGTGCTGTAAATGTGTTAATATTTAAATACTTCAGAAAGGCACCTGAACTCAAAAACAAGGCTAATTTAATGATGAGATAATCAAAATACTAGCGCTTCAAAAGCTGGTTGATGACTGGGTAGAAAAAAAAGAAGGGAAAGAAAAATGTACATAAAAGTGACTGCAAATCTTGGACACACAGACGGCTTGTGTTAAACAAAAGTTCACTGCAAAAAAATATAATGCAGGTAAAAAAAAAAAAAAATTAAAGATGTCACAAATGTCCCTGTTTTTCTTCACAGTGTAGCAAAACAGAAATTGAATGACTGTCTTGCATAGGCAACTAGAGCCGTTCATTGATAACAATTTCCCCTTTTTAACAGCTCTGTCTTTGGAGTATGCAGGGGGATGGTGCTGGTGGTGGGAGTGAATTATCAGATTGATAGTTTTCAAACAGGTAGAAAAAAAAAAACATTTTTTATTTTATCCTGCAAAACCTCCGACAATTTACTGACAGGGCTCTTTTCACAACCTGCCTCACTGCGTCATTATTTGAGAAAAGAGTCAAGCTTTCTCTTGATGTTATCAAAGGAGTCCTGTCCCATGTAGTCTGCCTGACCTTGCTCCCATTTCTGCTTCCGTTCCTCTGAAGACAGCTGGGGTCCGAGCGAAGAGCTGCTTTCACCCTGGGATGTCAAGAGGACACAAAAGTCAAGCGCAGACAATGAAGATGTCGATTACACAACACTTTAACAACACTTATTGTTATGAAAGTTGTAGCCTTTTTAAATTAATGGCCACAGGCAAACACACACAGAAGCCGGGATTTAAGATGTAGAAGCTTAGTAGTACAAATCCAGCTGCCAAATCAGTTATTGGCTTCAAAGCTACACATATTTCACCATACCTGTTCACTCTCAAAATGGAGCATGTAACAGTACTGGATTTTATTGAGATGATCAGGGGAAAAAAGAAAAGAGGTAAATAATTCAGAATCAACCCTCTGAAAATGTGTATTAAGGCTGGGCGATAAACCGAAAATTTACCAATACTGAAATTTACGACAATAACCAACGTCATTTTGCCCATGTCAATATATAAATAGATGTGACTCCACCCCACCCAGTCCATAACAAAGAGGGAAAGCCAGGTGAGGAGATGGAGGACAGTTCAAAAGTTTTAGCGGCTGGAGTAGACGAAGTTAATGTGGGAGGGGTGAGCAGATTGTGTTATCGAGGCGAACTGCTTAATATATTGTGATGTTGATTTATCGCTCAGCCCTAATGTGTATGATCATCTAATGGAAGAGAGACCTGTGCTTACAGGACTACAGGCACACCAGGACTGCTTGTTCTTGCAGAGACAATACAGCCAACACAATCCTCCTTCTTTCTAATGAACTGGGCAACCTCTGTGCTGAGGACCAAACAAGGTCGGTAACATCACTCTTTGTGGAAAATGTGTCCATTTACCTCCACGCATCCGGAGTCGAAAGGCTGGTCTCCATATTGTTCCCTCAGCAGGGGAACCACCACGCTGGAGTACAGGGTCCACCAGTCCAGGAGGAAGGTGGGATGTGCGCTGGCCTCATGCACGCTGCCCGAAAACTGTCTGGCTTTTGGGTCAAATGTGTAACTCCATGGCTTGGTCTTTCCCAGGAAATGGACAACCTTAGCATTCCCACCGTATCTGAAATGAGAAATATCGTAAAGAAGAAAGACTGACAACTCTTAATTTAAGAAAGTGTGCGTATGAAGTAGTGCGAGTTTAAAGGGGTCACCTGATATGGGTTTTTCAAGGTCAATACCAATTATTAGATGTTCTTGAGACTGTAACAATATTTGGAAATTACAATCCCAGAATCTTGAATTTTATAAGCTTCAGCACAAAACTTTGCTCAAACACCTCCATTCATTCTTTCATTTTCTTCTGCATATCCGGGGTCGGGTACCTTTTGATACAAAGGGAGCACCACTCTTCTATCCAAAAACTTTCAACGCCAAATACAACAGTGAACAGGTGACCAGTTACATTTACAATGCAGTTATGGCTCAGCTTTTTGTCGTCTAGCCATTCAGACGGTGTTGTGGGTGCAGCATAAAGTAGGACAGACTGGACACTCAAGACGAACAGACACACAGGCAGCAGAGTCAAACACTCATTCAATTGATCAATTGATGACTGCGTAACAAAAGTATGAAGGGATTTAATGCTTCTTGTACAACAACAAAAAAAATGGTAAGACACAAAGTGGTGGTGAATAGTGAGAATCAAAATTAAGAAATGCAGTGTATATTTTGCCGTGACTTTATTTTGAAAAGACAAGTGTCGAAACAGTAATGCCAGGATTCCACCACATGCAGATCCGATCCGCTCCGGAATGGCAGGCGGATCAAAAATGCAAGCATACAGCGCCCACCGGATCCGATCCACTGCTGCAAGCGGCTGAGAAGCGCTTGCGATATTACCGACGTTTCTCACGAGACTGGACAAGATCTTGCATGTTTCCCCATGAGACATGGATTGAGAACGGCGGTGTATAGAAACACCCACATCCTAAAAACCTGGCCCCTCCCCCTTATCACGTGAAGAACAATTCAACGTATTGACTTCATTTTTTTTTTTTAATTAACCAGATATTTTACTTAGTAGCTGCATACAACTTCCACTGCCGCTTGTTCTGCACTGCACTGAATTGATACGTTGTGCTGTGGCATTACAAGCCTTGCATATCTGATCCGACCACCGGTGCAGATCGACAGCAGAGCTGGACGGCAGATGCATTGTGTGGAATCACGCACATTGATTATAATGCTTGCGTAATTGATCGGGGTTGCCGTTCCAGAGCGGCGCGCAGCCGTTCCTTATCCTGTGGAATTTGTCCGTAATAAGCACCAAAATACTCTCAGTTAATTTAGACTTATGGCACACTTTGGACCCAAACAGGAGCTCATACCAGAGATTTCTTCTGCAAAAAAGTTATATCTTAAACTTTGTTAATTTAGCACATGATGTATAGCAATAAATTGATTATGGAAAGTAAGTGACTAGGTATGCAAACCAGAATCCTGACAGGGTGAGGCAAGACCCTGGAATGAAGCAGAAGGGTCTTGTTTCACCCCTGGTCTCGTTCATAAATGCAGATAATAAAAGTAGTCCTCTGGATTTGGCGATTGGTAGAGCTTCCATGGCAAAACGTTTCTTATAATTGGCTATAAACTGATCATTTCTATTCATTTTCAGTCAAAACTTTCTCATTTCCATCAGTAATCCTAACAGACACAAAACAACAGCAGCTTTCGAAAGGTTGATTTGATGTGTGTGATCTGGTGTGATCTTTCATGGCATTGCTGTTGCTTTGTAGAAATGGTGTCCTACTGAGTGATTAGCAATGGGGATATTTTTGATAGATTTTTTTAAGAGCTTTTGTAACATACAGTCATAACATAACATGAATTCAGGACTACCTTTCTGCTGTAGGTGCGGGCTGGTTACCAGTTTCAAGGTAGGACAAGGTCATGGTTTCAAAATCACTCATATTTTCTGCTCTACGATCAAGAGCCGTCGAAGAGACAGAGAAACACGGTTGTTAGGACAGTTCTGTGTGTATCAATATTGAAATAATCAATGTTGGTTTCAAAACAACACACTTTAGAGCTGTAATTGTTTTACCTTGAAACCGTGACATTGCTGCTGAAGGTGATCATACTGTCAGTATCTCATACCCACCCATGCCTAGTAGTGGTACCTGATCAGCCTGCTTGTCTTGGACCCTTCACAGTACTTGAGACTTAATCACAAACCATGCCAACCACAACAGAAAGGGATATCTCTTCAGTCCTGGCAAACAGTATGTGTGCAAAAATAAGCCTGAGTCTGTCTCTGATGGGATTGTTTTTTGATGTTTGCCAAACCTCATAAACAACTGTTGCTGACAACTACTGACGAGTAAATAAGAGTTTATCACCCCGTCAACCTGATTTGGGTGCCAGGTTATTTCAAAGCTATGAGCTTGTTGATGAGCTTGTTTCTATGGTGAGGTGTGATTTGAATGCAGAGGGGCCTTGAGGCTAAGAAGAGGGGTCTTAAGACAGGGGGGCACAATGACCAGTGTGGGTAGGGAACAGAAAAGGTATATAAATAAACCTCGTCCATTCGAGGATTTGGTTTCAGCTGTTGAGAGCTCAGAGTGGATACCTAACGCAGCAAAGAGGCCTGCGGAGAGAGACTCCAGCAGGGCCGCCGGATTCTTATGGTTCATCTGATTCGTAACCTGATGTCATGTCATAATGCGACAAAACGTTCATGTGATCGAGGATCTGCTTACGACTTGGCCTTGTGTCTGTTAGCCAAGATTGAAGTCACATAGGAAGACTCTGCTGTGGAGTTAAACTTTTTAAATGCACACTAACTTTTGTGGTAGAAACACACCTTGTACTATTGTGTGGATGCTTCTGCTGACCCAATACTTACTGCTTGAACGCTGGAAGGTAGGTGTAGATGGCTATGCTGCTGAGGTTGTAGATGAATGGAAGGTGTTTGGTTATGTCAGCTGTTGCCCATGTGTTGAAGAAGCCGTTCAAAACACCTTGGTCACCTCCTGCGACACAAAAGGCGATATGAAGATTTAAATAAAACAGCACTCTCACAATATAAAGAACTAAAAATAAATCAGTGCATGCGGAGAGGACCATTTCTAAATACCCCGTAAAAGTTTTAAAGTTCACGTGCTGCTTCTTTTAAAAACTTCTTGACATTACATGATCTTCATTTCACTTTAGGTCTTCATTTGCATTACACACTGTGAGAAATTGTGATATGGTGGCGTGACAGCCAACTGAGCTTACGAAACGCTGCCTGCAAAATGCTTTGCCTGGTTCAGCTGGATGGTGTTCCTGAAAGACGAAAAGCTTAGCCAGCGTGCGGACAAATGATCGGCCCGCCTACGACAGCCAGATGAATTAGACTCTCTGCTTGGTCTGCGTTAGTCAGCAGTGTAGTGAGATTAGTGCAGACAAGATGAGGGAGAGATTCTCTCACACTCAGATTCACAGCCCAAGGCTACAGACGTTTCCTTCCTTCCAAATTGCTCCAGTTATTTGTAATTAAGTTCAGATTTATTCAGGAGCAGATCAGGTTCGCTCCCTTGGTTTTTAAAGCATTCAATATGAAGCCATGTATATGTGCACCGTGTGGGCCCACAGTAGCTGCACAGGGAGTAAAGGAGACATGATGTTCAGAACATGTATGTCACATGTGCATTACCGTGACACACAACTCTCACCAATGGCAACATTTCAAAAGATCTGAGTCGTACAAAGGTCCAGGGCTATATTTATATGCAGTATATAGGAGCGCAGGGTTCTTGTGACTAATTCCGCACAGTGGTAAAGATTCGTTCATCTTTAGATTTGACAATAAATTGGATTGACAGCTGGTTTCTCACTTACATACAATACTGATCTCTGTTCTGAGTCTAGATCTGCCCAGCAACTGAAGAAGCTGCAGTGCCTATAGGCTGTACAGTTACAGCCTGTTACCAGGAGTGCTTACATGTTGGCTAAACTGTTGCAGACTTAGTTTCAATCAAGATGAGATAGTCGAAGCCTTTTCCGAATGCAAGATTGTGTTGTCTTGCAGTTTACCAATCAACTGTTAAAATGAATAATGTTATGCTTAAGAGAGACTTAAAAGGTTTGCATAACCTTGAAGTCTTTAACATCTTGGCATCACAAATCATACCTGTGGCTTCTTGGTGCTGGTGTGAAAGACTGGGTACTGTATCCAGCTTTGTATTGACAATTTTCATTCATCAAAACTCCATTCCTGACCACTCTAATCTATATAATACAACTTGACAAGTAATGGAGAATGCTCTGTCCCCGTCTGGTTTAATGTAGGTTTGCAGATCTAAGTTGCCTCAGGATTCCCTTCATCTCAAATCGGGCATTGTGGTGGTGTGGCTGAAGTAAACACAGATCTGAGAGTTTGAGGTGAATTTGTGAAGTGGGTCAGAATAATTTCTAATGCACTACCACATCTGAATGATTCTTATCAAACTTTTCTCTCTCCATTGAATAAGTTTTCTGTCACATCACCAGTCAGCAGCTGATGAGCCAGACCACAGTATTTGACGCCACAAGCCCTTTGATCATTCATGCTGAATTGTTTAACCTTAGAGCCAAAAGGCTAGTTAAAGGACTGACACTGGTACGAGAGGAGTTGCTGGCCTTCAGAAGAACTTTCACATGGACTGTACAATCCATGAGACAGCAGACCGCTGCACTTTAAAACATCACACGTCAGCTGTTTATCCAAAGGCACAACCTCCATAGGCCTTCATGGTTTAATACGGGGCAGAGGATCTTCATTTTGAGGGGATGAGAGGAGCTCAGCAAGAATGTGCATCTAAACTTTGCCAGTTTGTCTTGGCAGCAGACGACAGTGGACTTGCGCATGGAGAGGGAACGCCTCTGGGTTCAAACACAGAATTCAATTTCTCGTCTTCCTCAGATTTTCTTCCAAAGTCGACCGTAAAATAGAGTGAAACAGAGTGCTGCACGTGTGCACTGTGTATGCCTTGAAGTAGAGTGGAAGAGAAATGCTAAAGGTCAGAGCAATTTAAACTCATGCCTCAGTGCACATGAAGGGAACATCCATGGCTATAAATACAGACAGCTTTATTCATTAGCATGCCATCCAGCTTTCAGGTTTAAGCATCACATTAAATATCGAATATAAATCTATTGAAAAATTGACACTCTCTTTGCTGTTAGTACACAGACAATTATCCGTCTGTGGATGCAGTTGTGATTGAAACACTCCAGCCAACAAACACTCTGGCAGCCAGAGACAGTCGGCTCTTAAAAGTCTTGGCTGCGAATAAGCGCACTAATTGGGTTTTCCAATGAACTCTTACTGACGGAATCTCTCACAATATCCCTCACAGAAGAGGAGCAGCCTGTCATTCACAAATGAAGAGGCTCGATGCCACTAACAAGCACAAACAACTCTTCAAAAGTTTTACTACAAGTTTTTTCTTGTGACACAATTATTTCCTATTTAAGTAAAATGTTTGAGGCCAAAAAAAAATGGAGAGGACAGTGGACTCATTCAGAGCCACACAATCTAAACGTGGTCCAAACTTGGTGCTAGTTTCAGAAATTAAAGGTTCTCTATATCAGTGGCTCTCAAGTCCAGTCCTGGAGGCCAACTGTCCTGCATGTTTTGGATGTTTCCCTGCTCCAGCACACCTGTTTCAAATAATTAGCTCGTTATTAAGCCATTACAGAGCTTGATAACGAGCTGATTATTTGAATCAGGTGTGTTGGAGCTTGGGCCTCGAGGACTGGACTTGAGAACCACTGCTCTATATGATTAGGATTGATATTCAGCTTTTTGCGCAATATCGCATGGCCTCAATGTAGTTAGCAACAAGTGCATGAAGTACAACACTTTGATCATGTAGTTACAGTAATTAAAGCCTTTTGAAAAAACAAAGAGTTATGATCTTGAGTCAGGATTATTTTGTAAAAACAGTAATTTTTTATGGCTTTATATTCAGTGTATATCTTAAAAAAAAGATAAATACAAGGAAATGAAGAAAAAAAAAAAAATTTAAACAAGGTGTTGCAATTACACCATTAGACCAGCAGAGTGTGGTGATCGTTTGTTGACACGATTGTAGCCACTCTCTTTGTTCAAATCTGGGCTATTGTCTTTGAACACTTCTGCTTACAGATAACCATCTTCATACTTTGACATAAAGTTTACTTTAAAATACACTTTGCATATCTACAGATAGAATTAATATAAGACAAGCAGTTCATACTGAATATCATTAACAAAGCTTATAATCAGTAAATGAAACACGTCAAGATAAAACAAAAAATCCACACTTTTTCTAAATTGTTGCTTGGTTTAAATGCACAAGAATCTGGTTGTGCTAAGTCATGTTTGAGATCTTCTATTAGTAATGAATTAAGCTTCGGCATGTCAAAAATGACACCACCCTGCAGGTATGCACCAATGTTCCTTTCAGCAGCTGATCTGAGCAGAGCTGATCCGTAAACCTGATCCGGAGCCAAGATGACGTCCGCTTTTCAGTTACAGTACGCCTCACTGGGAAGAGCTGCTGAATGTCAACCAGTGCCCTGTGCAAAACAGGGCCTCTCAAATGTTAACCCCCCCTGCTCCAGTAAAACCCCCTGAGAATAACTCAGCTGAGAGAGCTGGACCGTGTGTCACAGAAGGGCCTTGTGCCTGGGCCCTGGACTCGAAAAAGACTCTACTTTAAGGAAAAAGATAAACAAACTTGGTTTGACATCATGTTACGCAGAACTCGATGTTACCCAATGCAGGTCGAAGCCAAAATATTTGTTTAAGTCTGAAAAAAGATTGATGACATTATTAGTATGAGTTGGTAAACCGCTTGAAATCCTAAACATACCTTGTCTTCAGCTGTTTAGTATTTGGCAATGCAACGAGTAATGCTTGTTGGAGGTAGTTTAAAATGACACCAACAGGTGTTATCTAGAGCAACATAGGGAAATGAGTCGGAAATAGCTTCTGAAAAGAGATGCATAGCTGAGCTGAAGTACAAGGAAATAGGAGAAACATTCTGCATAGGCCATTAAGAGATGAAAACTAAGTATAATAGCTCACACTTAACCCTCATGCCCACTAATTAGTGAATACAATTTCATGTTTATTTAAAAAACATCATCTAACCATCTACATTTTTGATTCAATTAATGGGTTGTATCTTTCTCACTACCATTTATGTTTTTTATTTAACTTTTGGCAAACAGCAAAATAGCATAATTCCCATCAACAAACAATACTCAAAGGTTAAAGGTGCAGTGTGTAATATTTAGTAGAATTTCTTCCCCTGGTATAAAGTAGGGCCCTACTGATATGAATTTTTAGGGGCTGATGCCAATACCGATTATTACGGGGGGGGGGGGGGGATCTGATTACCGATTAATTGGCCGATTTTTAAATTTTTTTTTATTAAGTTATAATATATACACATACTGTAGATATCTACAGTATACTATAAACTGTAGATATACTGTAGGCTACTGCTCTCCACGACTATAGGAAGACCGACTGATCAAACTCGGACCAGTCTCAAACGGGCTAAAATTGGACAATTTAATCGGCTCGCTTATAAATTGGTCGGGCCCTAGTATAAAGTATATCATGTTCATAAGAATATTTAAATCAGTGGAAAAACCTGACTATAAAATCCTATGGTTTTCATTAATTTAGATTGGTCATTTTTTATCTGCATAAGGAGTAGATGAAGACTGTCTTCCACTGCCATGTTTCTGCTGTCACACAAAGTGAACGTGCTGGCAAAGGCCATATACATTTTTTGTATTCAGTGAGCTGCTGCCTGAAATGCTCCAGTTGAAAGAAAAAGAGGGTAGAGAGAGAGGGTGTTGTGCACAAACAGATTTGTATTAATTGTCATTATTGATGGTAAAAACTTGACAGATGGAAGATCATACTTCTCATGCATCACAGGGTCCTCTTGTCCTTGAAGGCCACTGTAGCTTGTAGAGCCTCACCAATGGGAGAGGTGAGCAAGAGGGTGTTTCTAGGATCAGACTGCTACATATTGCGAAATAAATATTCCTATTTCTACACACCTCAAGAGCCCTGAGTTAGGTCTTCAAGCTACTGTTTTAACTGAAATATTTTAGGACAAAACTACACAGATGTCATGTGCTCTGCAAGACTCACCATCAAAGCTGCCGTGTTCTGTACAATACTGAAGCAGTTTGCCGTATGTCTCATTAGAAGGACGAAAGACGAACACACCAGAGTTGAAGCAGTCAGGCCAACCAGGGTCAGGAGCAGCCGACAACTCTTCCCTTTCAAACAGCTCATCTATATTTGAGAGCACCTAGAACGCAGAAACAAACACACACATGTTCATGCAAGTACACTCTAAACATCTGGAATTTTTATTGCTCATTTGCTCTCACCAGTGTGTCTGCATCCATGAAAACACATTTGGAGTAATGTGTAAGCGTCCAGCAGTGGAGTTTGGTGAAGGTAACACCCAGGTCAGGCCTTTTCATCATCGCAAGGTGTGCCGTGTCGCCACTGTCCAGCACATTCACGACCCTAACCTCATCGTAGATCCTCTTCAGCACGCACCTGCAGATTCACAATAAAACCAATTGAATTAGCGCCAACGGTCCATGAGGTTAACAAGAACGGACAAGAATGTGTTAATCAGAAATGTTGCACTGCAGGGTGGTGGTTCATACTGGCAAGGCTCTGACACATGTGGACCAATCAGTGCCACCAGCTTCTTGGAAGTGTTGTGGTTGCGAAGGGACTTGCCCAAAACCATGGCTCCCCGGGCATAACTGTCGTTGGTGGCCAACGTCACAAAAGCCTGGTCTGTGGAGAAAGATGGATTGAAACTGAAAATAGTGGCACTCCTTGGTAGTGCTATTGATAACTAAAACATCAACAATATAGTCCAATTTAATTCTTTCTTGTCAGTGTGTAAACTGAGCAGCAACTTTATCATTTATTTTGAGAAAACTAAGACTTAAGTAACCAGAACTAGAGGCAAAGTCCTATTAAGGTGCATTTTATTTGCAGGAGGCGCCTTTCTGTACCACCACAGGAAAATCTCTCAGCAACCTGCCAAGTCATGTTTCTGAACAATGACTAGCCTGTGAGAGAACATATAAAGTGGGATGATGAAGTCAGCATGGCCACTGGGGAGGTTGTGAGACTGCAGCATGTGAGCCAACATTAATCCCACTTGGACTGTAAACTATTGGTACAGTGTTACCAAAAATGGAAAGCATTTGCCAGAAGGTGTAGTTTTTGTATACAATGCTAAAGGGCTGAAGTTTCCATAACTTTGGGCCATTCACTTAAAGTTGCCAGGAAAAGTTGCACCTTTTCACTGGCTCCAAGTGCCACACCCCCTTCCTCCTAAACCTCCCTTTCAATTGGTACATGGAGTGCTGCAGTCTCTCCGCACAACATGACACATAAATAAAAGGGAAAATACAGTAGTTCAGCCACAGTCCCCCATGTACAGTACATGCTGTACACAGGGGGCGTGAACCACAAATCGACATTCACACAGTTTCAAAAGACACGATTTAGGGACCTGAGAGAAATACATGCATAATGCTTGAGTTTTATGTAGCAGAGATGAATACACCCCTAATAAAATCAGATTTCATTCACTTACATACTTTAAAATGAGTAACATGAAATGGTTAGTCACGTGCAAACTTAAAGGATAGGTCAGACTGTCATGTATGACTGTCAAATGTAGTCATGTTTCAAATATGGCTGCCAACTTCATGCCTTTAAGTTATCTGGTGGTCTATGATGGACAGCTTCACACAGATGGAGACAGAATGTTCTTTTGCTCTGCCCACTTCAGGAGGCTGCACAAACATTCAAGCAAACAACAAAGACGGAGTGATACCAGCCTAAACGACTGTGTAGTCTCGTTTTACTTATATTTAAATGCAAGAAACTTCGCGAGACTTTGCACGCAACAACTTCACAGAAAACACGATATGGCTCCGAAGTGGGGTAAAAACTGCGCATTTGAAAGAGTTGAAGTGATAAAATGCTACATACCAGCCATGACTGAAGAAGATGAAGTCGGAGCTACTTTGTAGCCGTGACTTGAGCACACGGCAGCTTTGCGTGGAGCGAAGGACTGACTAAATACACAGAGGTGGATTTATACTAGTATGACAGTAGCAAGTCGCAGCGTCACGTGACTCGTCTCCACACACCCACCTGCTCCTAACACGAGATTCCACACCCCCTATTAGGTCAGGGGGTTCGTTTTTTACAGATTTACAAGAATTTCACGCAAAAGTAGAGACTGTACCCTGAAGTTACTTTAACTAAATGCTTCTTCCTTTGTTGTTAACTTTACGTTTTTTGTTACAACTTCAAGTGTAGTATCGACTCCAGACTTCGCTTGAGTCCGACACAATTGTACATTCTCCAGACAACATTCCTCAGCCGTGACCTTTCCAACAACTGCAATGCTAGCCCCCTTGTCTGGTGTCATTTTTCTTCGTGATGACAATGTAAAGATGGGTGATGATGCAGTGATGAAGTGCAGAGATTAAGAACATGGTGTTCCTAAATGTTTACTTTGAATTTTGGCGCCATCTGGTGGAATAAGAGCGAAACAGCTAAACCGTGCCAAGACAAACAGAGCCAGTTGTGTGGTGAAGCCCCCCTGGTCATCTTGTACTGTATTACACAACAGGGTATTATTTTTAGTGGTCTCTAAAGAGCTCTGGAGTTCATTCCCAGAGCAAGTGGTGGGATGTTACTTTTACAAATAAGACTTATTGTAGAGGGAGAGGGATTCTCATATTCTTGTTTTTTCTTCTTTTTGTAATACTAAAAAACAAAACAAGCAGGGTAAATAGCCCAAGCTTGAAGAAACAAACACATTTCAGTAATGATATAAAAACTTATTCCAGCAGCAGCAACATCAGTCACTGAAGTTTATTCTTTTACCTTCTGCTTCACAAATATGTGCCATGGCTTTTTGAACTCCCTGCTGCTCTTTGGCTCCTTTATTTTCTCTCCACTCGGACAGATGCTTGGCAGAACACAGACGCTGCCAAGGAGTACTCTGGGGTCGTCACGTACTGGGCTGCTGGCTGAATATCTTAAAAGGCTGATACCCCCCACCCACCCAGCCTCCACTGTTGGAAGAGTTCCAGTTTGACCATAGGGATAACCTAGGTTCAAACAGTACATAAATGGATATTTTTAATCTACTTTTACAAGAAGACACATCATCTAGTGTACATGTGTGTATGCAGAATTAGTTAAGGCAACACACTGTATGATTTTATTGTATTTTTTTATATCATAAAGGCAGCAGACAAGTTTTATGGCCTATTAGGGATACCCTGTAAAGTGTAATCATTATTTTATTCAGCCAATTTCACTGTTTTGTTGTGTATTATCATACAAATGATAAAGATTCACTCCATCAAACACTATATTATCATACACACATAAAAATGATTCAGCATGTGAGAATGGATCATTGATTTTATTGTTTGCACTCATCTTGACATTCTGTCAAGCACAGCAAGGAAACATGGCGGGTGGTGCCCGTATCCATGGTTACAGGCTGAAGATGGCTGAGCGATTGGAGGGGCTGGGGGCTGGTACAGAAAAGCCGAGTTGGCAGGGGTCCTAGCAGTTCAGCTCTTTAATAGAGGTTCTTCTGCACGTAGGCGGCGATGTACTTGACGGCCAGCATGGTCTCCTCGCATGTGGGCTTGATCTGAGACTCGGGCAGCAGGAAGCCGTAACGACCAGTGTCACGCAACTCGAAGGTGTAGGAATACTTCACTCCCAGGTCATAGGCCCAGTCGTCAGAGCCTCCAGCAGCAGGGTCTACGGGTGGAGAAGAGGAGGAGGATTATTCAGATTTTAAAATGTATGCTAAAAAATATGCCTATGACATGGAATGACATATTTTTAGACAAATACTGCCTTTAAAGGACCAATATGTCTATTTTTATAGAAAAAAGAGAAAGTTAAAGTCAATTCTGTCAGTCATTTTCAACCTCTTAAAAAGTGTGTGAATTCTGAACATGTATAACACATTATAGTAAGCAGGAAATAGACTTTTAAGCTTCCTTCTCAATAGAAACAAACCCACTTCAATATTGTAAGTACTTACAGATGGTGGTAGCACCAGGTCCACTGGTGTAGCGGGTACCATACAGACTACGCAGAGCAGAGGAAGCTCCCTCAGCAACCTCCATCTGAAGTATAGAAAAAAAGATATATTAAAGGAAAAATAAACAAAATTGTTCAAAGTATGAGTTAACAGCGTGTTAAAAGTACATTTTTAGATCCAGGGAGCATGTGTAAACTTCACAGCTATGTCTCAAGTTAGCAAATTTAATCTGCAGCAACCAAAAGCTAATGGTCACCCTAACCTAAGTGATTTTAACATCTGAGAGTTTTTGACTGAGTAATGGTGTGTTTCATTTCTTAGGAGCGTAAATTTAGATCTAAGTAAAAGCCTGAGTCATTATTTCTAAATTAAGTTGGTTGAAATGATGAAAATGTGTTTTCTGCAGTATAACATTTAACATCCATTGCACTTCAAATGCAGCATTTTTCCCTGATATTACAGAATATACTAAAGCTTTGGTGAGCTTCAAGAGGAAATGAAGTCTCTCAGAGAAATGCACAAACAGGAAATTATATTTCTGGTTGCACAGATGAGTTATGACAGATCCCTGGAGTTCTTTTGATGTGCAAAGTGTCAGAGGAGAGCTTAAATTACATGTGAGTAATAGAGAGGCAGAGACGTGTGATGTGCCTCAGTCAGTGTGAGAGCTGGAGCTGGGGTGTAAGTGTTAACTGTGCAGCCCTTGGACACCCCAGTGAGAGGTAAAAGAGCCATGAGAGTGAGGCATGTGAGCAGGGAGTAAATGATTTGCAGCAGCTAAGTGTGGGCTTTAGATAACAGACATAATGGGACTGGGATGATTTCTTGCTTAAGCTTTTGGAAACACCTTTGGAGATATATTTTATTATCAATTTATTCACTCTTTTAAAAAAGGACTTGTTGTGAATGTTGGACTTCAACGCTGCTTTTTAAAGATATGCAGTTTTTAAAAACATTTCATGGTCTGTACCTTAAAAAATCACTTCTATGGGTAGAAATCATTGTTAAATGGATAAAATAAATCTTTTTATCCATAATATTTGTCTGTTTGATATTAAATGGAAAGTCGGGTCGAGCCGTAATTGTTTTAGCTATTTCTAAAGCTTGTTATCTGTAATAAGCTGTATCAGTTTCTGCTTAATCTTAGACAAAAACATAAATATATATGGACAAGAAACATAAAAAAGTAGGAAAGGTAACTAAAGAAAGACAAAAATTGTCAATCTGTCCATTAGTCTACTGATAAGAATCATTAATTAGAGTCTCCTTCCTCACAGGAGGAAATTCCACCAAATATATCACAAGCCAAGCTGCTGCTTTCACACAGGAATTTTAGTGCAACAGGGCTCATTTCATATTTACTTAAATATGTTTACATTTTGCTCTTTGGTATTTTATTGTATTTTATCTATTGTATTATTTTTTATTTATTGTATTGTATTTTATTCTTGGCTTGGAATTGGACCTGGGTACTAATTTCGTACTACAGGCTGTCAAAGATGTGTTCCTTGAATCCCTTGAATCCTTGAACATTGTACTACCTTGTTCTATTTTGCAGTGATAAGTAAACAGCTTTGAGCCAAATAAAACAACAGTTAAATCAATCAAAATTAAAGTATTATAATCTGATGACTTAATCCATGTGTTTCCTCTACTCCTGCAAACACAAGGCAGCAGCACTATAGCGATATATGTGACACTGCCATGATGTATAATTATATAGTCAATGTGGCTGACTAAGCATGTTAATTTATATGGTAGCTGCACCCATGATGTAGCTCTGTATGTCAGATAATGCTGACTTACCAGCTCGCTGTGGTCAGCAGCCAGGGCGTAGGTGTAGGAGTAAGGGAAGAGCAGCAGCTGAGAGTAGGAGTGGATGGTGAGGTAAGCCTTGATGATAGACTTGTTCCTACGGATGAAGTCGGCGACATTCTTGACCTCGATCTCAGACTCGGGAGTGTAACCGCAGAAGGTGTCGCTGCAGGGGTTGGAGGAGGCTCCCATGGCTGAAATAAGAAAACATTAAAATAAATTAAGGTTAAATTAGATTATCTTTGTCCTTCCATTCTCCTCAATCTGCACTGTTTGTATGCAAGGTTGCTGTATTGTTGGGAAAATTAAAGAAAATGCAGCTACTAATAACCTGCTTCCTGACATGGAGATTAAAAATATGTTGATGTGTGCAAGTGTAATGTAGATTGCTTCCTTGTTACACTGCAGGCAGTGTAGAATTAAAGTTTTCTTATTGGTGTGACTTGTTTATATTCTTCTAAAAGTCATGCATCAGTCATTACAGCCAGGCAGCATACAATGACTATAGTGCCCCTTTGAGATCGAACAGTTTGTATTGTTGCACTTACAGCACCAGCCAGCGTCGAAGTTCCTGTTGGGATCAGCTCCAGTGCAGCTGGATCCAGACTTCCTAGAGCGTGTCTTCCTCCACATCCTGTTCTAAAGCCCCAAAGGACACGAAACAATTATGTCAGACAAATTATTTAGGATGAACAATAGTTTTACCAGTCCAAAATGAAACTTAAGGCACAGGGCTGTAACATACGCTCTTGTGGGTGTAGTCATAACCATCGATGTTAAAGACGGGCAGAACAAAGACGTCCATCTGGTTGAGCAGGCTGGTCATCTGAGAGTCGCTGCCATAGGTGGACAGAGCCTGAGGGAAGTTGGAGTAAAAACATTTCCGTTACTATCAATGCTAAAAGTAAGATCTTTAAACTTTTCTATATCCATTTAGATGTCTTCCTTACCTCCTTCACGAACCACTGGCAGAAAGCAGGAGAGATCCACTCTCTGGCATGGATACCACAGTCCAAGAAGATGGCAGGCTTGGTGGAGCTGGACTTCTTACCGAGCTGTGATTAATAATCCAAAACATCTATTAGATATGCTTGTATATTCTGTAAATCGAGGGACTAATATGGTAAATATTACTTGAAATACCTTCAGGACAGTCATGGGGCGTCCCTCGTAGGTGTTTCCAATCACCTGCTTGCTGATCAAATTGGCATTGGAGGAGGCAATAGAGGCGATCCAGGACTGGACCTGAAAATTGAAAGGGAAGTAGATGAGAATAGGACACAAAAGTCAAGTCCAAAAAGAGACAACTGAAGATCATTTGGCTCTTACTTTGTCCCAGCTGTTGTACTTGGTGTAGCTGTGGGCTCTGGGGGTGGGTCCATCATCGGCCTGGGCTTCAACGGCCTCCTGCAGATCCTCAATGAGGACCCTGAAGACGGATGAAAAGAGAAAGTGTTAAAGATGATTTTATTTCATGTGTTCTGACAAATTTTAAGTCTGTTTATTGCTTTTATTTTTAATCTTTGTCTTGTAACCTACTCATATTCGATGTCACCCTGCTGCAGGTAGGTGTACACCATATCCAGGTACTTGGCAGGCACATGGATGTCCACATCAATGTCAATGGTCACCAGCTCAGGGCTCTCGGGTTTCCAGAAGTCGACCTGCAGATGGCGCCAAAGTCAAACACTTGAACACGTTCAGATAGAACCCTACTACAACAACGAGCCTCTCTGTTGCCAAACTTTGTCGCACTGAAAGATAGTCTTATTTAGTCAGTGCACCAATTATAGACACCAATTATAGACAGTTTTTGATGAAATTGTCCTGGAAGTAAGGGTTTGATTAAACAAAATATTCAGATCTGAGAACAGATGCAGTAAGTTCATAGCAACACTACAGAGAAGAGCGTCCAAAGCAGCCCTTTTCACCATGACCACAGCAGTTCAACACCTGTAATGAGACTAACAAAAGTGTTACAGGTGGACTTTGTTTTTTTGTAAGTGTGGTGTACCTCAATGGTCTTGGCCAGGTCCTTAATGAGGTTCACATGCTCATCAATAGTGGGCCTCAGACGGAAGACTTTCTCTCTGGTGAGATAAAGGTAGGAGTAAAAAGTTTAACACTAACAAGCCTTTTTTCAGCAAAACCTTAGCATACTATAGCTATACTTTTTGGTGTTCGCTGACCTGTTCTGGGTCAATTCCACTATATATCCTTATTTTATAAAATAGGGTTGTTTAATGAAGTTGAAATTACTGCATACAAATGGTCTGTGAGAGGCCTAAGAGTACTTGTAAGTGTAAATGTTCGTGGAGCCTTTAAGAAGAGCAGTCTGCTATTCTGATCAAGGAAAAATGTTCAGAAATCTCCTTTATTAAAATGACTCTCACTTTTTGACATGGTTCACTCGTGGATCTGTATATTCAAATAGACGAACTTTCAATGAACAGTGTTACACTGAAGCAGGCACATAATCTAAGAGTTTACCTGTTATTTTCTGAGAAAAAAAAGGTCCTAAAATAACTAGCGAAAGAATAGAAGTCAAAGTGCAGTTTGTTCTTTTGATGGAGTCGGTGTTTTACTCAGTGTTACATCCTGAAAAGCACAACAATGTCTTAATTTTGTAGCATCTGTTACTTATGATTGTTAAAGATATGGTTTTCATTTTTAAAATTACTGGAGATTTACCCATCGAAGCGAGCCACATCACCAAGGGCAACAGCCACCAATCCAAAAAGCAGAAGGATCCTCATGTTGGCAGTGGGGTCTCTCTGGCTCTGCAACAGCACTTATAACCCCCGTCCTGCCTCCCATCCACCAATCCCTGTCTGCGATACATCATCATGCAATACATCATCCCAAAAAGATCCACTTCTGTGCACCTGTTATTTTCAGGAGTTACGTGGAGGCACAGAAGCTTGTGTGATGCAGAGTAAATGATTAACAGCTGAGAGAGGTGCAGAGAGAAATTTTGGTTCAAGGTTACTTGATTTTGATTCCTTATATCTTAGATTAGCAGTTGTTTCTCGATGTTTCTGAAACCAGTGACACATTTCCACTAGCCATGATGAATATTTGTCCCTTAAAGAAAGAAATGCAACCATTTACTGGAGATTTTTAATATGTTATTCATATTATCATTTATTTACAAACTGTACACTTAAAGAATAAGAAAAAAAATCTATCAACATACTTAAATATCACAAAACAACTACCAAAGACATTGACAATGATCGCACAACCTGGAGTGATTCATTTGTACAGCATGTTACGCTCAAAATTAGCAACAATTCAGCATTTTAATCTTATGCAAACACTTGAACATTTCACAAGAAGTACATATTTTTGACATCAGCACATACAGCATGCAGACGCTGGTCAAACATGGAATTTAATGTTGATATGAACTTACACCACATCTTTGCTACACAACCCAGTTGTTCCATCTGCTATTAAAGCATGTGTGGGAGGATTTGTTTTCCTGTTTTTTTTTTTAAGTTTTGGTATCTTAGCAGAGCACTTGATCACTGTTCCAACTGGTGAACGACCTGCTGAGCATACAGAGCGGTTATCACTGGACAATATATTACTGCACGCTGGAGACAAAATCCTGCAGAACATGCATTTCTTATATAAATAATGGGATAAGCTATGTGTAATTATGTATGGTATTCTTTTCCCCCCTCCGGCACAGCAGTACTCCATCATTACAGTAAATTCCTGTTTCTTTTTTCTTGTGTGACACTTCAACTTATTTCACAAGCAGAGGGAGATGCGTATGATTGCATGAATATGACAACCATTTGTGTGTGATAACAGTAAGCACTTCACAAGGTAGTTAAGATCTCTTAGGCTTTCTCACAGAGGCACATGAATATAACATTTCAACCATTCTGTTTGGTTCAGTGCTTGGTTATACAGTTGGGGTTTTAAAGCGTGGAATGTCTCTTATCCCCGGCTCTTTAACCACAGACAGGAAGAGCAGGGAGAGTAATTTGCTCCCCCTTTTCTTAATCACTTAACATCAGAGGAGGCTTTACTTTTCACTGTGAGACTTAAGGCCTCAGAGGCCCGGAAAGAGAAGGAGCTCATCTTGGAGCTGATGCTTGGGTGTTGTCCTGCCGCTCCTCTGCGTGAGCAGCGCAGCAGGCGCAGCAAGGTCTTACGAAAGTTGTCCCCAACAAAGCTATACACGATGGGGTTGACACAGCTGTTGAAGTAGGCAATGCAGATGGTGAAGGGCATGGCAGTGTCGATGATTTCTAGGATGGCGCAGTTCTCCCCCAGGATCAGCTGGGTGAGCACCTGCATTAAGTGGAACACCTGATGCGGCACCCAACATAGGAAGAAAGCCAGGACTGCTGCTGCAAGCATGCGCAGCACCTCATCATCACGGGAGCGGGAGCTCTTCTGAATGTGTCTCGCACCCAGCAGTGCTCGCCCGATGAGGCAGTAGCAGGTGATGATGATGATGAAGGGTATGAGGAAGCCCAGCAGGCTCTTCATGAGGCTGATGGCCAGCAGCAGCTCCTTTAACCTCATGGCATTTTGAGGATTGGGGTGCAGGATGCCGCACAACGTTGTGTTGAAGTTTGGGATGTCATGGACGTCTCTGGTCAGAGCTGTGGGCACACTGAGCAGAAAAGCAAAAAGCCAGATCACCACACAAGTGACACGAGCGTACACCACAGTGCGCAACCTGCGTGATCGCACAGGGTGGACGATGGCTAAGTAGCGGTCAATGCTGAGCGCAGTGAGGAAGAAGATGCTGGTGTAGAGGTTGAAAATCACCAGCCCTGCGCTGGCCTTGCACAGGAAACTTCCAAAGGGCCAGTAGTAGCCTGAAGCAGTGAATGTAGCCCACATGGGCAGCGTGATGAGGAAGGTGAGGTCAGAGATGGCCAGATTGAGCACAAAAATATTTGCCACTGTCTTGAGCTTCATGTAACAGTAGATGACAGCCACCACCAGGCTGTTTCCTACCATGCCAATGACAAAGATAAAGCCATAGACGATGGGCACCAGGGTGAAGATGAATTTGTGGTGTCCAGACAATCCACATGTCAGGTTTATCCCTTCTGTTGTTTCTGCTGTTGTGTTCTGCATTCTCTCTCTTTTGCAGTGCCAGTTCCTGGGACTTTTAATGCAGGGGGCCCTGTCGGCAGGGTGCGTCTGCGGTGACTGATACAGGCCTTGGGCGAGGGGCCTCAGCAAGTCCTATAAAAGAAAGACAACAAAAAAATGTCACAGGGAGTCTGGGGGGATGAGGCATCATTACCGCTGGCATGGCCCATAAACGCTAATCTACACAAGCACCCATGAAAGTGCTCACCCTCCACCAGCTTATTAAAGACCTGCTCATTAAAGCCATCCTGACGCTTTATGTTATTTCTGTAAAATAAGGAACCATAAAAAACAGATGTTGTATGTTATTCAATATTCCAAAAATGCCCTTTGAAACATCATTATTCAGACAGTCTGGCTCTCTGTGCTCTTTCAAACCGTCTCTGGGCTAATGAACGGCAACAGTAAAACTGTACAGTGTTCATCAAATGGTCTGTCCATCTGGGTGGACTGTCAGCACCCGGAAGGAGAACGTTTATGCTTCATGTTACGACCCGTGTTAATGAAGACTGCATGGCAAAGTGTGAGCTCGGATAACAAGTCCATTAAACACAGAGGTAGTGAGGGAGAGAGTGAAGGAGAGGAGGCTCAGACTCCAGTCCCTGTAAAAGACATGTCACGTTTCAAACCCTCGGTGTGCAGAGATACATTGTACCCAGCATGAGAACTTCTAATCAGCACACACCTAAACAAACAGGACAGCAGGGATTCAGCTCTGTGGAAACTTTGCTCTGTGAGAAAATCAAACCTGCGTGCGGGGGAAAATGTGCCTCAGGGCGAGTTTTTTTGCTTCATTTGTGAGCAGAATGTGAAATGGGAATAAAAAAACAAATTCTCCTCCTTGTTGGAGGTCTTTATGTTTTATAGGATAGCTTAGTGAGCGTAATTAGTGGGGCTGATGCAATAATATTAGGACAAACCTGATGTATAGTGTTACTTTCGCTAAAGATAGTTTCCATTACTGACTGCTGAAAGAGAGCTTGTATGCTTTCAAAACCGCTTAAAGAAAAACAGGCTCTAAAATCAAAACCTCAAAGTAGGAAAATAGCCAATTTATTATAAATCATTATGTAAAGCAACTAACAATGTGACCTGCATAAGTCGCTTTAACTGAATAATTGCAGTTGTTAAATATCAGTTGGACATAAATGGCTAGCTGATATTTTGCCACAAGATGGCATTCTAGCTTCAAAATTTTACTCTTTCAATTTCACAACCAACATAGTACAATAATACAACTATGGAGGACTTTCAGTAGAGGAAATTGATTTTCTTTACCAAAGCTAGACCAAATTTTTGAATTTATTGAAAAATAAATAAAAAGATGCCTTTTAAAAGTTTAGAAATCCAGCCGCTACTAAACACAGCAAAGACAAGTCTTAACTCCCTGCATTCCTCCTGCCTCTGGTTGGTATTAAGACAGTCTGAGTCCTTCCTAGAAAGGTATTTTATCTCCCAGTCAAAGATCCCCTCCTTTTCAACCAGGTTTGGTTTGGTGAATTCCATGAAAACACTCCAGCGCACTGAAGCAACAAGCGTATCGGTTGCAGATGTGTGGAAGATGTGTGGGTGCCAAGGGCAACAGAATAATGAAATATCTCTGAGAGTTTCCTGCACAGGCAGTAGTGTAGAAGGTAAGGAAAACAAGCACAAACACAGATGTCACTGCCTGGATTTACTGTTCATGTGGTTTGACTCTTTAATGGCTAAAACAGTGGGTGGCTGTAAATTGAAACTACGCAAAAGAGAGCGTCAGGACATATCAGTTTCATGGTGGAGGGATTTAAAGCTGTTCAAAAAGATCTCTACAAGAAGATTTCTAATGACCACAAGTGGAAAACCTGGAGGGAAGTGACACCACAGGTCTTTTATCACTACCATAGTGGAGAACCATCAGTACTTTTCCATGATTGGGATGCTCAAGGCAAGGAGACGTTGGTGGGGAGTGAATCTAAACAAAGCTAATAGTTACTGCTACATATATGTAAGTGAGCCCTACAATAAAGGTGAGGTGGCGACTTGGAAGCAGGTGAATTAGTGCTGCTGTGTCCAGCAAGTTACAGCTCTAAGTGAGATTGCACATTGCTGAATGACGGTCATAAACCCTGGGTGACCACAGACAGGAAGGCAAACACCTACTTCACAAGGTCACCAGAGGAAGCCGCATCCTCCCGGACATCACAACAGACCTGCGCTGTTTGCAAACACTCGCAATGAATGATAAAATCGAGGTTAGGAGAGATGTAAGGGTCTTTTTTTTTTCTCCTTGTTGCAGAAGATGACTCCGAAATGGCACTGTAGTAGCCACATTCCACTACTAATCCAATTTCAAGGTATTTAAATGGAGCCTCTTTCTAGGATGATGGGAATTTCTCATAAGTTAAACCCTAAAAAAAAAAACCCTCACTGCTAGATGGAGCAGTGGGTCTCACCAACGCAGATATCTGAGTCCGCCCTCGGCTTGAGCACCGGGCCGCTCTGACATGAGCACCACCATATGGCTGCTCATACAGAGAGGCCAGTAAAATGTCTGCTTGATGGAGTTAATGATTTATTACCAGGCCATTATGAAGTGAGGTTCAGCTTACCAGGAACACACCTCCTCAGACACCAACCCTCTTGATCACCCGCTCATTTAGGCTTTGTTTCAGGCCGACAGAGTGTTCTGCTACATCAGCTGCATCCTGTATCTTCTAACAGGTTACGGGAATACTAATTTAACGCCATTCTTAACACAGCTTATATTGCAGCAGGATAATACGGGTGTCATTTACACAAGCCACAACCTCCTACAAATCACTTCTCCCTCTGTCCCAATTTACATTCAGTTGAAAAACTTTTGAAGTAAGAAACCTGACTGAGAGTAAATGTCAGTGACTCCAATAAAACAGTGCCAGGTATGAAAGTAAATCAAAGCAAACGTAGGTACTTTGAATTCAGTCAGAATAGGAGAATTGCCTTGATAGCGGTTGATACTTACATGATTTTATAACACCTTAATAAGTTATACAAATGAGGAGAGTTATGAGGTTTTGCCAGATGGTTTGAACTTAATAAGCTGTCATTTAGTTTTCAAAAGTCCAATTTCATAATATTTGCAGGAAGAGGCAGGAAGTTCCAGAAAGATTATGTAAGAGCCAGAAGGGGGAAACGAACCCCAGGCCTCTCTTATTCAATTCTCATGGCATACTGTGGATGAAAGGTTAAAAAGGAAACAAAAAGTCACTAGAATTTATCATTAAACTTTGAAGTTTTATAAATATGTTTTGGTTATTGACTTAACATTATTTTATGTTTTACTCCTATTTGATTTACGCTAATATTGTTCTGGCAAATATCCCTCCAACATTCTGAAACTTTTTTGTTGTAGAAGTTTGTGAGATCCCTGAAATGGGCCAGTTGGTCTTTCATTTTTGATAAGCTCTAGTGCAAAAAAAAGTTAAGATTAAATCAAATAGGAATGAGACAAAATATCAACACAACACCTTCTCTTTTTGACATCTATAGTGCCATAATCACATCACAACTACATTCTTGTCTCATTTCATTTCTTCTCATATCGTATTGTTTCTTCTTGTCTCTTGTCAACTTGTCTCGTCTCAATTTGTCTTGTTTAGCATTGTCTCGTATCGTATTGTTTCATATCATATTGTCTCGTATTGTATTGTCTCATATTGTATAATATCGTATCATATTGTCTTGTACCGTCTTGTCTCGTATTGTCTTGTATCGTCTTGTATTGTATTGTATTATATCGTATCATCTCATCTGGTTTTGTCTCTAATCACATTGTCCCGTATTGTATCATACTGTACTGTCTCGTCACGTATCGTATTGTATTGTCTTGTATTGTATCGTCTTGTCTCGTATTATCTCATACAGTCATGTTTTGTCTCATATCGTCTTGTATTGTATCATTTTGAATCACAACATCTCATCTGGTCTTGTCTCTGACTGTATCGTCACATATCATATTGTCCCGTCACAGAACATTTTGTCTTGTATTGGATTGTCTTGTCACGTGTTATCTCGTACCATCCCTTTTTGTCTCGTGTCATCTTGTATTGTATTTTTTTGTATCATATCATCTTATATCGTCTCATCTTGTCTTGTATCTTGTATCGTCTCGTATTGTACTGTACCGTACCGTACCATCTCATCACGTATCGTACTGTATTGTTTTGTCTCATCTCATCCTGTATCGTCTTGTATCGTATCATGTGGCATCAAATCAGCTCATATTGAATCTACACTTTTACATCATCATCACAGGTCACATATCACACAGTATTATATCTTATAGTATCATGTCATATCTCATTGCAACTTATTGTATTGTCTCATGTGAAATTGTGTCATATTATTTCATATTATGTTCTATTGTATAGCGCTGTATCATTTGGTATCACAGTATTGTACTGTTTCATACTGGGTCAGATCAGTTTGTATCCTATTGTCAGTTAACCCTTATTCCAACTACTATAATATACTATATGAAGGTCTAATCAGAGCAGAAAACATAAAAGATTCAGACTCTGTGTAAGAAATCGACACAGTCCAGAAGCATCTGGTTACTTTTAATTCTGGAACTATTGGCAACAGGAACCATGTCTGCTCCACTATTGTTTATAAAACTGCTCTTTCAAGGGAATTACACAATTAAACACTTAACCTAGCCCTCAAAGCTTCCTTTCACGTCCTGAACTGAATAATGCCCAAGAGGCCACAAGCATTTCTGAGTGCCAAAAGAAACTCTAAATTTTCTCTGCAACTTACCCTCAATCATTATGGCACCTTCTGGGACGATAATATGACAATATGAAGCTCTAGGTTCGAGTATGTTTCTGAGCTGTGATCACTCAGTTTCTGTGGTTTTACCATTTTTTTCCTGCTACCTCGACCTAAATTTCAACAGTCACTTTTCCCACCTTCTTCACTCTCTGTTCTTCGTCATCTAGCCCTCTTTTGCTTGTTTTAGGATTAGTTTCTTCATTACGGTGGATTTTTAGCAAGTGCAAGGCCACTGTTTATCAAGAAGCGGATCAAATTCTACTCAGTGATACGAGACAATGTAAACTTCATACTTCTCTGCGTATAGCTTACATAATGCAGCTATGAATCCCCCCCCTCCCCATGCGTACTGCAGAGCCACTGTAGTTATATGTGCACACTCAGGACTTTCACATGAACAATTTCAGCAACAGGTAGCAGCCATCAAGTCAGTGGATACATTTACGACAATGTGTGGAAGTGTAGGCCAATGTACAGACTGTAACAATTGGAGGGACGAGATACAGAAAACTACCATATGCTGCAGTCAGAAAATAATACATACACAAAAAAACAGCTTTTAAGAATAATTACAGAAAATCAAACGTAGAGATTTTAGGTACTCAACTGCAAAATATAAGTTTTCTAAACATGGTAAAAGAGCTTTCGGGGAATGAGGAAATGTGAACTCTTACCTGTGCTGTTGAACCAGAGGGCTGCTGATGCTCCCAAAGCTGGACAGACAGAGAGAAGAAGAGAGACCACCACAGTGTGCCACTGGCTGCCTCTGATTTAACTTAACTGGCGGAGCGAGACGAGCAGGAATACCGTCTGACACACAAACACACCCCCACCCATCTCCCCCCTTAACTCTCTCTCTTACACACACACACACACACTCCAATAATGAATGAATTATACTGGGGCCAGGCGGCTACGTATTGTCCCAACCCATCTCCCCAGCAGTGTGCATACACACAAACAAACACACGCACTTGAGATCTTACACAATAGCACATCTACCCCTCCTTTCCCTCATACTCCCCAAGCACCATCCCTTTCCCCTCTCACTTAATGTCTACTTTTAGTAACTCACTTTCTTTTACATTTAAAGTTATTGCTGTTTCGACACGTGGAGCTGATTAGAGTGGGACACTCTGGCCTGTCGCACCATCTTTTAAGAGTGTTCAAGTAGAGACGTAAACAATTGCATGCACATAATTTAGGGTACTTTTTATCTCAACCACTTCTCTCATCATTTTATGTCTTCAGATAGTCTTCTGTTAGCTTCTGCATATCATGAAAGCAGCAGCCAGACTGATTGTGAGTGGACCTGTCCACACACTGTATTAATAGCAGCCACAAGCGTGCCCTTGGCTCGGATCAGGGTGTATCAAGAGCTGATATGCTGGGAGAGAGGGGTAAAACTTCCAGGGTGGAGTCTGAGAGCAGGGTTTGTGTTTTTCTTTCTCCAGTTGTTGGGCTTCCCTATGTGATTCAGCCGTCACTCAGTCAGTCGTCAGATTTTGTGGATGTATTTTTGGGAGTGTGTGAATGTTTGTGTCACGCTGGCATCAAGACCGACAACTCCCTGTATCCTGGCTGGCTTTGTCAAGGCTATTCTAGTCTGGTTGAGGCACTACTCAAAGAATGTGACAAGTAAAATTGTACCAAAAAGAGTAATTTGCCGTTTGATTTGGAGGAATCTGAAGCCTGGTTTTAAAGGTAATAAATGGATTTCTATTTTTAGCAAACTTCCATTAGACACACCTTTGTTGTAAAGATATTTGTCTTTTCACTAGTCTTTTCTGTCTCCGGGTCTTGACAGGTGTTGAGAAGTGGGTCACATCCTCACCTCTCTGCCTTAGTTCGAAGCTGCTATCACAACTGTCATAGAGATGGATAATGATGGATGATGGCTGTCGTGCCCTAAATCCCCCCCAGTTTCAGTGTCGTCGGCGTTGATGGTGAAGAAAGCTATCACCTGGGTTAAAGACAAACAAGGAAAGAAAGGAAAAACAAACACTCCGGGCTGAGTGGAGGTCCTGTTTGGTGGCTTTTGCTCACTTGTGCATGGCCTGGTCTTCAGAGAAAGATCACATTTACAAAGCTTTCTAAATCTCAGCAGTCTCACAGAGTTTAAAGGCAACAGGTACAAAGATCTGGAAAACTTTTGTAAATATGACACGAACCAGAGTGTTTTCAATCTTCATACCTGTCTTTTTTCAGGCTGTTGAGAAGAGGACACTATCTCACTTTGTCTGGAACACAACAACACAGACATTTGCACCTCCAGGGGATCATGATCAGCCTCCATTATGTCTTCAATTACTGTGAATGATAACAATCATCCATTAAGCGAATCTTATCTTATTGCATATCCTGTCACACATACGGTGTCAAATCATAGCGCGGTCCTCGCTACCCTAAACCATATCGAGTATCTGGATCTGACCCACGAGACCTTTCAGAAAGTGAGGAAAGGGTTATGTATAGAACTATGAATCTGTGCTGCATATAACACAAAACAAATAACTCTTGCTTGACACAGGAAGTTGTTGCAATAGCCTACGCTTCAACATGATTTACACCCTGAAAGAGAAGATGATGGCTGAAATATGGAGATCTAAAGAGCAGATTAGGAGGAAAATGAGATTCCCTACAGGACTGCACCTCTAGGAATGATGGGTGGTGTTTATTTCAGTTTTTGTTACTTCACAGAGTTAAACTTTGTGTCCTCAGAATGAACTTCCTCCTTTACTTAAAATAAAAACGGGAAAAAGTCATTTGAGGATCATTGTGTGCAACAGTTTGGAGATCAGATGCATGTCCGTTCAGATTTTGTCGGCTGTTTCATCATTTCTGAGGAAAGAAATCGAAAAAGAGGTCAAGGCTTCATACCCTGGAGGTCTGTTTGCCGCGATGTTTTTGCTAATCAAATCACTTTAGGAAGATTAGCTTTGTTAGCACTTAAGCTGCAGTAGAATGAATTGATGACTGGGGTGATTACTGCCGAGAATGAAGGCCTTTTGACGGCAGAACACTAAGCGGCAAAATGCCAAACCACCACACAGCCACCTGCTGAGGAAAGACAACACTGTGTGTAGTCTGAACTCTTACAGTAAATTGCTGACCCAGTGTTCAGCAACAAGCAGCCGAGTTACGTCAAACTAAACTATAAATAAACATGGTCGGGTGGTAGTGGACAACGTAATCCAGGCAGTAGGAACTTTCTGGATTTGCTTCCTGCTGTCATAAATGTTGTAGTTTACTTTTTTAATACCTCAAATACTGAAACTATTGGAGTGTAAATCAGTAAAACTGTAGATCATTAGGAGTCAGTGACACACAGGCACTGATAGTACTTTTAACTGACAATTATTCGGATAAGTTTTAACATGCTGTTAAAGAAATCATAGGGCTTACTGATTCATAGCATCGCTGCAGATTTCTCCCATAGACTGCTATGGACAACTTGGTTCCGCCTTCCGCCAGTATACAGAGCTGAAAAGCTGTCGGCATTTCAGCAATTTTTATCCACTTCCTGAAACCAACATTGCGCAGTAGCGCTGTACACACACCACCACTTGCACAGTAGCATTGTACGTATTTGCCGAGAGAATCGCTTAGAGTTACTGTGATGACGCTCCGCTCAAACAGCGTATTCCCAAGGTGAGCTACGCAATCTTTGTACGCCCAAAGGCTGTATCAAGTGTCAATCATAGGAAACATGAACTCCCTAATAACTTATAAAAATGGAGCTGTACAGAAAAAACAGGACTTGAGCACAAACCAGTCTTACAGTAACTACATGTCAACATCGCAACCAGGGGGGAGAAAAATTAATGTTCTGTGTGATAAATTTCTAAATTTTGTCCACAGCTCCATAGGGTTAGGGTTATGACCTATATGCAGCCCGTCACCAGAGGGTGCTGTTCTTGAGGTGGATTTACCTAGCGAGGAGGCAGATGACGTCCATTCTATATACATTCTATGATTTCTTCCTGAGCTCCAGTTTCTGACACACACCCCTGACTGATTGAAATGACACATTACCATAAATAAGTAATTAAAGTTTTTGCTTATTTTGCTAGAGTGTCTGCTAAAATTTTGGTTCTGCACATTCTCAATTTAATTTATTTCAACAAAGTATTTTGAAACCCTTTTTCTAGATTGTTTTGGTACCCAGAATGTAACCAAGTGAGATTTCCCCTTAGTTCTGTTGCTACAGGTCAACAGGCCACTAATACATCTGGTATCCACCAATAGTACATGTGTAATATAATAGCATTACTAGCAAAGAGGGCCTGAGTAAAATAAAATGATCAAAAACAGGAGCAGCATGTTTCTATCATTTCATCTCTGACCAGCATACAGGCTTTTCCTACCCTATTCTGGATGTGACTCGGCATGTTGTTACACAAGAGACTGTCAGTTTTTCTCCAAAAATCTTCTCATCTTGTACACTATACTTGCACATGTTTTAAATCCTGCCATGTATCACATATCTTCTTCTGACAACGTTTAATTTATACAAATTGCCGTGCAACAATAGAATTCTCAAAGCAGGAAAAACACAGGTGGGACTCGTTAAGACTGTCCAGCTATCATTACTGAAATGTGAAATGCAACCATTAATAATGTGATTAAAGACACCTGTGTTTGACAAGCTGACGTAAACGAGCTTAAAAAAGAAGACAGTCCAAACTTTACCCTTTATGGATGTAAATACGACACACAAAATGAACAAAGCAGGTTGAGTGAGCAGTTAAAAAACATAATACAATATTCTTCTTGCATTGCTGCTGTTTCTAGACCTCAGCTTCATGTTTTTAGTATCCATTTTGACTTTCCAGTATTGTATCAAAATGCAACATTGCAGCACCGAAAGTGTTTCTTCTCAAGTCACCCACCCAGGCCAAAATGTGATCTTCTACCTCTCCATGACACTCTTTGGGTCTACCAGCTTCAACAAAAAGTGACATTCATCACCAAAACAGCATTTCTCCAACCTAGAGGTGTATTTTTGCTTTTATTAACTGACGTGAAAGATACTCGCAAAGTCATTATTCCCAGTACAAATAACATCACTTTTTGTTTATCATGAACGTGAAGTTTTGCCATTTCAAATATCCATGTTACTCTTCCGATATTCACTGAGTGTTGTGGATCTCTGTCCTGCAAAATAACTATCTCCAAAATGGAAGATCTTTTCAGATATCTCTAATGCAACTTTAGTCGCATATCCAATATAAAATCATAACTTGTAACAGGAGAACATCGATATCTGAAATTCGAGATTTTCTGAGAACTACAGATTTCATTAAAGACGTTTATAGTATTCTTTAATCTATAAAAAGAATGGCATAGTGGATATCTGAAGTGACTGTTGGAGATATTAAAAATAGATGCCTTACTCTTGAAAATAAAGTTTTAATCAGAATAAATTAAATTAAGGATAACCACAGCATAATAACTGATAAGATTGTGTTTACTGTAATGTTAGAGTCACTTTGGTGTCTGTTGGTTATGACTTTTCATTCTGAATATCGGAAATTAAAATCATGCCCAGCAATAACAGAAACCTGAAATGGAAATAGTTTTTTTCAGAGAAAAAAATAAATGAATATATTACCATCCCCCCTGCAAACTGCACAGTCATAGGAAACGCAGAACTGCTCCACAAGCACGCCTGCTCCAAATGGGATGTGTACGTAAACTCTCCCACTGTTCATTAGCAGCGCTGTCAATACCGTAGACAATTGACCACAGCCAAACAGAATACATATGTGCGGTGCTCAGTCTGTCTGTCTGGCTGACACAAAAATTTACCTCAATTGAGTCGGTGAAAGGCCAACTAGCGGACTCATCCCGTTCACACGGCGAGAGGTGTGAATGGCTGTGCAGTCCTCAGCAACACAAGGCTTATCTGAGCAACTTAACCTGTCACGATCCAACTTGGACAGTCTGATGTTCACAAGAC